TGCTGCTTTTTTTTTATGCTCTCCTCCCCGCTGTTTGCTTTTGTTTCCTTGGATCCAATTCCCCTGGCCACGATTCCGAGCGGCTCTTGGCCTGCTCCATCTTCCAGAACCACCCCCCCCCCATCGGGTGTCAACTTCAATTTGATCGTCGGGCGGTCTGATTGTCCCCCCTCCCGCTGCTGGTCAAATTACCCCGGGAACCTTCTCCGTCTACTATCTTCACGCTCTTTCGTCTTTGCTGGGGAAGCGGTCCACGCTCCTAAAAACTGAGGGGTAGATTATCCTGAATGGTTCGTGCACCCTCTCGAAAGGGGGATGATCGGATGATCTGGCCGCCGCTACCAACCACCATCGTCGACGCGGCAGCTCGTGGAAAGTCGTCAACTCGAACACTCTGACATCATTCTATCCACCATTTACTACCACGGCCTCGCTGGAGCTGACTCTAAGAGCCAAGCTGTCACTGTCAAATAATGTGATACTCCTTGCCATTTCCTGACTCTTGGTCCCTCGTCCCCAAATTGCTCTTCTTGAATTCCCAATCGCTCCCCCGCCCATGCTTCATCCACTCCCGTCCGTTCTGTCTCGGATCTTTCTCGTGGACTCGTGGAACCGCCTGGGCCCCTTCATCACAAAACATTATTAAAGTGCGATCGGTCCAATCACATCGCAGATCGTACTCTGGTGCTCCGGAAGGAACAAAAAGCTGCCCACCATCTTTCACATCGTGGCGAAACGGCCTCAAATCCAGCTTCCCCCATAAGCCAAGCTCATTGGTAGCCTGCCGATTCGACCAAGCTCTCGTTGGATTTACCCTGGATGATCACATTACCTGCATTCTTATTTTATTTTTTTTGTTTCGTTTTCCATATGGTCGTATCGTCGTCCTCATAACTGACAAAATTGTTTAATTTCCACAGTGTCGGGTCCCCTTGCAGCCTTGTACAACACGCAGGGCACACTTCCTTCTTCCGCCCCAAAAAGTGAGCAGGCCCTATGGGAGATGATCATTTACATTCGGTGAGTCTATTACATTATGTTCTCTCCACTTCCTTGGTCGAGTTCCTTCTTCTAACAATTCATACTCAGATCCTTGAAGCACATTGAATCTTCAGTGGGGATATCGAGAACACTCTTCTAAGCCACACATAGCACTCCGCTTGTTGAAATCCCCCCCCCGGTTGTATGCGATGTCCTTGTCAAAACTATCCTGGAATCATTTCGGTCCTCACCATCCATTCCCGGAAAAACAGAAGTTCCACGGCTGTTACCAGGACGCTCTTGCCCCGCCAGCCTTTCTTCGCCCTCTAGGCCTGTCAATATCGGCAGCCTTTGCCCCCGGACCCTCCACCATGAGTAACTCAAGCAACATGAACACGCTCTCCCCCGACGAGATGCAGCGCTTCCAGAAGCTGTCCAATGAATTCGAGCCGGATGTACCGGTAGGTGATTTGCGTTTGAGATTACGAGGAATGTGAGATTAAATCTGGCCACAGGGACTGCTGGTCTCCCCGAAACAATCAAGTCACAACATCGCCTTGGAGTATGCTAATGCAGACCCTGCCTTTGCTACAAAAACATCCGTGAGTCTGAACCCGGCTTCACTTGGGTGCCTCTCAAGTACTCATGGTCTATAGGCACTTGCCGTCACACACCCTATGAGTCGCACTATGAAGGGTGATGGAAACTGTGGTTGGCGAGGTTCGACAACAACTCTCCGCGTATGAAGCCGAGCGAAGCATATTACTAACCTTCGTCTAGCTGTGGCTTTTGGCTACTTTGAAACCCTCTTTTCTCTTCGAGACATGCTGCGCGTAGAGCAAGAGCTCGCTCGCATCAAGTCTCTCACTTACACTCTGGATCGCGTTGGCTACGCCGAACATCTATATGAGATGTTCATTGATGCCACGGAAGAGGTCTTTGCGCAGACTTCGGAAGCTATCCAGAATGGCGATCAGGACGAGTCTTTCCTCGTCAATGCCTTCAATAACGAATACAAATCAAATTCTATCCTAATGCACTTCAGAGTAAGTCACCTCTTTATGTAGCCTCCGACACAATTGATGGCTGACAAATTCGCAAGCTTTTGACCAGCGCCTGGATGAAGCTCAACGCAGTTCGATACCAAGCATTCTTGCCTGTCCCATTGGAACAGTATTGTGCCTCGGAGATTGACACAGTGAGGACCGAAATTGACGAAGTCGGCTTGCAAGCCTTGGTCGACGGTGTCATTCAGGGTGCTGGGTTTGGAGTTGAGATTCTCTATCTCGACCGAAGTGAGGGAGACGCCGTGACACCACACCAACTTTCACCAACTTGCCCCAGTGATGCAACAATCCGTCTGCTATACCGACCGTAAGGCCAATCCACCCCTGCTTTACCGCTGCATACGGTAAAGCCACTCTCGCGAAGAGCCGCATAACTAACCTCTGTAGTGGCCACTATGATATCATCTACCGCGCCGAACAGACTGTGAATACAGCACCCGTGGTCAACTATCAATATGCAATGACTTCTAACTATTCTCCCTGGGACCAAGGTGCTCTCTCCTTCGACGTCAACTCCCATTTGATGTCTATCCCCAACTTGATGGCCGACCCGGCATTCGGTATGGGCGGTGCCCCCATGTCGCCAATCCCTTCGGTCTCGCCCACTCCAGCAAGCCCATACCGACTCTCACCTACCCAGGATATGTACCAGTCCCCCATGCAGAGCCATGCTCCGGTTCCATCCATACCAGTGTCTTCGCCTCCGTCTGCCATGCCGTCTGCGGCGCCCCCGCCCATGACCTCTCTTCCAAGTCGGTCATCTGATGGGCCTCAGATTCGCTTGAATCCCTTGGTGATGAAACCCAATTTGAATCACCTACCAGTGACGGCACCTTTTAAAAAGTGAGTGATCTTGTCCAAGGGAGACTGCTGATATCGTTGTTGACTTTGGTATCAAAGTTCGCCGTACAACCAGGCCCATTTCCGGAACCAAGATTTCGAGCCGATTCATTGGGAACCGAACGAGAATCGCAGATGATGATGACGAAGCTACGAACTCCATTCAAAAAGGAAAACGCGACAATGATCCCGCTAGGAATGTCCTCTTTCTTACTCTTTTCCTCATGTGTTTTTTGCATGTGGTGTGCATGAGACCTGGACTTGGCGTCTTGCTGCTTTTTGCTCCCTGGTCTTTCATTTTCTCTTGTTTTTCAGCCGCCCCATTCCTCTTTCCATCCAAGCTGACCCCTGGACGTACGTCCCACCTCCAGTCTTGGTCATTTGACTCCGAAACATTCTAGCTTTTCCCTCTTCCTTTCTGACCGGCCTTTCTTGATGACTGTCTTTTTAGCGTGGTGTCCAGCGCGTTGCATGGACGGTCCGAGCGTTTGTCTTGCTCCTTGATTCTTCCACAGTTCCAAACTTCTAAATTGTTTTTCCAAGGATGGTTCCATCCAAAGGCACTTGCATTCTATGTTCTCCCCTCGAGCTCTAAAGCAAACCTGCAAGTTTAGCAGAGAAAAATTTCAGCTCAAATATACAAAGTTCACACTTCTGGTGGTTTTATGATTGAATATAATATACAGTAGGACGTTTTCAAAAGCCAGCTCTATTTACGGCAACCCCTAGGCAACCTCCTCATCCCTCGCCTCTAGTATAACATCCACCATATCGTCCAATCCCCGATCCTTGTCCGCGGCATCTAGATAGCCTGCGGTGACCAATCGCCCTAGGGCATCGCCGACCCAATTCTGGCTATTCCAGTCACTTTCTTGATCCGCGACCGGGGTGCCCGATATCGTCGTCCGCAACGAGGACACTGGTACACTGTCCGGGATGGAAGCAACAAAGACAGACTTTGCAAGACCTAGAAGCCCCGCATCAGAAAAAAAAAGCAAAACACAAAGAAAAAGACCTTCAAGAATTCTCCCACAGCCGGGACCCGATTTACATACCAATAGCCGGAACGGGCGAAGTATTCAATCGCTCATAAAACATAAAATTCCCCGGTGACCCGACCACCTCCATCACCGAAGACTTGAGATCATTTTCTGTGTTTGGAATTGAGTCGTCGGACTTGGACTTGGAATTGCCCTCGGTCCCCGAAGCCGTGCGAGCAGTTTCGTATTCCAAGTACAGCGCTGCGTGTCTGTATCGCGCGTAGTCGAGGGGTGAGGCGATATACACCAGGATCGAGAGCTTGCTCGGCATGTAGATTTGGGAACGCTCTCAATCCCCCGGTGGGTCTATATAGGGCGTAAAAAGATCTTTGTTCAAAAAAAAGATGTGGGCGGTTTGGGCTGCGAATGGGGGGGGGGAAGCCTCGGGATGACGTCGCCGTAGGGCTGAGGGGGAATTCGGGACTGGGGAGTGAGAACTGGCTGCGTGGGAATACCGAGACGATTTAATCGTATAATATGGGCTTTATGAGCGCGAATCCACAGGACTTTTGGTGATTGTTCGAGTGTTTGGGATCTTAGTAGGGGCAGTAGTCGTGATATGATTTCGGAAGTTATCAGTGTGGGTTATGACCCTGACGGAAAAAGTTTCCCTTGCCCCTCTGGAACCTAGGGTCTTCGTCTGAATTCGGTGGGGTTCTCACTGAGGGGGCAGATTTTGAAGCTAGCAGGATGTGTTTGAAAGCCTTTCGGGGCGTTTTTCATTGTGGATGGGCAGATTTAAAGTGTAGATTGTCGTATATTCGCACAAGCATGATTGTAGCTTATAGGATTCCCTCAACAGATGACGACACATCTATACTCTTAATAAAAGACAATTATAATCAACTAGCTTGTTTGCCAAGGTCTTGCGTTGGCGTCTTCCTCTTTATGGAAACCTCCCCCTGCAAGACGTAGGCTTTGATCACGATGTGGCTTCGAGTCGATCATATTCGCAAAGGCACCCAAGAGAAAGATTTCTAGACCTGGCTGTGGACAAAGCCCTTTTTGAATGATATGATCCACTTAAGCACTGGCTGTTTGCATTGCTAGAGGACGGAAGAGTTTATGGCGTTGTTCAAATCGACGAAGAGTGCCGAGCAGAAGAATCTGCACCTCGTCAGGCAAGGGTACGACAGGAGAGTAATACTCTTCGCGGCCAGCAGACATGGAAGGTCGCGAGTATTTTTGGACTTCAACGCCATCTCTTCTTCTTGCTCCCCCCAGCTCATGGATTTCATCTTTGAGTTCGCTTACGCCACGGCCATCAGTATCAAACGTCGTCGAAAAGTTCTATCGAAGACACATGAAAGAACTTGGTCGTGGTATACCTGTGACTCACCCCAAAGGGGTACCTTCGGAGACTACAGAGCCAAGAAAGATGCAGCAAGAATAAGGATTGACACGGACTTATCAAACGGTAGAGTATCGATATCAATGACTATGGAAATATAGAGAAGAAGAAAGGATTCCACCGCAAGCTGCAGAATATCGGCCCTTCCATTTTCTATAGTGTATTTACGCTTGGGATATGGCCGAAGGCACTTGATGATAAATAGTCTCAGTTGTAATGGCAAGTATGTAAATCCATCCAGTGAATGATAAAATAGATTAAGAGAGATATAGTGTGCAAAGTGGTAGCTGTGCAATGAACGAGCGATAAAGAGAATAGTTGACAAGAAAAAGATAAAGATGGAAAGAAATGGGTGGTTCTATAAAGCTTAAGCCTTCGACTTGGTGAATCTCGAGGGAAGGAGCTTCTGCTTGATACTCTCGAGATCCCAGCGCTTCACACGGAAAAGGTAGTAAGTCAACGTGGCAATGAAGATGTTGAAAATGACAAAGGCCCAAACAATACCAAAGTTGCGCCATCTCTCAGAATAGTAGATCTGAGACTGCGCAATGTATTGGTCCGCCTTCTGGACCGAGCAATAGCTGCAATTCGAGGTTGCGTTCCAGTCAAGCAACTGACCTCCTGCAAGCTTGACGTAGTCACCAAGATACTGTCCGCAGGTCTGGCCAGAGGGAGGATCGAAAGTGGAAAGCTCGGCTGAGGAGCAGACGACGTCACGATTGTGGACTTGGGTCGAGACCATCGCGCCGGTCCAGTACGTGAAGGGGGAGACGCGGTACATGAAGATCCAGAATCCGGGCAAGGCGGATGGAGGTTGCATCACACCACAGAAAGTGAGAGACATGGCGAAAAGTAGGACAACAACTGCGCTGGCGGTTTCGGCATCGGGAAGAGCGGCGATAACCATCTGAGCGAATGTACCGGCGTAGATGAAGAATTGGATACAGAGCAGAAGAACGGTCACCTGGCTGACAGAGCTAGGAATTCCAACAACAGCGTAGAAATAACAGGCGTAGATGAGGATACCGGTCACGATCATGTAGGGGATCTCGACGATGACGTTGGCGATCAAGAAGGCCTTCCAGCTATAAGCCTTTGAGGGCCGCTCGCGAACTTCGTATAGAGAGCGTTGCGTCACGAAGAGAGGCATTAACTTGGTGACGATTAGTCTGAGTTTGAAAGATGGGAAAGGGGTAGAAGACAAACCTGTTGGACAAGGGAAGTGAAAATTGTGCAGAGCATGAAGACCGAGTAGATGATGGTCTGCATCCCCTGAAGAGAAGGTTTCGCTTGGTAGAAGGAGAAACCGATGAATAGACCCGCGGCAATACCGAGTCCCCACTTGGAGATGATGTACGAGGGCATACGCCAGTACTGCTGGAACACGCGATAGGTGACCTGATAAAGTTGGAACCAGAAAGGCATGGCGAATTCGGAGGTGGTAGCAGATAGATCTTCAGACCCAGAGATCTGGCCTTGCTTCTCCTTGTGGATACGGTCAATTTCGGTCTGGACCATCTGGCTTTCCTGGCTCTGCTTCCAAACATCGAACCAATCTTCTCCCTGGGGGTTGGTGCGGGCGTTCACAACATCCAACATGAATTCGGCAGGGTTCTCACTGTCATCACACTTGCGAGCACCATGAGATTCGAAGTAGTCCAGAAGAGTTCGTGACTGTTCTCCAATTGGTCCGAAGTAGACAGTCTTGCCGCCTCGAGCTAGGAAAAGAAGCTGATCAAACTGCTGGAAAAGGATGGCACTCGGCTGGTGGACTGTACAGAGTACAGCCTGACCATGTTCGGCGAGCTTGCGGAGGAATGAGCAGATAGCCCAGGAACTCTGCGAATCAAGACCGCTGTATAATCTGGTTAGTAACGGGGCCTTCACTCAAATCAGGTAATATATCTTACCTAGTAGGTTCGTCCAAGAACAAAAGGAGCTTGGGCTTTGCCGCCAACTCAACGCCGATGGTAAGCAACTTTCTTTGCTCGACATTCAGTCCTTCACCGGGAACGCCGACGATAGCCTCAGCGAAAGATTCCATACCAAGCATGGTAATCACATCCTCGACATAGTCGTATTTCTCCTGAATCGAGACACTTGCAGGTTGGCGCAAAAGTGCACTGAAACGCAGAGACTCGCGCACGGTGGCAGTCTCAAGATGCAAATCCTGCTGCTGCACATATCCCGTCTTCCGCTGGAAGCTAGCGTCGAGGGCCTTGCCATTAACAAACATGTCGCCAGTTACCACACCGACGGAAGTCCTGTGTGCCAGCACGTCAAGAAGGGTAGTCTTTCCTGCCCCACTAACACCCATAAGAGCTGTGAGGGTACCGGGCTTGACCCATCCAGAAACATGGTCCAAAAGACGACGGGGTTCGCCCTTGATCTTGATATCGTAGCACACATCACGCCAGGTGAATATATCAGATTGAGGTTGAATGGCAGCCATTCCCTTTCCATTTTCTTCGTCAGAGGAGGATTGTCTCACGGCCACTGTATCGGCGCTCTCGACATCTGATTCTGACTTGTCATGACCACGGCGTATGTGTGCGGGCTCGTGACCGCGGCGGAATACCAAAGCCTCCGCGGTGCTGGTCGTCGAAGAGTTCAGCTCGCACGCAACGAAGTAGATGGCCATGAAGCCAATGAGAAATGCGAAGAGAATGCCGAGATTTCTCCATACGTGGCTGTAGCTGTAAGTGTAGTTAAGCATGATGTATCGATCGCCATTGACGGTAGTTTCACCCGCAATCGAGCCAGAAGCGGAGCAGGCGAACGAATTGCCTGACAGATCGGCGTAGCTAGGCACAAATTGCGAGCAAGCAAAGTCTCTTCCGTGAAACTCGTTCGCGATCAGAATTTCGAAAGCGTAGTAGATCGGGTTCAGGTAGTGGATCCACTCGAACCAGGGATGCATGGAGGGAACGGGTAACACGAAACCTGATGATAAATTAGCCCGAGCTCGTTCAATCCAGAGTGTGTTAGGGGGAAAGAGTCAGCATTACCTGTATACACAACGAGTGCAAGAATCATAACACCTGCCAGACCCATAGCCTGGGACACAGTCTTTGTCACGGCGGCCAATGTTCGGAAAACGGCACTCATCACGAATGTGATGAGGAAGGTGACCAAGAAGTAGAGGAAGAAGTTCCCTGGCTCGCGTCGTAGACCAGCCATGAAGTAAAGAATAATGTTGAACACGACCGCCAAAGCGAACTTGACTGGTATATCGGCAACCACGCCTGCAATAGCCTCAGTCGCTGGGTGATAAAATGCGTAGGAGTTGTGCTTTTCGATAATTGGTCGTTGAGCATAGAGACTGTTGATTTCACTCATTGCCGTGAGGGCATTGAGTAAGACCGCGAAGAAGAGGACAGCACCCTTAGATGCAAAGCCGGAAGTGGTGTTGGGCGAGTCATAGAATACCGAGCCAATAATTAGAGCCATGATGATGTTGCTGACAATGGTCGATACCGTCGACGCAGCATCGTTCCATAGACGCTGGTATGCACGGACCGTATTGAGCTTAATTTGCATTGGGACACTTAGAATGTATGGGGACTTTGGCCGAGTATGATTTGCCTGCTTGTCACGCTTCTTCTCCTGGAACTCAATGGCGGCTTGTTGGTCGTTGCCAAGCGGGTACTGCTCCTCATATGCTGCGATCTCACGCTGTAGCTGTTGATACTCGGCGGATTGAAGCCATGCCTTTTCGAAATCTTCGGGTGTACGTGGCACACGACCCTCGAAACCGGCCTTAGCTCGACGTTCCTGGGGGTTGGTAATGGAGGTCAAGAAATCTCCAGTGGTTTGCCGTGGTGGGCAATCCCAGCCTTGTTCCTCGAAGTAGGCTTTGGCTTTGGAAGCAGGGCCAAAGAAGACTTGTCGTCCTTCGTAGAGGACCACAACCTTATCAAAGACATCATAGATGCTTTGACTGGCTTGATAGATAGCAACGGCATGAGCAGAGCCAGTGAGATCTGATAGCAAACGAAGGCTTTCCACAAATTTCAACGCGGTAGCAGAGTCTAGTCCTCGGGTGGAATTGTCCCAGGCAGCCAAAGGTGAAGCTGCGAGGGCCATCTCGGCGATACTAACTCGCTTTCTCTCACCACCGGAGACACCGCGGATGAAATCATTACCCACTCGGGTGTTATAGGTGTGGCTCAATCCGAAGACAGCCATAACGACCTGGGCCATGTACTTGGCGAACTCTGAGCGTGACATGCCCTCGAATCGATGGGAAGGAGTACGAGTGGCTGCGGCGAATTCTAACGTCTGGCCGACCGTGAGGTGAGGAAAGTGTCGATCGACCTGTGCAATAAATGGTAAGCAACTTCATGTAATGCGGAGAAGGGTCATCGATATCGCACCTCTTGGTTATATACCAATTCGCCTTTGAATTCCTTTGTCATCCGCTCTTGGGTGATACCTGAGATCGACGTAAGTGGAAAAGATCTTCTGGACGGGGATTAGGGCTGGGGATTCTCACCATTGTAATGGATGACACTTTCTTTATCAAGATCCAAGCCGTGGAGCTCGCCGCATAGCGACTTGAGGAAAGTACTGCAGCCAGCACCGGGTCGTCCCAAAACCAAGAGCAGCTCGGACTTCTTCAGAAGACCGTTGAAGTCCTTGAGGATACGCCTGCGAGGGGAATGGGACTCTCGGATCATCTGGGGCAGTCGAAGGGGTCCAGTCAGGAGGCCCGAGACTGTCTCCTGGAATTGGAGAGCGGCCCCAGATCCGTAGACATTCAAGTTCTTGAAAACAATACCCATGGTCTGACCTCGTGGGCCGTCACGAGCGACATCGTTCATAGCGGCCCTCAGCCATTTTGAGAGATCGAATTTGGGCGATTGGGGGTTCAGGGACTCATCGTGCTCGGCGACAGAGGCGAGGCGATGAGCGATGGTCGATTGTCGACGAGATTGTTGGGTTGCAATGCGAGTAAGCGTTTCAACTTCGCCCTGTTCAATGTGATTGATCGGTTCGTATATTAGCTGATCATGTTCATGCGAAGAAATGTCTTCGCTAGCTGTGTCCGAAGACATAATGGAACGATGGTCGCTGGACTTCGAGCCAGGTACCGGAGAAAGAGTGAAGTTTAGGAAATACAGTCCAGGTAGTATTCCAGAGACAATGAGAGGGAGAGGGTCTTCGTTTAATAGCAAGGCACACAAATAAAGGGTTGGTCTTCATTAAATAGTAAGGTACCATTTGCCGGCCTTAGGAACAAAAAGTCTAAAATTAATGAACACAACGTGCCCTCCGGATGGAGCTGCGACTATCTGCAAGACTACGTCAACTTGGGAAGAGTTCCAGTGTTTTCGGTCATATTAATTGAAATGGTGGAGATCCCGGGGGCCGGGAAAGATGGGAGCCAGAGACTAAGCCAGCCTAGTTCCAATGAAAATCATTAGATCCTCCCGGATATGCTGAATGGTGGCTCTTTATTGGCTTTCGGATTCTCCCGAGCCGACTGATCGTGGCGCTGGAATTCGTCGATCATCGCAGTTTTATGGCCGGATCAAGACTTCCTTATGTTCCGCTGACTCAGCGGTATTCATGACCACAGGGCCGCTCCCAAGCCTCAGCCACGATGTTCATACAGTAGAGTTTTAAAATTGAATCGAAAATGATATATGATCTCTGAAAAATGGAGACTCGTTAGCGACTTGTCTGCAAAAAGACTGGAAGCCAAGACTGAATCCTGAGCTCTCGTGCAGTGGCCTATTAAACTCTGTGGCTGTGAGATCTCGATAACCCACCTTAGTGAAGATTAGACCGCTATCTATCGTCATATCTGCACTATTATTGGATGCCGGAAGCACAATGTCTAATTTTATGCAATTAGTGCGAGATTAAACTCAAGCTCATTCGGCTCAGAAAGATTCCGCCGAAAATTCGTCCGGGGGATCTACAGTACTGTCAGGGATGGTGAGATCGGCACCCAACGGTCCGACTCCGATTCAGGGGGCCGGAGGTCGGATTCCGGCCACCGAGACGCGCGGAGTGCAATGCTCTTAAGCCACCGGACACGGTTTGATTTTGATGCCTGTTGCCACACCTTCTTCGTATCTCACTAGGCTAAACCTCGGTTGAGAAAAATGTGCCTGGACAGGGTAGTTACCCATCAATTCCGCTTACTAAGCGGAGCCAAAGTCAAGTTAGTTAATTAACTATGGGAATGCGGCTCCTCGATGTTGATCAACCTTCTTGTTAGCCCATAGTTGGTAAATTCTTCGTTGCACAATTCGAGCAGTGATGCCAAACACACCAAGCAGGGATAGTTGTCATCGAATAGTTACCTTGCCAATCTTGGCAAGGGAGCTTACGAAACTGAGCACTAGCCGTGCCACATTGAAGACAAGGCTCTGGCCCCCTCCCCTCTAGACGAGGCTGCAGAAAAGTCCAACTACCAATACTCTCTTAAATTATGTCCACCTCCCCTCTAGACGAGGCTACAGAAATATCAAACTACCTCAACAGCACTCTCTCAGCAAATCATGTCCAAGTTCAGGGTTGTCATCGTGGGGGGAAGTGTTGCTGGTTTAACTCTGGCGAACATCCTTGAGCGATACAAGATCGATTATGTCGTCGTTGAAAAACATGCCACCATTGCACCCCAGCTCGGTGCGAGCATTGCGACGCTTCCGCACGGAGCCAGAATTCTGGATCAGCTTGGTCTTTTCTCTCGAGTAGAGGATGTATCAATGCCGGTGGATGACAATGAGAATTTCGGCCCTGGTGGGGTCGCACTGGGCCCGACTGAGCCACTTGGTGATTTTCTGGAAGAATTGTCAGTTCACCAATCCGAAAGACCGGTGATAAGCGACGGAACTGACAAACTTGAGCAGGCTCGGCTACCGAATGCGATTTATGGATCGACAGCAGTTACTTCAAGTTCTGTTCGATGGGATTCGGGATCAATCCAAGATATTAACGAATGGTGAATGCGTCAAAATTGTGGATCTGGAAGATGGCGTGCAAGTTGCCCTCAAGGATGGTTCCATTATCCATGGAGATCTCTTGGTTGGAGCAGATGGAGTGCATAGCCGTATGAGGGGTGAGATCTGGAGAATCGCCGGTTCTGAGACATCAGATTATCCTGTCTCGGAGTTGAGTCGATGTAAGTATCTACCTGAGGATCATCAGAGTACCGCATATCCGTATCCCTGATCACTAATCACGAGACAGCCATTCAATGCCAATACAAATGTATGTTTGGCATATCAAAGCGTGTCCAAGGAATTCCGGATAAGAAATCCTTCAAATGCTACCACAAGGGTCGGTCTTATTTGTGTTCTAGCGGTCAGGATGGCAAGTTCTATTGGTTCGTTTTTGTCAAAACCCCTGAAATCACCGTCCATACCACCATCCCTCGATACACGACCCAGGATGCGGAGGATCTGGCGGCTGAAATCGTTGATGATCCCCTTTTCCAGGATGTCACCTTCAAGGATCTCTACAAGAATCGTATGAGCTGCGTCCTTGTACCGCTTGAGGAGTTCGTTTTGGAAACATGCTTCTATAAGCGAGCTATCTTGATTGGAGACTCGTTTCACAAGGTATTGACCCCCTATTTCGCTTGTTAGATATAGCTGACAATTTGACAGATGAACCCCCTTCTGGGCCATGGCGGTAACTCCGCTATAGAGTCAGCCGGCCTTTTGGCCGATCTCTTGAAGGGCACACTTGACAAGAATTCATATCCAGACAACGACATAGTTCAACAGATCTTTCTGAAATTTCAAGAGGAGAGACGTCCTAGGACGACTCACCTTATGGGAACAACGAAAAAGGTGCAACAGATGGAAATCCTGGAGAGCCCGATCCTAGAGTTTCTACAGCTCAAGTTTTTCGGGCAACTTGGCGGAGAATATCTTGGTCCCCAGTTAGCAGTTTCTTCAACCTCGGCTCATACTTTGAAATATTTGCCAAAGACGTATAGACGCGGGGTGGTACCACTGGATGAAGAAATCAAGGCAAATCCTCACGACCGACGTGCTATTGCCACTGCCCTATGGATGGGCGTGATGCTACTAATTGCTTTATGTGGCCGACTTCTATCTCGATACTTGGTTCTCGTACCGAGCCCACATTCTACCGTCCCTGAAGCATTGGCAAATTATCTCTTTGTCACTGCCGTTTCGATCAACGGACTATGGATAGTTGAGTCTTATCGCTCAAGTTTGCTTTTTTCGCCTCTATTCAGGTAAGTACTCTTACACTTGTCATTTAGCAATCCCCTAACAAACGCAGCGCAATCCCATTCATCATCGCTTCGACTGCATTTGGGGGCCAAATGATCTTGCCAATTTACTTCGCCCTCCACATCTATTTCACTAGAAAGCGATCATTCTATCATCCTTTCCCTCGTGCTATCAATCCCTGGGCCGCAAAGGCACTACCCGTGGCTCTATTGATTACTTATATGCCCAGTATATTCCAAATTCTGGTTCCATCTCGCTGGAATGGTCGAGAATATCTGCCAAATTCTGCATGGGGCCACTCTATGGTGCATATCGCTCTGCCCATAACGCTTCACATTGGCAAACTTTTCTACCAAACAGGCGCCACGAAGTTGACTGTTGGTCAGTTGTTATACTCGACAAGAGATATGAAATATCTCTCTCGATTCTTCGGCATGATTCTGGTTCTCTCAAGCACCGCTCATTTAATGCTAATCAGTAGACTGATATCTTATGCTGATTACGCTGCCTTCAAAGCTTTAAAAGTACCGTGCTTGGAGCTAGTACAGCTCGTCTCACTCACAGCTTCCATTGTTGCATGGTGCTGTTTCACGATCTGGGACATGCGGCGAGTGAATCTGACAACGCACTCTCCTCTTGTGGTGTTATTCGGCAGCTTCATTGCTTGCATTCTTCTTGGGCCTGGTGCTGTGTTAGCTGCGTTATGGCAGTGGCGGGACCGTGAGCTGGAACATGGCAGAAAGCCCGAGATTGACTAGGACCACTGGCGATCACTATATCGCATAGCCATCGTGAGGTTGAGGGGAGTTGAATGTATGGTTTACAACAGCAGCTTCCTAGGTGCTCGACCTGATCTTTAGATAGAACATGTAATAGGACATGGGCATCTCTTTGATTCGACCATTGTTATTTTTATCACATTTGCAATATGACCGATTCTCGATAATATTGGAGGTCACTATTGTGTAAACATAAGGAGCCCATATCAGGTGTGAAGTCACCGTCAGGCCAGGCACGGTCTGAGGCTGTCGCCACGTAGTCGCACCCTTCGAGACCTCTCAAATAAGCCCGGGCCTTCACAAAAACTACCATGGAAGGAAGCTCAGTAAACAGCGTGGCCAGCGCCTTGCTCCAGGATCTCTCCATCCTCAAGTTCGCGCACGATATTGACTCCCGCACTGGCTCCAATCCGCGTTGCGCCAGCCTTCACCATCTTCAGGCTATCAGTCGCATTGCGAATTCCACCACTAGCCTTGATTCTAACGCTGGGATAGCCAGCCGCCTGAGTGGCCATTCGCATCGTCGTGACATGATCGACAGTTGCGGGGCCCTTGTACCCAGTACTGGTCTTCACAAAGTCGACACCAGCCATGCAACTAATAATGGTTGCAGCAATAATCTCGTCCCTGTCGAGCTCCGATGCTTCGATAATCGCTTTGAGAAGCACGGGCGCGGGCGCGGCCCTGCGCACCGCCAGAATGTCGTCATAGACGGCCGTGTATTGGCCATTCTTCAGCTTCGGGTAATTGATGACCATGTCCAACTCATTTGCTCCTTGTTCGACTGCTTCCCGTGCTTCTTTCACTTTATCTGATGTATCGTAGGTGCCCTCGGGGAACCCCACCACACAGGCTACCCCCACATTCGGTTTGTCCTTGAGGTTGGCGGCAGCTCGGGCGACAAAAGCCAGTCGAACGCAGACAGTGGCAAAATTGTTTTCACGGGCTTCTTGGCAAAGGGTATCAATTTGTTGCGGCTCGATTGGCTCTTTCAATAAAGTGTGGTCAATCATGGCCGGTATTCCTAGAGGGGATGCAGGCGGCGACGATGGCCTTGGGGGGCCGCGGTCCTTCAACAAGGAGATCGCCACAGCCCACTCGGCGTCGGTAGATGGAATTGATGACATGCTGGGCTTCTCCATGGAGGTCTTAGTCCTAGGTCTTCCACACAGCCAGATTGATGAGGTGACATCGGCAACTCCACGTTGACAGATCGTGAGGGGTCCATGTCACGTGAGATGTTCAGAGCCTCATCATCATGACGAGCTGTGAATTCATCGATGCGTTGCTGATAAGATTGCCAGGGGAACAGGTGGATGTGGCGCAAAGAACTGAATATGGTGCTGTAAATGAAGTGGCAATAGGACCTGGAGTTAGAGTTTACATCAATCAACAAACAAACAAGGTACGGAAAGATGATCTCAAGGTTTTCTGTGTGGGTCAGGAGTTCTTTAAGCGTAAGATAGGATTCGAAATACAGTCCAGGCAAGATCTGAGATCTGAGATACAGTGACTTATTCTCATAGAGATGAATCCAGGTTGAAACCGTTGTATGTGCCCATATATTCAATCGTGCGGGCCAACAAAGGCGTAATTAGACCCTCACAGCGTGTTAGCCCGGCCAAATCCTCCTCGATACCCCAGTAGTTGATATTCATTTCGCCATGTATTCAGCGCCACTCAGCGGCAGCTCTTGCACTCCGGCCCTCGGACATCGTCCACCCGGCCAATGCGTGGGCCTCCACCCCCGGCGCCTCCACGATTGACATTAGAGCCGGAGGAGCTGGTACGCGCGCCCCATTCAGAAGAAGATCCAGACGCGGTATTTCGGTTACGAAGGTTGAACTGCGATCCCTGGGCGGAGGCATAGGAGTCGAACTGTGAGCGGACTGGGTGTCAGCATATTGGTTCGATAAAGGAATTGAGGGAACGAAGTGCTAGATGTGCGATAGAGCGACAAATGGTCCTCAAAGTGTATTCATACCGAGAACAGGCTCACGAAATACAGGCCCAAAAAGAGGTAGACGCTCTCGGTGAAGCGGTTGAGGCGAACGGACAATGGGGGGCTGTACGGGTCGCAGCGGGTTAGCGGGGGCCTTCAAAGTATAAATGCCAACACAAGGTCACAAAACATACCTCGAAAGAGCCTGTCCGTTCGAGACATATGCTGGCCGGGACTTTTGCGACGACATAGCGGTGGTGATGATGGAATGAGAAAGCGAAAGTGATGGAAGTTGATGAGGTGGAGTTATCGGGGGCTGATAAGCCCCGGCGCTCCACACCCGACAATCCGGCCCCTTTTGTTGGCTTGAGCCGCATCTTCCTGGCATTCATTGGCAAATTTTCCTTGGAAGAGCGTCTGTGTCAATTTGATGTACCTAACCGAATAACTACTCTGGGTATGTCTCCATATTGTGCCATGCTAATTACCTATTGAAATTGTTCACTCGTATGAGCCGTTTCGCTTTAAAACGATTCTCCAGAGCTTTATGCTTTGGACAATATCCAGAAAACGATAAGCATTCTAGAATTCAAATTCATCTAGGTATTGTATAAGATGAGAATGACATTTTGTGCATCATTACAAAATTCACCGATCTCAAACGGCATCGAAATGCTCCGTATGCTGGTCCGTCGGCTTCAGATCATCAGTTTCGTCAATTTGCGTGCCCCGTAACTCAGCTTCGATATGCTTGATGCGCTCCTTCTCTTCGTGCGCAGCCGTATCTCCGAAGATGAGGTCCATATCTTCGAGCGTCTGAAAGGAGGTCAATCAGTAAGCAGACAATGTAGTTAGATGTAAGCAAATCAGCTTAGGATATTACGTACCTTTCCGCGGGTCTCCGGAATACAGAAGAACGTAAAGGCCAGGGCCAGTAGACAGAATGCCGCGAAGAAGATGTAGGTCCCATAAGTGATTGATTCAAGCATGTCGGGGGTGACGAGGCCAATGATGCTAGTGCAAGCGTGTTAGAGAGTTAGGGATGCAAGTTCTGGTGTCACGGACGCTTACAAGTTACACATCCAGGTAGCCGATGTAGTGAGGGAGATAGCCTTGGCACGGATCGAAAGATTGAAGATCTCGGATGGAAGAACCCAGCCGATGGGGGCTGGAGTGAAAACAGTTGTCAGAATGTAATAATTGCACGAGGAGCGCGGGCTACTCACCAAATGAATAAGAGAAGTTGATGTCGTAGATGTAGATAAAAGCAATTCCAGCCCAGCCAGCGGACTTGTGATCCATCAGGCGGGAGCCATAACCTCCGAGAATACCACCCACGATAACAAGCGAGATACAAGTACCGGTGGCACCGGCCATGAGCAATGGGCGACGGCCAATCTTGTCAATGAAGAACAGCGCCGGGAGGGTGCTCAAGCAGTTGACAATGCCATACACGCCAGTAGCGAGTAAAGAGGTTGTGTTACCATCAAGGCCAAGCTGTCCAAAGATAGTCGGGGCATAGTAGATCATAGCTACCGAATGTTAGAATGGCAATGCGATGCTTTCTAAAGGTGAAATATATACCGTTACAACCCATGAATTGCTGGAAGAACATAACACAGCATCCAATAGCCAGACGCTTGAAGCGGGCCCAGGTGGTCAAAAACGACATATACTATTGTCGTTGTTAGTGCCTCGGTCAATGGACCCAAATCTCAAGGTACGAACCTGAGCAGCATGCAGTTTCCATCCTGACAGATTGGGAAAATGCTCTCGGGCGAAGGTATTCTCGAGCATGATAGACGCGCGAATCTCGAGGTACTCATTTTGAAGAGCTGGGCTATCGAGATCTTGTCGACGGAGTCTCGAGAGCGCAGAAAGGGAGTCATCGTCACGTTCCTTCATCATCAGCCATCGTGGGGAATCAGGGAAGAATAGCATGCCAATTCCCAATATAACCGCAGGCACGATCTGAATGGCTAGTGGAAGTCGCCACGATGCTTCAGACTGTCCAGTGCAGCCTCCAGCTGGTACGTCTTGGTATGGGTCGAAGGCAGGCTTGGAGAACGTGCCACCCGTATAGGGAATATTTGGTGCACATCGAGATCCACCGATGTAATTGGTGCCGTAGTCAATCCAGTAGCTGACCAAAATGCCGATTGTGACAGACACTGGAAAGGGATCAGCATGCTTGTGAATTTCGCGTCTGAATATGGAAACTAACACTGTTGCACGACCACTAAGCCTCCACGAATTTCTGGAATAGAGACCTATCTCGGGGTCAGTATACAATGGAAACGCCCAGATTCAAATTTGAAGCTGACCTCGGAGATATACAATGGAACGACCATGGTCAGCATTCCCACGGCCAGTCCGGCAATTGCTCGGCCTGTCAATTGATACTATCAGCCAGGTTGTTATGTTCCGGATATGTAGCATGAACCTACCGGTAAATAGCATCGGAATGTTGACTGCACCACACTGAATAGCAGATCCAATCACAAAGATCACAACGGCCAGATTGATCGAAAGCTTCCGTCCTAGGTGATCAGCAACGGGTCCATTGATCAAAGACCCAGCCCACGCAGCTGGAAAGAAAGTGAGTCTTCCATTCCCTGTATGAAGAGTCGGATGGCACGAGAACACACCTAGTAGAAGTGTCGACACGAACCATCCCTTGAAGCCGCTATCAGAGAAGACGTGAGGAAAGCGAGCCCCAAAAGACTCCATAGTGATCACGCCACTGATCACGCCCTGGTCATAACCAAATAGCAGACCACCGAGGGTCGAGAACTGCCTCCCTTGTCAACAAAGAGGCCGACCGCAGTCATATCTGCAACTCACCGAAGCCACTCCACAGAGGTATGGATTCTGCATCACCAAACTAAAGCCGCCGCTCGGCGCACCATTCAGGTCCGAAACCATTTTGGAAAAATATCGGTATCGGTATCACTCTGTTGATCGCTTGAAGCTTGGATATTCTGGGAACCTGATTCTGGGGTAGCTAGCGCCTATATATACCCATCGCCCATTCCAATCCGTGTAGATCGCAGACAGAGAAGTTGGAGTCGGCCGCGCTACTGACAGGATTACTGTGCTCCGTTCTTTCCGTATTTTTTTTCATAGCCTCGTCCCTCCAAAGCTATCGAGACGGCTTGGAGTCAAAGTGTCTTTCGGGGTTGTCTCCTCCGATCTGCCATGCCCAACTTCATATTCTTATGGCCTCATGGCCTTGAGGGCACGACTATCAAGACGACTCGGGTTGAGTACTACGTGACGGAGCGGTATGCTCCGACCAACCATGACGAGACAAAAATTGGGTAAGGGATGATCGGGAGGTGATTACTCGCTGAATGGGCCGAGTTGATTTTAGGTCGATGCCGATGCGGGGAAGGTTTCTGCGGCCAGGCTCGTGCCCTCAATTCTGTCTTTTGGACAGCATCCCCTTAACAAGGAAGACGACAATCGTGCCACGGGCAGTTGCACGGGGGTCGCACAAGAACGTCAAGAAGGCCGGTAACCCTGTGCCGGGATTGCGCCACTCCGCTCCTTTGTCAATCTAGATCGGTGTGATAGAAGAAAGCAGCAATTTGCTCCAAACTCAACCACAGACTCCGCGGTCCGGGGTCCGATAAGACTCGGGACGCCACCGAGATGTGGAGCGCTCCTTGAATATTGTGGGGGGATGTCCGAAGGCCGAAGTTGGGGAAGTATCTCCGGGATGTAGTGAGCACTGTCAAACCTCATTTGCGGTCGGAAATCTTCCGATTTGGGCTGCCTTTGACCAGGATCCTACTCGAGGGGGTTAGAGTCAATATATTTAGTAATGAATTATGTATGGGGTACCTTTTACCACACAATCCATGTGGGTTGCGGTGAAATGATCTCGGCGTGTGAGTGGCATGCAGAAGGATTCAACTCAAGTGGCGGAGAAAGGGAAAGATGGCGGTCGGGATTGACAGCGGAGAGTGTGAGCCGACCATATTGAAACAGCTCATTCGTACAACTTCAGCGTACTTTTCAAGTACCACGGCCATCAACTAGAGTCCACACACCACCTCTCCGTGTACACAATCCCGTCCATGATCACACCGCTCAGATCGTGCGACAGTTGCTTGCTTGCACTGCGTTCAATTGCGCGAATTACTCGAAAGTTCGCTCAGGGTCCATGGATGGGTATATGGATATCAGGAGCTCTCAAGGGCATTTTGTCTGGTATCTGGTGGAAAAACAACAAATCACGGTTGATGCCAAAGAATTAGGTTCGGAGACAATGGCATTCATCACCGTGACTGCCATATGACTATCTCTGCCCGGGCCCGTACCTTCCGGAAAGCAAACAGTCTCGCTGCAACTCTACCTTCTTGCCATTCTATTCCCAATTCCCTTTATACTCCCAGAAAATCTCATCTAAAGCCCAGCTATCGTTACTCCTCACGTCCTTGAATTCTTCAGTCCTGAACAAGACCAACACAATGGTATCGGAGCCACTCCGTATCGGTGTCCTCCTCGTCAATTGCGTTCAATTGCTGGATCTGGCTGCCTTAGACTTGCTCTACATGGCTAGCCCCGAGTGGCTTGAAGATGTTGGAATGCCAAAGCATTTTGCTGACCTTGGTCGCCCATGCGAGATCCGCTACATCACTCGCGATGGCCCGGACACGATGGCCTCCGTCACATCAGAACTTTCCATCCGAGTCAACAGCTCAATGAAGGACTCGGTCGTTGCACCCGGCAACTTGGACATCCTGTTCTTGCCAGGTCCTTCTCCCCGGGTGATGCCACCCGCGGAAGAGTATCTGGACTTCATTCGGAGGCACGATGCAACGGGGACAACAATCATGACCATTTGCACTGGCTCATTGGTCGCTGCACACGCAGGCATCACCAAGGGCAAGATCAGTACCTCACCTCGGTTCCTAATTCCATATCTTAGAAAGGCCTTCCCTGATACCAAACTCTGGGATGACACCCTGCGGGTTACACGCGATGGAAACCTTTGGATGTGCGGTGCGTACTGACCGTGGACGGACTCCCTCTTTCACTCTGGCTGACTCCTACATAAGGTGGTATTACCAATGGTCATGACTTGGTGGCTGAGTATCTTCGAGAAAACTATCCCGCTCCACTCGTCAATACAGTCCTCGGTGCGGCAGATGTTGCTCCACGGCCCCTTCAATATCAGACCACGGCGACTCGTGACTCAGCTTTCTTTGTGTGGCAGATCATCAGGGCGATTCCCAGTTCGATTTTGCGGATGCTTACTGCTCATTGAAATGTGCGTCTCCATGGCCAGGGAAGAGCTGTTGAGTGCTGTTAATTATTTTGGTGGGAATTTCGGCACGATGTGGCACCGATCGATTGCCTTACTCTATTAGAAGCCGATCAGCAATTCTCTTGCTGACGATCCAACCGGGCCAAAGTGTCGTCTATGAACAAGCAATCTCTTGCTGAGTGGGTACTGTATCTCTTTCAACGCTAGCGGGGGGCTGAAAAGAATGTAGCACTGCTAGGCAATGACCAAGACTCGTATGGATTACCACTTGAGTTTGTCAAACACTCTCGGTCTAATAGTCCTTTTCCACAGAGGACGGCCCTCTCTTTCTTCGATAAGTAGGGTATTCGGGACCCAACATGGGAGAGTGTACAGTACTTCCAAACTTAACTACGGAAGACTTATAAGAGGAACACCATGTTTCTTGCTCTTGTTGGAACAGATCTCTTTTGACGCTTTGAACCGATTCTAATAGTTTGATATCAGAAATGCGACTGACGTGATTTTGAGTCGAAACAGACCAGACATAGGCCTATGTTTGTACTCGTATGGTCAGACACTAGTCTTTCCAATAAGCGAGGTAGGTAAGCACAAAGTCAACCCGAGGTTGTTTGTTCTTCGCTTAGCTTTGGTGTTCTTACCCTTCAGCCTCTAAAACTTAATGGACCCTGGAGCCAAGCCATTTATGGTAACGCCAGGCTTGGTCATGGAGGCACATACAGCCCTGGTGATAGATTCCGGTAAACTAATGAACTTCTGTCACAGTTTCAGGGTCTGGAGTACGGTATCCCCTCCGTTATATGAGGTTCCTAGTGGATTAGACCTTCAGAATTTAGTCTTCTCGAACCCTAAAAACTCTATCGCAAAATACGACCTGATCGAGCGACTGGTGCCTGACGTGCCTGGGACTCATCGAATGGGAAACGAGGAATCTTGTAGTCTAGTTTAAAGCCATCATTGTTACTCGATGTTATACCATGTTCGCTTATATTTGGTGGCTTCCGTCGACTTTTGGTTCACCCCACGAAATACGAGATGTAGCCGCTGATGGTCTCCGAGAACCATTCACGAAGCTGAAAACACGAGGAGAATCAGATACAAATTTGACTTCAAACATCTCTCGGAAATTTACCCTTGAGGGGTTATGACCAAACGGCGCCGAGGCGGCATTCTAGATGTCAAAGACTATATATGTCTTGCGGACGACGCTCCTCCTATGGTCTGAGTCTCCTAACACCATATACACTCTTTTCAATTTCGATCTTTCCAAAGACCGTCCACTCGTTCAGACTATATTTGATTTCATCCATTCCATTCGCTCATTTACAACCATCCATCAAGATGTACAAGCTTGCACACATCCTTTTCCTCGCCCCTGCCGCTCTTGCCGGCCTGGTCACTCCGCTTCATGAGCGTGAAACCGCCTGTGAGGCGCCTTTGACCCTCTGCGGCTCTACCTGCATCGGTCCCCTCGATGTCTGCTGCCCTGCTGCTCCCAACGGTGAAATCATCGGCTGCAGTAGTACTGATAACTGCTGGATCAACCCGGACAACTCCCCCGGTTGCTGCCCTCTCTTCCGCACCTGTGCTGGTCAGAAGGCTGGCAGTGGGGTGTTCCCGACTCTTCCCAGTGTCACTCTTCCTACTGCTACTCCCGTTAGTCCGCCTCCCACTATCAGCAGCGAGCCTCCTCAGCAGACCACCACTGTTAGCAGCTCCTCCATTGCCACTATCTCGACCGTAAAGTCCGTCACCCCGCCTTCTTCCGTTCGCCCTAGCAGCACCAAGCCTGTCAAGAGCTCGACTCCCTGTGTTTCGGCTTTGGCATCTGCTTCTGCTACTGGCTCTGGTTCGGGTTCCGGCTCTAGCTCTGGTTCTGGCTCGGGATCCCACTCTGAGTCCGGCTCTGCTTCCGCTTCGGCTTCTCCTCTGTTCAACGGTGCTTCATCTTCCGGCGGCATCTCGATTGGCGGAATCCTGGGCGCTGTGGCTCTGGGATTCCTCTTGTAGGTGCTTATGGCTGACACAGGGATTCTGTGATATGACAGTACAAGAGCAAAGGTGCCCCCTGGTTTGCTATTGCCCTTATAACTTGAATATAGTTATAGAGTCTCCGTGTATTATCAAGATCCTATTAATCATTGATCATAGTTACTGGTTCTACCTTGAATTTCTCTATGGTATTCTAGTCCACTATCTGGACGCTTGTCAACACTGTATGCGTCATCTTTGGTGACTCGGCCTTTCCGATGCTCGTATCTGTCGTGCATTGTCTACCTGTGTTATGGCTTTAATTGCCTTGTCAATTATCAGAATTCTTTAATTCTTTTTTTGGATCGTGGTCTCCCAATCTGGCATGCGAATCTCAAATTAATACGTTCATCTGCAAGAAATGCCAGGATATTCGAGACCTACACAGGGAATTCATCTAGAAGGATAGCGGTGAGCACATTACTATTGAGGGAAATACTGACCAGTAGAATCTCGATGTACAACCACCAAACGGGATTGGTTGAAATCAGGACTGCAGAGGTGACACAACGCTATGTCGGAGCCTACTCTAGGACAGGGGTCTGAAGAGACCCACCAACGTTGGACCCTTTTTACCCACTTACCTCCAGGAACACGAGGACGAATGAAATGATTTAGCTAAGAAAGTAGCCAAGAGACACAAGCCTCCAGTGGATGATGGCTCCTATTGGACGCCCCGACCATATACTTTCTCTGTTCTCGTATTTCCGACCGGAGCTGTCGTCGATCTCGATCTGAGCTGGAGGACCCTTAATTTTTGTAATTCTGTTGCCTCGCCAATCTTTTTAGCCTCATCGCCAGGATTAATTACACACGGACGAGATTGTACTACTTCACTTTTGGGTTCCTGAAATTTTCCCATACCCGCCAGGTAGAACAGCTAAAACCATTTCAGAGAAGTTTCGGAGAAGATGGCATGGTGGGATGTGACTTTACCAAGCAGCCTCACCAAGTTGTTTCTCATCGCCAATTGCGCACTGCTCGCATCAGTAACTGCAGAGCCAAATGTCGTCTCGCTGCCACTTCACAGGAACCAGCGTCGCTCGATCGTTAAGCGCAGTCACGCAAGTGCCTCATTAGAGAACGACTACATCGACGGTTTATTCTGGGTAAATGCGACCGTGGGTACACCAGGCCAACTAGTACAGCTTCAAATAGACACTGGAAGCAGTGATATCTGGGTATTTGGAGTACGTTCATGCACCGAGTCTGTCTCGGGGTGCCTCGGTGGCTTTTGTGAGTGCCAAATGCCTTTTTCTTGTCATTGTTGCTTGTATTCTCCTTGAACTTGGGCGAATAATGGCTGATACTTTGCTTTTGAAGATGATGGCTCTGAATCAAAGTCCGGTCGGGTGATTGATCACGGTGGTTTCAGCATTTCCTATGTCGATAACTCCGGAGCGATTGGAGACTATATCTCGGACGACTTTGCGATCGGCGATATCACCGTCAAGGATATGACTCTTGCCGTTGCTACAGAAGTACAAGATGCTACTACGGGTGTTATGGGCATTGGCTTTGCTTCGGGCGAGTCGATAGTTGGCAGTGGTGGCAAGCCGTACAAGAACCTCGTCGATATGATGGTCGACCAAGGTCTTATCAACTCTCGTACATACAGTCTGTGGCTCAATGATGTTGGTAAGTCAGGAAGGAAGGATTTCATACAACATGATGAGCCCACTATAGCTAATGGCTGATTCTAGGTTCTGAAACCGGGAGTATCTTATTTGGTGGTTATGACAAGGGCAAATTCAAGGGCGAGCTGATTGCGATGCCAATCCAACCAGACGCGCAATCCGGCCAAATCACATCAATGACTGTCGCTTGGACCTCTTTATCAATTACAGATCCCACCCAAGGCACTCAAACTCTCACCTCAAGAAGCTTCGCGCTACCAGCTGTACTCGATTCAGGCACTACACTTACCTACGTCCCGCCAGACCTATACAATGAAATCGCCTCGTTTGCCAATGTGATGTCGTTTGAGGGCATGGAAACGGGTCTTGTCGAGTGCGAGGTCATGCAGGAATACAAAGGCACTCTAGACTTTGGCTTTGCTGGCTCTGGAGGACCAGTCATCTCAGTGCCCTTTTCAGAACTATCCTACCCATACACAGATGACACTGGAACCCCTCTATCATTTGACAACGGCAACACGGCATGCTATTTTGGACTTGCTCCGACCCAGGATAGTACCCTGATTCTTTTGGGAGACACTTTCCTTCGCTCAGCATACGTGGTGTATGATCTTGACCGTAAAGAAATCGCGATTGCGCCAACGGTATTCGACAGCGAAGTTACGAATATCGTGGAGATTGGTGGTTCAGGATCATCAGCTACCCCAACGTGGCATGTTGCAAGCTCAGTCACCGTTGTACAGACGGCAACAGGTCGGCCGCAAGAACCAGGTCTATTCGCCTCTGTAACTTTTACTGGTCACCTCTCCTACACAAACACGGGCAACGGCTTCCACATTCCAACTGCCTCTCCATCGGGTGGTAGCGGTCAGTCACCAAAATCATCCAAGGGTGCTGCAACTTTGACAAGCGGCTCTGGGATCCTGGCCAATATTGTCGTCTGCGCTGCCTCTGCATTGATTGGTGCAACTTTCATTTTCGCCCAATGAAGATTAAACGGTCTACAATCTAAATGACATTTGGCCTTTCGTATTTCGAGTCATCTAAATATGGAAGTTGGACAACATACTAGAATAGGAACCATCATTATCAGGTGCGTCATGGGTTACCGATATATACCTCAAGTTATGACTGCATATATATGAAATCTACATACATTTTGGCCGGCATGGGCTGGCTAGAAAAGGAATTAAACTGCAAGGTCATGTTATTTAGTATCATAAGAAGCCAACAGCCGAAGTTCGTATTTCTGTGGGTCGGATCCAGGGAACTGGTGTCGGAAAGGTTAACAGGGTTCCTGTCTGGCGCTTACTCAGTTGGCCATGGTTTTGTCGATAATTTAATCTGAGACATGGCTGAGAGCAAGGCCGTGCCCTCTTTTGATTTCTATGTATTGGGCCGGCCAAAAACATCAATCTATGCCCATGACTCCCCTAATACATTCGTATTTGACCCCTCAATCCTATATCTCGTTTCATTTGCAATATTGCCAGATGGATCAAATACTTTTTTTATTTGCTAGTTTATTCTCATAACGTGATTGAGCAATCTAATTGATCTTGCTGAAAAACGGAAAGGAAAAAGAAAAATACTTATACATGGATGTGCTTCGAACGCCCCGGGCCCTGACCCAGCTCCCAGATCATTCAAAGAGGCTGATCGTATCACGAATTCTTCCAGCAATTACACAAGATATGGTAGAATTGATACAAAAAAGGTTATCTTTTCCGAGGTTTCAAAGATCAACATGTCACTTTTGGGGCAGAAGTGATTTGGTGGCGTCCTGTTCGCCGGTGTCGCCCGACGGTCAAAGTATGACAGAACGTTGCCGCGCCAAACGGGTCATAACAAGGGGAACCAAGTGATAGTCATTCTCAGCGGCGACGCTGCACGCAGTAGACAATTAGGAGGACCCAGGCTATGAACTTCGAAAGACCACCGAGGACAAGCATGGCTATGCCGCCATTGTACATGCCGATGTTGCCTGCAAAGCAGGAGTAGTCGTAGGTATAGTCGCCATAGTAGAGTGCAGAAGTACAAGTCTTGTATCCGGCAGAAAGATAGGCACCGACAAGCGCGCCGCCGATGATGAAGAAGAGAACAGCAGAAATAAAGAACCCAATGCACCACCACTTGGAGATGGTCTTGCGAGGCGAGCTGTAAGGAGCGTTGTATTGATCCATATTGGATGGTGGTTGGAGTGAAGAAACAAGGGAATGTAGTATGAAGAAGATTCAAAGGAGGGACTCTTGAGAGATTAGAATATTTGAAAAGATGGAGGGGACACTAAATACTCTTTGAGGCTCGTCGTAAGGTTTGTGGGCAAAAAGAGGAAGAGGCGAAATACGAGGTCGCTAGTGCGATAGCTCATCGATCAGCGTGGCCGGGCCCCGTCAACACGAACTTGGCATACAGGGTTCGTAATTTAATTTTAAATGAAACATGACAGCCAACGGGCATGAAAGAGTGGAGTGTATTGATGGAAAAATCTTGAGCGAGACCTTTCTATAAGAATAAGTTCCCGGTGCGCTAATCAACGGATAGTTCTATTGAGATATTTGTGCAGATCTTTCCCACTATTTAAGACCGTCAGGTTTAATTCAAAAAAGATATTCTATCTAGAGAGGCTAATGAAAGGCTCCAATCAGGGGGGGGTTTAACTGAATTGAAGGCCGAGACTCTTAACTATCGAGATATTTGATTCACTGTCACCTTCGAGGTCATTTAGAATGGGCAGCCCCCTAGAGCCTGCGAGCAATCATTATGCTCTTAGTCATGTTTATAACGCCTAACTATGTAGATCTCGTTCATCGGGATATTTGCAGATACCAGTCATATCTGGCTGCAGCTAAACTAGGTAAGCTGAAGTTGGAGGAATGGGAAAAGGTGATACCATGGAGGTTCATACACTAATTCGCAGCACATTTTTCTCGGTCTTTATATAACCTACTGTCTAGATTAAGCAGGGACCTTTTACACTCCCTCATCATAGCTTCCTCATGGTGCAGCGGTATTTTCAATTAATACGCAAAGCTTTAAGCTTTGCTTGACTACACGCTATGTTTTTGCTGCGAAGTTTCTAGCGTACACGAGGAAATGCTAACGATGGGGGAAACTTCCCTTTCGGACCTTCAAAGAACAGGAGCCTTATTTATTCTTTATGCGACGCCTCACACCTTACCTATTCAACTTGCTTCTTGCTCAGACTTCTCCTTGTTTCTCTCACCCGTGAGATTCACTTCCAAGGCCAGCCAACTTCATATCACTGACTTCTATCAATACAATGAACCGTACAAACTTTAGGCCTCTGCACCCACTGGTGTCATTCGTGCTTTATGAAAGGCGTCGCCAGTTCCGCGAGTCCGAGGCTTTCAACGAATCAATGTCACTCAACGAATACATTGCCAGAGCTGACCCGCTATTTTCAACCTCTCTCATTCACTGGCCTCCTCTCCCAGTAGAGACTCCATGTGGTGTGCTCAGAAACGAGCTCATTCGCATCTTGCCCGAGCTACGTTCCACACTGAGATCCCACGGGTTCCCTGACTCGCTACTAAAGACTGCACACCTCGTGTCTCAACGCATCTTCCCGCAGAATCCTGACCCTAATGAACACATCCCTCAAAGGCTTCTCCGTATCCATATTGATAGCCACCGTTATCTCCAAGCTCAGCTTGATACCTGCAGAGATGCCCTCTGGAACATGCTTCAACCCCTTGGGCACAGGGACGTCCACGTCGAACTTAGCTACAATACAAGCTTCACCAATGTCTATCTCTCCAGCGGGTCCAATACTGAAATGGCCAAGGTGAAGTTGGCAATTGAACTGGCTCGTGTGGGAATCTTGGAGATTTTTGAAGAGTATCTCCCGGGTAAGCTGGCGGGGTTGCTTCCATACCTTACTAGGCAGTATGGACTAGCCGTCCCCACGGTAATCGTGGCAATCCAACCCTCCAGTCATGCAAATTGGCTTAACCTGAGACAGCTCATCTTGCGGGAACTTCGAAAGTACACCAACATGTTTTTGGAGGTTGAATTTTATGGATATCATATGGTGGAGGAGGAGGTGCGAGGGATCTACTGTTTGGTAGCAACCTACGTCGTAGTTCATACGTGCTATTGCTAATGATAGGCTTTTCTTATGACAGAAGTTCCTCTTGTTCTTGAAAGCAGAAGTGATGAATCAATCTATTTAGCTTGAATCACGTTCGAATCAGGCGCTGGATCTCATGTTTCAGATACACGGCCCTCTAGACCCGTTAGCTTGGCAGACTTTGTGAAAGTAAAGTGTATTATCGAGAATCAACTATTTAGTTCCAATCGGATCGCCTACTCCAACCAGACACGGATCGCCCTGTGCATAGCATCCTGGAGCCAATCCTCCTCAAACCGAACAGGCCCATCAAACCCATGCTCGCCGTCTCGCAAAGTCAAAGTAACACCTCCTTCTTCACCGGATCGAGCTTTGAGGACCTCGTTCGCCCGCTCGACGAACTCTTCAACGTCGCCCAGCGGCACCACACTATCCTGACGTCCATGAAGCACCGCAATTCCACCCCGAGGAATCTTGAAATCGGGTTGCTCCAATCGAGCCATGGGATACAACACTTCGGCAGGCACACCCTCAGCATCACGCTGATAATACTTGGAGAGATATCCATGCTCGATAGCACCGAGCATGAACATCAAACTCTCGAGCGAGGTTATAGATGACTTGGCAGTACCCAAAACTGCGGCCTTGAAATTCTCCTCGACAACAGATACCGGAACGTGATTATCGAATGGTGCCCTCTCGCGCGTCTTTGTGAAAGAATCGGCATTCAGAGCCAGGCAGGGGTACGCAGCCGAGGCAGCACGGATTTCCTCTGGGTGTGCAAGAGTCAAGTACAGACTGAGCAGGCCGCCGGCAGATTCACCAGTCACAAAGATACGGTCGAGATCGAGCTTCGTGGGTGTTTTGTGGTTGGCCAGGAGATTGGCAAGAGCTGGAGAGCGCAGCCATGTCCAGAAGTCTTCCAGGTCGGTATAGATATCAGCGCTGGTCGCTTCGGGCAAAAGACGGTAATTGGGGCTGATGATGATGGCGTTTTTCTGGAGGGCGAGGTCGGATACCCAGTGTGGCCACCATTCCATGTTTAGGGAGTCACCCATCATCTGAAGATTGATTAGTATAGATGCTTTACTGAGGGGACTTTTGGACGACAAAATGACTTACCAAGCCACCGCCATGAAGGCGGACAATCAATGGCCTTGAGCCAGCATATTCATTTTGAGGAATCAAGATATCTGCCCGAATACCGTGGTCGCCAATGTGCTTATAGTTGGTTTGAATGATTTCGAAGCCATTCAGCTTCGGGTCCGAGGGAATGGCCATATTGAGGAAGAGTGTTTAGTATTGAATCGCTTATTGCAGAGAAGTCTTAATTCAGAAGAGCTGTCTTGTTTTTTCTCTGCCTTGCAAAATTGGTATCCAACATTTATATAGTCATAAAATCAGTCACTCCGTCCCCCAAAGCCTTGTGTGTGAATGTAACCCGAAGCGGCTTATGGTCATCAGCGCCGTTGGTCAGCCACAGCGGCATTATTAATAAAAGTGTCCGGTCAACGAACTTAAGGCCGAGTCGCCGAGTCTCGGACACATCCACGGCACTAACAATATTACCATGAGGCTCGTGCTGTCTCGGTCTAAACAACGATGGCAATTAGATAGCGGATGCGTAATCAAATCCCATAGACTAGTTTCACAGAGCTCGCACTCATCCCCCGAAAGAAGCTAATGCCTTCGAAGCATCTAATCTCCCCGTTATCCGATCGATCTCCGGTTGATTCTTATCGGGACGCTCGGACCAACGGTCTCTGGGGTCCGCCAGGAGAAACTAACCGCCAGAGTAGTGCAGTACCGGAGTCAAACACGGATAACCAGCTCCGACAAGCTCCTATCACATTTCACAATGGATCCAGACGCCAGTATCCCTGGCGACCCTGAGCCCTCCGTCTTCAGCTACGTCCTCTCCTTCCTCCTCGTCGGCGTCGCATGGGGCTTCACCACCCCCTTTATCCGCCGCGCGGCCGCCGACTTCAACGCGCGACAGGAGAAGCAATCTGACAGCGCTACTTCCATTTCCGACCGCGGGCGGTCGCATACACAGTCGCCAGTCGAGCCGGCGCTGAATGGGGAAGAAGAGCAGCAGGAATTGCTTCCTCAGTATGAACAGGATGGTGAGGGTGTGAGGAGGACGAGCGGGAGTCGTCAGCGTGAGGAGGCTGGTCGTTTAGCTGGGGAGGGCCAGGAGGGAGATGTAGATGCTACCCCTGCGCCGGCATGGATGCAGTCTTCGGACCAGCAGCAGTCTTGGTTAAAGGCGAAGATTGTCTCGATCTTTTGGACTGTTGTCAATCTTCTTCGAACGCCGGCGTATTCGATTCCCTTGGTGATCAACTTGACGGGCAGCATTTGGTTCTTCTTGCTTGTTGGAAAGCATGGTATGTTGCTACTCGTTGTCTTTTCTGTCATGGAAGGAAGTCCATGCTAATCGTTCTGCTGCTTAGAACTCTCCCTTACTGTGCCACTAGCCAATTCAAGCGCCTTTCTGTTCACGGTGCTTGGGGAATGGTATGTGGAGCGCAAGGTTATTGCCAAGGAGACATGGCTGGGCTTGATTCTGGTCCTTGGTGGAATTGCACTGTGTGTTCACTCGAAGAACCAGACAGTTTGATTGAAAAACACAGCATGCTTAGACACAATAGACTCAGACAGGTGCAGGCAGTCTCTACGGGCTCATGTACAATTCAGTCGAGCAGTTCATTCCTCCATATCAACGCCATTCAACACGTCATCATAGTAGCCAAGAAGAAATGTGATGATAAGAAAATCCGTGTCATATTCTCATACATATACACTAGGCCGGATCCATCCCGATACTTTATATGTCGGCTCCAGAGGCAAACAAGTCAAAAATCGAAAACAACACGCCAATTACATAACCACTGGGCCAAAAAAACGAACTGCCAGTAGGTTAAAAAGGTTCATCACACACATATTACATGTCCAGATTCATATCCTATTTCATTTCCATTTCCCATTCTTCATTTTCCGTACCAGACCGGACCCGCCGTGGTATCAAGGCAACGCAACGCTCCATATCAACTCAAGGTGGGGGAATATATTGTAAATGACAGGATGGAAGTAAGGCTGAACGAAGCACAATCGTCAAACTTGAGGAAATGCCGAAACTCAAACGCCGCGGAACTGTAGCCAGTTAGTAAACGTATACCCAGTATGACCATTCAGCAACCAGTGAGACTCACCAACCGAGCCACCAAAAACCACATTGCACCTATAAATTTGAACATTGAAAGTCCGGCCACGGACCATAGGACAACCTCCATGTAAATCAACGACCGCTCGGTCTGAGTAGCGTCCTGGTTGGTACTGCTGGTGGTCGACGTGTTGTCAAAGGTCTCCAAACCAGCGGCACTCAGAACGACAGCGCCAAGTGCGAAATTACAGAACACCCAAGCCAATACGACAGCACTTCGGAACCCCTTGTAATAGTCGGCCTGGCGTTCCTCTTCCGAAATGTTTTGCACTTCCTTGGGAGGCTTGGTGGCAAATTTGGCCACCTCGGCCTCGTATTGAGCATTCAGATCACCATCGTCCTGGGGAATGTTGACATCAACCTTACCACCGGGCTTCAAGGTAGCAGAAGGCAGCTTCTCAGCCTTGTCGTCACCCTTGGTACCCCATGTGATATCGTGGGTGTTGCAGAAGGCGTAGATGTTGAGAACGTTAATGTAGGTCGGGGTGAGGAGGATGTATTGGATGAACTGGGGGCGGGTGTAAGTATGGTTCAAACATGAAAAAAGAATGCGAAGGAGAAAAACATACCGAGGTGAACATATGCCATGGGTCCATAAAGATGAATGAGGCAAGAAACCACATGACGTACGTCGAACCAAGTGACACAATGATCGAGAAGAACGTTTTGTTGGTAAACAACTCGCTGACCGAGAAACTATTCGAGGCCACCTCCGTCTGGATAGACTTTACCGTGACGAACACTGCCGCGAAGGACAGGTAGATCATGATGAAAATCCAGAAGTACACCATGGTCATATAAAACTTATTCGAACCACCAGGGCGATTACCCAGAGCGAGGACGAAGCAAGTAACCAGGGTGGCGAGATAGAGCCATTCGAATACGATACCGAGAACCTTACCAGCCGTACCCAGGAGTTCATCACTACCCAGGTAGGTGGTAAGAATGTGAAAGACCAGGAAGAAATTACCAATTCCGAACCAAGCGAAGATCATCGCAATCGTTTGATAAATGAACTCGATCATTAGCATGAACTTGCGAAGGAAGCTGTGATCACTGCGGAAGATCTGGTAGAAGTGGGTGATGGCGTAGACAGCAGCGAAGAAACTACCATTCAGCCAACGACGACGCTGCAGAATGAATTCGGCCATGCGGTCGGGCACATCAGTTTCGCCCGTGGATGACTTGACGTAATGCAGGAGCCAGCGACACTTGCGCTTGGACACAATCTCGAAACAAAGAATACGGTCCTCGGCCAAGTACATATTGGCCGTAAAGATACCGGCATTGGCACCATGCATCTTCTCTCCAAGGAAGTAACGCTCGAGCGGACCCTGTCCGTTCTTATCGTTCTGAAGGGCAACAAAACGGTAGGCAGAGAAAGCACCGGGCAAGACGGAGATGAAACCAAAGGCCGATTCCAGAGGCTTGTCAAGGATATTGCTGAGCTTGTACTCAAAGTTCTGTCCAGCGACCAGTGGATTGAGGAGCTTCTTGCCATGCGATAACATGACCTTGATCTCACCACAAGCACCACCACACATTGGGTCCACGTCGAAGGCCTTCCACAAAAGGTAGATCGAGTCTTTGCCAGGTTTGGTACCAGCATCGAGCAGCACACAGATGTTCGGGTCCAGCACACGCCCAAAGGCCTGGAAGAACCAACGGTGCGAATTGATCTTCTTCTGGTTCTTCTCCTTCAGACAGAAAATCATCTGCACGGGAGGGCCCGAGCGAGGCTTGAGGTGAACCTGGGTACCCTTGACCTCGAGACCGACCTGAGTTGTGTATTCATAGATATGCGCCGTCACGTCCTTTCCGTTGACCTGCTGCTTGGCGATTCCGTCCTGGTACACACCTAGACCGGCCAGCACGGCACGGGTCCGGGGGTTGATCTTCGCACGACCGTCACTGATCACGCAAACCACAATCTTCTTCCATGCATCCTTGCCCCAGGTTTTGCTACTGGTGCGCGAGCACATGTGATCGATGTTCTTGAACACACCGGACATTGTACGGGCGAACAAGAAGTCGTCTTCATTGTACATGGTCACCACAATGAAGAGCTCAGTGTGACGTGGCTTTGCGAAGAGCTTTTGGCGCAGTGTGAACCGCTCCTCGAAAAAGTCCGCCGGGTCGCAAGTCGCAGCGGAATAACGCATGTGGGTGAATTCATCGCGTCCAGGGGGTTCTGCGTGGGGTACCTGGCTGAGCAGTTTCGGGGCAATCGGGCAATCAAGAACAAGATTGCCGTTGAAGAGCTGGACTTCCTTGACCGTCTTCCATCGTTTGATAGGAGCCGGACTAGGGGTCGGTCGCGGTTCATCCTGATACTGTGCGTCATACGGGTCCGGCCCGAAGGGATTATCGGCTTGTAGCATGGGCGCATTATCGTCAAAGGGGGTGTGGCCACCCTCCGGGTACTGGCCTAGGTCATAATCATCGTGGGGCGTGTGCGCCGGCTCGTAGGGTTGTGTATAGTATGCGTCATGGTGGGCTTCGGGATCAACCGTGTAGTCTTGGTGGTAGCCGTAGGGCTGTGCACCAGCATGTCCTTCGTAGGCTTCCTGGTGGCCGTAGGAATTGTGAACATTTTCGACGGAGTACTGGGAAATTGGGCAGATTGATCAGTCAAAATGTCTGCTATCAACGCGCATGAAGACACTGCAACTCACTGTGGGTTGCTCGGCAAGTCGATCGCTCGACGGCATAGGCAGGTGGCCCTGATGTCCATAAGGGTTGTCATGGAGCTGGTAGCTGTCCAGTGGTCGCCCTGGGGACGGTGTGCGATTGTTGTAGCTGTTCACATGGTGAGGGTCCATCATGGGCGAGCGGTTCTCGTCCCCAAAGGGGTCTGGAGGCGGCATGTCAGCGTGCTTCTATTCCACAGGCGATCGATAGCAGGGTGCAAATCGCAGGCCCGTGATCGTTCAAATTGCGAGGCAACCATGTATGTACTACCAATGGCCAGCACCACAGTACACGTTCTGTCTTTGTGCAATACGCAACTCGTGCCAGCAGAGAGATTGAAGAAGATGGAAGAAACATACCAACGCGATTGTAGGCCATGGCGCCTAACACCTAAGCCTCGGTTTTGAGTTGAGGAAAGATCCCGCCCCTAAGGCTGCTAGCAGGGGGGATACGTCAGCTGGAGATTGCGCCAGGAGTCCCAGGTGGAATGGCCTGTGTCGAGTGGTGAAAGGATCCCTAGTCCGAGCGACAGACCCAAACTCTCGGCGGCGTTTCAGAATGGACGATTAGCCCCAAGCGAAATTGATGAGAGGACCAGGCAGATCTGGAGATGGCGTGAGATCTTCGCTGCACGAAAGGACTGGAGCTACTGAGTATAGGGGAAAGTGGTTGCAGAGGACAGGGCGAAATGCCGAGACGAAAAAGATCTCCCCTCTTGTTTGGTGTTTACAACGCTTTCAAGGCCGATCGCAACGATGACGGTGGAGTGGGAGGCAGACGAATAGGCGTTCATGCGCAGACCCGCACTGCCCGTGGATAATCGCCGAGTTGCAGGGCCCCAGGTAGCTCGATTACGAGGGTATTTGCAGTCAATAACGACGCGGGTGGGGGCGCAAAAAATCTGAATCTCAGCAATCAGCAATTGATAGGGCTATCTATAGCCGTTAGACAAGCTGCAAGGAGACTGGGCTCGTTTGAATGCCAAAGCTGAAACACACGATCCACGGGTTGAAGTTGAAGTCATGAGAGTTGCGGGCCTTGACCGCCTTGGAGCTCATCACAAGATTTCTCCACTCGGCCATCACTGGGCCAACGGGAGGCACGGACGCCACACTCCCGCCACGGTTCTTCATCGACTGCGCTGCGCCCCCTGGCTGTGGCGGGGTCGGACCATACAATGCAGCAGGGCAAATGCAGATTCTTATTCTTGTTCTTTTTTTAGTTGAGAGCTGCTGATCTTGGCCGCAGTAGAGAGAATGTCCCGAGTGGTCTATAGCAGAATACATCTGCAAAGCACCAAACATTCTCATTATCCATTTCAGGCAAAAACATCGCTGCCTGTTTTTGACAGCGCGCCACTGTCTCATATCGCTATGAATAGATTCTACCCCAGATTTCTCTACTGTCGAACAGGCCATACGTCACCCAAATTCGTTCATATTGCAATTGCAGGTCATTCATTAGGTAGGTGGTCTTCTTATCAAACAAATATAAGCGCACTCAATCTCATATACTACAATACTGTTTCCCGGTTGAGGTGACACAATCTCCACAATATATTTCCATAATCTTGAGCCACCACGGGAGATAAGGCGGAATGCCTTCGCTGATATAACCCAACACTTTGCTACTCCCCTTAAGATTACAGTGTAAGCAGCCTAGACTTTCAAGATAATCTACTCCTATCGCCAGTAAATAAGTACTTGGGTTTTTTCTAGAATTGTCCAATTATCCTCAAATCATGATTGCTTAGTCCGACAAGGCCGCAGATCACCTAATAAAAGTGTGAACGATAAGGGCAGGGCCTACCCTATCGATAACAGCCCCCCGCCTACTGTCTAACCAAAAACCCAGTAACTATTGCAGCCCCGTTCATACCAGTCACTTTCTTTCTCCAAGCCCTTGCACAGCCTCCAGTCATGTCTTCCAATTCCACCGAACAACGGCCCGTCAGCGTTCTATTTGTCTGCCTGGGCAACATCTGTACGTAACCCCACAAGACCCCCCGCCAACCTTGGCAGTCCCCGTTTGGTCTCTATGCCTGCCTGCTGACGCACATCTTTTCCCAGGCCGGTCGACTATGGCCGAGGGTGTCTTCCGGAATGTCGCCGATGCCCATCCTATAATTGCCGATATCGACTCCGCCGGAACGGGCGCCTATCACTGCGGCGAGGGCCCCGACAGCCGGACCATGTCCACCCTGCGCCGCCACGGAATTACCAACTACAGTCACGCCGCTCGCAAGGTCACCAAGGACGATTTCCTCAAGTTCGACTATCTCCTTGCTATGGATAAGTCCAATTTGCGCGATCTGCTGGATGTGCGCGAGTCGGTCATGTCATCGCTGCGACGCAAGGCTGATCCCAAGTCAGCTGCGAAAAATACCCGTGCTGCGTCAGAAGCGGCCATTGGCGCTCACGGCGTGGATGCGCGGGTCGCTGAAGTGCGGCTCTTCGGTGACTTTGGCAAAGGTGGGAAGCTGCATGCCCGTGTCGGCGGTGGTGAAGTAGTTGAGGACCCTTACTATGGCGGCGCCAATGGGTTTGAGGAGGTTTACCAACAGGTCGTGAGATTCTCCGAAAGCTTTATCGACTACCTTGAGAGCCAGCAGTAGGGCATGGATTATGCGACGGATTTGTTATCTCGCAAATGAGTGTTGTAACATGTTAGATTTGGACCAAAAGGTGGGAGCTTTCTCTGCAATGATACCCTGCTCTTGGTAAGACGTGACGTTTGATGAAATTTATGAAGGCTTTGAAACGGAAACTTAGATTAGACAACGGGGATTTTATGGAATGGAAGCAAATGTACATTGAAAATAGTTTACATGATATTGATACATATCCATTATATAGATTTGGAGACCCGATCACGTTCTGGCATTTCGCAGACCGAGAACTCTTCCTTCCCTAGATCTTTTCGCTGATTTTAATGGCAGTTCTGCAACCAAGACGAATAGCATCCACCAAAGGATCATAGGGTTTGGCTTCCTTGGAGTCGTTGGCCACGGCATGATCCAAATGCTCCAACTCCTCATCGCGAATCCTCCGGAAGATCGCCACCATTTCCTTGAGCTCTTCATCAAGCTCTTCCCCTCGCCGTTCAGCTTCAGCCTCCCATGATAGGATTTCCCTCACTTGGTCGTTGTAATGTGTTCCAATCTCGGTTTCCACTGCCTCGGTGCATGCCATTGCCGCCTCGCGACCTAGGGCCGCGGTCGACCATCCCAAGAACGTGGCCGCAACCTCCCATATCGGATACATTGCAGTTGGGCGGACTTCATGCTTGGCCACGAGATTGTTGAAGACCTTCAGGTGGCCAGCTTCTTGGTCGTACATGTGTTTCATCAAAGGCCGAAGGTGTGGGTGAGATCGGACGACTTGCGGGGTTTGCGCTTTATAAATCAGGGTGGCGGCGAGTTCACCAGCTTGATTGACACGCAGTGCACTGTCCAGGTACTCGCGCTGCCTCTTGCTGAGAACATATCGCGGCTTGGAGGTCCCGGCAGACTCGCTAGTGGAAGCCGGTCGACGCTGGCTCTGGACGGTGTTTGGGGCGAGGAAATCAAGGTAAATCGGAGATGAGAGGCTGGCTGAGCGCCGGAACTGTGCAAGAGCACCTCTTCGTAGTGTAGGTAAAGCCTTCATGGTCTGCAGCTGCATGGTATTGCTCCTAACTGTCGAAGTCCAAGTCTCACGCCACCGGGCAAAATGGTCTTGGCGCCAGCCGCGCGCTTGCGGTCTTGGCGCCCGGACGTCATGAACCGACGGCTAAGGCCAACTTGCGACGAAGTTCTTCGCTTTTCAGCCTATCCCTTCGCCTCCTTCGTTTGTCGCCGTTTGTACAGTTTGCCTCCTTGTGTCGTGGTTTCTGCCTAGACTAACAGAAACGCGTCAACTGGTTGATTTTGACCCCAAGACTCGGGGGTCCTGACTATTTGCGACTCCTTGTCAGGAGGAATTTCACCAAGAGCCTTCAGAAGTTTCGAGATTGCTTTGATTGAGAAGAAACATTTATAGGGTATTGGTCGCCTACTATATACAACTGGGTTGGTGAAACTGGTACAAAGGGACATCAGGCACTCACAATGGCGGACGATTTGGACGCAGAGCTTCTGGCTCTGGCCGGTGACTCTGAGGAAGAACATTCACCTCCTCCTCAAAAAGATGATTCCCCAGAGCCTTCTCCTTCCCCACGCTCATCCGACCGCGATCAATCACCTGAAACAATGGGGCGCAAAGGAACCGCGAAGCCTTCCCGCCGTGGGAAGAAGCCTCTGAGAGACGACGAGGACGGTGAAGTGTACGCTGCCTATCATTTTCACCTGGAACCGACGAGAGAGCTCTCACTGATATTGTCCCACTTTTCAGGTCCGAAGCCGAGTCCCACGACTCCCTCCAATCCGCACCTATGTCCGAGTCTGACTCCGAAGCTGGAGAAGCCAGTGATGATGAGGATCGACCCATCTTTCCGTACGACAAACTTTACTACTCTGCAAAGGAGAAGCAAGAGATTATGGCCATGCCCGAGATCCAACGTGAAGAATTGCTATCAGAACGTGCTCAGCAAGTCGACCGCCACAACCAAGACCTGGCTCTGCGCCGTCTTCTAGCCTCTCGCGAGCGTGAAGAAGCGCGTGCCGCCGCCAAACAGGCCAAGCGCAAGGCGGGCTCCGCCGGCCTCGATGATACCCAGCGCAAAAGTTCCCGACAGAAGACCACCCTGGGCGGCCGCAAAGTGGGAGAGACCTCTGGCGCCATCGAGGCCTATAAGCGCCAGCGTGAGCAGAAGGGGAAGCGTGATGAACTCCGCCGCCGAGATACTGCGCAGTCGCGCCGTCGGTCTCGCTCTCGCGGTTCTGATGTCTCCGACGAAGATGGCGAGCTTGAGAGTGACCTTGAATTGGAAGACCGTCGCTCACCTTCGGTTCCCAAGGACGATCCTCCTGCCGAGCTCCGTGACATTCAGCGTGCTCGTGTCGGCCGGAGCAACTTCGCTCAGGTCTGCTTCTACCCTGGATTCGAGGATGCCATTACTGGCTGCTATGCTCGTGTCAACATCGGCCCTAACCACGAGACTGGCCTGAACGAGTACCGTCTTTGCTTGATCCAGGGCTTCACCACGGGAAAGTCCTACGCCATGGAGGCCAAGAATGGCCGTCCATTCATTACCGACCAGTATGCCAAGCTGGCCCATGGCAAGGCTGTGCGAGACTTCCCATTCATTGCTTGCTCCGACTCTCCATTCACCGAGGTATGTCACCCTGAGGCCGTGGGACAAGGGGTTCAGAAATTAACCTTTACAGGCCGAATACAACCGTTACCGCAAGACTTTGGCAGTCGAGGACTGCAAGTTGGCTACGCAGAGCAAGCTGGCCTCCAAGGTCGCAGACATCAACCGTCTCATTAACCACGTGTTCACCCCCGAGGAGATGAGCCGCAAGCTGCGCAGACAGGGTGTCCTGGACGAAGACACAAATATCCTCCGACGGGCCGATCTCGAGCGCGATATCAAGCTCGCCCGCGCCAATAACGACGAGGTGAAAGCTGAGCAGCTTCAAAAGGAACTGGATGAAATTGTGAACCCCAAGCTTTCCTGGGGCACATCCCTGATCAAGCAACAGTCTGGCTCTGAGAAGAAGCTCTCCGAAGCAGAACGTGTCCACCAGATTAACCTTCGGAACCAAAAGCTGAACTACGAGAACGTGCGCCGTGCTCAGCTCGAGGAGCGTAAGGCTGCTCGCAAGAGTGCCGCCGCCGTGGCTCGTGGAGAGGCCGCCCCGGATCCCTTTATGCGTGTTCGCACTGTTGCTAAGACACATCATGATGTTTCCGACAAGCCTAAGGACGCCACTGACGGCACACCCACCGATACCCCCAAGGAGTCGCCAAAGGTTGGCACTGATAGCCCCGCACGCGCGGTCGCCACCACTGGTGTCACGCCTAAGAAGCCTAAGAGCGGTTTCATGATCAGCTACCGCAATACGGATGATGAGAACATTGCGGCCTTGGATCTGGATATTGATATCGAGATCTAGATGACACGTTCTCATCGTTGCATTTTGTCTCATTAGACGATATGCTTTTCGGCTGGGACTCCCGGTCTCGAGGTACCACCTCATGTACACATAAGAGGATCTAGCTCGCAGCGGCTACAGAGGACGCGCTTTGCTATCATTTTCTTTATCCCTTTTTATTCTTTTTTCCCTTCTGTCTTTCATCGCGGGATGGCGCAGGATTTTTGCGGCGGTTTCCCAGAAAATTTCTACGGGATAAACAATCTGTATCATGACCACAAAGGAAATGGAGCGTAAGTAGCACAGTCTTGCAGTACAATAAATCAATTTATAAAGGCATTAGGCGTTGAAGCGGGCTGTGGCTGTATTCCAGTAGCACTTTGATGTAAATAATATGGCTCCCACACTTTACAGATCAGCTACGTCTGCTTTGGACTCTGCTTTGGACTCTGCTTTGGACTCTGCTTTTTGACTTACTGAAGGTCTTAACAATCATGTAATACGTCGACACTACAGGCACCCTTTGGAAGGGCCGATAAGAAGCCGAAGAACAAATCCTCATTAATGTACGTAGATGTATCAAACATTATCCAATGTTTGATTCCAAGTTACGTAGAGGCCCAGCTGACCTCATCAAGCCGGAGATTGCTAAATCCCGTCAGCCGGCCCATGAATAATGGTCGTGTTTGGTTTCTCTGGGCTGTTTCTGGCTAGAAATGTCTACTTAGATGCCTTTTTTTCATATCCAAATTCAACCATTTCCTTCCTTCGATCTCCTCAAAAGCAGCCACATATACCAATGGCCACCGGAATCAGGATGACTATACTCGCCCTCACACCTGTGGCATCCAGAAGCTACATACACATCCTTTTCAGCGCTTGAACTTCATGTCCGCAAGTCTAGTTCGACTACTGGATTCCCAGATGCTCCAAGGAAAAGCTTAGTCTCTAGGGATGGACTACCCGACTACTGCTCATAATCTGCAGTCACGATTTCATGCCGCTTAGTACAAGAAATGGATTGTCTGAAAATGATGATTTTTACTGGTGTCTTGGTGAATGGATTTGGTATTTTACTTAGAGAGGTCCAAGTCCACACATACAGGGGCTGATGCGCTTCATCCCGTCTTTCCTAGCACTGCGCGAAACTTAACACGGGGCCGTTAGCTTCAACAGAACAATCCTCGATCAACACCTCGTTTCGCTTTCTTCGATGAAATTCTCCCGGATAAGGGCTGCCAGTCAGCGGACCTGTGGCATACCTGCCATCTTAATGTGCGATAGTCAATAGTGACAGTCTTACGAGGTAGTTGAACATCAATGCCGATGGATTTGCTTACCTGCGCCAATGAGATTTCTTGTCCTTTCTTGCGCACTACTCCATAATATGCCCCGGACAAAGACGATGCAAACTTCGACCCGGAAGGATGTCCCGTGCACACAAGCTCTACTGAAGAATTCCGAGCCACACAACCAGGTTATCATGGGCCGAATACTTCGAGCCGGTCAATTCTTTGGGGCGTTTTTGCAAAAGAATATCCACCAGACCATTTACAGCTTCTATTACCTCTTTAGACGTGTGGGTCTTTTGGGCAGCTACTCAAAGGACATGACTGTATTTATGCTTCTCGACGATAAAGACCTCTACTCATCCTACCAATGTGGAGAAAAGGAGAAGAATGGTCGCCCTCTCCCAGCCGACCTCCAGACAGACAATTTGGCAGCCTGGAAGAGATTGTGGGATCGGACCAGGATATCATCATGGACGAGTGATTCAAGCTTATTCCAATTATCTCAAAACAAGGTCTTTTCTGTGTGCCGGCTTGGCACCACCACTCTATTTACCCATACTGGTGAGCATGTGAGCAATTCTCCAAGCAATCAAGAGGTGAAAAGAAGTTTGGACGCCTAGTGTACTAGACAATCGATACCATCCAATAGTTAACTATCCGAGTGTGTTGTTACAAACTGTAGAGTTGATCATCCACATGTGAGATGGATGTGGAGCTGTGATAAGATAAGCATCGCGTGGGCACGGCCGGGCAACGCGAGGCACGCGCATCGCGTCTTGAACAGGCACCCTTGAGAGGGATCCGCACGCTCAGCCCTTCCAACCTCGTCTCTACAACCCAGTATTCCCCATTGACTCATGCCATGACCCATTTCCCTATTTGAAACTCCGACTTTAAAGCCGCATGATTAATATTCACCAATCCGAAATGTCCACAACTTCTACACCGCGTTCGGCGCGGTCAACGCGCTCCTTGTCGCCCGCCAATAATTCTCCAAGCATCCTGACCCCGGGCCAGAAGATCAAAGCCATGATGGCCCAATTCGACAGCGATTCCGACTCCGACTCACAAAACACGAATTCGAGAGCATCTATACCGAAGCTGAACTTCGGAAGCAGGAACACATCCACCGGGATCCGCTCAATAGAACAGTCCAACTTCTCCGAAGACGACTCGGAAGATGCAGATGAGATTGTGAAGCCAAAGGGCCGCATGGCTGCTCGCATGCAAGGCGATAGCAGTGCTTCGATAGACTCCGAACCCCAGGAAAACTCCGCCTTTTCCCGATTATCCAAGGCTCTGCGGACTGAGAGAGAACAGACACAAAAGCCAACACGTCGAAGCCCCTCACCCGTCGACGATTCCAGTGACGATGACTTGCCCACAGCTGCTCCTCGGAGGAGGAACAACGCACAATCCAACCAATCTCCTATCTCTGTGGGCCACGATGCCGCAAAGTCACCCTCTCGCGCACGCTCTGTCTCGCCCTTGTTTGTCTCTTCGCCAGCATCTCCACAAAATCAAGCGATTGCTTCAGATAGCGCCGCAAATGATGGACCTGTTGACAACCCAAAGTCTAACGCGAGATTCCTCGCTCTCGTCGCTCAAAAGCGAAAGGAGCGCGAGGAGCGTGAACGCATTGAGGATGAAGAAAGGGCAGCCAGACGCGCTCAATTGGAGCATTTTAGCTCCGAAATAGTGTCTGGCGAGGAAAGCGAGGGCGAAGCGGGTAAATCTGCACAGAAATTGAGTCAGAAAACTCGACAGCCTAGAAAGGCAAGCAAGAAGGCTCTCGAGGAGATGAGACAGGAGACACAACGCATAAGCCGAAACATGCAACTGGCCCATCAGGCTCAGACCAAGAAGAAGATTACCAAGGAGAGTTTGTTCGCCAAGTTCAACTTCATGCAGCCGGCGCCTTCTTCCGCAGAACCTGCAGCTGCAAATTCATCTTCGACTGCCAGTTCCCAAAATTCTTCCGACGGCGAGAGGCCCAAGCTAGGCAAAGAGACGCCACACACTTCGCCTGTACTGGGACCCTCTGACACGGAGAAAACCGTTGCTATTGATATCGCTGAAGTTCCCGATGCGATCGATGAGAATGAAACGAAGGGCGCGGGCGCAGCGATAACTGAGAAAGCCGACAGTTCCGTCTCCGAGACACTCGATGAGCTCAAAATTTCTACTATTCCAAGTACGAAGAAAATACCTCGCAAGCCGACCCAGCCTCCCGTCCGTGTCCTCCTCTCCCGGCAAGAAGTTGCTCGGCACCAGCGAGAAGATTACGATAGCGATGATTTGGAAGTTGTCACATCCCCTTCCAAGGCTCGCCGTATTGCTGCCTTCGAAAATCTACCCACCAAAAAGTTGCAAGAATCCTCGTCGATGACCACGTTGAAGGCATTGGCCCATTTGACATCACCAAGCCGCAAGCACAAGGGTATGACCTCGGCCGAACTGTCTGCAAACTTGTTGTATAGAGCCCGTCAGCAAGCTGCCAAGGAACGACGCGAGCGCATCGAAGAGCTCCGGGCAAAGGGCATCGTCATTGAAACCGCCGAAGAGCGTGCTGCAATGGAAGACGATATCGAAAACCTGATGGACAAGGCGCGTGAGGAGGCCGATGAGATTGCACGACAGGAACGAGCTGCCAAGAAGAAGGCGCAAGGTCTGAATGGAGATGACGATAATGACGACGAAGACGATGACTACTACGCGCCTTCAGGCTCCGACGAAGATGGATCTGACGGAGATGATGACGAAGATGAGGACAAAGATGTCAACGAGGACCCCGGATTCCTCGATAACGAAGCAGACGAGGATGATGAGTCTGCTGACGACCAAGCCCAGGATGAAATGTCGGATGCGGACATGCTGGTCGAAGCTTCTAGTGGCCGGCGACAGCGACGAGCTCGTGTGATTGACGACGACGAGGACGAGGAGGAACCTCAAGTGCCCTCCACACCAGTCAGACCACCATCTCATGACCTACAGTCGGTGGACCGACCAACGTTCCCTGGCATGGAGACACCTGGTGGCATGTCGTTGGGGCTTACTCAAGCATTCGCTGGCACGTTGGCCGACGATGAAGATGCCACTAGCCAGCCTGCCTCATTGACAATGCCTTTCTCTCTTCCCGACCCTGGTCTCCCCGTCCCCAGACTTCGCGCCGAAGACTCAGATATCCTCGTTCGTGATAGTCAGGAACACTCTAATGAGCCCGACTTCACGACCGCTTACAATCAAAATGTGACAAGAGTATCGGAGTCGCCCGCTGCCCACAAATTCTCTCAGTTCTCGCAGCTTCCCGATCCCAGTCAAGATCAGGGCTTCGTTTATTCTCCATTCGACCCGGCTAAGCGTTTCCGAGAAACGCCGCCAGTTTCAACCGTTGATACTGTCCTCCTCGGCCAGAGTCAGTCACCGGTTGCAGAACGTAAGAGCCGACAACTTCGACGTGGCCGCACCGCACACTTGTCCATGGTTGAAGAGGATGATCACGAGGGCGATTTCGAGATCAATGCCAATGCCTTTAACATTATGAAGAAGGCATCTAAGAAGGAATCCGTTCCATACGATAAGAAGAACAGCAAAGCCAAGAACATTGTCGACGAAGCTGCAGAGGAATCCGAGGATGAATACGCCGGTCTTGGAGGTGCCAGTGATGACAGTGAAGGCGAAGAAGATGCCTACGATCATCAAATGATCAATGACCAGAGCGGCGAAGTGGTCGATGAGAAGCAGCTTGCCGCGATGAATGCGTAAGTCGACTTAAAACCTATATTTAGCTGGATAGTTTGCTAACGATGTTGACATTAGAATGCACCAACGAGACCGTGACGAAAAAGAAGTCGCGAAGCTGTACAAGGATATCGCGACTGGAGCCTTGCGCCGTCGCCGTGGCGGTGACGATGACTTTGATCTTGACGACTCTGATGATGAGCGCCTAGCCCGTCAGCGTGAAAAGCAACGCGAGTTTGCGAAGATGCGTCGTGCCCTCCTTGCGGATGACAAGATTGGTCAACTCGCCGAGGACCCCAAGAAGGCTGCCTTCTTCAAGGCCATCGAAGACCGAGAGGTGGAGGATGATTTTGAATTGGACTTCCTTAAAGAGAATGCAGGCGACTCTCAGAACGAGGCCTCTCAGGATGCTGCACAGGAGCAGGACGACTCTGCGCAGGATAGCAAGAAGCGCAAGCGACCGCTCGAGCCATCCGCTGAAGATGCCACCAACAGGCCTCCACCTCATCTTCGCCGTACAGCTGCCAGCGCCATGTCCAAAAAGCCAGCCACACTTGCTGAAATTCGAGAGACACTATCGTTCTTGACTGAGACTCCCGAATATGATTCTTTCCACGAAGATGCGTCTGTCGACGAAGATGAAGCCATCGAAGACGCTGAGGACTCGAGCACCGGCAACGAAGAAGCATACTCCGAAGAGGCAAGCTCGCAATCTAAAGATGGCTTCGCTGTGCCGAGTCACCCCCGACGCACCCGTGGCGTTGTCGTGGATCGCCTTGCCCTCCTCCGTCAAGCCTCATCTAACTCTGCCTCTGGTACAACATCCGGAGCATCTGCCAATACCAAGTTCGCCTTCCACAGCGGCGGTAATTCCGAGAGCCCCATCGGTTTCCGGCCCCCACAGCTTCTGCGCCGCGTGACCACGGGCTCCTCTTCATCCAGCTCCAGCACAACTTCATCCAATGCCAGTCGAGTTGCCCAGCCTGCCCCGTCTGGTCCAAAGAAGGGTGGCGCTATCAACTCTTACACCGCTGCACGTGAAAAGGAGCGTGAGAAGCAGCTCCGCATGAAGCAACGAAATGGTGGCGCTAACATTGCCAAACTACTGGGCAAGCATGCTGGTAATGGACTGGGTGCCCTAGCTGGTAAGGGACAGTGGGATTGAGCAGCTGGGGCCCTCGACCTGTGTGTCAATGAAATACTCTGGGCGTTTCTTCCTGCAATTATGGCTAGCGTTTTAATCTCTCGGCGTTGTGGTCAATGGATAACAGTTGGGTCTATACTTTTTTTTAACAATCATGAGATTTATCCAAAATAGATCACTGTTACCCATGAAGCTTTTCATTGTAGTCATAAGTAATACGGCTGATAAACGCCTGTGAAGGGCAGTATGCCACTACACTGCATTGAGCGGAGGATAATTGCTTGTCTATCTCGTCCCCCGTATCAACTTACAGCGTGTAGCTATCAATGCAGGGGATAATTATCTCATTGAAACTCATGAGCCAATCTTCAGCTCGGTGAACAACTCCAGCAACGAACGAATAGTTCTCGAAGGGCATTCTTCACTGCCATTACGTTCAAGGAAGTAGCTCTGCCAGCCCGCACGAGTAGCACCAACGTAGTCCTTCTGGTAGTCATCACCAATGTGTACATATGTCCAGTCATCAGTATCCTCCAGGCCAGCTGGAGTTGAGCCTTGTTGCCCATCTTGTCGGACAAGCAATTGAGCCTGCCGTTTCGCGACATCGAAGATCAACTTATTCGGTTTCTCTTCGCCAGCTTCGTAGCTGGTAATCACCAGGTCAATGTCAACATCTGGCCGAGCGCCAAAGTACGTGGTAGCCGCGGTCTGGGACTGGGGCTCTTGCGAAGAGTCTCGCTCCTCGAAACCCGGCAATTCCATACTCGACCGGTCCTGATCTGCCCGTGTATCTCCAACGCGTAGACCAAGCGCTTTCAGCACTGCGGGAACACGATCATCAGAGTTGGATATCACGCCCAGCACGATCCGATCAAAAGGAGAGCTATTCGATGAAGCTCTGAGCTCACGCATCCGGGCGAAAAACGGGGCTACATCGTCATACAACGTGTAACCTCCATGCCCCGCAAACCGATTCAGTAGAGTCTCAACCATACCGCTGGGGAGATCAAGCTGTCCGTAATCCGGGGATATGCTCTGTACATTATTCTCATTCTCCTCTGAGGCTAGGACCTGTCCAAAACTCCCACGGATGACCTCTTCCCACCATTGTTTTGGCCCTCCATACTGACCCTTGAGCACGTCCGCGCGACCGTAATTCGGATTTTGTTTGGATTTTAGGCGGTACACGTCCTTGAATGCGGCTTTGAGCTTGTCGGGTGTCACTGCTGTTCGGGAGAGTCCGAACTCGTGGCCGATTGCCGCATATTGGTCGGGAACTGACGGATGTGGGTAGAAGAGGGTCTCGAAGGCGTCGAATGTGAGAAGGAGAGTTCGGCGACGGCGGATCGAGCTCTGTGTGATGGTGCGGGCGCCTCTGTGGAGTGGGTTGGAGAGCATCGTATGAGGGGAAGGGAGGTAGTTTGATCACAGTGGACCAAGCGGTCGCGATCTTATCTCGCCGTTTAATCGCGCTTAGGTTGTTGATCGCAGGGAGATCTACGACACCTACGCGGCTGCCACTCTTGTAAAAGATCTGGAATTCACAGAGACAATTCATTCGAATAATCGGATATGGCAAAAACATCTCTTTATGAAAGATTTGGATATTTCTGCGAATTCAACTAAACTGGGGAAATTGTCTGCAACCTTGCCTCAGTATTCGAGATGGATCGACGTCATCTTCTAGTATACGCATACACGGGCTCGGCCCATATTTCAGCTTGCAACAATGTATGCGTACGATATGGAGGTATTATGACGGATTTCTGAAGTCCGAATAAGATTGAGTCAATTCGCCGCGGAAAATCGAAGCCAAGTCCAGTCATCAAGAGCCATCTCTAACGTGTAATATACCCAGACCACATTCTCCTATCATCATCAACAAAGGGGTTTATAGTTTAGTCGCAGACGATGGCCACGTCAATTTTGCACGAGTCTGGCAAGCCCGGAGCCACACGATACCGAATCCACCATTCGAATCCACCATTCACCTTCGGGCGAGATTACTAGAAAGCGGATGGTGGCTAGCGTCTGGCGTGATGACGCGTCTCTAACATCCGAGTCCCAATCTCACTAGGTCCATCAGATAACCACTGGCGCTAAGGACCATGATCAAGGCAGAAGATTTTCTTCTGTCAAAAGATATCTTTTGCACTGCTCGCTTGATCATTTGATCTTCTATTGGGATCATATCCTGGAAATCAAAGAGCTCTCAAAACCATGCGCTCGTCGCAGTCTCTACTGGCGATATGCTCGCTGCTGAGCTTATCGGGTGGATCTGCAGCATCTGCAGACTCTGATGCGGTGATCCAAAACGCCAACCACATTTTCAATGTGATCCAAGATTCCATGCGTCAATGGGGTTCGTCACTTCATCACAATGGTGTGTCTTTCTTCCTTGCGCATGTTCCAGCGGGTACACAGTTATACCACGGTACTTCCAAGTCAACTCCGGTGAATGGTACTGAATGGCTTGCCTTTGAACCCGAGCATGCGATGGTATTCGCACGGCCTCATAGGGGCGGCCCCCCTCGACGTCCGGAGGGCCCTGATGATAAGGAAGATATAGATGATGGACACCATGAAGAGCTTCGTCGTCGCCAGCATCATGGTCCGGGTGATAAACCTACTGGACCACCGCCTGATATGCCGCCGCCTTTTGATGTCTTCGAGGCTTCCGAGGAGGAGCAGGGTGGCTATCTTCATACCTATGCCACCGCAAAGGATCTTCGTCTGGTGTATATTGATGGTATGTCTGCAGCCAAGACGGACAAGGGCACACTTGACTCGCAAGATGTGCTTTTATTCAACAATACGCTGGATGACACACCGAGAGATGGCCAACGCGGACCCATGGGCGAGTTTGAGCGCGCGACCAAGGCATGTGAAATGTCAGAGAACGAGTGGGGTGGCCGTATCGATGGTGTACTTCGCATGGAGGCTGGTTTCGAGGTTATCCTATGTGCGTTCGAGCGTGACTTGACTCCCGTGCGGATAATTCAGGTCCAGTCGGACTCGAGGGAAGGTGGTCGCGCGGGTCGGATGCATGATGGACATGCCGGTCCGAGGAAGGATGATGATGGGAAGAGAAGAGGTCCTCCGGGAGGACCAGGTGGAGGCATGGACTCGGCTCGCTGGATGCGTGCAGTGACTGCGCGGTATGGTGGAATCGGAGGGGACAGGGTTTCCCTCAACTATGACCATTTCGTGACTGCATTCGCATACGACCTGGACCTTTTCCAAGACAACTCGTCCCTACCACGCCTGGGACAAGTCCCTGATGATGAACTGGACGTCGTACGCAGAGATTTGAATGCACTTGTTTTGGCCCACGATGCGGGTGAGACCTCCCGCAACTGGCAGGCCATCACGGACATGATTGTGAAGCGATACAGCGACGAACTGTCCTACCTAGCATCTGGCGGGTTCAACGATATCAAGAGCCTGCACCGACACATCGAAGCCATCTTGACCCCGTTCATTGACTACAGCGAGCGGGACGCTACGTCCGAGGCCGAGCGATGCGCCACGCAGTTCCTGCCCTTAGCAACGCAGGACTCGCATGTGGTAGCAGCACGAGCAGTGCACAGCGTTGCACACCGTGTCTGTTCGACTCTGCTAGGAGCCTGGACCGAGGAAGACCTTGAGTCTGCGGTGCAAAAGGTTCAAGCTTTGATCGACTATCTGGACTGGACGAGCTGGAAGAAATGCCGTGGCTGCGCAGACCATGAAATCTGCGTGGTGCCGATCTGGCCTATGGGATCGGTGGCCGACTATGAGAAGCCAACGTGCAGAGAGGCCTCGAGTCCGTACGATGGCAATGGGGAGAGTTACTGGGGTGGAAGACACCATTAACTTTTGGCGTCGTGGGAGTATAGTTGATTAATTAGTCGCCTGATACCGAAGTAGGTAAATCAAGAGCGTTTGGGTAATTTCCGAATACGTTTGTAAATGGCACTATTGGAATTTCAAGTTGGCCTTTTGGTGACTATTTGTCAATCGTGGAAAATGTTCATTCAAGCATTCTAACCGTTTCTAGATGCCATCGGCGCGAAGCATGCTACTATGCTACTAGCGCCAGGTCGGGCTGTTCGTTTTCTGTACGGAGTACTCCATATTGGGCGGTCGTACTAAATCAACCATGTCTCTTTTCCAAGGAATTGCCGTAGCTTAGGGTTCCCCCGCACCGACAAGGTTATCCCGTCAAACTTTGTTTCCAGGGATTTGACAGGCTCCTCAATCACAAGAAGGGACCATGGCGCAGATAATTCCCGACCATGTGAGATCGTCAGGGGTGCTATTTGCCCCCTGTGGTGGAGAGAGAACCACCTCCATCGTTTCAACTACCTCAATTTTGTCAACCATGAGGGATTAAGCTATGATGCGATGATTTCCTCAAAGAATCCTCCGGGTTGTTCGAATTGTGAAAATCATGATGACAACATAATGTAAGCTCTGGATTCCTTTGCTTCCTCGTCCCGTTACTCCGCTAAGCCGTTAGAACGGGGATTGGCCCAAGTCGTACTCCTAAACCAAGCAGCTACAGGTCCACCCAACTGACTTTTTTGACATTAGGTATAGTCCTAGCGGAAACGGGCCAAGTGCGAAATGATTCTTCAGTTGTGTGGGGTCCAACGCTCTTCCTGGAAGTAACCAAAAACGTGTTTGGAGCGGGATGCCAGTGCAGATCGTCGGCGCCCGCTGCACTTCCTCCTTTGCTCACCTCTCTGACCATTGGTGACCACCAGTGGAGTCGAGCGGTGCTAATGTCGATCGTCAAGGTCTGAACGCCCAATTTCCCTAGCAGCATAACCGTGTGCTTGGACTCGAGGACCCTGAACACCGCCTCGGTAGTGGTGAAGTAGCTTGAACTATTGTGGCCAATCATGTTCCTGGCTCACACGCGAGTCTCGTCGACCACCACGTTTCTGATATTTACGACGTCTTCAGTCTGGCCAAATCAACGATGACCCTCTGTGTGCTTTCGAAATGAAGTTATGGGTCTGCCAAAGACCCCCAAAATTCATCCCAACGGCCGTTTTCTCGTGGGGAAGCCGTTGGGGGTGCCCGCAATTTTCAGGTCCAACTTCGGAGTTGGTCAAGATCTGCGGAGTGGCTAATGAAGATGAACCTCCAACGAAGCTTATGAGGGCACTAAGAGACATCCGCGGGCTCCAATTCCCCTGCCCCGTCTCTGATATCTTCCCTTGAGAAAGTGGATGTCATCTCGCAGGATTTGGAGGATTCTGACAGGACAACCCACTCTTGGCGCCTTCTTCATTGGACTTTGACATGCAAATCTCTCGGCGGGGTTCCAGCATCCCTGTTGCCTTGTCTGGTCAGATGTGGAGTTTAGTATGCTCTGCGACTTCAAGCAGACGGGAGGTCGGATAGACGCGTTAAACCAAGGGACTCGTCGTTCCCCCTGAGCAATGATGAACGGTGTATAAAGGGCAGCCGGTGCCATTTGACTTTCGAGCCTTCTTTTCTATACTCTCTCAAGAAGCTCTTCGCGTTTTCCTCGATTTCTACCCCCAGTCATTCCTTTTCCGGTTTCTATACCGTCCATTCATTACAGCTTTTCAAGCATCAGTCACTCTCTACAACAAGATGAAGTCTTTCGCCATCTCCGCTGCCATTCTGGCATCCACCGTCGCTGCTCTCCCCACCAACATCATCCCTGGTGCTGCTTCTGGTGTCCTCCCCTCCGGCATCCCCACCTGCCTGCCCTCCGGCATCATCCCCTCCGGTGTACCCATTCCCTCGGGCATCCCGACCTGCATTTCTTCTGCCTCTGATGCTCCCAGCGTCGGCACCGGCTTTGCCAACTCCCAGGTCTCCACTGGGCAGGTCCACAGCGTCCTGACCGTCACTGATCAGGCTTCTAAGCTCGTTCTGGTTGAGCTTGAGCCCACCGTTGCTGGCCTCCTGTCCGGCCTCAACCTGGGCGGTGTTACCCAGTCCGTTGGCCAGATCATCCAGGTTGCCCCTACCGTGGGCGCCCTCAACCTGAACGGTGCTACCGGTGGTCTCCTGACCGTTGCTACCAGCGAGGGCTCCGTCGCTCTCATCAAGCTCACTTCCACCGTTGAGGGTCTCCTCTCCGGTCTGGGCCTCCCTGAGGTTGGCTCGCTCGTTGGCTCGCTTGTCGGCACTCTCGAGGGTGTCGCCTCCGGTCTCACTGGTAACATGAAGCGTGACCCCGTCTCCAACGTCATGACTATCACCGACCTTGCTGGCAACCCCCTCCTCGTCCAGGTTGAGCCTACTGTCCTCTCCCTCCTCGGTGGCCTTGACCTGTCCAACGTCCAGGGTGCCGTCGGTACCGTCGTCGCCGAGGTTCCCGCTGTCTCTGGCCTCGCCGCTGCTGCTCAGGGTGTTGCTGCCGACCCCACGCAGCTCTTTGGTGTCCTCGGCCAGGACGGCGCATCTGCTCTCCTCGTCAAGGTTGAAGGCACTGCCACCGGCCTGCTCTCCCTGCTCGGCTTGTCCAGTCTGACCTCCACCATTGGCAGCGTCGTCCCCGCTGGCCTCCTGTAAATGAGCCTCATCTTCTAATTACCCTTGAAGGGAGTTCGTCGTTCGCTTCTATGGGTTCTCTATTGATGTGTATTGAGAGTTCTGCTGCTATAGCTTGACTATCGAGCCTATGCATGCAAAAACGATTGGATATGAGGAGTTCCCCCTTATTTTAGTTTCTGTCATCTATTCGCCCTATACCTATTATATGTGAAAGCGTGAAGCTTTGTGAAATTTTGACACTGGTTTGGAAGATTGACTATGTAATGTCTAATTGCTCCTTGTGCTGCGCTGTTTCTGATGGTAGAAATTCTGGAGTAGTCCGTAGTCAAACTGCGGTATGTAGATGGAAAGGAGAAATTAATTTCCTAGTAGTAACCGAGTTGCTCCAAAGTTCACTGATTTGAATCTAATTATCGAGTGATATTTCGAAGGACTGTAACATGGCCGAGAGAAATGCCGAGAATGTGGAACAACCTCTCTAGCCATCCCAAATCAATATCCCTATCCACCTTACTACTCTTAAATATTAAGCACCGCACCTCCACCCGGCGAACATCGCACCGTCTCGTCCTGCCAAGTATCAATATCCTTCAAAGTCCGTTGAATATCATCCTTGATCAGTGGAATCGACTCCGCCCCCATAAGTAAACGCATCGGCAAGGGACGTCCATGCTGACCAGTCACACTCTCGAATAGTACCCGTGCACATATATCTGGATCGCTCCATGTAGACTGCGACTCGGGGTTTGTGACATATTTGATCAACTGGCTGAATGAACTGTTTGGATCATCGTATGCAGGATGGCGTGGGGTTTGCTTGAGACTGGATCCGGCAAAATTGGTCCGAACACCACCCGGGGATACCAGTAAGAATCTAATGTTCCAGCTGGGATCGACTTCTTTAGCTACTGATTCCGTGAAGCCTTCTAGTGCAAATTTACTGTTGCGCTTTTGTTAGTTTGAGTGGCCGGATGCTGAGGATGGGCACGTCGTTCATACCTGGCGTGATAGAACGAATGGCCTGGAGCAGTTATCCATCCTCCCATGGAAGATACTTGAACAACAGTCCCACCGCGAGCGGGACCATTAGTTTCGCGAAAGACTCGGAGCGCTTCACGGGTAACATGGACCGGACCCCAAAAGTTCGTCTCGAGTTGGTGGCGTGCATCAGCGTCAGGAATTCCTTCCATGTCACCCATTAGGCTGTAGCCGGCATTATTGATAAAGACGTCGATTCCGTGGAATTGAGCGATCGCGTCTGCAATTGCTTGGGTAATTGTCTCTGGGCGTGTCACGTCTAGATGTAGTTTGAGAACTGTTGGGTCATCTGGGAGATAGGAAAGAGATGTCACATCGCGTGCAGTGGCGACGATGCGTTGACCCGCGTTGTAGATTGTTTTTGCAAGGGATTTGCCGATGCCAGAGGAGCATCCGGTGACTAGGTACTGTGAGATCATGGACGAATAATTGATTTTGATAGAGAGGATTCTTACCGAACCACACGGCATTAGTATCTAACTCATGCGGCAATGACGCCATCGCTGCTTTACGCTGTATGCCGTCGGACTTTGCGAATGAAACCTCGTGTGGACTCAAACAATTGTTGATGAAGTCTGTTTGAAACTGATAAATAGAATGGACGACTTGGGGTTGAATTCTCGTTGCCCTTTTATATGTTGACAGAACGCAATCATGCTTCTTCTATTCCTTTTATCCCTGAAATAGAATACAGATAGCCCGGCCGCATCCAACCAACCAAAAGCCATGAAATTTGGAGTCTAAACCTTAAATGGAAGGTGCACTAGACTCGTGAGGCTTATACGAGTGGGGCAAAGCTGACCTTAATCAACCCCATCAAGCAAAGGGATCCCTTTGATCTTTCGAGTTCGCCACATCTGTCATTTAAACTGCGCCCGAGTGCCTAGTGCAATCGCTTCTTCAGGAAAGAAAAGCATGCCTCTCAGAGTACAATGGCTGGAAACAAACGGGATCAGGCCTTTGTGGTAATCACCGGAGATCCGCAACAAGGACATGGCGCGCGGCTAAGCCAGGCACGATCGCATCTGGCACGGAGATATCATGGAAAAAAGAGGTCGCAAAATACGAGCACTCGACAGGCTCGGCAGGTCCTAGCGTTACATCGTACACTACATGCTGTTCCTCCGGACATTCGCCTCTTGTTAACACCGCCGCCGACGCCGATGTCCATGCCTGGGTATAATAGGATGCAGCGATGTAAGTGCGGACTTCGGCCGTCGCTGAAGGCTTATGACCGAGCTAAATTTGAAATCAGTCATGTATGAATATGTCAATTCTGGTGCAGGCCTTCCCAGATTCTTTTCATCGATTATCTATGCGGCGGTCACCCATCCGGCTCTTATGAGTGCGAAGATCCTGAATGCATCGGCTTGGGATGATATTAGTTCGACAGAGCATATCAGTGCTATCACGCTCCAGCAATCGCATATCACCAGACGATTATTGAACGAGTCACTAGCACATCAAGAACAATGCTTTAGCGACGTGTCTACCGCGGCTTTGATAGCGGTGCTACTTTTTGATGTACCAATCTCGACCTTGAATCAGGGTTTCGACTCGATACTGACAGGATTTATAGTTGGTCAATTTTGACCTCAATGCATTTGAGAATGATAGGACGGGTCTTGAATGTATTATCAACGCTCGTGGAGGTGTTGAACGCCTAGGATTTGAGGGACGCTTGGGTGAGAGCTTGCTGCTGTATGGACCATCATCCTGAATTATGCTTTTCATGCGAGCCTTCTGCTAACTGTGCTAGGATTGAACAATTTCAGAGGATTGTGAAAAGTCCCCTCGACAGCTGGAAGACCTGCTCACCGGAAGATTTCGCGGTCCTTCCATTCGCGCAAATAGACACGAGCGTTTTCACACTCGGATCACATGTCGATGACTCTCTTTGGTCTTTCATTCAGCCACTTACAGATCTCTACCAATCGGTCATGCATTTCGGGATCCGTGCTCCATCCGAAAAAGCAGCCCTACAGCTCGAAAATCATGAATATTCTATCACTCCGTCTAGACCCCACATACCAATAGAGCATTCCGATCACAGCCAGCGGTCGAGTCAGGATGACCCAAGAATGTCGGCTCTACATCAAGCACGGCACCTGCTCGACTTGTCAAATTCCGGATTCGAAGGTGACCCGTACCTGATTTATGCCGTTGCCCACTTAAAGCATGTGCTGCGCCAGACAGATCTTGATGGATTCTGGGGTCCACTACCCGGTGCATTGATTTGGTGTCTGGTCATCGGTGCTCGCCTATCACAGCCGGGATCGAGTAGAAAGTGGTTTATGATGCAAATCCAACGAACCAGTTGTGCGATGGCGCAGGATGGTTGCGAGAAGGTCATTCTATGCCTGCGAACTGTTCTAGTGGGGCTCGATGGGGCTCAGATTTGTAGGCCCGAGGTCCGTCTGACGAGTTATGTATGAACCATTCGAGTTAAAATGTTTCTGTGACGCCGGTAGATACCATAGGTACCAAATCCCAAGACCAATGGGACATGGAGTGTCACATAGAGAGATGGAGCTACGCGTATATGAATGTACAGTCGAGTACCCCGCGACAGCAGTGGTAAAGGGAACGTCGGCAGTTTGGGATGGTCGCGGGAAACAGATTTACTCCGAGTGGCCTCGGGCCAGAGAGGCGAAACTAGTCCGGCGCCCAGTGAAATGTGGGGAAGCGTCTGGGGGGAGCGGGGCAGTGGTCCTCCGTACTGGAGTAAAGAAGTGCCATATGCTGTGGTTTGTACGTAGTTAGGACATTATCGTAGTAATTTATCGTTTCTAGTATTGTACATTACAATCGAATATGTAGATTCTAACATCCTCCTTGTTAATCTTTTCAAAGGTTGGAAAATCACGTCGCTGATTGGCTGGATCTATAGGGCCGATGAGGTGCAACAAACCGCCTCTGTTGATGATAAGATGATGATACCTTTTGCGCAAGCGGATAATTCTGCATCCGGGCTACCCTACCTTTGGCACGAGACTGTCAAAAGAGCCCCAGTGGTGGATGCACTCCGATGCTCCCAGTTTCGCAACTCTGCCACGGTCAACGCGGAAGTGTGGGGAGCTGTGGGAAACGCGGCAAAAATCTCATCCGCTCTCGTCCCGTTGAACGGCACGCGTGCTCAGTGAAGGGCTGGAGTAATTTAAAGAATCGAAAATCGGCTTTTCCTGTTGCTTTGAACTTTTTTCTAGCTTGATCTTGTAAATCCTCTTGTCTTGTGTTTTGGATACCCCTCTCTTTTAAACCCCCTTCTCCCGCCTCCTATCCCTTGTACTCTCCCGTTCTACTTTATATTTCCGTTTATATCCGACACAATGGCAAAGGCTCCTCAGGATTTGCAAATCGCCATTATTGGCGCCGGCATGGGCGGTTTGACCACTGCTCTTGCCCTGGCTAAGCGTGGCTTCAAGAATATTGATGTCTATGAGAATGCACCCGGCCTCGGCTTCGTCGGCGCTGGTATCCAGCTTGCGCCTAACATGGCCCGCGTTCTCGATGGTCTGGGTGTCTGGCGCCCCATCGAGGCCGAGGCTGTTGACATTTCTGAAACTTCCGTGCGAGGTATGTAGATGTCAAATGGAGAAATCCGAGAGAGATCATTGTTAACCACGGCAGTACAACAGAGGGCGCCACCGACAAGGAACTTGCACACGTCGAGTTGGGGTATGTTGAGAAGACTTATGGCTACAAGCACATGGTTGGCCACCGCGCCTCTCTAGCGGGCGGTCTCTACGATGGATGCAAGGAGCAACCCGCTATCAAGTTCCACTTCGCTGTCAACGCCGAGGATGTCGACTTCGGCTCCCGTCCTTCGTTCACTGCCGTGCCTCGAGAGGAGGGCAAACCCTCCTACCGGGTTGAGTGCGACGTCCTCCTTGCTGCGGACGGAATCAAGTCTCTGGCCCGCCAGGAGATGCTGAAGCGGTTGAACGTCAACGTCGGCGTCAAGGATACCAACCAGGCTGCCTACCGCATTATGATCCACAAGGACCAGATTAAGGATGACCCCGAGCTGCTGGCTCTTATTAACAGCACTCGCGTGACTCGCTGGATTGGTGCTAAGCGTCACATCATCGCCTACGCCGTCTCCAACAACACTATCTACAACCTCTCCACCACCCAGCCCGACACTAACTTCGCCGCCGCGACGAATGCCACCTACACGACCACGGGTTCCAAGAAGGCCATGTTGGAAGTCTTCGATGACTTCTGCCCCATGGTCAAGCGTATGCTAGACTACGTGCCCGAGGGCGAGGTCTGCGAGTGGAAGCTCCGCGTCCACGATCCCCTTCCTACCTGGATCCACGACAACGTCGCCCTGATCGGTGATGCTTGCCACCCTACTCTGCCTCACTTGGCCCAGGGTGCCGCCCAGGCCATTGAAGACGGCGCCGTCATTGCCGTCGTCCTCTCCCGTCTCCCCGATACCACCCCCGAGTCCATCAACAAGGCTCTCCGCGTGTACGAGAAGGTCCGCAAGCCCCGTGCCGAGGCTCTGGTTGAGATGGCTGCTGCCTCCGGTCGCGCCTTGCACTTGGGTGACGGTGCTGCTAAGGAGGAGCGTGATCGCCAGTTCGCTGCTCTGCGCGCGGGCAAGGGTCCCGTTCCGGATAAGTGGGCTGATGCCGATGTTCAGCGTGAGATTTACGGCTTCGATTGTACCAAGGTGGCCGAGGAGAACTTTGAGGAGTACTTCAAGCAATTGTAAGCCTTTCGAATCATTTTCTTTTGCATGGATAACGACATTGGCGTCTTGTTTTTTTTTCTCTTGATTTTGTACACATCTGTTAATATGTATTGTTTGTCATGTATATCCATGGCCTTTGCCAAGATTGATCTATTATACAATTCAGAAAATTGAGAAATCGTTGGCTAAACAAATCTTTTCGTCTATATAGGGGCAGCACTTCTCGTGACTCGAAGCTTGCGTAAAAGTAGGTCGTGTGTTGTATACGAAGTCGTTTCCTGATTGTAATGAGATGACATATGAGATAAAAAGAGGTCATTGCTGGACACATTACTTTCTCTTGTACATAGCTTTGATGGCGCAATGAACATGCCTATAGCTCAATCACTTTTCTCTACATCATTGCCCGTCCCCTTGCCCGTGGATTCTACCGCCCAACTTGTCATAAACGGTTGGTAAAAATGATTTAGGGCAAGACTTGTTATGGTAGATGCTATAACAGAACCCTACACGGACCTTGGTCAGGCAGCAGCTAAATAGATCATTAAATACTTGAATTGAAAGATAGTGAGCTACATCCGTATTTTGCTTAAGCATACACGAAACGCCGTACCGTGTCAAGGCGGGTAAATCAAAGTCAAGAACAAGGGTCTGTTCATCCTTTCACCAGCTTGATGGCATGCAGTATATCCTCAAGAGACCAGCCCGGCCCGCCGGGAACAATTTCTGCCCAAACTTCCTCGGGAACCGCATCGCTCGCATCCAGGAGACTCCAGTTGGGGCTAGGCTCCGGTTTGATCCATTTGAAGTCCTCCACTTGACTCCAGCGATCCTCGTGATCAAGGCGATCATGGTCCAAGGCCTGGATAAAAAAAAATGATCAGTATGAGTGATATCGAATGGGGAAATTAGAGTAGAACTTACATAAGCCTTTGGTATGCGGGTGAATCGGATATTGGAGCAATCCTCGATGATGGGGTTGCTCGAGCAGCTGAGGTAGACATCGACGTCCTTGCAGTTGTGCATGCGGAACTGTCGACACGATACGACGATGACGCTATGATCCATACCTGTGATATGTGCTGGTCCATTGACTTGACCGCAGATCAACAAGCTTTCTTCAATGTCCTTCACCGTCAGGCTCGCATAAGGCTTGCCATCTGCGGTCGGAATCGACATATCCACGACGCAGTGCCGGAGAGAGGTGATAGAGGCAGGAACTGTAGAGGTAGAGCCGGAAGCAGGTAGCATAATATGAAGGCCGTAGTGGTCGTCAACAGAAACATTTGAAACTCCCTGGGCTGCGAATGAGTGGGGTGCCTTTGACTGCGCCGGCGCTTTTGACTCCATATCTCCATCGGACGTGGCCGGGAAAGAAGTCGGTGCAATCTCCGGCCTCTCTTGATGCTGCTTATCCGGTTCGTTCAACGGGGTGGATGGATAGTTCGGGGTATTGTTGGCCGAGGAGCCAACTGACGATGCCCCAGGAGAGCGATAGCCAGGGACACTGCGACGACCTTCGGCAGCGAGGAGGGCGGCGTCAGAGAGAGAGATCGCCGAGGGATTTTTCTTCGTCTTGAAACTGAACTTGGCTCGGGGTTCGAATGCCGCTCTAGCTTCGTTCAATTTCTCTTGCAAGGCCTTGATCGCCTTTTACACGGGTATTAGCACCGGATATTTCAATAGCACTGTGAGGTTTCATACCTCGGCATAGACTCTCTGGTCATATGTAGGGATGTAGCTTGCAGCATCTTTGACTTCATTGGATAGACGCACAATGCCTGCGAGGCAGTGGTCCGTAGCATCAGCTCGCTCGCCACCCACGAGCGATGTATCGGCAAGCCGATCCATCTGCTGTTGCAGAGCTAGAGTAGAGATGGTTAGCCAATGGTATTTCTTTCGGGTATTATAGTAAACGGCTGCTATCCATTGAATATCTAGACCTACCTGTGATTTCATGTTGGAAGTAACGGAAGAACCGTTCCTTCAGAGGGATTTCGGATTTGGAGATAGTTTGATTATCAGCCGAAAGTCGGCGAGCTTGCTGAGGCTCCAGCTCGGCCATGATGAATCAGTCGTAATTTAGGTGAGATAGGTGAAGAATGCCAGCCTGGGAGGCAAGAATACGGTGGTATATCACGCGGTTGACGGAATGTAGGAATGACGTCGGTACGATCTCAAGTGGATCATACCATACCACCCTCACAGAGAAACTGAAGAGAGCTCAGTTTGCAGTCCACAGTGGCAGGTCCAGTCTCTTGCCCAGTCAAGGCAAGTAAAGAGAGATGGGAAAGGAGGGGCACCCAGCCAAGGGATTGAAATTGATGGATAATATGTACGCACTGGCGGGGTCCAGAAAAGCTCCGAGCGCAACAGCTTTCAGCGTGGAGCTATCCACACGGAAATATCAATAGTCCGGGAGAAATGGTGGTAGAGAGGAGTGGTGGTCACACAACCTCCAGCGGGATCTTCGGTAGCTGCTGAAGAACAAGCACGACGGTTTCGTATAATGTGGAGAACGATACGCACGACACAATGGAGTTCGCGGGCAATTCCTCCACCTCTATTCGCGGTGACGTCGATCATCCCGCATTCTCGGGCTTCGGAACCAGAGTTAATCCGGTGGCCATCGTCAGGCCATAAGGCGTTCGGGATGTATACTCCGGTTTGGAGCGTTCTACTATTGAAGGATAGTGATTACCCCAGTTGATGCAATTCCCACTTAAAACGAAAGGATTTCAAGATTTAAAGTCATTGACCACGATCGACCTCATCTGTCTTTTCCACTAAGTAGCTCATCCGGTAAGCACGAAATGACTAAGCAAGTAGTCACAATAACTATTTGACCTTTCATGCGCGGCCGAAGAAACAAGCCCAACCAGATCATAAAATTGAATAGATTACTTGAATACCCATTGAACAAGCTACCAATTGGAAGAATAATACTGAGCCGAGGAGGCGTTAATTTGTTTTGAAGGTGTCGTCGTCGAATCGGGAATCTCGAGGATCCAGACAAAGAAACCCGAGGCCTTGGCCAACTCCGGGGGGACAATGCCAACGGACCTCAATTCTCATTGGCCTTCTATTGAACACTACATCAAGTTAGCTTGAGACACTTATCTCGCTCATTCTCCTGAAACCGACGCTTCTCTTTCCCCCAACTTCTCTTCTGTGGGTTGACAGGCTTATTGATTGTATCCCGACAGCCAAATATCAAGATTGACACCCTTCAGCGCCCAAATTCAACTATTCCTCACTCTTTACCCTATGTCAGGAGATGGAATCGGCATTCTATATGAAAGTAATGTAACTCTGACCCAAGCGCCAAGAATAGCCCACGTACTGGCATGGGAAACTGATCAGTCACAGTTGACTACTTGGAAATTCATGTGGAACGACTGATAAGTGGGAGCAATTTTCATGGAAACGAGAGCCTTATTTGTTGTAGCATGGCTCATTCAGCTTTTCATGGCACTTGGGCACTGCCACGAGATAGTCGAACGACTACACGACGTGCCGGACGGCTGGTCAAAAGGGGTCAAGCCCAACCCATCAACATCTATACGATTCCGGTTGGAAATACGCGAACCAAACAGTACCTATCTGGAGAGACTGGTTATTGATCTGTCGACCCCGGGTCATCTAAATTACGGGAAACATATGAAACGCGGAGAGGTTGAAGAGCTTTTGCGTCCGACCTCCGCCGTCTCCGACCAGGTCTTGGCCTGGCTGAGTTCGGAGGGAATCTCCAACGACACTATTGGCATATCTGGAAATTGGATCAGCTTCAGTGCGACTATATTCCAGGCGGAGCAAATGTTGAAGACAAAGTTTCTCCACTATCATCATGATGCCAGCCGAAAGAGCCTCATCAGAACTCTTGAGTACTCCTTACCTCCTGATATACACCCACATGTGCACCTAATTCAACCAACGACCAGATTCGGAAACCCTGATCGACATGGCAAAGGGCGACTATATGCACGCCATGGCTTACCAGTCGACCAGCCAATTGTAGCCACACCGGAAGACCTGACCGCGGAATGTTGGACCGTGATGAGGCCGGATTGCCTTCGAGAGTTATATGGTCTTTGCAACACAAGAGCAAAGCCTGATCCACAAAATCGACTGGGAGTATCCGGCTTCCTAGATCAATATGCCCGCCATAGTGATTTCCATCACTTCATGCAACGCTTCTCTCCGAACGCATCAGACGCGAATTTCGACGTCGTGATCCTCAACGGGGGCAGTAACCTAGAGGATTCTCCGGCCAGCAGCACCGAGGCAAGTTTGGATATACAGTATGCAGCTGCTTTGGCCCACAACGCTTCAGTCACGTTCTATTCCACTGGCGGCCGGGCGCTCTCAGTTTCCGACACGGGGCAATCAGTCTTGGAGAACTCGGAAAATGAGCCATTTCTGGATCAACTCCACTATCTCATCAGCCTCCCAGACAGTGAGCTCCCATCTGTTCTCGCCACGTCATACGGGGAGATCGAACAGAATGTGCCAGCATCGTACGCAAGATCAGTGTGCAACTTATTTGCGCAACTCGGTGCCCGGGGCGTGTCAGTCATATATAGTAGTGGAGACTCCGGCGTTGGAGAGACGTGTCTCAGCAATGATGGAAAGCGGCGGGTCAAGTTCCAGCCAATTTTCCCGGCCTCCTGTCCATTTGTCACGGCTGTCGGAGGAGTGGAGGGTATCAAACCCGAGATTGCTCTTGATTTCTCGAGTGGCGGCTTCTCCGACCTTTTCCCTCGTCCAAAATACCAAGACCGGGAAGTGAACAGGTACCTTGATCGTCTAGGTGAACAATGGAATGGCTTATACAACCGCCGGGGAAGGGCAATCCCTGATGTCGCCTGTCAAGCGAAAAACTTCATCATTCGAGACCATGATACCTATTTGAAGATTAGCGGCACTAGGTTTGTTGCTTCGGTCAATTGATTCATGGCATCGACTAATAACAAGCAGTGCTTCCGGGCCGGTCTTTGCCGGTCTAGTCTCTCAATTGAACGCGATTCGACTTGCAAATGGGAAGCCTCGAATGGGGTTTCTAAACCCCTGGCTATATAGCCTCCAGCAAACAGGATTTACCGATATAGTACACGGTGGCTCCCGAGGCTGCACTGGAACTACTGATTCAGGTGCAAAAGGCGCTTTCGTTCCGTATGCAAGTTGGAATGCCACGGAAGGATGGGATCCGGTGACAGGGCTGGGGACGCCTTTGTTCCAGACGTTGGCCGATTTGGCCTTGTCGAGTGAGCAGGTGGCATGGACAAAATACGTTGTGTTTAGCAAAGATAAATCGTATTAGTTTAGCAGGAATCGTTAGGGAAAAGCTAGACCTAACGCATAAATGGGCAAAGAGTGTGGAGATAACGCGTCTTAGATGCAGCGTCCTATGCTTTGCGTCACGTGATGATCTGGAGCTGACACCGCGGCTCCGTCATGGCGGACCTTCGCCAACTACCATCATCCAAGCCAGCACCACCCAATACCTTCATTTCTGCTATTGCAGTCATCTATTCCATCTGAATTTGGGCCGTCTTTCTGAATATACCCGATTCCTATCATCTCACCACATCACACAGCCATGTCGGACCTCAAGTCCCTTGTCCCAGAGCTCCAGAACGCTCTGGAGCGCAAACAGCTGGACGCTGCCAACAACCTCCTCAGCCAAGCCAAGCGTGCTCTTCTCATGCAAAATGCCCTCATCCCGACTCCTTCTACGCCACCACAGCTTGTTGTCCTTGCCCGACAAGTCCTTGAGCTCGGCGCCCTCGCCTCCATTCGGCAAACCGACGCACAGTCCTTCACGAGATACTACCAGCAGCTTCAGCCATTCTACGATCTGGAGCGACACGCCGGTGTACCCGGGCAGAGCTCCTCTGAGGTTGATTTCAGCACTAGCCAGCGCAGCAAGATCACAGGACTCTATCTGCTTCTTTTGCTAAGCATGGGCGACAGTGCCAACTTCCACACTGTGCTGGAGGGATTGGTCGAAGAGGCTAGTTTGAAGGGCGGTCGTATTGAGGATGATGCCTATATCAAGTATCCAGTTGAACTGGAGCGGAACTTGATGGAGGGTAGCTATGATAAGGTGTGGCGGGAAACGAAGTCGGAGCGTGTGCCATCAGAGGACTTCGGATTGTTCTCAAACGTGAGTGACAACTGTTAAATCATGAATGATGACCTTTCAGCGTGACTAAATAACCCCCATTTTACAGGTTCTCATCGGCACCATCCGCAGCGAGATCGCAGACTGCTCCGAGAAGGCCTATCCCTCCCTCCCTATCTCCAACGCCAAGAACCTCCTCTTCCTGGAATCCGAGGGTGCAGTTATCGAGTTTGCTCAGCAGCGTGGCTGGATACTTCGTGATGGACGGATACACTTCCCTGTCGAGCCGGAGGCGGCCACGAGATCGGAGAAGGATATCCTGGTGGCCAGCGGCACCGTTATCGAGAACACACTGGGTTACGCTCGGGAGCTGGAGACGATTGTTTAATGTGAAGTGCTGGCGATGGTGGCTATTTCACCACTGGAAATCAATGGATACACCCTATTACCTTATAACTTCTTATCTCGGTCCATGGTTCTCCAGTGCAGATGTACTTGTATACCTCTTGCGGTTGCATTGTGTTTGGTCTAGCGTGTTTATGAAAACAAGATTCCGAGGAGGATATCTGACTCTCGTAGACGATTCCCAGTTATACATTTGCCCTCCACACGCAAACCCGACGATCGTAGAAACTGCTCGAAACACAAAGCAGCTCAGCGGAGGAGCCTTTATACACATCGCTGGCGTAGTTCATACTCTCATGCTCTGTAAATTCTGCCAGCATCGCAATCCCCCATTCTGCAGTCTGATCCTGCTGTTTCTGACTGACCCTCACGATCCTCGTACCGGCATGCATACAGCTTGCGAGCACTAAGAACTGACGATCCGAGCCAAATTCTTTCGTGTCTAGCAGCTGCAGCCGCCAGACACCACCGCCAAGACCTTGCTCGGCAAGTACTTCGCCTCGTCGAGTAGCATGGTACACGCGCAGCCCTTCATCGTAGCTACCAGTCAATAGAATTGGGGCATCATCAACAAGGGAGACTGGTAAGGGGAGAATCGATGTCACGCCGGCAGTGTGGTGACGGGCTCGATCGTCATGTTCAAGGAGTAGATTTGCGAGCGGTTCATCGTCGCCTTGCTCTTTGGTATTATGGGACTCGAATCGACGCGTGTGAAGGGACCCAAAATCATTTCCAGTAAACATAAAGGGGATATGCTGCTTGGATTCGTCGTTCTGAGATCCTTGCATCGCAGCCAGTGCAACGAACCATACTTCAATCATTTGTCGTGCCTCGAAAGAACCATATTCAGTAATAGCGCGTTCATCCGTGATGTCTTTGGTGGTACCAAAGACGGCCGTTCGACTATCTGAGAACGTTACGGCGAATCCATCGGCGTCCGTTTGAGAGAGCCATTTCTCTGGGGCCCAGGCAAAGAAGAGAGCCGGGATAGAAGAATCCTCATGGACTTGCTTGGTCCACAATTGATGAATGCCTGGCTGTGTCGCAGAAATGCTAAACAGAGAGATACAGCCTGTGCTGCTTGCAATTGCGAATTTGCTTGGATCTCTTGGATGGAAGTGCAGGTCAAAGACCGCGTATGGAAGGGATACTTTTTGAACCAATGATCTGTTGAAGGATGTTAGCATACAGCCTTGCTGCGGTGGACAATGACTTCGAGCCAATGCAACTGATATAGTCTTACAGGTCGTTTGTGTTAGGATCTAATTTCCATAGCTGCACGCTGCCAGTTTTCGTTTGCTGAATCTCATCGTCGTCATTCTTGGTTTCGGAGAGGAGGTAGGTGCCCACAACGAAATGATTTGGGATTTCGGGACAGAATTCGAGACAGCTGGGAGGTTGATCCAAAAAGATTGTGTTTGCAGACTTTGGCTGCTGTGTTCCTGCCATGGTGTATAGGAAGAATTCCCTCCAATTAGCCGTGGGGGCTTGGAGGGGTGAATGATTAGGCTCGAATAATTTTGTTTTGCGGTCACGAATGATAGACGAATCGGTACTTCGCCCTAGTCGTGCATGGAGCTTTCTTGGCTTTGAATTGTTTCCCAAGCGAATTGGATGCGAGTTTTGAACCTTGAATGATTCAATGGATGATGGTTTGCATGGCCAGAAAAACCTCCGAAATGGCAAGTGGGGCGGTGAAATGAGAATCCACTGCGTTGCTCCTAACGTCTCGAGTCGGGGTTCCCGGCACAGTGGTTGTACTGTAGTATACGTTTTAATTGATACGATTCTCTAGTCATATTTGATGGCTTCGCTCATAAATTTGTAAACAGACTGCCAATAATGCTCATGTCAGGTGCATATCACTTCCTCCACTATCCACATATTCGCCCGGTTGATTGACTAGATTACTGGAGTCAAGGCCCTACGGCGCGCGTCACATCGTTGCCTGGTCAAAGAAGTATTATTAATTTGACGAATCTCGATTCCTGACCCCGCACTAACTTTTACTATAAGTAGGATTCAAGCCATTTCTTACAGAACCGAACTCACTTGACAACGAGAGTCCAAATATTGGAAATCATCCAGCTTCAAACACTCTGGAAAATCAACTTAGCAATGTCGCAACCATTCAGTATCCTGCCGGTTACGGCGAAAATTATACCCAAGCCCTTCACGGTCGCCATCCCAAAGGAGAAATTGACAGACATGGAGACTCTGATCAGACTGTCAAAGCTTGCACCGCAGACTTATGAGAATTCTCAGTCCGATATGCGATATGGTGTGACTACAGATTGGCTGATTGACATGAAAGAGCAGTGGTTACAATCATACAACTGGTAAATTAATGGATCCTTCTTTCAAACGAGAAATACGTTATTGATAGTACAAGGAAAACCACCGAAGATCGAATCAATAGTTTTCCTCAGTGGACGGCTGAGGTTGAAGGGCTAAATATCCATTATGTAGGCCTTTTCTCCCAGAAGCCGGATGCTATCCCAATTGTATTGATTCATGGCTGGCCAGGTGAGAATGACCAGGATACACTGCGAGAAAGTTTGATTCTAATGCACAGAACAGGAAGCTTCTTGGAATTCCTGCCTATTCTCGACATGTTTCGACAGGAATACACACCAGCCTCTCTCCCTTATCACTTGATTGTCCCTTCCTTACCAGGATATACGTTCTCCTCGGGTCCTCCTCTGGATCGTAACTTTACTACCGCGGACATCGCCCGAGTGCTTGACCAATTGATGAAAGACCTTGGATTTGAAAGTGGCTACATCGCGCAAGGTGGCGACATTGGCAGTCGGGTTGCTCGAGGTCTAGCTGTAGATCATGAGAGCTGCAAAGGTAAGCGTTGCCCGTTCATCTCGGGCATTGCGCCATACTGGATCTAACTGTAGACAAGCTGTCCATCTCAATGTGTGCTTCATGGGCCGTCCTCAGGGCATATCGGATGATAATTTGGATGCGTCTGAGAGGGAGGGAATCAAGAGAATGGAAGAGTTTAGAATGATGGGCTCCGGGTATGCTCTTGAGCATGGTACTAGGCCAAGTACGATTGGTCATGTTCTTGCGACGAACCCGGTAGCTCTTCTGGCTTGGTAAGTGCAGAAATTGCTAATATGCCAACGAATGAACATCTCGCTCATCGGTGTAGGATTGGAGAGAAATGGCTGGAGTGGGTGGATGAACCATTGTCATCGGAGCACATTCTTGAGTCAATCACTCTATACTGGCTTACAGAGACGTTCCCTCGTTCTATCTATACTTATCGCCAGGTCAGCATCTTCGATGAATCATGTTCACTGCATTTGAATATACCTGACTGCATTTCCTAGAATTACCCCACTCCGCCTATTCCAGCTAGCAACGACCCTCGCTGGTACATTCATAAGCCGTTTGGTTTCTCATATTTCCCCAGGGAGCTGGCACCTTTGCCTCGCTCGTGGGTTGAGACTACTGGTAATCTAGTATTCTGGGGGCAACATCAGAAGGTATTTCCATATGTGTCTTATGGATATACGAAAAAGATTGTTCGATAGCTGACCCGTATACCTCAGGGTGGACATTTTGCGGCGCTTGAGCGACCTGACGCTCTCAAAGCTGACTTGACTAAATTTGTGGAACAGGTCTGGCCAGGTGTTTCTTGAGTCTACTTTGTTCCTTTGTCAATTCTACGGGGCCGCTTGATGGTATGTGTGGAGAAAAGCATATGCTTTGGAACGGGTGGCGCCTCAACCGAGATTACGAAGATGTTAAGAACAAATTGACTAGGATCCCGTCTCGGATGTCAGTCAAATTTATACACAGTTGAAATGCTGGATCGGTTAGCTGCATCAGATAAAAGAAAGGGAGAATAAGACCATGGAATTTAAAAGAGTCGGCTTTTGCAGTGACAAAGCATGAATTATTAGGAGGGCGTAATGTCGCTCACTACATGTAGCTTCCTTCCCCACACCATCAGGCTTTAACTCTACACGCTCTTAGGCATAATTCAGCCTCATCACCACTCTTCTTTTTACAACTACGTACGAGATTTTGGAGACGAAAATATGTCGTCCACTAAAGCGTCCCTTGAAGAGATATTCTCAGATGAATCTAGCTTCTATGGTCAGTCTACCTACGCAGAACTTCCGCTCTTCTGACGTTCCAAAACATCTCACTAGTCTATTCCAGGCGATGAGAGCGAGCAAGCGCGGCTGGAAGAACAAGCAGCCACATACGACCCTGAACCTTTCTGGGCGGAGATTCACCCACGCTTGCTCTCAACGATTCAACATGGCTTGAGCGCGCCGCCTCCGCCTTTGGAAATGGAGATCGATACTCCCACCAAGCAGGAAGAGGAGGATGGGCTCTCAACATGCCGGCCCAGGGACAGGCGCGGCCCTGGAGAGTCCATCACGGCATTTACATCTCGTCTTCCTCCATCCAGGACATCCTTTTCCGGCGCCGGCCCGTGGATATGGATGTACAAGCCCAAAGCCCAAGTGAAAGAAGGCGACGTCGCGACCTTTTTAAGAAAGGGCAACGAGCTGCTCCAAGCATACGAGGAGGAAGCCTCTAGTCTCCGTGCTGTGCACGACAAGTCCGGCGCGAAAACCACAGCCCCTCTAACACGCAAATTGAACCCACTCCGCCGGACGCTGGAGCAGAATATATTTGCGTTGGCCAAAGAGACTGGGGTGACGTCTGGAAAGTGGATGTTTTTCCCGTCAGTGGATTACGTGGATTCCGTTTGGAAGACCGTCGTGACGGCGCTTGATAAAGGCGAACTAGGGGAGGCGGCCAAGGTCGCGACGGACGATGGATCTGGGCAGGCGCGGCTGATCTGCGTTTATACGGAGGATTTCAGTGATAAGGAGGATGTGAAGAGGGTGTTGAAGACTCTGGTTGAGAAAGGGCTCGTGGACGAAGAGGCGAGGCCGATTTATTACAAGTGTGACGCGTATACCCATCTCGATATCAAGTCTAATAATTCCTATGGGCTGAAGGCGAGCTTGTTCTCTAGTCGGGATGTTTTGACTGGGAAGGTCTGAGAAAGAGAAGTGTCATGATCGATGAAGAGATGCTCAATGAGATGAGGATCCGAGAATTGAAATGCGTTGGGTATCTATTTATATGTACATGTTCATCTGCGGTCAAGGAATAGTAGGAGCTGGGAAGCTCTCGGTGGAGACAAATAGGCTCACTATGAGCAGTCTGTTCGCATCATCCATATGGATGAACGTAGCGAACCAGGGAACCGGCATCGCTTCGCTGGAGTATAGGTGGAGGGTTCACCGGTAACAGGCGATCGGACGATTCGCGATGCAGGGCAGTTCAAGCCTGACAGTAGCTGAGGTCTTGACGGGACGCAGGCTGCAAGTTTACGAAAGCCAGTGGTCTTCTCACTTTTGACTCCTGGCTCAGTCATCATTGCTAGGCTTGTCCATGACCTTCTCGCAAGCTGCCCTCACTTCTGCAACGCCCTTGACCTCGCCCCAGGCGTTGAGCAAGCGTTGAATCTCTTCCCAGTCCTTCTCTGCCTCATTCTGCTTATCCTCTGCCAAAAGCTTCTCCAGGCGATCAGGCGCAGCAAGCACCCACCTCACGGTGTCCTTCTCAGCCTTCTTTGGCTGCAATGGTTCCGCCTCCCTTTCCTCTTTGATCCGCCGTCTTTGCTCTTCGCCCTCTTTGATCAACCCACCCGCAGTCTCAGCGACGAATGCAATTGCCGGACCGAGGGTTTTGGTCATGGTCAACGGAGCACCCCGCTCGTCCATACTCTTCCGCATCTTGCCAATTGTCTCGACGGCGCGGATCAACTTGGAGTAATTATCGTAGACCAAAGCTTTGCGCTCGCCGTCGAGTGTACGAATGTCCCCGACAAGGGTATTCTCGGCTTTGAGGATCGTAGAAAGAGAGGATGTAGAGAGGAGGTGGTCGACGTAGCGCTGTGGGTCGAAGTCCGCATTGTCTAGCTCGGTCCCCGAGGTCAGGGTGGATGGGTTGGATATATCGCCCGCATCGGTGTTGCGGGGGACGCTGCGGGATCGAAAGCTTCCACCAGGACTGCCGGTGTCTGCACCTGGAGGCTTGAGATTGTAGTAGTCTCGTAGGGCGGAGCGGTTGCGACGTGGGTTGGGGGAAATCGCTCGTGCGGTGGATGGTGTTGAAGAGGCGCTGAGCCCGCCAGGAACATTAGTGTTTAGCGCATCGAGAGATGGCCGAGAGGATGCCGGGGTTGGTGACTGAGCGCGTGAAGAGGCAATCGAAGGCCGAGGGGAAGACAGTGTGGACATTGTGGTGGTTGATGGAGGAGAGCAGTTCAATGGCGGCGCGGAAAGGCCGCCAGATCATCGGGGTTAAGCGGTGGTCCGAGCTGGCGTATTTTCCACAGCTTTTGGAGCTTCAAACTGCTTTTCTATCCACTCTATTTACACCTTTTCCCTCCATCGCTCGGTTCGCAGAGATATGCACGAACGATGGCAAATGCAGAGCAGATCGCTGCTCAAATACTGAGCGCCAAATCCCTCTGCGTCTCGTCCTCGTGGCTCAATACGTTCCTTGCCTCGTCGCAACGCAACATCCCCGCCTCCGCACTCACCAAGACAGCTCTTTTTCGCGTCCTCGCTTCGGACATTCGCCAGTCACTGGCGACAAACCCCACCTCCCTTTTCCCAGTCGACATCTCTGACCCTACCGTTCAAGAAAGGCGCATTCCCGGGCCAATTCCCGTACAAGTCCTTGACATTGAAGACATTGGCACGAGTCTCTGGGGCCAGGTCGAAGCAATTGAGCGTGTCGAGCGTGGTGAAGCTATACGAGGCCGGGAGATCGTACGAACAGTGAACGTTGGCGACGATAATGAAGGAACGGAATTTGGGAGCTCGAATAATACTGGCGCTGCTGGAGCTCCCACTGCGTCTGGGAGCAGTGGAGCTGGGCCACATCGATTGATTCTACAGGATGCCAATGGGACAAATGCTGTTGCAATTGAGATGCAGCGTATTGAAGGCATCTCGCTGGAGGAGCTTCCTATAGGCGCGAAGATCCTGTTGCGTAACGCAGTTGTGGCGCGTGGTATGGTCTTATTGGATCCCAATTGCTCTACACTGCTCGGCGGGAAGATTGAGGCTCTGGATAAGCCTTGGAAGGAGGGAAGGAAGGCCAGATTGCTGCAGAGGATTGATTCTATGAGAGACAACGCGAATTAAAGCAGTCGAAATGGCTGGTAGTCATGCTGCTAATGAGTTTCAAGATCAGCCACGAAGGAGATGATTCGGTTTTGTTCAAATATGTTGCATCCTCAATGGCTTGAAGTCATCATGGTACAATCTTTACAGACTGGATGAGATTATGATAGAAGGTATGCAATGTTTTCCATTTATTGGTGGTTTTGCTGCGAATGACCCAACCACATTCCCACGCATCCATGCTCCCGTTAACTAACTATGCTACCAGGCTAGATATGCCATCGTTCAACTCCTCCCAGCCTTCCTTCCTCCACGGCGCAACCATGATAGCCCTGAAGGCATCTGTAGCCGTACCGGCTTGAACATATGCCTGGCTCAGATCCGAGGCATCGAGATTGCTGTGAGGGGGCACACTGCGGAGAGCCCGTTGGATGGCCATTTCTGCTGGGTACGAGCTGTCGGAGACAGCAGACAACTCCATCCAGCCCTGCGGCTGACCTGGAGACAGCATGATGGCAGCGGTGGCTTCTCCAATGCGACGAAGATCTTCAGGAAGATTGGCCTTCTCGGTGAATCCCATTGCCGAGATGGCAGCCAACAGTTTCAGAACCTTGCCGCGGTCATGGATGCCAATGTCATCCCGTGTAATCATATTGTGGAGATCAGCCTCCACGGCCTCGATCGCGTCTCGGTCTTGGTCGAGAAGTGCGATAGCACCCAGCAGAGTCACAGCTCCAACGTGGTCTGGATGGTTCTCCACGCAATCAAACAGCTGCTGGCGAGCAACAGATCGTTCCTCTTCGCCCCCCTTTGCCCAGAGGACTTGGGCGAGAAGACACACAACGTCGGGTGCGTTGTTGGCTTCTTGAAGAGCGTCACGGAACATATCAATTGCCTGATCCATGGACTTTGTGAAGTAATGGGCCAGGCCTGCTGTGAGATGCGCCGACAGCCGGAGCTTGCTGCATGCCTCGGGGTCGAAGTTCTCTGCGTCTTCCTCTCCGGATAGAGTGATGGCAGTTTCGGCTTTTTCTGCAGCCTCGTCGTAGCGGTGGTTGGCGAGAAGTACTCGAGCAATGTCTGCATTGGCCTGGGCAAACCGCGATAGCGATGCGGGCGATTCGGTCTCTTCGAACTCTGCCTCAATGCCCGAGCAAACAACTTCCAGACTGGACTCGGCGTCGGCAACCTCACCCATTCTCTCAGCCAGCAGGGCTGATAGGTGCATGAATGGAAGGTCGGATGGATCTTGAGCGCAGAGCTGGTGGAGAGCGAAGAAAGGCTGGATCAGCTGCGAAACTTCGTTCGAGGCAGATGGGTCACCGAGCAGGTGGTCAAATAGGGTGAGAGAGTATTGACGCTTTGGAAGCATCGAGGATGAGTTGGAAATATCAAATGCATGTTCAAAAAGTCCTCGTGCCTCGTTAGAATCTCCATAGAGAAGCGCAAGGATACCCTGGCCAACCCATGCCTGAGCGTAGTCCGGATCCGTTGACTGAGCACGCGTAAAAGCCTCATTGGCAAGCTGGATGTCGCTGTGCAGGAGATACAGCGCACCCAGGTTCGTCCAGACTTGCGCACTGCGATCATTCAGATGCAGACTTCGCACGAAGGCATGCTGAGCCACCTTGGGACTCATGTTCGTAGTGACAACGGCCAACGAGTTCCAGAACTCCGAGTTGCCAGCTTCTAGCTCAATCGCCCGCTTGAAGCATCGCATCGAAGCCTTCAGGAACTTCCGGGGCTTCTTGCTCTTAGTACCGGAGCCAAGTTGCACACTTCGGTATGCCCTATACTCGGCCCAGCCTAGGTTGTACCATGCAACGGCTTGCGCGTGGGTGTCTTGCGTAGAGACGTGAATGGCACGCTTGTATGCCAGGATTGACATGAAAATGCAGAAATCAGGTGAGATAACATCATCACTATCACTTGTGTCTAGCCAAGCTTGGCCCACGCCGTCTACCTCGGTCATGAGATCGAGGGCGTTGGGATCAACACCAGAGAGCAGCAAATGCTTACAGTCCGCGACTGAAACTTTTCCGATCTTCTTCTTTATATAGGTCATATTCGCGCAGGCATCACCGACTGACTTCCACAGGTTGAAGATGTCATGCCGAACAGTAACAAGCGACCCAGCTACTTGGATGACCTTGCACGCAAGTTCCGCAGCATTATTGAATAAGCCTGAATCAAGACTCTCCCAAGAGCTCTCGGCCAAAGTCTGGAGAAGCGCAATTGTCACGCCGATGTCATTGGGGCGAGTAATTAGCACATCCTCGTAACTAGCAATTGCATCGTCATAGACGCCAAGTTCCCTCTTCACGTTGGCCATCATGTATCGCGCAAACCAGATATGATCTTTTTCTTCGCCACAAAGGTTAACCTCCAGCTCCCGTGCGTGTTCAAATGCCTTGGTTGCAGCAATGTATCGACCAGAATGGTGATAGCTCTCCGCTAGACCAACCCAGGAATGGTAATCACTAGGACTGATCCGTAGCGCAGCTTGGAACGAGACAATACTTTTTGAGTATTGCTGCTTGTTAATTTGAACCGTTCCAAGAGCCGCATATGGCCAACTATGCCCTTTACGCTTAGAGCCTGGGGCAGGCTTGGCGTATCCCGAGTCCACAACCCGCTGTGCAACGGCTTCGACCAGATCCCATTCCTTCTGGTCCGCGAAACCTCGAGCAAGACGCTCGGCAGCCTCGGTTTCCGATGATGATAACTCGAAGGCTTTGTGGAAACACCTGCGTGCTCTGGTCTTGTCTTTCTTGTAGTCCGCATAGTAGAAGCCAAGGCTTGTGTACGCAGGCGCATAATTCATGTTAGCCTTGATAGAAGCCAGGAAGCTTGAATAGGCCCCATTGCGATCCTTGCGAGCCGCCACAGATGGATCTAGTTCCCACTGGCAGTATCCAATCCGATAAAGCAGCTCAGACTTGAAGGACTTGTTTTGAGGTTGTTCCACTCTCAAATTTTCGAGAGCATCCTGGAGACCGTCGAGTCCAGCCTGTAAATCGCCGTTCAACGCCTTGCACCAATGAAGCTCGCCACGAATCTTGATGTTTGTAGGATCACGCTCTAGAGCGCGCTCTAAAAACTCGACAGCATTCTCATAGTCCTGATCAACTTTCAGGACCATACCGATACCCAGAAGACAGACGGTGGAGGTAGGCTTTTGTTGGAGAATGTTTTCAAAGATCTTCTTGGCTTCTGGGTGGTGCCGAGGTGATTGATATGGAATTAACGCATTGGCGAGGGTAATGTTAATGGCGTCCGTTGTATTTTGAGACTTCCATCCAGTGTACCTGACGAATTCCGCAACATTTCGAAGTCCTTTCCGAGCCACATCGACGGTGCTCTCGTACTCTTCGAGGAGGAGGTAGAGATCTGCCATGATACGATGCGCAATAACCGATGACGGGGCCATTTCTAGACCCTCGGTCATCAGAATCAGCCTATCTGCAGTACCCGCATCGGCGTTCTCAGTGACATCTGCTTCCTCGACTATCTCGGTAGTCTCAGTGTCTTTGCGGGTGATCGTTGCCACCGCGTCGCTTTCAGACTCAGAGTCCTCCCGAGGAAATTGAGACAATTCACACGTCAGGAAGCCCTTCAGAACTTTTGCCAATCCAGTTTCCGGGAAGAACTCGATGTACTCGCGCAGGACACCCACATCCCACTGCGAGTAATCCTCCACATCCTTCCACTCGAGCACAATGTTCCACGCGAGTTCAAAGGGGTGCTTGATGATAACCATGTCCTGCGCAGAACGAAGTATTTCCTTCCGTTTCGCAGGTTTCTTGCTCACGGGAAGGAACTCAAGCTCCTCGCACGCACGCTCGAGAAGTTTCTCCTCATACTGGCGACGAACGGCATCATCATTCGTCCAGTCGATGAGACCCCGGTACAGATCTTCCAGCTTGCTCTGCCTGAACGCGTCACGTTTCACCTCGAGGGTGACATTCTCTTTTGTTGCACCAAGACGAGTTCTTCGTTCACCGATTTCCCGGTTGATGTATGCCTTCTCCTCGGATTCGGTGATTTCGATCATACGGAGGTAAGTCAGGGATGGGTGTGGCAGCCGACCTTCGAGGAAGGAGTAGATAGGGGAGCTAGGGAGTTGCAATTCAAGGGCCTTCTTGTATCTGGCTTTATCGTTGTCCTTTCGAGCAAGCTTTGTGTATCTGTGGACAACATCCTGGCATCGTTCCTTCTCGTCGCTGAGGCGAAAGACGAGATCAGCTTTTTCTAGTCCTCAAACCGACGTGTAAAAATTCATCTGAGCTTCATACCTGTCGGCGAAGATTTTCCCGAGCTTGAGAACAGCTTCATGATAGGCATCCAGCTTCGACCCGCCTTGCTTCTCGTACAAGCTAATCAGGCCTTGCCAAGCGGTGCGATCGTTATCTTTTATCCGCGTCGCAGCAAGATAAGCTTCCTCTGATGCCTCATTCTGATTCAATTTGTCATTCGCAAGTCCGAGGAACACGTTTCTAGACGAGAGAAAAGGAGCCGGTTAGCTAGGGTCCAAGCTGTGAGGAGGAGTCCTTGGCACTCACGCATGGTAATTCTTGGGATCATTCTGTACCAGCGCCCTGGCTTTTTCAGCAGCCGCCGCAAAATCTTTGGCGTCTAAAGCTGTTCGAACAGCTTTTAATTCGGCCTTGCTCGACATGGTCCCCGTGCGCACTCAGCCTGGAGGGGAGGAGCGGGGAGGTTCTCGGTGTGGTGGAGAAGAAGCGGTTGATCGGTTAGCGCCGATACGTCACGGCCTTATCGGCTATCGGGGGGGACCCCAGCTTTGGTCAGCTGCAGCCTGCCTGTAACATCACCACTTTGTGCCAACTCCTTCTTTGTCTGCGTTCAAACTTGCAGGCCATCTCAGATCGTTTTGCAGTCATTGATCTTGTTCTTGGGGAGGTGGTCCATCCCGTGAAGTCGAGGTACGTATGTCTGCTTGGTCACGGCTCTCCCGGCAGCCGAGCATCATCCTAGACTAGGGTTGCTTGAACTTCACCGAAGCTTGGCTAGGATCTCGATAATTCCTGCTTCTGACCGTAATTTTTTAATACCCAGTGCTTCTTACATGCCGTATCTTGAATCGGTTTCTTGCTGGTCGAAACCGTCGCAGGACTGAATCAACCGACTGACACCGCCATTTCTTATCGCATACTCCAGGATGGGTCCTCTGCGTCTTCACATCGATGGAAAGGTGTTTCGCGATCCTCAGAATCGAGAGATACTGTTGAGGGGTATCAACGTTGCTGGCGATGCCAAATACCCCAAAACGCCCGATCTTCCTTCGTTTGTTTCGGACAAGTTCTTCGACGCAGACGATGTTTCCTTTGTCGGGCGGCCCTTCTCGCTGGAAGACTCGCACGTCCACTTCAAACGACTGCGCAAGTGGGGCTATAATGCGATTCGATACATCTTCACATGGGAGGCAATCGAGCATGCCGGTCCGGGTATCTACGACGAAGAGTGGATCGCATTCACCGTCGAGGTTCTGAGAATAGCGAAGCAATATGAGTTTTACGTCTTCATGGACCCTCATCAGGACGTGGTCAGTAAATTTGGGGATTTTCAATTTTTCATATCGCGGTACTAACCCTAACAGTGGTCTCGATTGTCTGGAGGATCCGGCGCACCAATGTGGACACTTTATGCGGCAGGCCTGAATCCCAAAGGGTTCAAAACCACAGAAGCTGCACTCGTCCAAAATACATATGATAACCCTGCTGATTTCCCCAAGATGATCTGGAGCACGAACTATACCCGTCTCGTATGCCAGACCATGTTCACCCTCTTTTGGGCCGGCAGAGACTTTGCGCCCAAAGCTATCATCAACGGCATGAATATTCAAGACTATCTACAGGCTCACTTCATTGCAGCCTGTAAGCACCTGGCGCAACGAATTCATGAGGCCGGGGATATTGAACACGATGTAGTGATTGGCTGGGAGAGTATGAATGAGCCCCATCGAGGCCTGATCGGAGTGCAGGATATTTCTACAATTCCCCCGGAACAACAGCTTCAGCTTGGAACCTCACCGACGGCCTTCCAGGCAATGCTCACTGGCGCCGGGCGAGCTTGCGAGGAAACTACCTGGAGCTTTGGCAGCTTTGGGCCCTACCAGACAGGCAGACAGCTTGTGGACCCAGAGGGTGAATTAGCCTGGCTGCCTGTCGGCCATGATGATAGCAAATACGGCTGGCAACGAGACTCCGGATGGAAACTCGGAGAGTGCATTTGGGCCCAACATGGAGTCTGGGATCCCGACACGGATACCCTACTTCAGAAGGACTATTTCTCAAAGGTGCCCAGCACTGGAGAGCCTTTAAACTACGAGATATTCACCAACACCTACTTTTTGGAACACTACCGAAAATACAGAGATGCAATTCGAGGCATCTGGCCTGCGGCGATACTGCTGTGTCAGCCACCCGTGATGGAAGTGCCTCCCGACTTGAAAGGAAGCAAAGACGATGACCCAAATATGGTCCATGCTGTTCATTACTACGACGGTTTAACTCTTTTGACTAAACACTGGAACCGCCTCTACAATGTGGATGTCATTGGTGTTCTCCGAGGCAAGTACTGGGCACCGGCGTTTGCTGTCAAGGTCGGAGAGTCGGCGATTCGCAATTGTCTGCGTGACCAACTCAAGTTTCTTCGCGAAGAGAGTTTGAAGTACATGGGTAATCATCCACTTCTCTTCACCGAGATTGGCATTCCATATGACATGGATAACAAGCATGCCTACGAGACTGGAGACTATAGCAGTCAAACGAGCGCGATGGATGCCAATCACTTCGCCATTGAAGGCAGTACCTCAAATGGCTTTACCCTGTGGGTGTATCAGACAGAGGTATACCTTTTCTTCATTCTCTTACTTTGCGACGAGAAGTCGTTCTGAAAAGCTAATTTTGATGCAGAACAATCACGAATGGGGCGATCTTTGGAATGGCGAAGACCTGTCTATTTACTCCCGAGACGATTTGGAACTTCCGACCAAAGCCACGTACACCTCCCTAAATCCACAGTCCCCTGCCTACTCTGAAAGCCATAGCAGTGGAGACGAGCCGGATGTCGATCCTCGCAATCTCAAGCGCGCACTCACAAATCCCTCAATCACCAGTGTTAGCTCTCAAACTCCCAAGGGCTACCGGGCCGCCGAGGCTTTCCTTCGCCCAAGTCCAACATACGTGAACGGGGCCCTGGACAGCCATGTCTTTGACCTTCGGAGTTGTACGTTCACCATGACTTTGACGGCAAAAGTCGCTACCAAAGCCGACGCCCCAACAGAGATTTACCTGCCCGAGTTTCACTTCCCTGAGAGTATGACTGTCATCGCGGCAAGCGGGGGGAAGTGGGAAATTGACTACCAGGAAATCAAGTCCATTAAGATTCAACGATTACGATGGTGGCACGCCGAAGGCGAGCAGAGCATCAAAGTTGAGGGAGTCAAGCGCAAAGCTGGGGAGATTTCGGTGATGTAAAATCAACCATCTCCGAGGAACTTAATTCACTATAGCTCTAACAATGGTTGACAGCTTATGTACAAAGCAATGCTAGCTCTAACAATGGTTGACAGCTTGGGTACAAAGCAATGCTAGCTCCGCTCAAGCAGGTGAGAGGTTGATCAATCTAAAAGCGTAGCTCGCTTCGGAGCGAAGTAAGTCTATGTCGAAGTATAGAATCTCATTCGGGTTGCGACCGGGTCGTAGTATAGACCCGAAAAGCTCACGGCGGGTAACTCCCAGTCTTTGAGTCTGAGTTGTGTTCGGAATGGGGAAGATTTCCTTCGAAATGTCAGATTATTACGACGAGGAAATGCTCTCGGATGTACATACCTCGGACTGTGTCATTGTAGGTTGACCATTTAGGTCGAGTCTCCATGCCTCGACTGTGCCCGCGACGACGGTTCCCTGCTGTCGGATTTTCCAATTTACAAGAATCACGACATCGATATCCCCGCCACCCCCCCTTAGGAGGAGCTCCATGTCCTCTTTCAAGGCGGGTGCGGACTGCGACCAGCCAACCTCGACTGCAATGGTGGGGAGTAATTCCTCGTCCTTGGGACGGAAGAAAAAGTCGGGCTCCTTGTAGCTTTTCGCGAATGGTGAGGTGGGCAATTTGATGGTTGTCCCAACGCCGGTATCGATTTCTTTGTATTCAGCCCAGTCAATAAAGCCGCTTTCGACCCATCCCGAGCAGGATTTCGTCAACCATCGTTGAATGCAGTCATGACCCTCCCCAGGCATCTTAACCCGTAGGGTTCTGGAGTTTGTGTTCCAAGTTTGCCTATAAAAGTCAGTCACTTGAGAGTCACTTCAGTCACTTCAGAGTCACTTACCGTAGTCGAAACCGCTTATCGATTTCTGTGAAGAGGAGCTCCCCTAATGAAATGGGTAGATGGGTAAACTGGTACACCGTATGACCGGGCTCTAGAGAGCTAAGCTTTTTCTGATGCAAAATGTCGAGTTTCTGAATCACAAAGTGCAGAAACTTAGACTCCGATTCGTACTCAAGTGCAGAGAACACAAAATTCGGGCCTGGCTCAGCTGACGACACCGACACTGAGGACTCAGTCGAGGAGAACGTTAGACTGGGTGTGCCTGAGTCAAAGGTACTCGACGGCGAGTGAGGTGAGTTATCGGAAGTCGACATGGCGAACGTAAAAAGATGGGGCTGAAAATTCAGTTGTAGACTTGAAGTAAAGAGTCGTATGGTGGAAAAGGGAAGGAGTGTGGTTGGGAGTAGAAAGGGAAGTAGGGATCCGTGGATCATATATAGAGAGAGAGAGAGATAAGATAACCAACCAGCGCGGGACGGCAAGGCCCCAACTTCCTCATCGGCTACCTTCCGTCACTCTTCCTCAGCAAACAAATCCCGCGTGAATGACGTCTTGTATTGCCGAGGACGCGATTTCTGTGGGCAGTGTTCGCGTTCCTATCTCGCATACAACACCACGCCGCCTCGATCGCTCCTCGGATACCTTTCACGCTTATTTCACACCACTCTGCACGTGTCGCGCACGAGATGGCTGCCGAAGAGCTCTCGGAGGCCGGAATGGCTGATATCATTCGAGCCCTGGAGGTCATACACAGCCCAACCTCCACCAATGCGCTCCGCAAAGAGGCTTTGTCCTTTGTCGAGGCGCTGAAAGATAACGAGGCGGCAGCTCGCAACGGATTTCTGCTAGCTTCGCGAGCAGATCATGCTGCTGTTGTGCGGTATTTCGGTCTGACCCTGCTGGACCACGTTTTGCGCCATTTGTCTTTCACCAGCCCCGAGGAATCCACGAACCTTCGATCGATGATCCTTCAGCTCGCCGAGAATATTCGACCCGAGGACCCGAGTTTTTTCCGCAACAAGATCCCGCAGCTCTGGTCGGAAGCCGCTAAGAAGAGCTGGGGCTTGGATTGGGCGGATATGGATGAGGCGCTTGTCAAATTCTGGGGTGTGTCTCTAGTACATAACGAGCTAGTACTCTCCGTATTGGAAACTTTGTCGGAAGACGTCTTCTTTCGTGAGGATACCGTCTCTTCTTTGCGTGGCTCCGAGCTCAATCGTGCGCTCGTCGAGATCTTCACACCTGCCGCGATTTTTGAGCAAATCAATCCCGACAAATCCACCACTGCCGTTCTGCGATGTGGACAGGAGGGTTGGCTAGTTCGAATTTGCGAGTTTTTGGACAATTGCGTACAGAACGTCTCGACCTCGCGTGAAGCACGCGATGCGGCCGTCAAGGCTCTAACAACGCTGAGATCTGCACTTTCTTGGTCAATCTTCAAAGCCGTTATCGCCGGACAGGTCGTTGCGAGTGTCTTTAGGGCTTTGACCTGCCAAGACGAACAAGTGTTGCTGGTAAGAACGTCTTACGAGATTCGTAGGTATCGCCATAGTTTGATTCTAAACGATGTTCTTCTAGGCTGCGGTTGAGGCATTGCATTCACTTTATGGGCGGAACAATATGGGAAATGACGAGTCTCACGGTCTAGTCTGCCTGATCTTTGAGAGCGACTATCTCAATACCCTTCGAAATCTATATCAGTGGTCCATTGTTGGCCCAGAGGATGCGGATGAGCCGAAGTACTTGATCTCTAAAAAACTTTCGGAGGTAAGTATCTCACCATCCAATCGATGCACCATCTCACAGAGCTGACGTTTCATAGATGATCTCCTATGTTGCTGGCTGCTTGGAGGACGAGAGGTTCCTTCGAGACACCATGCACCGTCTAGATCTCCCGCCCTTCTTCAACTTCATGTTGAACATCATGCAACACCAGAGCTTGACTGTATCTATCCCGTGTCTTCATTTGTGGTCAAGACTTTTGGGTGTTCAAAAGATTGGCACTTCAGAATTTGTGGTCAACCAGACCCCGACTTTCCTCACCGTCTGTACGCAGCGTTTGATACGGTGGGAGTCCCTTCCGACAGAGTCGGAGGATCCGACGATCCAGTTCCTCGCGGAGGATATTGACACGATCCCGGAGCGTCATGCATTCCTTGGCAATTATCGTCGCTATTGTTCGTCGATCATTGAGACCATTACCCAGAAGCGTGCTCAGGAGGCGGTACGCGAGATCCTTGGACGAGTTGATGAGAACTTGGACAACCTATACAGTGGTGCTGAGCCATTTCAAAGTACGTCTTGATGCAATTTATGATTGTTTACCGCGCTAACCGAAACAGTGCACGGTTACAGTAAATCATCGATCCCGCTTATGCGTGCGGATGCTCAATTCGCCGTTGTTGAAGCAGTTATCAAAGGCTTCAACAAGTGGATTGAAGCCCATGGCAAGGCACCTCAGCAGGATGTAAGTCTCTCTGGCGAACCATTAAACATGCCTTCGCTTATCCCATTGACAGGAGCAGGAGAGGAAAGAGCTGGAGCTTGCGGTGGAGAGCTGGGCTTCGAAGCTGATGCAAAGGAATTTCGAGGTTCGTGCGCATATTAGCAATACAATGATCAATCAAGCCTGAGATCACTAACAGGTTTTGCAGGATCCGGTGATTAAGCAAAAGGTCATCAAATTGGTGGTTGACATCTCGTCCAAGGCGCTGGACAATCACCCTGCATATGCGCTAAAGGTTCTTGAGCACATTCTCATGACACGCCTTCCAGACCAGCCGGAGTACCCTGTTTATGCTGAGGCCGTCAAGGAGCTCCATGGGCTGGCTAGTCACGAACTCCGACGCCTCGCGATCCGCTACGCTGACTATTTCTCCACTTTCTACGATCTGCTTGAGCCGAAAATCAGGGAGATCACAATGGCCAACCGTGTGGATGATAAACTCCAGATGGAGCTGACGTCCATCCTGTTGATCATTATGCAACGCGCCAGCAACATTGATCCGAACCTTCGCCATAGCCGGCTGGCCGGATTCCTTGCGCCCATTCGAGAGGCATGGCAGGACGATGAACTCCGCCGTATGAGCTCGTCATTTGAGGGCTTTTGCACCATGCTTGGACTAGAAAACGTGGGGTCATACATGCAAGCCAAGCAAGCGCACAAGCTTGAGGATTGGTCGTCAGTTGCCTTGGACAATGAGGGAAAGCTTGTCCAGGAAGAAATGACCAGGAAATTCCAGATGCTACCGCTGCGTGGTACCAAAACCATGCTAGCTGTTTCAACGGACAAGCTAAAGAGAACCTCGCCCGCGTATCAAGTTGCTTGTGATATGTGGCAAGAGCTAACTCCTCAGATCCTTCCTACCTTGGTCCAGCTGCTTACTCATGCCCATGCCTTCCACAACCCGGCTAATTGGGCCGTTAGCGACGATATGCGAGCAGTGGTTGAGCGCATTTTGACCGATCGGTTCTGGCAAGCCGGCATTTCCAGTGGTAGCCGCGATGACTTCTATGCTAAGATCACTGCATCAAAGTCAACTCTCGAGGGGTTTGCATCATCTGTTCGGGGCAAAATTCGAGCAGTGCGTGAGTCTTGTTACTCGATGCTTTTCAGCATGAGCCGAATGCGCCATCAATTCTATGGATTTGCCGAGCTGCCAGGGCCGTTGTCCGAGGCCCTCTTCAAAGATGCGGAGCACCTTTCCTCCCACCAATTTTCTGTCCTACTCAACATTTCCCGCTGCCTAATTGACGATTGTCCAGTTCAGTACCGTGCCCAATTCTTGCCGCCAATGCTCGCTACTTTGTTCCGCAGCATCGACCGCAAGATCACCACTGAATGGGAATTGATTGAGCAGCGGAAGAGTGGCGGCTTGGATGGTGACCTCACTGACGAAATGAAGTCGGAAAGCGTTCTTCGTCAACTGACATATGCTGCGGTCATCATGGTTGCCAGCTTGTTCGACCCACAGAGAGGAGGTAAGAGCTTTAATAGTACCAGTTCCTCATCCATTGCACATACGTTCGTCTGCTGAGGCTCTCATGAGCCGAAAAGTCTTCGCATAAGCATACTAATACATTATGTTTCTTTAGATCCTGATCGAACAGAGGCAGACCCTAGTGCGCCGCAACCGACTCCTGAACTCGCCGACTCAATCCGTCACTTTGTTCTATCCTCGCCCGAAATCTTCGAGCCCGTCATGCTCTTCTGCACTCATGCTCTTCGCATGCGCGATACGCGGTGCTGCAGCATCATCACTCGCGTCGTTCGCTCCATCTTGGCCGACTTCGCACCCCCGCACAATAGTCAAACCATTGTGACCATCCGCGAGTTCATCTGCACAGACGTCCTGCAGGCTTGCATTACCTCCGTCCATGAATCCTACTTCGTTGACATGCAGAAGGATTTGGCCCAGCTCATCGCGTCCATCTGGGTTTTGTACGGAGTCTGCAGCGAAACACCACGGTCCGTCTTCCTCTCTCTGCCTGGCATCACTCCAGAAAAGGTTGTTCAGACAGAGACTGCTCTCCAACGGTGCACCTCGCCCCGCCAACAGCGGGCCTTGGTCCTCGAGTTACTTGAGCCGCTGCGAGGTGTTAGCATTGCCGAGCAGGGCAAGATCCTTGGCTCACGGGAGGAGCGTCGCAAGGCGAGGACCGCGATTCAAAGCCGGTACATGACCAACGAGATGGAGACACAGCAGGAGACTCATCGTGTTGACATCAATGATGGTCCCGATCTCTCTGGTGTTGCCGACATGTTCGGTTAGTGCATCAGCGATACTCTCGACAATCAGTTACGGCTCTCATCTATGGACTGCTTTGCATTTAAATCGCTCGCCATTGACGGTCCCGATCAGCGTTTTTGATATATTGATCCAGAGCTTCTTAGCCCTACGTTCTCAATTTCTATGTCAATGCTCACGTGAGATCTGCTTGATCTCGCATTACTTTTATGTTTGGTGGCCTAAGTTTTCGATTGCATCCTGAGCGTACGTTCTTGATGTTCATTTTTTTTGGTTTTTCATATTCTTGAGGCATGGGTTTCTCATCGCTTGCGACCTTACGGACTACCCCTTGGCGGCGGCGCTTTGAGACCAACAGAATAGACAGGCCGCTATACATTTATAGACGGCCAAAACCCCAATATGAACGTGCTCATGCACAATTAACATATAAATCCCTGTTTTCTATCGTAAACTAATGATACTGGCAATTTTGGGCCACTCTTTACTTCTCTTGTAGATTGGGTTGATTTGCGTCAATGCAAAACAGAAGAAAAATGACTTGTTGTAAAACAGAACTAGGCCCTTCGTAGTAACGGTATATCTACAATGTTTTCCTCGAGCCCCTGGCTCCTTTGAGACAAACGATCCTTGCCTCTATGATTCTTTCACTCGCTCCGCCTCATCTAACGAATCGAACTCCAACCCTCTTTCCTATGAGGGTGCCCTTGAACCAGCAGTGCCGTGTCCAACCACGAGCGGGAACAAATGGTGGTACGAGATCGATGAATGCGTCGACGAAATTGTCTATTGGGTGACCTTGGAGGGAGTGTAGGCAAAGGTAGGGCGGACGAAGCTGTACATAGAGAAGGCATTAGCGTCATTGACTCGGCCATTGAGATCCGATTTGGAGTCTCCGTCAAGCGTACGTACCGGTCGGAGTTGTAGACCTTGTGCTCGGCGCCCAGGAGCTCCTTCTCGCGAGCCTTGTCGGCGTAGTAACGGCGGACCTGATCACGGTCCTCCTCAGCCTGAAGGAGAGGAGTGAGGTAGAGACGGCCCCACATCTTCTCACGGGCAAGCTCACTAAACCCAAGCCAATGTCAGTTTCTGGTCAATATTGAGGGCAATACGCCGCGTTGCCGCATTTCCGAGTCGCATTTGCGACGCATCGGGATCATCGGGGCAAGGGAACTCTGCCGTTGCGGAACACGTACCGTTGCTCACGGACACCGTGGAAGTACTTGTAGAAGCCGTAGGCCATGATCATGTGCATGCCGACCATGTAGTAGAAGGGCTTGAAGCCACGGGCAGGGAGGTTCCGCTGGAGTTCGAGAGAGGGAGGGTTAGCTGATGTCGCTGTGCGATTGCCGGGGAGAGTCTGGTTCGGCGCCCGTGCTTATCAATGGCATACCTTGTACTGGACTTGGGCGTAGCCCCCCGTTGGGGGCATATCCTGAGGCATGATGGCGGTATGGGGGGTTTTGGAGGCTCCGTGTACGTAGCGAGGAGTCCTTGGATGGAGAAGTTGGTGATGCATATCACGTGAGGTGCTCAGTAATGAGGGCTGCGGCAGTTGCTATTGGCTGGCGGCGGTGAGTGGGCTTTTTCCCCAGCGATGGACGAGACTGCTTAACAGCCCACTTGCTTATTTGGTCATAATAATACTGTCCTGACCAGCACAATGGACGAGGAAGAGAGACCTAGGAAGCTTGCAAAGCTCGAGCACGACGACGAAGCCATCGACGATGAACTAGGCCCCGCAATGACCGGTGTTGTGGCAGCTGCCGACGAGCCGTCGCAAACTGTCGCGCCTAAGAACGATAATGCACAATTGGAACAATCAGAGCTCCCCAGAACCGACAATGCCATTCCTGTCAGCGACTCTGCGCTACCTGAGGGCACAGCCACGCAAAACGCCCCTCCACCGCTCTCGAAGAACCAGCTCAGGAAACTCAAAAAGAGAGAGCAATGGGAGGCAGGACGAGAGCAGCGCAAGGAAAAGCGGAGGGAACAAATGGCAAAGAAAAAGGAACGTCGCCAGCGTATGGTCGATGAGGCGAGGGAAACTGGTGGCGAGGAAGCCGTTCAGGCTCTGCGCAAGCAATGGGAGACGACTCGGTCCAAGTCTCGGCGGTCGACTCTGCTGCCCCTCTCGATTGTGATTGACTGCGGCTATGACGATTTGATGAATCCTCACGAGCGCATTTCGCTCGCAGGTCAACTTACACGCTCATACTCGGAGAACACTCGTGCTGTTTGGCGCTCGAACCTGATGTTCAGCTCGTTCGATAAACAACTGAAGGAGCGATTCGACAAAGTGCTCGCGCCCTATCGCAATTGGAAGGGGATTCGAATTATCCAGGAAGATTTCATGCATGCTTCTGAGCTTCTCAAGGAACAAATGGCTTCCCCCAAGGGTGGGAAACTCGTTGGACCCTTTGCTGAAAAGAGCGACGCTAAGCCGGAAGATGGCGAGGTCATCTACCTGAGCAGTGATAGTGAGAATATCTTGACGGAGTTGAAGCCCTACTGCACTTATATCATTGGTGGCCTCGTGGATAAGAACCGCCACAAGGCAGTTTGCTACAAAGCTGCCGTTGCGAAGGGGATCAAGACCGCCAAGCTGCCCATTGGCGACTATATCCAGATGGCCTCTCGTCAGATTCTAACCACCAATCATGTGGTCGATATTATGCTGAAGTGGCTGGAACTGGGAGATTGGGGAGAAGCTTTCATGAAAGTCCTTCCGCCCAGAAAGGGCGGCAAGTTGAGGGAACAGCAGGGCGACGAGGCTACGGAAGAGGTGACGGACGATGAGCCTAAGCCAACTCTGGAGGAGATCGCAAATGAGATGGAGGCTGAACAAGGAGATGATCATGATGATGACGGAGATGCATGATAAGTACATAGCCAATTCATAATAACCTTATACCTTGCCCCATCTTTGGCAGGCAACACGTCAAGTTTTCAAGAAGCAGTTGTAAGTGGATCATAGCATTCTATCGACAAAGTGCAGTATTGAGGTAAAAAACTTAATTACAGTGACAACAAGTATTCAAACTTCCTTCAAGGATGATACATCCAGCCTTCCTGGACCTAGTAATGAAATCTGCTTAAACAGCTTGCTGCATCTGGTCGAGATATATTTTTGTGATTAGCCGAGGGCGGTTACCTGCTCTTGAGGATATGGAGGACCTTTGATCTCTTGAAGACTAGTTCAGATCCTTTCTGGTAGAATAATGCATAAGGTGGTCTTTCCAAATTAGCCTCAATCAAGTTGGAAGTGATCAAAGATCACCTCGTGCTGTCTATCAGTCGCATGAAGAATAATGCTCGTTACATACTTTCTGCGATCCCAACACGTGACTTAGTAACTAGAAAGCACAAGCAGAGATTACATAAGACATAACGCAAGCCACACGTGGACGGACGCCACACTCGATGACGGAGGGGAATTTCTGATGATGCAGTAACTGTATCTTTCTTTTTTTTCCCCCAAGCTTTTCTTTGATTTCTTTACTCCCCGACGGTGGCAGACAAAGCTTCATTTTCATTTATCTTGAAGTTTCCCCGTCTCTTATATCACCTTCCCTTTACCTTTTCTTCTCTCCTTCATCTTCCGACTTTTTCTACATCCCTGTTGCTTGGTCGCTACCCCTCGCAACCATGTTTATGCTCCGCAACGGTAAGCAAACACGCTCCTACCCCGCCACGAGCCCCTCCGTACCAACCATCATTGTTCGCGACAAACGAACTAATCAAGCTAATAATTCTATTTAACATTCAGTGGGCAAGTTTCTCTTCGGTGATACTTCGAAAGAATCCATCATCGAAATTCCCCAGGGCCAGCTCTACCTGGTCCGCCCCCTATCACCCAAGGGCTATTCGGAGCTCATTTTCAAGGACGCCGCAGCAACGATCAGACGCACTGGCCAAGACTTCCAGTACCAACTCGTGATCCAGAGAGCCTACGAGGAAGGCGAGGAGGAACTTGCAGACGACGAAGACGAGCAAGTTGCGGATAACTTGGATAAGGACGAGAAAGTATTCCTGCTTGACCAGACTTTGCACTTCCGCTCCGAGGTTCGTGAGGGTGGCAAAATACTTGCGTGGGATGATCTGAGCGGTGACGAGGGTGATCTTTTCGAGTTCATCTGCGACCCTTCTGTCCCATCGGATAAAGTTGCCACGTTCGAGCTCGCCGCTTTGCAGTGCCAGTACGAGCGCAAGTTCCGTCGCAGCGCCCAGCAGGCTTCTGAGGACGAGCTGCAAGAGTTCGCATACCAAGAGGAGAAGCCGATCCCATCTGCGAGCCCCATATCCTCCCCCGCCGCCAAATCGCCCGAGCGTACCGTCACATCAGGTGACTCGGCAGCTGCTATGGCACGAGATGTGAAGTACGCCCAGTCGAAGGGGCAAGTCAAGTCAGCTGCACCCGATGAGAAGCCGACCACCGCTCCACCCTCCGCTGCTCAGCCCGAGTCCACGGAAATACTTGCTAAGGAGAAGGCTGAGCTTCACATGTTTGACTTCCCCTCGGGAACCTTCGTGCTTCAAGATTCTGATATCGTCGCAACCGTCTCAGAAATTGGCAATTGGCAGTATTGGCTTCAGATCAGTGGCAACGATAAGGATTGGCTGGGCCAGGCTGTCGTTGGAGACATCAACCCGGTTTTCAACTTTGAGTACCTGTCTTTCATTTTTAACCACTATGCGGAAGATGGCTCAGCCTACTCGTGGCTTCTGCGCTTTAAAGACCAGGCCTCCGAGGAGCGATTCCAGGAGGGTCTGATGCAGGCTTTGTGGGAGCAGCTCAATGAGATGAAGTGGGAGAAGGTCAAGGAAAACGACAGGGAATATGTCCTGGACGCATTCCAAGATCTCACCATGGAGGACGCCGATGACAAGCCGGAAGAAGAGGAAGAACCCGAAGAAGAAGAGGAAGAGAGTGACCAGGATGATGGCCAGCGAAGTGAACACTACGACAGTGATGAAGAGGAGGACGACGTGAACGTCCGTGACCAAGATGGTAACAAGAACTCTCAACTAGCCGTTGGTTATAAGCACGACCGTTCCTTTGTGGTTCGTGGATCGAAGATTGGCGTGTTCAAGCATACTCCGAACAACAACCTGGAGTTTTCCACGACCATCTCCAAAGTGGAGACCCCTGGGGGCAAGCTCTTTAGCCCCAAGAAGGTTATGCTGCATGCAGAGGATCGCAACTTGGTCCTCCAAAACGGCGATGACCCTAACTCTCTGTTCAGGATGGATTTGGAGTACGGAAAGGTTGTTGATGAATGGAAGGTGCACGACGATATCCCGGTGGAGACCTTTGCTCCAGAGAACGTGAGTTTTCATTCTGGATTTTTTACACATGGGTTCGGCGTACCACATACTAACCTCTTTGACAGAAATTCTCTCAAATGACCGCCGCCCAGTCGTTCGTTGGTGCGTCTAAGAATGCGCTCTTCCGCATCGATCCTCGTCTCGCTGGTAACAAGCTTGTCGACTCCGATCTCAAGCAGTATGCCAGCAAGAACGATTTCTCAGCGATGGCTACGACTGAGAAAGGCTATCTGGCCGTGGCTTCTAATAAGGGTGATATTCGCATGTTTGACCGTCTCGGTATCAACGCGAAGACTCACATTCCTGCTCTTGGTGAGCCGATCATCGGTCTGGACGTGTCTGCCGACGGCCGCTGGGTTCTAGCTACTTGCCGAACCTATCTCCTCCTGATTGACTCGCTGCAGAAGGAGGGTAAGAACGAGGGCAAGCTTGGATTCGAGAAGTCATTCGCCAAGGATGCCAAGCCTCAACCTCGTCGGCTTGGCCTGCAGCCTGCACACGTCGCCCAGTTCCAGCACGAGACGAAGCAGCCATTGGCCTTCACACCTGCTCGTTTCAACACCGGTGTCGATTCCACGGAGACGTCCATCATCACTGCCACAGGCCCCTTCATTGTTACCTGGAGCCTCAAGAAGATTATTGCTGGTCGCAAAGACCCGTATACAATCAAGCGCTACGCCGAGGACGTCATGGCAGACAACTTCCGCTTCGGCTCCGACAAGAACGTAATCGTCGCCCTCCCCAACGAGGTCAACATGGTCGCCAAGCGCAGCTTCCAGAAGCCCACTCGTGAGAGCATCGCCGGACCCATCACACCCATCCGTGCCAAGAGTGGCAGATTTAGCAGCCGTCTTGGAAAGAACGACATTGTCAACTCACCCTATTAGCCCGGCCTATTGACATTCCCTTACCTCCCTCTTTGAACTTTGTCTCTTTTTGGCTTTCTTGATTTTGATCCATTACCCATACCCCCTGTTGTTGATGCTTTTTTCTTCTCTTCTATTTACATTTCCTATCTATTTCCTCTGTGTGATCTCTCACAAGATCGAGGAATGGGTTGCACTGGCGGGGTCTTTAGTTTCTCCTTACGCAGTTGTACTTTTTGCCTCTTGGTGCAGGCTTGCATATTCTATGTAGGTAGCTAGCTAGGTACTTCCATAATCCCAAATGGAATAAGTCTGTCAAATTGTCCTTGCCCATAGGAAAATTGTCAGATGGCACGTCCCCATCTGATTCTACTCTAAGGTGTGCTATTAGGGGGAGATTCTGTCAAGACTTGAATCGGATATTTACTTAAAAACGAAGCTGATGTTTACAAAGGTAACTAAAAGCTTCCTTAGAGAGGCATCTAAAAAAAAGAGAAAACTGGAGAAAAAGAAAAGAATTCCCTTAGTGACTCAGGTTGTGAAGTTCTAATCACTCTATCCTCTTTGACGCCAATATATCATTTCTAATAATGTACAGATATGAACTGAGAAGGATCAAGTGCACGAATCAATTAGAGAACGACCTCTTAGCCTGAGTCACAGTCTCGTAGTAAGACACTCCAAAGAACCGACACAAAGAAGCTTGCAGAACACAATTCGAGAATGGCAAACTGTGCTTACGAGATTGCGCCTTGTGGCTGGGCATGTTCTGGAACAAAAAATGCTGTCATCAACAGGGATATCCGCGGAGTTCCATTCTCTACGCCCAGCGGACTTAACCAAAATGCCCGCACCTGCATATATACTGGATAATGTCCGCCAACTCTTGGCGCTCTCCTTCCGTTCTAGTGCTCACACCCTCGCCGCTTTTGCTCACTGAGTAGAATTGAGCACGCCGCTGAGCGACCTGAGCTGCTCAGTTATCATTACGTAATCAGGGTGACCTTCTTACTGAGCTCGATACGAGCATCCTGATTTGCTCACTGAGCCTGACCACAGCCTCCCATCTGATCACTGAGCCTACCTGAGCAACCTAGATTTACTTACTAATCACCTCCCAAGAGGCGATCTGAGTAAGCGGGCTTAATAAAACGCAATAAGCTAGACCGATCCCTTATACGGCTTTTCCCTTTCAGTCAAAGAGCGGGGCATCGTAAATTTACCACTTCCTTGGCGATCCTTGCCATTGTAGATAGGATGTATTTGGTGAAAATGATTACAATTATTGTAGATCTAATGCTCCTAGAAGCATTCTCCGTGCCCGATACTTGGCCACATTTGGGGAACTCTGGAGGCAATTTTAGTTACCTTCTATAATCGCGTCGTCGAACTCCTCCTAGTACTTAGAGATAGTTTAGCTATCTACTTATGGCAGCCTACTATCTTACATTATATTGGTCTTAAATGGTGCGAAGTTTAGGTATTCTCCATGCCCTAAGGCTCTGGAAATAGAGATCCTAGTTGAAAATAACTTCTAAAATAAGCCACAAGCGCAGAGCGTGGCATGATGACTACCAGGAAAGCAAAAGAAAAGTATACCAGTCTTAGTCTCCTGACTCCTCCATAACTTGCTGTACGCCTCCACGGCGCCTGATACCTATTTCAAGGCTGGTCATGTGGGATCCCACAGCAAGACCCGTCGCCGGGACCCGAAAGAGCCAAGGGCGCAAACCATGTAAGGGAGTTCAGTCATTTATGAAATCGTCGCGCAGCTTGATACTGTACCTATGACAATTAATGTTGCACCAATCTCTTTCTAAGTCTCTCTCCATCTCACCCTCACCAGCCCCTTCCTCATCCTGGTCTCCCTGGCATAACCGCCGTAATATTTTGCATCACCTCCACTAAAGCCTCGGGTTTGGCCACGTCCTGCTCACAACGCGAGACGCTATTTGAGCACACGTAAACCAACTCTCATCTGGCCTTTTCCACCCCGGTTTGCTCTCAGATAGTATGGTATGAAATTCAAGTCCTTCGAGCCTTCGGAAATCTCGCTCCTAGGTTCAGCCACAATCTGACCGTCCCATGCCGACGTTTCGAGTTCGCCCTTTGCACCATTCTGAGCGACAATGGCGATATAATTATCTGGCTCGGATCGCAGTTCCTCCTTCAATGATGCGTTGAGGTCAAGAATTGTTCGCTATTCTCTTGTTAGCGTGATTCCTACTCTCACAGTGCTCTACAATCGCGCTCAGCTCCTACCTTGAAATGCTGCTGCTCCCATGGGTGATCGACATCCTCGACACAATAGACGATGGGGCCACGAGTAAGATATGCAACTGGCTGCATGGTCAAAGGACTTGGGCGGACGAATTGTGCCTTCATTGGGCAGGATAGGCGGAACTTTGGGTTTTGTCGCAGCCACCGGGCGCTCAGGAGCAGATAGCCTTTCTCGACCTGCAAATGATCTGCCGACGGGGTAATCTGAGTCAATGGTCATTAGCTTCTCGAACAAAAGACTAGTCTCGGGATCTACTCACCTCCCATGATGTTGCCCAGCCTGGAATCCTTAGGCATAGCTGAAGGTCAACGGGTGGCCCTTCAGTGTGAGTTTCGAATTCCACATCTCCATTCCAAGGCCAGTCAGTCTTCTGAGTGACCGTGACCGTTGAATTTGCAACCTTGAGACTCAGAGATGCAGAAGCATACATGTGCACATTGACCACTGCGCCCTGGTCGCCGGTAGTGTGAGTCCAAAAGTAACCTCCTAAGAAACCCAAAGTGCGGGTGACATTTGGTGGGCAACAAGCACACTCAAACCATTCATAGCGCTCCGACAGATCTTGATCTGACGAGGCTAATTGGTTCACGTATGTGAATGCTTTTCCATTCAGGCTCATCCCAGTAAGAACCGCATTGTACATGCACAGCTCCATGATATCGGCGTAGTGGCTATTCAACTCAATCTGATACGTTGTCAGCGGCCACGATCTGGCAATTTAGGGTAAGACGTACTCGTAGCAAGCGCTCAGCTAGCATCATAACTCCAATGGCCGCACATGTCTCTGCATAGCACCCGCCTTCATCTGTGCCGTGGGGTAAGAAGTAGTCGATTCCGAACCCTTCCCATTTCTTCATGGCGCCAATACCGCCAGTAACATAAGACTTTTTCTCAATCATATTCGACCATAGTCTGTTGATGGCAGGCAAGAACTTGGACCCAGTCTCACTCGTAGGTCCGTGAATTCGCACGAGGTCAGCGACTGCTGTGAGTAGATACATAGCTCGAACTGCATGTCCTTCTATTGTCTCCTGCTCGGCAATTGGCACATGGGCTTGGTGATACCTTGACCAATATTAGACTCGATATACTGCCAATCAAGAGCAAAATGAATTAGTGAGTACATACCAGTAGCTCCTTGCGGCAGGATAGCACATGGGTAATTCGTGCTCGCTCTCTTCCCTCGCCTTCGCTTCGACGTCGTAGTAATGGCGTTCGCCCTTGCCACCTTTTTGGTTGCCTCTTTCCTCAAGAAAGAACTGTGCCAGTTTTAGATGCTTTGAATCTCCTGTAACCTTGTACAAACGCAGTAAAGCAAGCTCAACCTCTGGATGACCAGGGTATCCAGGAAGCTGGCCTTCTTGGTCTCCGAAAGTAGCCACGAAGAGATCGACATATTTGAGAATCGGAGATAGCAATTCATCATTCTTGTAGTATAGATGATGTGCCAGAGCAGCTTCGATGAGATGACCTGCGTTGTACCTAGATCACACTGTCACTTAGCAGAACTTGGGTGTTTGGCATGGTATGAGTAATGACATACAACTCATGCATATCTCGCAAGTTGGTAAATCTTTTCCCTGGCTCGACAACAGTATAATGGATATTCAGATATCCATCTGGCTGCTGTGCGCCTCGAATCATTTGCACCAGCTCTTTCACTGCGGCATCTATCTCCGCATCATAAGAGTCCATCAAGAAGTAACAGGCGCCCTCGATCCACTTTGCGGCATCGGAATCCCAAAACTGATGGTTGGGAACCGGCCAGACGGTAGGAGGCTCCGAGTAAGTTGGATGCCACTTAAGCTTGAACGCATCATAACGGCCAGTGTCCTTGAGCATGTTCAACTGGTGTCGCAAGGTCTGACTTCGCACGACTTCGCGGCGGCGCGCCCAGAAGGACCCCGGCGTGAAGATCGTGGGGACAAAGCTTTCTTGGGGATACTCCATGACTGACTCGGGCTCTGAAGTTCTAATCTTGAAATGCGCGGATACAGTATGCTATGTATGTTTTACCAACTTATGGAGCAGTTTGTTGCCCTTTTATGATTACCGAGGGTCGAGGATGGGGGGATTCTCCTATCCCGAAAGGGTTCAGAATCGGAGATCGAGAGAACGATCTCCCACACCGTCTAGAGCTTTTGCTGATTAAGAGAGATGGTTTCAGATCGCTTCGCCGATTGTCGTTATGTGGACTCCGAAGCGGGTTGTCTAGCGGGATGCCCGAAGGTGATGGACATTCCGGTGGAGGGGCTCCGGCGGGGTGGAAGAGGCACCGAGTCTACCGACACCTGAGTGGATGGCTTCAACTGCCGAACACACGAACCCCGGCAGATGCAAATTAGTATCTTCAAATTACCTGGTACGATCGGCGATGTGCCGAGACTCTGCATACAAAGACAATGTTTTAGCCTTTTAGCATGTAATGATCTACGCATATATACAGTATGGAGGTTGTATCCTTGCCAGATGGAACCCCCCTAACGGGCTCTGGCTTATGAGTTCCAATTCTGGTGTTGTTTGCTTTCATAATGGCTGCCGTGAAGAAGTTCGAATAAAGTCGCTACTGCTTTCGAATTAGCAAATACCCCGATTGCTCGGCTTCAAGCTGGTCTCGCAGATCTTGCTAAATTTCCTCCTTATCGTACGCCGAGAGCTCAAAGCCACGAAAGAACATACAGCACCAGGATTCCGTAGTGCAACGGCCTTCACCTTTTATACCCTTGAGTAATTGCCTGTGTGAGTAGCATCCACAATTCCGGCTGCAACATCCACCACGATCTGAGCGGTCCCTCACCATCTCTTCACGCGTGAACCATCTAAAATCATTCCTTAAATTATCACGAAGTCAATTGAAGTACGGGTGCAGTATGGATACTGCTCTGTAAAGTCTGCTTTTCATCCGTGGAACTCATGCTCGCGTCTTCTCAAGCTGTTCACTCACGTTATCAAGTTCGGAGCTGTCAGACTCGGGTGTCTTGGCCTTTTGTAAGGCTGTCACGCGGTGATGTAACGCTTCCTTGCTTCACATGGTCCTCCTCATTCTCGATGTCATTCTCATCACAGGCCTCAGCCCGGAACGGCGAACTGAGCGGCTCATCTTCCTCTTCGATGAGGAATTGGTGGCGCGCGCTCACACCGGCAGAAGGTCCTCGCTGTTGCTGTGCACCCATGTACGCGCGCATCTTCTGAAGTCAACGGTTTCATCGCGGACGTCGTAGCGGAATGGCGAGCTCGCAGGCTCAGGCTCGGACTCTTGGTCGTGGTGGTGGTGGTCATCGTATTCGTCATTATCGTAATTGTGCGGAAAGCTATGTTCCATTTTCATTTTTGTCGTCATCGTGAATGTTGGTCTCGTAGGGACTCAGGATACGCGCCACTGTTTCTGTTCATGGCTGCTTCAACGGACTCGAGGTGCCCAACGAGAGCCTCCCGGCGGGGGTGGAGTTCCCCGGATTCCTTCTTGCTGACTTGCTCGGAGACCCGTTGGTTGACTTTGGGCCCTGGTATAACTTGTATGTCGTTTAAGTTTGTCTCGGCTGTCGGAGCAATGTTCTAACCACTCAAGATCTCGATTTCCACGGCCCTTGTGCGCCACGGCTCATCCCAAGTCCCGGCGGAGGACGATGGTTCAAGTGCACACATCGAGCGTATATATGCGGACAATCCCCCACAAAATTCTCCCCGCATACCACGACAGTTCCACTGATCGACAGTTGGTCATCTCGGTTCTAACAACTTGAACTTGAAGTCTTCCAAGATCCTTGTCCCGATCGCAAACATCATGGCTATGGACACTGTTGTCCTGACCGAGCGGGAGGTGGAGCGTTTGCAGCTCGGTGGTCCGGAGACACTCGATCTCATCAACCAGGCGCAGGAGAGCGACGCAGTCGACCGGCTTTTGACAATCCGTGACGCTCTGAGCAAGTACAAAAAAGCGGTCTTCTGGGCCATGTTTCTGTCTACCAGTTTGATCATGGAGGGATACGATCTGGTCATTGTAAGCGACCTCGATGTCCACCCGACTACACGCACGTTGGCACTTCTCTAGAACTCGACTAATTCAAGATTACCCACCCTAGATCACTTCCTTCTATGGCCAAGCCCAATTCCAGAATCGATTTGGCGTCTATGATCCAACCACTAAGCAGAACATCATCACGGCCGCATGGCAATCAGGCCTGTCAAATTCCTCTGTCGTCGGGCAGCTTGCAGGCCTCCTCATCAATACCTATGCGCAAGATCGCTTCGGCTGTCGTCCGACTATGATGTTCTTTATGACATGGATGACTGTCATGATCTTCATCCCAGTGTTTGCGCCGAGCCTACCGATCCTAGCGTGGGGTGAAGCCATGTGTGGTATCTCTTGGGGCGTGTTCCAGGTCCGTGTTTCTTCGTCGGTGAATCTTGCGCATATCATCATGAAACTGACAATCCCAATCGCTGTCCAGACTCTCTCCACCAGCTACGCTTGCGAGGTTGTTCCTACCGTTCTCAGACCCTACGTCACGGCTTACGTCTGTATGTGCTGGGGGGCTGGTATTCTCCTTTCTTCCGGGGTTGTCCGAGCTGTGGCCAGTGTTAGTGGAGATCTTGGCTGGCGACTTCCTTTTGCGATTCAATGGGTATGGCCTATTCCGCTCCTGATCGGTGCTTACATCGCTCCCGAATCGCCGTGGAACGCAGTCCGACGCGGAAAAATCGACATGGCGAGGAAATCCCTCATGCGGCTTCGTCAGCATACCCCGAGCCGCAAACGTGATGTGGACGCTACATTAGCATATATCCGATACACTACGGAGCTGGAGAAGGCAGAGACCGAGGGGGCTTCGATCTGGGATTGCTTCAAGGGAACGAACCTACGCCGGACTGAAATTGTGAGTTGAATCCTTCTTCTCCCTTGATTGTGTATCAACCTCTTCATGTCTCCCTTCGGGGCAATCTGACTTTTCACCTTTTCATCTTCCAGAACTGTGTCGTTTGGGCCGCCCAGATTCTCTGCGGTAACGCCATTCTGGGATACTCCGTTGTGTTCCTCGAAGCTGCCGGCTTCTCCAGCATCCAGGCCTTCGACGTGAACATCGCTCTCTCAGCCTGCTACATTATTGGCGGAATCATCTGCTGGCTCCTTTTCCCGCACTTTGGCCGCTCCACCATTTACATGATTGGCATGACCTTCATGTTCTTCTGTCTTTTGGCCATTGGTGGCCTCGGCTGGGCGAGCGGCACTCAATACCAGCTCGCCATCGGCATTCTGCTCGTCATCTCTACCCTCGTCAACATGATTACTATCGGCCCTGTCTGTTATCCCATTGTCGCTGAGACACCCTCTGGACGCCTGCGTTACAAGACTATTACTATCGGCAGATTTGTCTACAATCTTACTGGTATTTTCCAGAACTCTGTTACTCCTCACATGATTTCGGCTAACTGTACGTTTTCCCTTCTACTTCTGCTTGTACTGTGGTCGCTCACTGACAATTCCCCTTCCTGCAGCTTGGAACTGGGGCGCCAAAACCGCGCTCTTCTATGCTGGAACCAACCTTCTTTGCAATCTGTGGTGTTGGTTCCGCCTGCCAGAGACCAAGGACCGCACCTTCGGTGAAATCGATTTGCTCTTTGCTAATCATGTGCCCGCACGCAAGTTCAAGACTACCAAGGTTGAACGTAAGTCATTGATCTGCGACCATCTCCCCGTCATATCAAGTAACAGCGCTAACATCCGGGTGTGCAGAATTCTCCCAGCAGAATTATATTCCCAAGGAGGCGGAGGCGGGTGTCCAGTCGACTACCCATGTCGAGGATGCATAAGACGGTCGGGACACGTTCAATTGAGAGGAGAGATATTATGTTAGCTTTCTGAGAGATCATACACAGGACAATCAAGGAAGCCATTAATGCCTGTGATTAACATACCTCGTATCTTTCATATAAAGGTCATTCCTCACTTGCAAGTGAAAAGTGGGATAGTAAAAGAGGAGTTGAAACTTCATCCATGTTGCAAAAGCGAGCGACCTCTAAACGATCGGGCGGCAGCTTTGTATACCAAATGAGCAACATATCGACGGCAGGATGTAACATCCGCCCTTTTAGTTAGTTATTATAACTTGATGACTTATGTTGAAATCGTAACTCAGAAGTCTCTTTAAGTCCTGCCTATCTATACTACATGACATAATTCGCAGATTCGAATCGACATTCCATAATAAAGAGGCGCGTAGAGTCTATGCTGCTAAATGCTGAGCTGATTGTTCAGGAAGAGTAAGGATACTAAAATTACTGCTTTCCTCAATTAGCTTAAGCTAATTTTAACACCCTCCCACGCCTGAAGGGTTGCAAGCGGGAGAAGCGGGTTGATCTTGGTCAATAATCTGACGATGAGAAAATCAGTTTTTACTTGAGCGAACTGGGGAGATAAGCTTTGGGGCGCTAAGGTACCTATCTCTTTCTGGGTAATCATGCTGACCTGCAAGGACGGACTCGGAGCTCTCGGGTGCCCTAAAACGGTAGATTTCCGGAATGCGAGCCCGACCCCGCAATCCGGTCCGAACTTGAGATTTTGGAAGCAAACCCGACGGAGTTGCGGGGGAGTACGAACTCCGGGAAAGTATCTCCCTCCGCTTTGAAGAAAAGAACGTTAGAAGTTCGTTTCTCGACAAGAGCAACCCAATTGGAGCGATTGTTGAACGAGCCTGAATCCGAAAAGGAGGTGTGGAGGAGAACAGTTTGCTTTGTGCCCCGCTCGGGGTTTATCCCTGTCGAGCTTCCCCGGATTCTCCAACCCCACGTTTACTCCTGAAGAATCGATTATATTGCCCGGAGATTGAAAATACTGGGGAACGCAAGAGAAGTTCATATAAAATGCCGTGTGACCTCTTCAGACGACCTGGCCCAGACGGAGGAATCCTTCAAGTCACACTCCTACTTTGAGAGCATTTCACGAATCCATCGAGATGCGGTTAAGCTTTGTCCACGCTCTGGCCCTTGTGCAATTGGCTTCTGCAAGCCCTCTCACGACAAGAGACACCGTCACGGCTCAGGTGAACTTCAACAATAACACCGGCACCCCAAAACACCTAGCCTCTGGCCTCTTATATGGTGTTCCCGATACTCAGGACCAGATTCCGGTAAGAGGTCCGGACAACTTCGTATTTAGCTCTATTTTGACACATCATTTCAGGCCCACTTCTATCAGAATATCGGGTATAACTATGAGCGCGCAGGAGGTGCGCAGGTCGCGGCCCCTGGGCGTGGTTGGATCTGGGGCTTTACCGAGTATCAGGTGAGAAAAGCTCACTACCCTAAAGTAGTACAACCTAATATCCTGCTTAGAACCGCTTCGAATCCGCGCTCTCAAATTACAAGACAGCACGAGAGTTTGGTGCAACCTTCATCTTCCTCATTCACGATCTTTGGGGCGCCGATGGAACCCAAAACTCCACTGCTCCGTACCCGGGTGACAATGGAGACTGGCAGAGTTGGGATGCGTATCTCACACAACTATTCTCGGACATGAAAGCCAATGGCATGACAACTGGGCTTGTTGTCGATATCTGGAATGAACCCGACGGCGCGGGATTCTGGAACCGTGCTCAAGCCCAGTATCTGCAGATGTGGGGCAGGACGTACTACAAGTTTAGGTAAGATGTCCTCTGCCATTTGGCGCAGTCATGATCATTCAACTAACTTTTATCAAGAAATGAGTTTGGCACTGCCGTGCAAATTTCTGGCCCGGCATCTGCTGGTACGCCTCTGGCTTCTAATACCTGGTGGGAGGCATGGGCTTCATTCGTCGCCAGTAATGGGTCCATCCCAGACCAGTATTCCTGGCACATGGAGGGAGGAGACGGAGACCTTCTTTCGACCCAAGCAGGTCTCAACTTCTGGCAACAGAAATACGGTCTTCCGTCGAAGTTGATTAACATCAACGAATACGCCGTCTTTGACGAACAGGTTCCCGCCGGATCAGCTTGGTGGATCAGCCAGCTTGAGCGCATTGATGCCCGTGGCCTGCGCGGAAACTGGCTCAGTGGAAGCAATCTGCACGACTACATGTCCTCTCTTCTAGGTAAATCTGGATCTACTTACCACCCCAACGGCGATTACCAGGTATACCAGTACTACTACCAGAACATGACTGGCCATCGAGTTGGAACCCTTCCTTCTTCTGATCTGAAGCTAGAGGCCTATGCGACTGTCGGCACGGATTTGGCCCGTGTGCTCGTTGGTGTTCGAGTTGCTACAGGTACCTGGGAATTGAAGTTGAACTCGCTGTCGTCTCTTGGATTGCCGACTAGCGGGACGCTGAATGTTCATACCTGGGGATTCCCTGTAGGCTCTGATGTGCACTATGGAGAGGTGGATGGGCCTAAGGATTTGGGCTGGTTCGGCCATGCTTATTCGGGAGACACTGTCACCTTCCCTGTGTTTCAGACGGACACGATGACTGCGTATGCCTTTGAGTTTGCTGTCTAAGTGGCAGGATCTCGCTTGAAATGTTGATCGCTTGACCAGCGCCCTGCTTTCCTACTGATTTTCGAAGTTTGACCAGCCTTATTTCTTCAGCAAGCACTTAATCATCCCTAGCTGGGTTATAAAATAGCTTACTTTCGACCTCTTTCGCAAGATTTCGTCGTAAGTAATATATTGTTAGATGCTCACTATATCCGGCTGCATTAAATATTTAGTGTAGAAAGGCAGAGAAATCTTTCCTCGTGAGAGGAATGTCCTAAGGCCCACTGGCCGTGACATTCGTGAAGATAGGTTTTTTCATAAAGCCTTTTTCCCATCGAAGTGGAATTTCTCCATTAGATAAATCAAATTATGCTAAATTCTCTGTAGTCTCGATCCCGAAGAGAGCACCACTTCCTAATACAAGGCCGAGGAGAAGGTCACCCGAGGTAAATTATGGTCGCTTTCTATCCCTAGTTCCGATTCTAAAGCTGACTAGTTAGTTAGTTAAGTAAAGTCTATTAGTAAGATACGAAGTAGAGTTAAATACAGAAATTATACACTGTACAATCAGAATCTCGGTTATTCTTAAGCCACTGCTAGTCAACTTTCTATCTAATTTCCCAGGGAGTAGTTATTAATAGGGAAAGAACTAAATAAATATACTAAAATAGGGGATTAGAATGCGATATTTTTGATAATTTATTAACTTACCTCGTATCGAAGACCTCTTTCGTGCTTATTCTCATCGGAAGGCTCAAGCGGCCCGACTCTTACTCCTATAAAGAGATATAACTAAAGTGCAAATAGTATAAGAGCTTTAAGCCTTCCGGGCATAGCCCTTTTATGGTCGACCCGCCACATCGAGGAGACAACTTTTAAAAAATCCTCTCTTATAAAGTTATACTTTTGCTTTTTATTATTCACCACTTTGTCGTCTTTAGTTAAGGTAAATTTCATCCACTATACCCCAGAGAGAAGAAAGGATATATTTAACTACAGCGACCTCTATACCGGTAGTCTCTTTAAATCCACTAAAGAATCGCTCCGCCCACGCCTTAGCTATCCTTATTATTAGTTTCCCTTCCTTACAGAGTCGGCTAGTGGTACAATTCGCATACTAGCGAATAAACTCTTTTACTATTTCATAGCTTAGAGGTAAGCAACCTAGAACGGTTTTATAATCTATAAATCCGTTTTCTAGGTCTGCAATACAGCTAAGAAATAATTAGCGTTACTATTAACGATTTATTTCATCTTCTAAACCCACTTAAGCCAGAAATTCAAAGTTTATTAATATCACCTTTTTTATTCTTAGAAGTTTTTTATCCTTATTTCGCACAGTATCTTCCTCCTTACAGGCTCCGGGAACGTACTTATTTCTCTACCGTAAAAGACGGCGCCTTTCTTTAGCCTTATCATCACGCCATAAGAAAAATGCCATTTGACCCATAGCCTGGTAATTATTATTAGATAAAAGGTAAAGAGGCGGTGTTTACGAAGGAGTTAGCTTTTTTAAGGGACAGTTACGGGGACAAAGTCCTTATATCCTAGATCACAGAACACGATACACGTAGTGCAGAGGTATTTTAAACTGATAATTTTAATAGTACGGTCCACCTCGATTTAATTTAGTTGGGAGTTAATGGCGTATGTTTTTGGCCAAATAAGACTTCCAGAATGGGTGGACCTCACATGTACCATTCCGCGCTAGTTTCCACAGAATAGATGGCCCTATAGGGCATGGCCCTTTTAGGTCTAATCTGACATACGGCTAGAAGAAAAGGAGTGCGGCTCGCTGATTAGTTAGTTAGTTAGTTGACTAGTTAGTTAGTTAGTTAGACAATGAGTGCTGGTGAGTAAGCAGTGGCTGAGCAATCACTGAGCAATCACTGAGCATCCATGATTGGTCACTGATAAATCACATGACTGCACTGACCAGATCACTGAGCCTGAGCCTGAGCCCGTGCTGACATTTACTCAGTGAGCCTGAGCTTGATCGCCGTCATAAAAGCGGCGGCAGCCCAGACAGGAAAGCTACTCCCGGCAGACAAAATCCTGTGTAATAGGCGCATATTTTGAGAATTTTGTTGCCATTTTCTCAGCCCCGGTGCTTCGAGACCTGCATGACCCAGCCTGTAGTGCGGGCTTTATCCTCGATTAGGGAGGACTAGCGGGGACCCGTAAGCTTGGGTCGGTGTTTAGGCTCGGAAATAGCCCTCTAAAGGCGCAGCCTGCATGAGGCTTTTTGGGTGACATCACACGCACTCGGTTTGTAACCAGATATAAATTGGAGAAATAGTCACTATAATCGGTAGATGTAATATTCCAGAATATTAATCCACAATCTATTTTTCGAACTCCATCGAGGCCTTTCCCGCAGCACAATGGCGAGAAACGAGGAATTAAAAATTGTCTTCGGAGCAATGTCCTTTGGAAAGCCAAGTATGTCTCTTAAGATCACATTATTTCTGTCAATACAGAACAAAAGACTAATTCGATGAAGATACACTCGGCTCCCGCGTCCACGATATTGCTACAGCCGCCGAGATCATTGATCTATTCCAGCAGCATGGCCACAACGAGATCGATACAGCCCGGATCTATGGCGGTGGATCTTCTGAGGAGATGATCGCCGATCTTGCATGGAAAAATCGGGGTCTCATCGTGGACACAAAACTGTATCCCAATGCTGGAGGTCCGGCTGCCTTTGAGGACGGATACACCCATCGACCCGAGGATATTCGACGCGGGTTGACGAACAGCTTGAAAGCGCTTCAAACAGAAAAGGTCGATATTTTCTACCTCCATGCCCCAGACCGCAACACGCCTTTCGAGGATACATTGCGCGAAGTCAACAAGTTACACCAAGAGAGTCGTTTCTCTCGCCTCGGACTGAGTAACTTCATGGCTTGGGAGGTTGCCCAGATATGCGAGATCTGCATAAAGAACGATTGGGTCAGGCCGACCGTCTACCAAGGAGTCTACCATGTTCTTCAGCGCAGCATCGAGGCCGAGCTGATCTTCTGTCTCCGCAAGTACGAGATCTCACTCTACGGCTTCCAACCTCTCGCCGGTGGACTCCTCACTGGACGCTATAAGAGGGATCAAACTGAATTCGAAGAGGGATCCCGATTTGACCCCAAGATTCTCTCTGGAACGATTGCTCGAGGTCGGTATTGGAATGACGCCTACTTTGATGCGCTTGAGACCATTCACTCCGTCGCGGCCAAGCATGCTCTGACTGATGCCGAGATTGCATTGAGATGGCTGAAGTATCATTCGAAATTGAGCCAGGATTTGGGCGATGCCATTATTGTGGGCGCAAGCCGTGTCAGTCATCTCGACTCTAATTTGCAAGATCTGGAGAAGGGAGAGCTTCCTGGGGAAGTCGTTCAGGCTGTAGAGGAGGCCTGGTCATTGGTGAAAGGAGCTGTGCCAAATTACTGGCACTGAAAAGATCGGCCTGCTTGTTCAAATTGGATCTAGTAGTGACTTGAGCGATCTAGCTGGCTGACGACATCACCGTGCTTGATACACCTGTTGTGTAAAATATTGATGATTAATTTCAATAGAATATTGGATTACATGGCATTTCGTAAACCTTGATTTGACTCTAATAGAGCTATTCTGATCCATCAACCACTGTCTGGTGAATGGCGATGAATGATAAGAGAGAGAGCTGTTTAAGCTAGCTTGAAAATTGTTCATTGATTCAAGCCCAATCATAATATTTTTCAAGCTCTTTGATTGATGATTTAAAAAGACTACCCCGGAAACCTTATTGTGAACCACAACCAAACATAATAAAAATTTATACGATATTATATCGTATTCAAACCTAAAAACCGCCTCTATGCATATACGCAATAACGATACGACGTGGACAACAATGGCGGAGACTGCTAGAACTTCCGCACGATCCAGTCTAACCCGGCTGGTGAAATTGACTGGAACTTATCACGAAGATCCTTGAAGATGTTATGCAAGTGCTTCTTTGCCTTTTCAAAAGCTCGAGTAGCGGACCAAATCATTTCAGGTTGAGTGGATCTTAATTGATAATCGACGTGCTTGGGCACCGTAGCTCACTATTAAAGTTCAATATCACATTCCCCCCTTGACCGTCATTCCAGCTATTTGACTTGATGACACACGAATAGAACTAATGTATATAAAAACCCAGGTGCTGTATGGTAAAGAATACCTTCTGCAAATCTCTTCAAGCTTTTCACTGGGGCCCAAATTCAAGTTCTTCAATTCCTCCCTACACTTACTCAACTTTCTCAAAATGAAATTCTCGCTCATCTCCATGATATTTATTGCATTTGTTCATTCACTCCCTCAGGACCGGGGTAATGACGCCGATATTTGTCACATTGATGAAAGAAGTCAGTGCAAAGCAGGCTATAATGAGGTTACGGTCGATATTTTTCGGTCCCTCAATCCATGTCGTTTCATTACTTGCAGAAACTCAAGAGACGTCTTTGATACCTATAGTATCAGCGCAGCTGGCAGACCCTGCCAGAGATTTATTGTCTTGCGTGGTTACTGCCAGAAAAATGGCACTTGCGGAGGTAAGTCATTTTCTTAGGGAATTGGTAAACTTTTTGGGGCTTTGTGATTGATCAGATACTAGGCTGCGGCGCAGGAGAATAATACCAGCAATTCGACAAGAGTCAAATACAAATGAACGAGAACGTTCAGTTCTGTTACCGCTCTACCTTCCCCTATTTCTACTAGTGTTTAGCTTACTTCGTAAATTTTTCAATCATGGGTAATCCACTAAGTGTTACTTCACCTGTTTACTAAGATCGCCGAGGTCTAGCTATCTGCAAGACAAGCAATAGAACACAACCCCGCATTTACCAACTGTTTACCCGAGCTTAGACCGCGGTCAAATCGCCGAGCTCGCCAAGAATGAAGCGCCATGCGATAATTAGCACAATTTCTTCATCTTTTAAACAGATTATTGGAGTTGATTGAATCAAGGCTCCTGTAATACCCTCACACCATATCAATTGGTGAACATCCGACCCGAACTGCCGCCGCAATGTCTACCCATTCAACAGTACCACGGAAGCTTTGGGAACACCCTGATCCCGAATCAACTCAAATGGCAGCTTTTAAGCGAAGTCTCGAAGAAGCAAAAGGCGTAACTTTGCCAAACTACCACGCAATGTACCAATGGTCTATCCAGAACCGGATTGCTTTCTGGGACTTTTGCTGGAAGTACTTCCCCATTATCCACGAAGGAACCTATGATCGAGTCACGGATGAAAATGCTCGAATTGACAGTATACCTGACTGGTTTCCTGGAGTCCGTCTCAATTATGCCGAGAATTTGCTGTTCACGGCGGCTACTCCTGGCGAGGTACCGTCAACTGTGACGACAATTGGGAAAGAAGATAATAAGCTTGCCGTGACCGAGGTTCGAGAAGGGGATCATGAACCAACTGTGAATTTGACATGGCGAGAGCTACGGCAACGCACTGGTCGATTGTCACAAGCGATGAAAGCTGCCGGCCTTCAAAAAGGGGATCGCGTTGCAGTCGTTGCTAGTAATAGCATTGATACCTTGACGGTGCTTCTAGCAACAACTGCGCTCGGGGCTATATTCTCATCAGCGTCCACAGATACCGGGGTCAAGGGTATTCTGGATCGTATCCGGCAGATTCAGCCACGATGGGTATTTATGGACGATTTTGCAGTATATAACGGAAAGACCGTCGATCTTCGCCCCAAGATTTCCCAGGTCGTTGAGGGCATGGCCGTGATCAAGGAGTTCCAGGGTATTATTTCTGTGCCTAGATTCAGAGACCGACCGGCTGATATCTCGCACATTCCACGAACTCGCACCCTCACAGACTTCCTCGCAGGAGCTTCTTCCGATCATTTGGAATTTGTCCGTGTTCGGTTCAGAGATCCTTTCCTGATCGCATTTTCATCCGGCACGACTGGAGAGCCTAAATGCATTGTTCACTCCGTGGGAGGAGTTTTGATGAACAGTAATAAAGAAGGTCGCCTCAATAGAAGCATGAACCCGGATGCAATCACTCTTCAGTATACTACGACTGGGTGGATCATGTACAACTCTTGCATTTCGGCTCTCGTCTTTGGCGCCAGGCCCATTCTATATGACGGAAGTCCCTTCCAACCAGATCCGACGATCCTAGTCAAACTCCTTGAGAAGCACAAGTAAGTGTACTCGAGCAGAATGAGGCCTTTTTCATACCAACACCGGGCTCTTCTTATGCAAGGATTCTAACGAGCGACATAGGGCCACGCACTTTGGTACATCACCTCGCTGGATGCATGAAATGAGAAAGAACAAACTCAGTCCACGAAAGATTGCGGACCTCCACAGATTAAAAAATGTCACTAGTACCGGCATGGTTCTCTCCGACTCTCTCTTCGAATGGTTTTATGACGAAGGTTTTGAGCCTCACACTCTTCTCGCTAATATCTCAGGAGGCACAGATTTAGCCGCATGTTTGGGCTTGGAAAATCCCATCTCGCCTCTGTACGTTGGGGGGTGTCAAGGCCCTAGTTTGGGTATGCCTGTCGCTGCTTATGAACAAGTTGACGAAGAGGCTGGCCAAGCGAAGGGTTCGGAAGCTGCACCTGGCGAGCCCGGGGAGATCGTGGTGACTGCCCCATTCCCGAGTATGCCGGTCAGGTTCTGGAGCGATGAAGGGGGGAAGAAGTACTTCAATGCGTACTTTGCCCGCTACGACAGTAAGTGATATACTGCCTTCGTCTTTATTGACCTCGTTGTGCGCCGCGGGACTAATCCCTGATCTTGCCAGATGTCTGGACCCAGGGTGACTTTATCGCCGTTAATCCCAATTCTCGCCAAATCCTCTTCCTCGGGCGATCCGATGGTGTCTTAAACCCCTCCGGCGTTCGGTTCGGTTCTGCAGAGATCTACAACGTTATCGACACTCAATTCGCCAGAGAAATTGTTGATTCCGTCTGCGTTGGACAGCGTCGGCCCAAAGATGCAGATGAATCGGTGATCTTGTTTCTTCTCATGCGACCGGGCTTCAAGGTTGATCAGCAGCTGGTGACCCGCGTTAAAGATGCTATTCGCAAATCGCTCAGTGCTCGCCACGTCCCAAAGTATATTTTTGAGACTCCCGCTATTCCAGTACGTGCTTCCTGTTTTCTGAACCGCCACGAGTTATTCTTTGGGCCCACTAAATCTTTTTCTTTCAGGTCACCGTCAACTTGAAAAAGGTTGAGCTTCCAGTGAAGCAGATTGTTTCTGGCAAGAAGATCAAACCGTCTGGTACACTTTTGAACCCGGAGAGCCTAGATTTCTACTATCAATTTGCAGAAGTGGAAAAGCTGGTCCCACCTCAAGCGAAGCTTTAGCTCCCGTTAGGTAACAGAGCACTGGTCTATAAGCTTGTTGATCTATAGTGCCATAATCAGTCAAAGATTCTTAAACCTCTTTCGCAATAAGTCTAGAATTCAGGATTGTAGAATGCTCAAATGATCCACTTTCTCGTTTCCTTGAGTCTAGTCTGTGCTTCATGGATATAATTCAATTCTTCAACTTATCTAAGACCCAATCACCGTCGGCGGGCATCGGTCAATCAAGAGCTTCTCCACTCGGAGATGTGTTTACTCCACTTCCCCAATAACCCGCGATAAGACCCCCTCCCCATGCATCAAACAGCGGTCTCGATTTTCCCGAGCTCTTTCTCTCCGTTCTATTTCAAGCTCATCAAGGAGATCATTAAACCACCAGCCCATTCCTAGTAACACGCTCTTGACATGGATCCTGCCAAGAACATGATGGCTGTCAGCCATACGCTCAATACCCTCGTATATCAATACGAGCGCACTCATCCAGGATCAAAGGAGGTCCACGACAGAGCCAAGAAGGTTTTACCGGCGGGCAGCACTCGATCCGTTCTTGTCTCTGAGCCATTCCCATTCGTGATCAAATCCGCAGCAGGCGCCTATGTCACTACGATCGACGGCATCACGTTTGAGGACTTTGTCTCCGACTTTTCGGCAGGGATATACGGACACTCTCACCCGGTGATTCATGATGCTGTTCAAAAAGCCTTGGCAACGGGTTTCAGTCTTGGGGGAATTACGCAGAAAGAAGCTGAGTTGGCGGAAATCTTGACGACGAGAATTCCGTCTTTCGAGAAAGTTCGCTTTTGCAACTCTGGCACGGAAGCGAATATGTTTGCGCTTGCAACGGCAGTGGCGTATACACAGCGAAAGAAGGTATGGCGCACTATCATAGCATTATCTCATGAGACTATCAAATTAACCCTACTACCTGGCAAAGATCGTTGTCTTTGACAACGGATATCACGGGGGAACCCTCAGCTTCAGCACTACACGAAATGTAATGAATCTACCCCATGAATTCATCATTGCAAAATACAATAGCATTGAAGAGACGCAACCCCTCTTGAGCAACGAGATCGCGGCCATCCTAGTCGAACCACTACAAGCCGCAGGCGGAATGCGGCTCGCAACCCCCGAGTTCCTGCAATTCCTCCGCGAATCAGCAACCAAGATAGGAGCAGTACTAATCTTCGACGAGGTAGTCACGTCCCGGCTACACTACCATGGTATCCAGGGCGCCTGGAATATAAAGCCCGATATGACTACCGTGGGAAAGTACCTCGGAGGAGGATTCCCCTTTGGCGCCTTTGGTGGTTCCTCGAAGATCATGGATCGGTTTGATTCGGCCGATAAGAGTGTTGCTATTCATCATTCCGGGACGTTCAACAATAATATCTTCACGATGACTGCGGCAGTCGCTGCGTCGGAATTGATTACCCCCGCTGAGCTGGAGCGGTTGAATCGGCTTGGTGATAGGTTTCGTGGTCAGGGTAATATCCTGATTCGGAAAGCTGGATTTGACGATATGTCGTTCAGTGGATATGGCAGTGCAATTGGCGTTCATTTCACTGGCAGTGAAGCTGGTTCGTTGCTTGATTGCTTCTACTTTACGTTGCTGAATCGTGGAATCGCCATTGGAAGGCGCGGGTTTGTATCTTTGAATCTTATGCATACCGAGGCTTCGATTGATCGACTCCTCGAGGCTGTGAGCTGTTTCTTGGAGGACTTTGGTGGGGCGTCTCATATCAAATCCAGACTTTAGAGGAACGGCAAGGCGTGGAAATGGTACGCAATTCAACATCACATTAGGACTCCAGCCGAGGCAGGATGTAAAAACCATGGGAATATACAAGATACATCATATTTTGAAGTGCCATTGAATGCTAGATCTGGCATTGTAGAGGAGAAAGGACCGGACGAGTCCAACGATGTGAGCATTCACCATGGCATCGTTGACCGGGTATTTGACAGTAAATGCAGTGGTTACAGAATCCGCCCGCATAACAGAAAAGAAAGGCAAGTGTCTCATCTTCCCATCGGCCATGATAATTCACGCACTGGGTATTCCCCGCTGTGGCCTTTTTCTCATGTCCCACTCGGCTGCTTTGTATATATGATTATGCACGTCTGAGCTCCAGAACACCCGATCTCTCGAGCGCATAAGAGTCAATTACGACCCCACATACCAGACCTCGACACCGAGAACTTCAAACTTCTCCCCTTCATCGGAAAGAGGTTCGTTGCCAAAGGTCTGGCAATGGGAGCTAACTCCCTTCTCAAGGCCAGAGTCCATCCAAAGACCGTACCGTCCATCACTAGAATCGCCATCAGTGTTCTCTCCAAGGAATAAAAGAAACATAATCAAGGACAATACATACCCTCCACCAAGACTCAAAAATCCAGTCTCACAAAACATCATGTAATCATTCACTCCACTATACGGGAACGCCTTGAAACGAATACGCTCCGGCGTACTCGCCCCACTCCGCGACGGGGTATCAATAGACGAAGGCGACGGAGGAGCCAGCGCACCGCCACTAGCCGCAGCTAGATTAGTCTTGATATTCATATTCAAATTATGAGCCGGCGACGACTCAGTCTTCGCCTTGGACCGCGGGTCACTGCGGAAAGTACTCCAACGTCCAGCGTGGGTAGTATCTGCCGAAGGCGGGGGCGGTAGACCAGCTCGTTCCAGCGCTTCCTCAGATTGCGGGCCGTCGCCGGTGAATGCAAGACCCAGGCTTGCGGGAGGTGGTAGCACGCTCGCGCGCCAGAGGAAGCACTCGCCCGTGCCGAAGAATTGGGAATCGGGGTGTGGGGCATCGGTCATGTAGGCGCCGAAGACGGCGCCGGAGGGCGACGAGTCGCGAATGACAAGGACGTAGCCCGCCCGCGGGCTGCGGTGAGAGAATTGCTGGCAGTGATCGTAGAGGGTGTGGAGGGAGGCGCCGTCGCGATCGAGGCTGTAGGCGAGACGCCAGGTCTCGACGAGTTGGAGGCGGGCTGGGACGAGGAGGCGGATTTCCTCGGCGAGGGCGCGCGTCAGGAGTTGCTGTTGGAGGAGGTCTGCGCCTCGAGGTATTGCGAGGGTGAGGGGGGTGAGTGGTGGAGGTTGGAAGGGTGAGGCTGTTCGGCGCGGCGTGAATACTTCGGACGAGGATAAGGATGTTGACCAGGTCATAGCGGTTGTAGGGACGCTAGGGTCTGTCAGGCGTCGATAGAGACCCGAAACGACGTGGCTGACTGGGTAGGAGAAGTATTGACTGTAGGAGGAGGCGCCTGAGTTTTGCTGGGGTGTGTGAGAGCCGGATCGTGAGGTAGAAGAGGAGCTAGAAGTTGTGGTGATGGAGGAGGGAGTGTCGGAGGGGAGATGTCCTTGTGATGAGGACGACATGTAGGCAATTAGGATTAATGGTTGGAGGACACACTGTATGAGGATCGGCGAGGCACGCGATGGAGCTGGAAAGATGCTTGAAGGCTGAAGATAGCGGAGGTAACTATGGGGCCGAAGTCAAAGGTGAAACTAACAACTTATCGCTTATCACCATGTGGGGAGCTACCAGCACCAGATGCGAATACGAAGCCTGTTTTCTGCCATTTCTCAGCCTAATTGAATAAAGTATAGATGCATCATCCCGACAGATCGACACCTGAGCGTTGATTAGCAAGATCATGTCGTTCGACGCTAGGAGAATTGTACAACTTGGCGATCGAAGCTCCGACGCCACGGATTTGGAGGTCAACAGAGACATGTTTCCAGGTTGTACCTCGAGCAATTTTTGGCTTTCCTATTCAATCCAAGAGCTACGGAGCCTCTCTTGTTCCATTGATGCGGACTGTGGCTCCGCCTTGCCTCCTAGACGCAGATGACGAAACCGTGGCGGATTTAGATGCAGTATATAACAAGGGGAACGTCTGAACAACATCTTTCCTGCCTCGTAGGTGGATCTTCTATTTGACAGCCAATTGTTTCAGATTACGATTTTAGTCCATACTGCAAAAATGGTCAACACTAGCATCAACAGCGACTATTCAGTCGAAGAAATCACCCAAGTCGGGCGCAAAGGCCGTTCTCATGGCCACAAGTACGATGGTGCTGATTTCGACGAATCTATGGTATGTCTCATTGCGTTTATCCCGGACGGTGGGCCACAAGAAGTGACTAAGACATGAAATTTGCAGATAAACCCGAGAACAAGGCGTAACAAGCAGGAAAGACGCCGCTCGCCGACTACGTCGAATAAGACGCGGGCTAGTTCTGGGTCTGCAACCAAGAGACGCACCGCGTCAAAGAACGCGCATTCGCATCAAACCCAGGAGTGACGTACCTCGATGTGGGATAAATATTAATATCGATGAATCCTGACATGCAAATAGCAGTATCAATATTGGGTATCATATGCAATTGAACAATATAGACTATTCATAAGTGTATCAAGTCCGTTGCCCTTTAGGCCGCAGATCCACAGTCTCGTACTCCAGTCCATTCACTTCAAAGACATGGCCCGGTCGCAATGCCCCCGTGTAGATATTCTCCTCGGCATGCGGGTGGAATAGGCCCGTCTGAGTACAGTTCAAAACTGTCTTCAGACCCGGAGGATCGGTCAGACGAAAAACGCCCCAGTCTGGGTTCTTACTGGGCGCGCAGACGATGGCAATACTCTCAGGGAGCATGACCTGGTAGCCAGAATGGGTGTGAAGATCGCGCGAGCTCATGAAACATGTCTGGGTTGGATGGGTGTGAATCCAGCCGAGCATGATCAAATCTTCCGAGTCACAGTAGTCGAAGAGCGCGGACTCATTGGTTGTCTCGCAGGTATCAGACGTAGCGATCTGCTCCGGAATCACCAGCCGCGAGATGAATAATGCATTAGACACGAGGGCACCACACAGAATACCACATGTTTCAAGATTGTTCTTGGTGTTGGCAGCTGCCAGCGAAAGGAACCGGGTGCGCAGACTGGCGGGAAGGAATACCGAGCGCAGCGGAGTGCCGTTTTCCAAGTAGGCCGATGGCTTGAAGGTGTAGCTGGAGGGATCCAGCTCTGGGTTTGCCGGTGGGCTATCTTCAGGTAACCGAACTTTCTCTGGTAACCGAGGCCCTTGGGAAACCTTTGATGAATGGGATGACAAAGGAAGCTTCGAACCCATCGCACCATCGACAAGCAAAGCCTGGCTAGGCTCGATAAGTTGCTTGGGAGGCAATACCGGGGGCGTATGGCGTTCGGCATTATTATCTCGAATGGCAATCTGCGCAGCGGGAATGATAGGCTCCAATGGCTTTTGCCTCGGCACACTGGGATACTTATATGTCGACTTTGCGGTGGAGGATGTATCACGCGTGGTCGGTTGTGACCGATGCTGTGACTGCCCGGCGGGACCCTTATTATCCAGGTTGATTCTAATATTTTGAATCCGCTGGCTCAAATCGTGATCGGAAGCCTGGGGTTCCTTCTTGTAGGCATTCTCCCAGTCACCCCAATCTCCAGCCGCACGCCGACTGCGAACCGTAGCTCTACGGTTGAGCTCCGAGTGCGCAAGTCGAACCGCAAGATCGCGGTTCTCACCTGCTTCTAATGGTTGTGCGACTCCAGTCAGGGCGGGATCAGCGGGTCGCTCGCGAGATTCGGGGAGTGTGTTGGATTCCGAGGAGAGCTTCCGAGACTGACGCTCGCGCATCAGTTGTGTATATCGTTCGTAGCGTTTGTTTATCCGCGGCTTCAGGGCCTCCAACTTGGCGAGATTTTTCTCGACTTCCTTTTCAGCTTGAAGCAACAGTTGTCGGTCTTTTCCATTCTTCTGGGCGTCGGGGTGTTTGGACAGGTGTACCAGGACTAGCTGGGCATGTCGGAAGAGGAGGAGGTAGGCTTGCTCATCGTGTCCCTCGCGTTCGTAGATTTGGGCCTGGAAAGTTCACAAGACAGTTAGACTTAATCAAGGTGTAATCAAAGCCTAAGTAGAAGCTCCGAACCTCTTGCGTCAGAGTGGCCGCAGTCCGCAGCCAGTACCGTAGGGCGACGGTCGAGGTGTATGAATAGTCTTGAGCAATACGGGTGATTTTCTCCACGCTTTGCGGAGGGCTTCCACCCGCGGTGGGAAGTTTGACTTGGGACGCCATCGGGGAGTATCTAGTGTTGAGAAAATGGTAGTCGCTGCTAAAGGAAATGGGCGTTCAATATCGCGACCCCTCTTCACACATAACGAGACCAAATGAGCATGGTTGACGAGGCTAGAGTGAGGCGAACTCAGATACTCAATACGAAGGAGACGATGGCCTTTAATGAGATAAACACCCCATTCAGGCGACGAGATTTCGAATGCGTAGCAGGCAGACGCGAAAGCTTGGTGGGTTGGATGGCGAGGGGAGGTGGAGGTGGGATGACTGCGGAACCGCAAGGTTCCTCCGCTTCCCCAAGAATCTCAAACTCCGAAAAAATCTCCCGGCGCAAGCATTCATCCTTTAAAATTCCAAACCCAACGGCCAACCATGGCCGAAGCTTGTGGATATTACATCCAGACGACCATCTCATGACAATCAAGCTAGCGGTCTATATTTGCGAGCATGTCTATACCCAAAAAACTGCTTGCGCAGCGGTGGCTGCCAGTAGAGCAATACCCGCTCACGAAAGCTATCAACTCGCATGTGCTTAAGAAGCTGAAACGAAGGACTATTCTCCAGGCTAGCGTCGTGAGCGACAAACTCTGTGGTGTGTATGAAAAGCTTCTTTGCGAAGATTTCAATCGAGGCTCGAGGGTACATACTGACTCGATCCCGTTGCGCAGCCGATGTTCTCCAACGATTAGCTCCCTACCTGCAAAAACCCTCACCTATCGATATCCTCGACCTCTGGCCAAATGCCGGAGTTCTGTCCTCGGCGATCCACAAATACCTTCGTCCTCGTCGCCACCTCCTCGTCGAACCCGACCTGCTTTCCTTCGAGCCTTGGCTCACGCGTCTCGTGGACAGCGATCCCAGTTATAAACTAATATCCCAGGAAATCTACACTCGCCGAGACTGGGCGGACGTGTTTGAAGAGCACCTTCCGGAGCAGGTACACTCCCATGAGAAACAAATCGCAGGCCAATCACTACCCAGAAATGACACCCTCCTTATCCTGGCCAGTCCGCCCGTCCCAGCCCAAAAGGCAGACCATTACACGCCGCAGCGATGGTGGAGTGCGATGATGGAAAGCTGTATGCAACAAAGAGGTGTACACAAATATGGTAGTGTCCGAATTCTGGCATCACTTCCGCCGGGAGAGGTGGAAGGTATCTTACCTCGGACAGTGGCTGAACGCAGACGGCCCGCCCTGTTGACGGAGACCGTCGCGTTGCATGCATTTGAAGTGGCCGGTTGCTATCAAGAAGAAGATTCTTGGGTCACCATCAAACCGGTGGAAGTGACTATGAAAGGCCAAGAGCGAGTCGCAGAAAGAGCTGCAGCGCAGAGCGTTGTCGTTCCGGCTGGTCGCGAGCCTCCGCCCTATAAACTCGCTCCAGTCTCTCTGAAGCGCGATCGATCAGACGTACCTCACTGTCCTCGAATTTTTACCGAGCGGCACCAAACCCTGCTGGACGACATCGAGGCCGGCAATCGAGAAGATCCAAATATCCCCGTTGGGAAATCGCCGGCCAAAACGGCGCGTCAAAAAGCTCTGACTTCTCTTCATAAGGAGAATGTGATCGCATACAGTCGACACGTGCTGGCTCGTTCCGTCATTGCGATTGACCGGGCATCAGAGGCTCTCTCCCGAGCCGCTGCGGATCCCAGCAAGACGGCCGAGGAGCTTGAGCAGCTTGATAGCGATGTTGCCGCTCTGAAAGTCGCATTGACTGACGAGTTCGCGAGTATGCATCATCGTTTGTATAAAAGCTGGGATCGCCTGGTGGATGACTATCGTACGATGAATGCGTCTCCCACCTTTGACGAGTCGGTCCTGCTGTATGATCGACGACCCTCGGAACCAATGCTCATCGACAAATTCGAGCTTTTCCCCCGCGAGCCACGCACCATCGTGTACTTTGAGCCTGATGCCAATCCCGAGTTCGTTCACAAGCTCAGCCATCTATCAAAGCAGCAGCGGCAACACGTCGAGGGCCTTTTCGAGGCTCTGTCCTCCGTGTTCGGCCCCCGGAATCACATTACTCTTGGCGAACTGTTTAAGATTCTGTTCGTGGATCGGCCCACCAACGACATTATCAAGGCCGTTCCTGCGCTCGCACCATTTGCGACGAAGCGTCTCAAGCCCGGCCACGGGCCCGTGCCACTGGCCGACCCAACGGTGGACTCGAACACGTGTTTCCAGGAGAATCTCGACTACGACGTGAGCGAAGTGCGACTCCGCTGTATCCCCGTTGGGACAATGTGGGATATTCTACTGGAGTATCAGAAGCATGCGCCGGGCATCACGGCCATCCAATTCAGCCGCATGATCGGAGGCACGCTGACCTCGTTCCGAGCCGGACGCAACCTCATGGTGGTGCCGAAACGAATGCACTAAAAACCCCAGCTTTTGCCTTGTTTTACCACAAGGCTGCACGTCCGCTCGTCATTCCGCGCTTTCCCCATCCGTTTCACGCCACTATACATGTACTTATACTAGACTAGATAGACTCTTGTTCGATTAGCATCTTTCCCCCCGTTTCCACGTGTATAATACGTCACTAGCCAGCGCCTCCCGTGACCAATATCATCGATTTTCCCTCTCACTTCCGGTATGAATCCTGCGAGAATCAAGGTGCAAGGAACTACGAATCAACCGGCGCCCGTTGACGCCCGAGACTGTAAAAAAGCGACCGCCTTATCAACCGCAGCCGGCGGGGCACGAGGCCGAACGATTGGTCCCAATGGAAAAGGGCGGGCCCGGCGCATCCTGCAAGCACCCGCCTCATCTTCCAGGGATGCGGTACTGGTCAGTATTCTGTCTCGAGTACTTCGTTGACGGTATCGTGGAGTGAAGAAAGGCCAAGTCTCGACTAATGCCGCATGACCGAATGCTCTGCATAATCTCCAGCGCTAGCACCTTGAAATCCTGATTTTTTTTTTGATTTTCCCGCTTCCCTTCCTTCTCCCCACTTGTGTTTAATGTGGCTGGCATTCCCCAGATACGCCGTTAGAGACGCATGCGGTGGAGCCGCGCGGCGCACTCTTCGCGTGTGTTGGATCGGCGCCTCGTTTGGAGTATAGAAATCTTGAGAAGTTTCGGATGAATTCAAGAATAGTAACGTATATACGGACAGTCGAGACTCGAAAGTACGTTACGATCATCATAAGATAACCAGATCAAGCAGTAAACCCTGATCAAACGTCTATCATTTGACTCATCCACTTATTTACCCGCCCTAAGGAACCAGTGGACCAGCCCCGAAAAAAAAAGCGAGTCCAACCCAATCGATCAACACGAACCAGCCATCGTCGTCTTTCCGGTAATTTCCCTTCATTTTTCATTTCCCGAACCTCCGCCCCAACACCCACGGCTACTACTACCGTCGTATCAATGCGTCTCCATGCGTCCCCATCCAGGATGTTCGGGCGCTACCATAACACTGAGATACAATACGACAGCTGGATAGCACGATTGGATTCTCTCTGAAAATCTGGATCTCTCCCGTCTTCGACCGCGATCGACCTCTGGCTCATCATAGCTGTCATTTCCCACCTGGTCGAGACCGGACCAATCGACCCTCGTGGTGGATTCGTTTGGTCACGCTTTGTGGACGCTGCTGTCTTTTCTTTTCTCTTTTCTCCCCTGATGTTTGGTTCTCGCGGACCCCAGACTCGGATCTTCCCTTGTGGCTTTGGGTTTTTGGCACTTGGTGGTTTCCATACTGTAGATATGCTTTTTTTTTTTTTTAGTTTTTTTTCCCTTCTCTTTATTAATATTACTCTTTGATAATCATAAGCGGTCCTTGCGCTCCTTCATCCTGACCTATCCTATTCTTATCCTATCCTATCCCCCTCTTTCCTCCTCCATCACACCCCAATCCCCCAATCCCAGCATGAATGCGACGCGCCGCCACGACCTTTCACCACTTTGACCCTCCTCCTCATCTTCCCTTGTTTTACTTTCCCAACAAGCTTTCTTCCTCCCCGTACTTGTCATTATTCACGATGCCCATATGAACTCAATTCGTCTTCGAAGAACCCGAGTTCCCCGATACATGAGGTATCCGACTCGTTGCCTTTTCGCCGCCCACCACGTCATACCCGAGCTTTAACCCGTGGATGATAAGAAGGCAATTGACTCACGCGCTCTAATCCGTTTTTTTTTCCCTTGAGTGGCGTTTACTGTCGCCCTTGAGTCAATCTCACCTGCGTCTGCGTGGGGAGTCACATCCTGGACTTTATCTTCTGCACACTGCTCTGTTATCTCGTGCGAATCGCAGGGTTTCAAGGTGCCGCTTACTTGCTTTTTCGGAGTTCAGCCGGGTCACTTATCTACAAGAGTCGTACCCCGGGCTTCGGGTCCATCGGCTTCGATAGCCCGTTTGCAATAATCTTTGGCGACTCTTGACTGCCACTGCAATTGCGACTGCAGTTATTCTACACACTCTCCGTTGCGATGAATCCTACAAATCCCCCATTGCGCTTGTCGGTTAGTACGCATGATGGGAAGGACATTGCATTACAGACTCCAACCTCGGGCTCGGCCTTGACGCCCCCAGTCACCCCGATTGCAAAGAAAAACGCCGACGCCGAACGGTCAATTCCCAGTCCACTGGAAGAACCATCCCCCGAGCAAACAGCGGCGCAAGTGAAGCGAAATATCAACACTCCGCGACACTTTACCGACGAAATCGAAATATATCGCGATGACGAGGACAGCCCCGTCGAGTTTGGCCGTGGCGCTTGGAGTATAGTATACAAGGCGCTCTCAACTCCAAACGTCACAAGCACCTCCCTCCAAACTCCACCTAGTTCACCAGTCACCATTAGCCGGGTCCTGGCCGTGAAAGCACCATTGCGTCGCGATGCGCGCAAGGTATTACAGAGCGAGGCACTGACGCTGACCCGACTAAACCTCACACCGGGCTCTGAACGACATGTCGTTCCCTTCCACGGCTTCATATCCGACTCCGACGCACTAGTCATGTCCGCCGTACCCTTGTCATTATCTACATACATCGAAGACCAGGCCGATCTGCGCAAGAAACAGCCTTCAACGGCGACAATGTTCGATCCCGTCCAAGGACCGGAACCTTGGCGCGACATGGCGCGCAAATTGATAACAACTCTTGCGTGGCTGCATGATACAGCGGGGATCGTCCATGGAGATATCAAGCCTCACAATATTCTCCTCCGCCCTATTGCTATCGACGAACCCGGTATCGAGGCCGGCGCTTTCCCCTACGAACCTCTTCTGGCAGATTTCTCTTCCGCGTTTGATATCCCCTCGGACGCCACGCCTGCCCCGAATTCAAGTCCAGCTGCCATGTCGGCATTCACGCCACCTTTCACAGCACCGGAGTTACTCTCGCTCGCATCTCTCAAGTCGGGCGATGTCGCGCCAACGCCGGCTTCGGACGTCTTTTCCCTCGCGGCTACCCTGATAGCTGCTGCGACGGGTGATCTCCTTCTCTACCCCGGCTCGAATAATATGCAGCGTCTAGCCATGGCGCGCGAGGGTCATCGAATTCTGGATTTTACTCGTTCCGGTTCGAATGGCTGCCGCGTGCCGCGGAATGGTTTCGTCGAGAAACTTGTTCAACCGGCAGTTTCCAAGGATCCGGCTCAGCGAATTTCAACTCGGGATTGGGTGGTTTTGACCTCTTCTTGAGGTCTACCCTTTTTTTTTTTCACTGAATCTTTTTATTGGTTACCATATTCTAACATTTTTGTCGCGGTATACTGCGATCTGTACAACATACATTCGTTTCTTGTTGTTTGTTTGCATGTTCTTCAACTTTCTTTTCCCCGTGTCTTCTTACTTTCTCTCTTCTTTCGTTCTTTCTTTCTTTGTTTTCTTTCTCACTTTCATTGGCATGATACAGTTGCATTTGGGAGCATTGTTTTGGTTAGCCATTCTCTCGTTTGGCATATATAAGATACCCGGAAACCTAGATGGAGTCGTCGAAGATCCTGTGATGATACTTTTGGAAATAGATCTTTTGCATACCGTGCATACATCGTTTTAGACCCCTACGCTAGGTAATGGTAAATTCGACCCTGGAAATAATTACTCTTGACGCCTGCTTAAGCGTCATTTTTACCAGTATTTCAGTCACCAGGATTTCACCCGGCTTGTTTGTCCTCAATTCCCTATTCTAAGCTCTCATAGTTGTTCAGGGATCTATCTGCTCAATCTTCACTCAGGGTACTTAGATTAGACAATCAGGCGTATTATCAAGTCTAGCCTAGGTTTTTTGTTACTGGATCGTAGCTGCTCATAACATAATGCTCCCTCTTCTCAGAATAATTCCGGTACTGCATTTCGACAGTGCTTTGCATCATCTCCCACTTATATGCAGTCTTCACGGTGTGAAGGATCACCCTTTATGTTTATTTGACTCAAGAGAGGACATTCCGCCAGTCATGTAGGTAAGAGCTGTATCGAGGCCCTTGAACCGTCGAAAGATTTGCGAAATTTGCTTTCCACCTCTCGATCTCACGTAATGCGACCCCCCGGTGCATTGAATAGAGCGTCGAGTTGATGAGGTTTTGAGTCTGTGCTAAAAGCCCGCTAATCTCCACGGAAGGCAAATTTCCAATTGACGAGATGATAGGTCTTGTAGAGTGTTTGTTGCGGCATCGGGATCCTTTGGCTGTCCACGCTGGGCATCGTGAGCTATCTTCTCTTATATGTTGTATTATCTCAAGTGGCATAATCTTGTAAAGGGACTTTCGAACATGTTCAACCTCAATTCTGAGTTCAGTTTGAGGTAAGATTGAGAGTGCGTTTAATGATACCAAAGCTTTCCCACTGGGATTTAATGTAGCTCGGTTGCAGGAGGTAATAACTTTGCGGTCTTCACTTTGGATCGTGCCAGTAAAGTCTAGCGGAACTGATTTGATATCGGGTATTTGGTTCCGTGACTTCTGGGGGTCAACATTATGATTCCTGAGTTTGGTTCTCACCATGATAGACTTCGGACCTGAAAAGTAAAGATTGATGTCGTCGATGTTTCACGGTATTCATAATTCAATTCTCGTTTGTCGGGAGCGCTTCGTTCTCTTTGACCCTAAAACGCGAGAAAGCAAGCCAAGGTCCTCTGGCGATTGAATTTCCCAGTATTCTCTGTCAAAAATTTGTGAGACATTGCCAGGCAGAACCCTTTTGTTCTTGGTACGCTTGCTCAACACTGATGGAAACCTCTTCTCTGTATCGGGGAACGAGGTTTGGAGATGTAGTTTGCAGGTCTTGGCTCTGGGTGTTCGCCCGGATGTTGGCAAATGGTTCATATCTTTTAGCTTTATGGTGGGAGTATTCTCTTGCTCCGATTCAGTCTTATTGCCAGTGGTTATCGAGGATTTAAGCATGGTCGTTACAATGGGAAAAATTGTGGTAATCTGGCTAGTAATGCTAAGATCTTCTTCATTGCCGCTGATAAGTTGAGGAGTCAAGCGTGGAGAAACGACGACATTCTCTGTATGACAGTCGGTTTCATACTCAGACTCAAGTGACTGGGGCCCTTGGGCTTGTGGCTGAAGGTATGGAATTGGTGGGAGCATGTTCGTATCTTCCAGTACAGATGCTGGACATGGCAATGAGGGTAAAACAAGATTTAGTGAGCAAATACCGGAAGCCAACCATGTTCTATAATAAGCACCGCGGGTAGGGGGGGGAAGGGGTCTATGGGCGTCAAGTGAACACTGCCTGGGCGCATCACTAAAAATGCAGCCCGATTACGCTAACAGTCAGCCTGGCACTCCAAGGCGGACGCCAGAGGTCTATTGATTGCGTATCTTATGTATGCTTGAGGATGAGCCAAGATTTTCGCAGAATTGCGTTTTTATCCAACGATTGGTAGTATCAACGCGGGTTGCTTTTAGGCTTGGGGAGATATCAAAGCGTTTTCAATGCCTCTTTCCAGTCTTTGTAGATTCTCTGCCAGTCTGTTGGGCAGCTATGGATACGCTTCCAACCATTTTTCTCGGCCCTTGTGGACACGACGGGCCCCTGTGGCTCATTCACGTGAACGAGACAGTACGGGACGAAACCCGTGTCCGTGCCTGTGACGCAACCACTAAATAGCTGTGTGCCTGGCACACTTACTACTCGAGCCATTGGTTAATTCGCCCGCATAGGCCAATCTTCGCATGCGGCGCTGGGGAAAGCCAAGCCATAGTAGACGGCTAAGCAATTCTGCTGCGCATTGAGCTAGCGCTGTCCGCCCCGTCGCGAGATAGACAGGGAGCACACGTCGTGCTAGGCAGAAACAAGGGGACTAAGCCATGCATTAGTCTGGGGGCCAAATCACTCCGAAGACCCAGATGACTCCATCGTATTCAGTCCAGGATCCTACTCAAAGACCTCCAGTCAGAGATGAACGACTTGAGCGATACTTGATAGAATGATGAGGTCTCTTGCATGCAAAGCGGATTGGAGGCATATGTTGAATGCTCAGTTGGGACGAAACGGAAGTACAGAAAGTACACGTGAGGCGATTAGGAAGCCCCTTGTCTGGTGCTAGTCCGAACACAAGCGGGGTGTCTACATTCCATAACGCCCGACGCTTTAAAACGCGACGTCTTGAAATTGAAGGTATATAAGTATCAGGGCCAGTTGGTAAAATTCGCTCTCAATATAACCATACGACCCATGGGGTAGCGGGCTATGAGCGAGTTTTTGATGTTGAGAACATGATCTGTCCACCGCAAGAACATGAATCTTATTTCGTAATGGGAACAGAAAATTTGAGCTTCTCGGTCAAAGACGAAATTTCAATTCTATTTTGCTCATTCTAGCCACACAATTCTCTCTCCACTGGAAGTATTGGAAAATAATCGTAATTCAGGTTAACTAAACGAAGACGTTGACAAATAATCATTAACGTCCCCTCCACGACCTCCGACATGCAGGACACGTTCGCCTAGGAGCTCTTTCCAACCACTGATCCATACATGCCTTGTGGAAATTTACTCCACACTGAGCTTTGCACCACACGAGATCTTCGTATCTTTCAACTACGTCTCTGTTGTGCTCATCTTCATTGTCCGTGTCATGCCCCCCATCACGGGTATCGTCAGCGGCCTCTTGAAGTGCACACAGACAAATCCCACAATCTCCTTCAACAGTCCGACGAGTAGGGATATGAGGGTGAGCAACAGACACAACAGCCTGCTCAGTTCTCCTTTGGGCGGCCCTAGTAGGAGGGCTACGAGAATGGACGTGTAGCGGCGTTGTTCCGCCTGATTCCACATTTGACGTGCGAACAGATGCCTGTGTGCGTTCTCGTGGACGTGCTAGTTCCATGGTCGTTGAATCTGATACCTCTTGTGTTGGTCTTAGCTGAGTTATGACTTCTCTGCTCCGAGGCTGCTCCATATGGCCACTAATTGATCCTATCGATCGTACCACTTGGGTACTTCTCGCACTGGTGCTTTGCTGTCTTGAAAGTGGCGGTAGAAATCCTCTCTCCCGCGGTGTATGTTCCGTTTGACCACTTGAGCTGGCTCTTAGACCTTGGTAATTTGCATGCCTCCGGGTGTTACCAGCATCAGTGCTGGGAGAAAGAACGGTGGCATTGTGCGGGATGCTATTAGGCACAGCCGAATTAGGATGAGAATTTTGTAGGCGTGCAAGAATTCTTTCCAATTCCAATATCTCATTTGAAGCTTTTTGGCGAGTCTTCGAAGACTTCGAGACCACGGACTGTCTCCTCGACGATGTAGTAGGAGCCTGAGAAAGTAGGAAGGATTGAACTTCTTTCTTCCAACGACTAGCGAGATCGGAGGCCTGGGATTGATGGGAACGTTTGCATAAGACAAGGGGAGCAAGATCTTCGAGTATGTCCTCGATGCTGTGCCCAGCACGAAGCGCTTTAGTGCCGTGGCCCAGAAGATGCATGGCTTGGCTGCGGCCAGCGGCGTTCGTTCGGTTATGGCAGCGTCGACCCTGAGACCGGGCGTAACCAGCACACCAGGGCTCATTTTCTGGTTCAAGCTTTATAATTTGGGAAAGCTTAGGCAGGACTGCAAATGCCATATTGTAACTTCTGGAAGATATTATCAATACTTGGATCGAATGTGTCGCTAGATGTCAGGATAGACAAGGTAAGTATATGGCGTTAGATCACGAGTTTCTAGTTACAGGGAAATCCCGATGACTTTATAGAACATTATGACACTATCTAATTAGTCCGTTATTACCACCAGCCTGTAGCCTAAGCCTCTGCCCTGTCACGATTTCGTGGCTTAGCTCTGACAGAACGGAGGCAGACGGCGGGGGCGGGCCACTGCGCGGTTCCCTTATGACGAGCACACAGGGCTTGCTTGGAGAAAATCCGCGGTTGAAAAGCCCATTTTCCAAGGTCTGCATTAGTTCCGTAAAGGCGTAAAGAGTATGTTGGGCCCCCTCGTCAGTTGGTTGGTCCCAGCACCTCGACGGTGTGAACAAAAGTACAAGAAACGGGGGGGGCGGCATGAAACCTGACTCGTAAGAACTATAATTAGCTAGTCCTGATGGGCACAGAGTGGCTGTACGCGTTTCTGGCTGACTAGAAATGTTACACTTCATTCGCTCATCGGCAATGCTCTGATCTTGACAACCAAGTTGGGTGGAATTTCGGGACGAACCTTGGCGGGTTTACCCGAAAGTCAACACTGCCCCGCCCTATAATGCGCTCTCACGGCCAACCATTGATGATCACTCTGTTGGTTGGTCCCACAGCCGCAATTCATCCCTTCGCACTCTCTTCCTCTGTTTCGATTACTCTCGGGTCTCCTTCTGCTCTCTTTACCCCTTCTCAACAGGTTCATGCTGCCAGTTAATAGAATCCACTGAGCTGCAAGCAGCGTTTTTTCCTAGAACGAAGCTTCCGCCAAAGAGGCATTGAAAGGGCATGGTGTCTTCCATGTGCTCAGGGATGAAACGTTTCTGTCTAAATTGAGAGCTCTGGCGATCTGGGCCAAGAGTCCTAAGCTCCAAGACATTCCGTTGACCACTTTGTAGAAGCCTTAGCCATGTTACTCCTGGAATTTGGCATTCATCTCATGCCTAAACAACGAGAAATGTTTGTGAAAAGGCAAAAAAGGCAAAACCACCTGGAATGACCTATTTTTCAGGATGGCATTAGCGACACGACGGAAAGGTTTTGGCACGACAAGGCTAGTCCTAATAAAAATTGCCCCCCCCCCTTCGATACAGAATGTTACATTCGAAATACACAAGTTACCTACTGGATCCATAAAGATGTACAGCCCTATCTTCAGAAAAGACCGTTCAAAAGACCATTAAAAGACTTGAAAAAGAGTATAGAAAAAGCTATAAAAAAGACCATAGAAGAGGGCGATATGATAGGAGGGGGAGTATAGTATGAACTTAGTTTAATACCCCGGCTTACATGAGAGTTTTTTCAATCAGAAGAAACCTGTCCAGCGAAAGATGAAGAGCAACAGGATTCGCCTCTCCTGGGGGTACAAAAGTCTGCTGCCCGTAGACAATAATGCCGACCTCAAGTCTTCTCGGCCATTTTGATTGCATTATTTGGAGGCGCATGTTTACTGTTCATTGCATCGCTTGCCATTCTTGCACCCAGTGACCGGAAATGCGCAATGCAACTATCATCTTACTATGTGCTTCAAGTTTCTCGGCTTAGGAACTCCGATGACAATGGAATATCTGCTAATCGCAACTTTTAGCCCCATTACTAGAGGCAGTGGAATATTACGAGGTGGACTGGGCGAACAATTTCCATCAGGAGTCCATCTATCGGGGATCGCCAACTCCAGAGTTAGAACTCGCATGGGATCATCTTTGGAGACGTAAGTATTGCAATTAAATTCAAGCTATGGACAAGCTGCTGAAGATAGGTAGAGCATGATATCAACGTTCCGCTGAACAAGTTATCCTCACTCAATCGGTCGGTGGATGCAAATTGGATGCAGACGCCAGTGCAATATGGTGGAGGCGCCGAGGCTAATGTGGAAGTTCATCAGCTGCATTGTCTGGTATGCACATAACAATCTGTTTGATATAGGTGGCTCATAGGGACTAATTTGTGGTGTTAGAACATGATTCGACAATACACGTACCTAGATTCCTACAAAGTGCAACCGGAGGGATTTCAGAAATCCTCAGAAATGTCAAGAACACATGTCGATCACTGCATTGAGACACTAAGAATTCATCTCATGTGTGCGGGGGACATCGACTCTGAGCCGCTTGGGGCCGAGGCAGATTTCTCAACGCATCACAAATGTCGCCGATTCGATAAGTTGACTGAGTGGATGGAGATACACGCTGTACGTACAGAAGAAGCTTAGCCTGCCCTAGTCAGTGCCCCGTGGAAGGGTAGAATGGTGTAAATTGCCCTGACCGAACGCCGACGGCGTGGCTTGCTTTAGCCCTGCACACCATGCCGCCTTGGCCTGCGGGTGGCCGACTAGATTTCAAATCAACATTCTTACCGAGAAAAGCTTGTTATCCATGTCCATCAGGAGACGTCCATAGAGTGCCGGTTTTCGTGTCATGCCAGGAGAGTGCTTGAGTGGACGTATCAATAAGGGGCGCCTCGCTAGTTGGGTACCTTGGTCTGACAAGCTTGATTCCGTAGGCCAGCCACCACTGTTAACTAGTACTTATGCCCTATCATGCATTTTTATTTTTGTTTTTCTTATTATTATTATTCATTCTCGGATCTGTCAGGCCTAAGGTTTGCCGCCGGTGTCCCCTCTAGGCCAGAGCTTGCCTATCTTTCCTAAGTGCACGAAGCACCCAACCCTATGCAAAATCTCTTCTTCGCCTCATCGCGTGCTGGAGTATCACAAATTCGGCCCGGGGCCGCAAGCTAGTCTACCATCAGGTCCGAATGACCTGAGGTGTGTCTCCCAGGCGATAAAAAAGCCAGTAATGAGACAAAACCGGGGACATAGTCAATTAATAGGATGGGGCGTGGCCAGCGTCGTATTCGACATCAGCTGGCGTTGACTGGCTTATCGCAGCACTTACGGCCAATATAATCAATTAGGGCTAGGTGCTTTTATCAGTCGCCAATCACACCCTGTAGCTGCAGCACAAAGAAGCATTTCCCGGCTCCATCACGCATTCCCTAGATATCTGCCTTTAAGATTCTTCTCCTTCCTCCACCTCTGCTAATTCATCTTGCTCGTGTGCACCATGAAAAGTGAAGATGCAGTGTGGTATTTCTGCAGATACTCACTTCGGTCCAAGAGTGTCGCCATGTCGTCGCGACTTCGACTTTACATTAATTTTCGAGCAGAGCATCCTCGCTTTAGGCCCTGATTTGTCATTCCTCATTCTATGCTTTTGTCGGTGGTACTTTATTCGTGGAGAGCGAAAAGAGACACCCCGCAGGCCGGTTAGCACTTATAAGATGGTCGGTCTGCTTTTCCATACCTTATAGCCCCTCTGAAAAAGCTTGCAAGCTGATGTGGGTTTGGATATGATACAGGTGTTATATATGCTACTGCTGGCGCTGAAGTTTGCTGTCCTCATTTTTTGGTGTTTACCGCAGTTTCTGGGAACAAAAATCTCAATTGCGTCCGCTACAGTCGGCATGATTAGCACTCTGGCGTTGTTACTGCTTTCGCACCATACCCAAGCACGTTCCCTAAAACCTTCGATTTTAATTTGCCTGTATCTTTTGGGGAGCATCATATTTGAGATTGCGCAAGTACGGACTTTGTGGCTGTTTCATCCTCGAAGCTACTCCCTCGCGGCGACATCCACAGCTGCTCTCGTGGTCCGGTCCGTATTGCTCGTGTTGGAAGCGGGCGCGAACAGAAAACTCCTTAGCCCTCAAAACGACCGCATTTCTCCAGAAATTTTCACCGGGATCTTTAGTCAGGGTACCTACTGGTGGCTCAATGCGCTGTTCATGAGTGGCTTCCGAGGCGACTTATCCCTCAAGGATCTCTATCCCTTGAATGAGGAACTCTTGACTAGGTCTCTCATTTCCAGGGGCAATCAGCGATGGAAAGGTAATGAAGATGATGTGAGTGATCTAGATCAATAGAATTGGAGACTAACTCATGACTGCCAGAACAATCCTCCCGACGGCTAGCACTTTTCCGTAACATCATTTCCGATTTGAGATGGACGGTAGCACAGGCAGTTGCCCCTCGCCTCTTTTTGATCGGGTTCAAGTTCGGCCAGCCCTTTCTCATTAACGACCTCATCAATTACGTGTCTGACAACGGCTCTAATGAGCTATCTGGGGTCAAGTATGGTTTCATCGGTGCGACGGTTTTAATTTATATAGGGATAGCAGTAAGTTGTCCATACGTCCCTTGCTGGACCGATTCTTTCAATTGCTGAATATCCTAGGTAAGCACTGCTCTATTCAGACGTCAAGCTATCCGCATGGTCATTATGACTCGTGGATCGTTAGTTGCGATGATATATGCGAGGACCCTTCGCCAAGCTTCAGGCCGATGTCCAGAGACAGGTTCGACCACCCTAATGAGCACCGATGTTGATCGGATTGTCACCGGGCTGTTGAACCTCCACGAGCTCTGGGCATCGCCTGTAGAGATTGTGATTGCACTTGTGCTTCTAAGTAGATCCGTTGGATACCCTTCGGTCGCCGCTCTGGCTGTTGCTTTGGGTAAGTTCTCATAAACTAGGCGATAAAAAGACGTCTTGAAATAAAAAACTAACCGAAAATCAGTGAGCGTAGTAGGGTGCTCTTATCTCGCGCCTCGAATGCGGCAATGGCAAAAGATTTGGGTACAAGCTGTTCAGGAGAGAGTCAGTTTCACTTCAGTGATACTCAAAGAACTGCGCCAGATCAAAATGTTCGGTGCTGAGTCCGATATCGGCCTCAAGATACACAGACTTCGCGAATCGGAACTACGTCAATCTAAGCCCTATCGTTCAATGATTGTCGGTATCAATGTTTTGGGCGCGCTGTCGACTGCCATCGCTCCTGCTGTGACGATAGCCGTGTATGCGGCTACACAGCTGAAGCTTCGGCTAGAGACACCCAGCACTGATGTTGTGTTCACGTCCTTGTCCTTGATTTCACTTATGACAAACCCGGTGGTGCTCTTATCTGTATCATGGACAAGATTCACATCCGCTATTGGCTGTTTTGATCGGATTCAAGAATTTCTTTGCAAGGAAAGCCAAGCGAACGAGTACCTAGCAGGGGCTGAATGGGTAGCGCCTGGGAACATTTCAGGAACGAAGCTTAACTTACAATCGGTTCAGTCCCAACCCCTTATTTGCATGACTGACTGCAGCTTCAGCTGGGACCTTGACAACCCAGCAATTCTCAATGGAATCACACTGAAGATACAGCATGCTTCATACACAGCTGTGACTGGGCCTATTGGCTCTGGCAAGTCATCCTTACTCGAAGCAATGCTCGGTGAAATGCATATAAGAGAAGGGAGTCGGTCCATCAGTTTGGTCAAGATGGCGTATTGCAAGCAGGATCCGTGGATATTCAATGGCACACTGAAAGCGAACATTGTTGGAGAATCACATGCTGATGAAAAATGGCTCGAAGAGGTGTTGCATGCCTGTAGTCTGGATATTGAAGCCACAACACTTCCCCTCGGTCTTGAAACAGTAGCTGGGAGCTCGGGAGCTCAGCTGAGTGGAGGGCAGAAGCAGCGAGTGGTAATTATACCGATAAACTTGCTTTTTTTTTTCTAGCTGTTAATTTACGAGGACTTAGGCTTTGGCCAGAGCAATCTACGCGAGGCTATCTTTACTGGTTCTGGATGACATTTTTGGCCCCTTGGATGGAGTGACATCAAGGATAGTTTTCCAGCAAGTACTCGGTCGTGCTGGCCTTGCTAGAAGGCTCGGCATGGCTACCATTCTTGTGACAACAGCAGGCGAGTCTAATTTCGATATGAACAATCACGGTGCTGACAGCTCTTTCCATATCAATAGTGCAACATTTGAAAGAAGCCGACTGTCTAATTGTTCTTTCAAAGGACGGTCGCGTGGAAGCTGATGGGCATTTCGACGAAATGGTGATGAAAAATGAGTACATACAGAGTCTCTCGCGTTCAATAAGCTCCGAAGACAATGATATCGAAGAAGAAAGCGAAGAGCTTGTTTCCAGGTCCGAGGATGTGCGGGAAGTGAGGCAAAAAGCCAGAGAGACCGCTGAAATGGAGATATTGCCTCACATTCCACGTGGTGGCGGGGACATCTCGCTCTACATCTACTACATCAGATCGTTTGGCTGGTGGGCATTTGGGTTAACGCTAGTATTTGCATCTCTATTCGTGTTCTGCATTTCCTTTCCGCGTGAGTATCTCCGTGGTCCGAGCCAACGAAATATTTGCTAAACATTCATCACAGAGGTTATGCTGAGCTGGTGGTGTGGCTCCGCCCCTCAAAAAAATTATATCTATCTCGGTTCCTACGTCGGTGTGTCGTCTATCGCCATAATTGCGATGGGCACTTTTATTGGGTATTTTTGACGCACTCCACTTGATATCTTTGTAGCAATATCTCATGCATTCAAGATTCTTTTTTGTCTGGGCTGTTCCTAGGTCAGCTGTCCAGCTGCATAGAATCTTTCTAGAGACCGTCATGAGGTGAGTGATCCAGACCTCTTGATATATGTCTGATCTCCCTACTAAAGAACTTACTAGAGCACCTTGGCCTAGCGTTGCTCGGATAGATACAGGCAATCTCATCAATAGGTAAGGCATATGTATGAGACGCCACGACGTTTCATTTTCAATGCATTCTGATTTCTTCCAGGTTTAGCCAGGACATGTCACTTCTCGACATGCAGCTTCCTGTCTCATTTGGCATAACTCTTCAGAGTTCGTGGGCTCGATCCCCCGAAGCTGTTAAATCATAAGTACTGACTCCTGGGTAGACGTTTTGACTTGTATCGCGCAAGGTGCCTTGGTAGCTACTGCATCAGGCTACATGGCTGTCGTAATCCCCTTTTGCATAGTGGCAGTATGGACAATCCAAGCTTTCTACTTGCGCACTTCCCGGCAGATCAGACTCCTTGATCTGGAAGCAAAGGCTCCCTTGTACGCCCAATTCTTGGGAACCACAGAGGGTCTAACAACTATCCGTGCACTTCATTGGCAGGAACGATTCGCAGATCAAAACGCCGAGCTCCTTGACATGTCCCAAAAACCATTGTACATCATGTACTCCATTCAGCAGTGGTTACGGGTTGTTTTTGATCTCCTTGTTGCAGGGCTTGCGACCGTTCTAGTGACATTGGCTGTTTTTGTGACTAAGAAAACTGGCTCTGGGGCCCTTGGCGTTGCTCTTTTGAACCTACTTTCATTTAACTCCACATTGACATTATTGGTTACGAACTGGACACAGCTGGAGACTTCTCTAGGGGCAATTGCGAGAGTCAAACAATTTGTAACAGACCCGCAGCTACAACTGGCTAGGAGTGAGATGGCTTGTCCAGAGGATTGGCCGTGGGAAGGTCGAGTGGAATTTCGAAGGGTTTCTGCGTCATATGGGTAAGTCTTTGCTTTGGATATCACGTTCGAGATAATTCAATTGAACCAGGGACTAAGATTGTTCTCAGGGGGCATGCTTCCACCCCGGTATTGCGAAGTGTCTCATTTAGCCTAGAGGGCGGCCAGGAACTAGGCATTTGTGGGCGAACCGGAAGGTAAAGTAAGCAAAGCCCCTATAAAAGAGTGACAACTGGCCTCAGCCAGTGGGAAAAGTTCTTTACTCGCTTGCCTTTTCTCTCTCGTGACAATCACGTCTGGCGAAATCTACATTGACGGCGTCGACATCTCAAGTCTTCCTCAAGAGAAGCTTCACTCTGCATTACTCCCAATTTCCCAAATTCCATTGGTTATTCCCGGCTCAATCCGCGAAAACCTTGCCTTGGGAATAACATCAACGATCGATGAATCGGCGATGGCGTCTGCCTTGGATGAAGTCGGACTTTGGCAACAAATTCAAGATCATGGTGGCCTGAGCGCAAACATCGATGAAATTGGTCTATCCAATGGCCAAAGACAGATTCTGTGCATTGTACGTGCTATTCTATCTCCTGGTAGAATCATCATCATGGATGAGCCTACGGCCGGATTTGATGAACTAACCGAAAGATTGGCCACGGGGCTGCTTCGTGAGAGGCTGAAAGGACGGACTATAATCTCAATTGCCCATCAAATCAATACTTTGATGGACTCAGATCTGGTTATGGTCTTGGACCACGGTACAGTATCTGAGCTAGGAGCACCGCAAGAGCTTTTGCGTAGGCGAGGCATGTTCTGGCAGTTTTATTCGGCAAATACAACATAGAAATGTAGAATGAGAGCTGCACCTCGTTGCATATCTGTTCAATTATCTCTCCCTCTTTTCTCTTGCTTTTTATATGGGACTAGTGACGCTTGCAGCAGTTCAGATGTGGGCGGCTGATTGGCGCCGGGTAGCGCTGGCATCCCACGAACATTTATGTTGACCCTCTTCTAACACGTAGCATTCCTTCCTCCGCCTACGATGACGTTCTTCCCGTTAGCGTGCCGAACAGTAATCCGACCGGCGGGATCCGATCGGGCAGAGGCATCTCTCTTTAGGTTCTCCTCCGCGTTCTTACTGGGTCCGAGATCGTCTTCTCCGTGAGGCTCTGGAAGAGTATAGTACTAGTCTGTTTTAGGCCAGCCGGAATGATACTATACGATTACCATAGCAAACTGCGTCACGGAAATTACCTTCTGGAAACTGCCTCCCTCACCTTTGCTTTCCCCTTCATAAGACCTTCTTACCTCCAGTCTCCCTCTTACACCCTACTTCCTTCCCTACTACCACAACTTTCTGGGAGAGCGCTTTCACTTGTCTACCCCCCATAACCCGACTCACTGCATCTCCTGACAGACATACTCAACATGTCTACCTCGTCGAGCTCTGCCGATTCTACTCTCTCTCGGGCTAGCGCCCACGCAATAATCTTTGACTCGAGTTCGTCATCGCGTTCCTCTCCTTTTACCGGGAACTACATAGTGGATAGAGATGGGTTTCTCTACTCCGATCATAGAGCGGGAGGACCCCGTCTCTGTTCACCCCCAGACGAATACCGCCCGCTCAGTAAAGCATGGGAGGATCAAACCCATTTCCGAGTGCGACAGGGGCACGTTCACGATACCGTGAGATCCATACTCCAAAAACACCATGTACAGTACCGCGAACTATCTATTTGGGGCCGAAAGTCTCGTGTCGACCCTGAACCTCAGTCGATCCCCACAGTACGTGTTATTACAGAGACGATCCCACCCGGGGCGCGACGCGCTGCTCGGGAGATACATTATGCTCTTCTAGAAAGCATTCCCTCTCTCTTTATCTCCGTTGACATTGTGGACTCCCTACTCGCGACACCACTTCGAAGTTTTCCTGTCGCTAGAACTGACTCGATTTTCGATAAATGGAACGATATCGCCCATGCGATCCTGAACGCGCTTGACACCCGTGAATGGGTTGCTCTCGGGTGTTGGAGATATGGCGTGGGCAATACTGGTACCGAGAATCCTGTCACTGTGGTCGTGAATGTCGAAAAGCGATCCACATCGGAGTGGAGTACCGAATCACGCCGAATTAGAATGATCTTGAGGGGTTTCGGCGTGACTGATGTCGACATCCTATTCCGAAAAGATGAGATACGTCGACACGTGGAGGATCCGGAACTCCCTCAAGCTGCTTGTACCAAGTTCGCGCAGCCTGGGGTAAGCCTCGGAATTCACTCAAGCACAGCGGGGTCCTCGACCTTAGGGGGCCTCGTCGAACTACAATTTCCGGACCAGAAATGGCGTACGTTTGGGATTACGTGCTTTCACGCTGTGTATGCGCCGGAGCGGAATCGACAAACACTCATTCAGGTTCCGGGTGCATCAGAAGGTCAGTATATCGCCCCAGGCAATGTCATTGTTATTGACAGATACTATAGCTTTCCGTCGGTGGAAGGACCATCCTGTCAGGCCCGGGAATCCTATGGCCCCACAGCTACTTAGAGTTGACCATCCCTCTCTGAGTGATCTCCGACGAGCAGTTGCGTCCCTAGCCGGGGGTATTGCGGATTTAAAGAGCGACAAGTTTCGGGAAATTGAGAAACAACTCAGGGCACGAGATACAGACCCTGATGACGTCTTTGTTAACCCAAAAGATGAAGCCAAATATCATGGCACGGTCCGTACCATCGATGCCTTCGAGCAACAGCACCAGTTCTTTCAAAGCTTCATACAAAACGAGACATATCTTCTCGGTCCTGTATTTGCCGGTAGCGGCCTTTGGCGAGCACGGGCAGGGCAGGATCAACGTCAAGACCTAACAATTGTTGACTGGGCATTGATCGAGATCCCCAAAGAGCGACTCGGAGAGAATAAAGTAAGTTTATTATTTCTACTTCCGCTCGGCAGTTTACAGTCTTTTCTACAGTCTTTTCTACAGTCTTATCAAACTAACCGGAGATTATGCTAGCCGTTTTCCTACAAGCAATCTAAGCCGACTCCAGAATTCCAAGATGGAGGCTACCTTGAGCACGGGAAATCGTATTCGAAATCTGGGCGCTCGTCGGGTATTACTACGGGGATTTACTCTGGACTTAAAGAAGCTAATTTCCACCATGTATGGGACCCGGAACTCAACAATTTCAAAAAAATCACGACGATGGAACATGTTTTATTCCCTTCTGGGAATAAAGTAGTCGCGGAGCCAGGGGACTCTGGGAGCCTTGTGTTTGATGCGAAAGATGGGAGCGTGGTGGGGTTGTACATCGCAGGAGCAAATGGAACCGGTCACGTCTACTTCACCTCAATTCATGATGTTTATCGAGACATCATGGAAGTGACTGGGCTATCAATGTTCAAATGGCTTAAGTACCTAAGAGGCAAAGTTCTAGCTAAATTTGCCTTTTCTAGCGGAAGAATCCGCCGATTTGGGGAAAAAATAGAATCACAGAATGAAATGCGTTTATTCAGAATGAACCACTACGAATTTAGTGAGCTGATCTATGAGTCGGTTTCTAAGTCGGTTTCTAAGTCGGTTTCTAAGTCGGTCTATAAGTCGGTCTATAAGTCGGTCTATAAGTTAGTAGTGTTCTTGAATCAGATAAGATACTAGTTATCCTGGTACCGGGAGTACCCTTCTGTCATGCTACGCGAATACGGGTATTATTTATTTGCAATGTTGGTAGGGAGGTATCGTCTAAAAACTTTCTCGGTGTTGGTTTCATTATCTCTTAGATTGACCAAGGATTTTTGGGTACTAATTCGGAAACCTTTCTCTATGTTCTTTCACTAATTCTCTTTACTTCCATCATCTCTGACGCTTGATATAACCAACACTCTACTCAAGCCACTGGCCCTCCTTCCGAAAAAGTCCCTTACTCCTTCGCGCATTTCTGTCACAAGCCTCCGCGTGCATCTTTAAAATGCATCACATTCTTTCCAAAGGATTTGTTTCAGGGATATTCCTAACTGCACTTGGGCTTTTTATTTTCTTCGTTAGCGTCACGCTTCGTTCCGTGTTAAAGACTGTTTTAGTAGTTTGATGGGCAGGCCGATCTGCGGATTGGACTTTGAGCACTTCGCAGTTAAGACTTATTTGAGCGTGTATTCATAATCCCCTGTCTCGAGTATCAAAATTTGTCCTTTTGAGGGAGAAAAAAAACAAACATCTTTTTGTACAATAGAAACCGTGTCTCCAAGTTATCTCCGGCATCCTGCCTCACCTAATTTGAACTACTCTCCTTCCCTTCAACAAACTTCTTCAAATCACTAACCCACAGCTCAAAGTTATGCTTCAACTTCGCCCCATACATCCACTTAACAGCATAAACCAACCATCCATTCTGCAACTCCCAATTCCGCACCTCCGTACCCTTAACGGCATTCTCCCCTTCCCCAATATCCACATCGGTAATCTCATGTACCCGTTCCGCATTCAACAGAGAAGGGGACATCGCGCCGGGGGCCTCCCGATCGACAACCCACACAATGCGCCCGGGGGTCTTTGTCTCGGGGTTTGGCGCGGAGTATTCAGCAACCAAGAGGAAAACGTCATTGGCAGCCTGAGGCTTAGTCGCGGTAGGGTCCATGCGAACGTGGAAGGTAACTCTGGTGCCCTTACGGAGGAGTGGAGAGAGGGTTGCCGGATCGGAGCCTTGGCTATCTGGCTGCTCGCGAATAGTCGCGCGCGGAACAAAAGTGTTCCATTCAGGCCATGTCGATGTGTCGGTCAGAGCTTCCCAGACTCGAGTGGAAGGCGCAGCGATGACGGTGGAGCTGCCGACTTGGAATACAGCATCTGCGACGGCGATGCCGGGGGTTGGTCGCGTGGAGTTTGTGGGGTTTTCGAGGATTTTCATTGTAATTTGACAGAATAGAGGGTATCTAAAAGGGATGAGGTCAGAATTTGGAGAGGAAATTCGCGTTGGGAATTAGATTAACTGGGTTACGTAGTTCCCGGAGACTGCGAGCATCCGAGCCGATAAAGCTGGGTGGTTTGATCGGTGGGGCCTAGTCTTATCTTATCGATGGGCTCTGCGGCCGGCTCCGGTGGAGACGAGGTTAACATCCATAACCAAATATTCTTTCATATCGACTGCTATCATACCACCTCTCAGATCTGTCAATACCGTTATCCAGAGCAAACCATCCACGTTGGAACAGGAAATACCATTTGCTCGTACAATTGTTCCAACGCTTTGATGACATCGAATTGGCATCTTTCCCTCCTATGGTTTGGCATTCCTCCATCAGCAATAGGGTGAACTTGGATCAAGCACTAACCCTAAAGAGAGGACCTTTAAAACATTTTAACCTAGTCTTCCTCAGAGACCACCTCGAGCAACAAACTGCCGTCAGGAGTATTACCCCAGCGTACCGTACAGCAGGGTCTGTAGTCGCCTAAATTTGAGTGCCTCGGCAAGTGTAACGTTGCCATTCTCTAGAGCTGCGCCGAAGATATTCAACATTGTATCACCAATTAGGTCGTCGAATTCATCAGAGTCAACATCTATATCGCTTGTGCACCCAGTTACATCAAGTACTAACATAGAGCGTCATGGCCGCTGTACACAGCCATCTGAAGTGCTATTCAGGCAGCAGAGTATATGCGACGTCTCTCAGTATAGTCCAGCACGACTTCGACAGACGGATGGTTTTTCCCGGCGGCTACTATGATAATTATGATATATTCATCGATAATTCCATTCTGCGTAAGACGAGAATAGGATAATGACCGATCAAGATATCCACAATGTTTGTATGGCCATCATTATACGACTCTGTACAGTGTAGAGGATAAGCAAAGATTTGAATAATTACCTTCCCTCCGATGCCCGCAGTATGGAAGAGAAAATCAGTCATCTCTGAATGAGAGTGGACTTGAAGTTTCGTGTCCAAGTCGGTAGAATAACCGCTAGAAAATAAAATAAGTTTAGCAAGCGCTAGTCCTCCTTCATAGTCACTGATATTGCCTAGTTCTCAAGGATTGAGTTCCCCTTAAGGCTTGCGCACCGGCCATGGATACACCAACTCGGTTGGGAGTGATTCAATAGGAATAATTGCCTCCGATTAGCGATTAGCTGAACTCTGACGCAGATAGCGGACAGTCGAGTTTAGCATTGTCTGTGGAATTTTACCGGATCAATGCAGACATCCGGCTTCTAATAGCCCATAATGAGCTTATTTACGTCTATTAGGTACTTCAGTGGTGGAATATACTCTGCAAGGTGAACGTGAGAGTTTGCGGAGGGAAGTATGTCTTGGGTCGGATATCGAAGCACCGACACCGGAGCTAGGTCGGCGTAGAGAATCTGCAGTCTACATGCTCGTCGCCAGCGGTCTCCAGTAGCCGACGAGCATGTGCCGGATGAACCATTTTTGGCACAGCGCTACAGAGTACTCTAACCCTTCCCGATAAATAGACAACATCTGCACCTTTCGGGTGTCCTTAGAGATCTATATGGCAATACGAAGATCAAGAACTTCGTTGCGTCCGCCCAGGTAGGGTGAATGTGAAGCATAGACTATTTCTTGCGAGTACTGAACTGTTCATGCTGATAATACGTATGGCGGACATGCGAGAATCAAGCTAAACGAGCGAAGAGGCGCTCCTGTTCGGCTTATGTTTGGGCCTAAAGATTGAATGCCGGGCGCGCCTTAGTTCCGCAATTCTTTCTCAACAAGCGTCCCTGGTATACCTCAGGAGGTCATAGACCCTGGATTACTTATTTCCACCAATCGTTGTGTAACCCCGCAACCGCTGAAATAAAAATCCATCCACACGACGCGACCTCCCCCGCGGATATCCCCGCATTGTGGAGAAGGCTTGGCTCAATTAGTCTCGAAATTTGGCGATCGCATTTTCAATGATGTAGATGAGGCTACTGGAAATCGCTATATTTATAGCTCAATGGCTGTCGACTGGCTACAGGGAGTGCTTTTTCATCCATTCAAGTCAAGTTCGCAATGTTACTCTTCAGCACACTTACATTTGCCTTGTTGCCCAGTCTCGCACTCGGCTCTTCGAATCGACCGCACCGCTGTGTCATTCCGGCGTCAAATAGTACCTCCGATGACTCTGCAACCGTCAATGGCGTGTTTGCCAAGTGCGCCACGGACTCCGTGATTATCTTCCAAGAAGGCGTGGACTACAACATCTTCAAACCAATCAGTGCAACGAATCTCAGCAATGTCGAGATCCAAGTGAAAGGGAACCTTCACTTGCCGCAAAGCATTACTGAGATCCAGCGCATCGTCAACGGAACGAATCGGCCTCTTTACTCGAATGGTCAATACTGGTTCACCTTTTCTGGGCCTCTTATCGATTACATTGGCTCATCCAACGTCAACAATGGATGGATCAACTCCTACGGCCAAGCTTGGTGGGATGCCAACCCCGTCAATGGCACTGGAATTGCCTCTCGGCCTCATCTAATGAGTTTCAAGACCACGAATGGCACATTGAAATATTTCAAATCGCGGAAGCCGATCGCATGGAATGTTCAGCTCAAGGGTGACAACATTGCTGTCAGTCACGCTTTTATCGATGCCGAGTCCACTGGGTCATTCCCATTTAATACGGACGGGTTTGATGTCACTGGCACAAACATTCGCATCACCGACAGTGTCATTTACAATGGTGATGATGCCATTGCAGTGCAAGATGGCTCCCACAATGTGTTCTTTGAGCACAACACCATCGGCTACCAGAGCCATGGTATGAGCATTGGCTCCTTGGGTCAGGATCAAACTGCCTTTGCCAATGTTTCCAACATCCACTTCGAAGATGTCACGGTGATTGATGCTGTCTATGCTGCCCGATTCAAGTCGTGGATCGGGGGCCAGGGACTCGTCAAGAACGTTAGCTGGAAAAACATTCGTGTCTACAATGTGACCTTCCCCATCTTCGTGACGCAGAGCTATTTCAACCAAGGGTCTTCGCAGACCCAGCTCGGCAACGGTGTGACTACTGGACGACCCAACAATGCATCTGTTACAATGGAAAATTTCACCTGGTCTGACTTTACCGGCTCGGTCAATACTTATCGCCCGGGTGATGGATCTTGCGCATCGGATCCCTGCTGGTATAATGCTGGACTCCCAAACTTGAAACATACTGAGGCAGTCGTCATCGAGTGCAACACGAACACTTCGTGCAAGAATTTTGAGTTGAGCAACATCCAAGTCATCCCACAGAGTATGGCTGAGCCGACTGTCATTTGCATTGATGCCACTGCCGAATTGAACCCGCATCTGGGATTTGACTGCAAGAATGGCACGTTCACTCCTTCCTGATTCGACAAATGGAACAGATGCAGCGGGTTCCTTCCTGCTCTTAAGTGCTCTTTCCGATTCTGTGTGTATGTTTATGACTAGGAAGATTCATAGATGGCAAGAGCAATAGACGATGTAAACAAGCAACTAGCAATAGCCCCCTTCTCATTCCCCTTCCTCTCTTCTCCTTTCCTCTTCTCTTCCTCTCATCACCCCCATCTGTTTTCATCTCTCCAGCTTCCAAGCTTGATTGCCTCTCCTTCGGAAAGCACAAGTACACTCATTATCCCAACAGTCTTTATACTCCAACATTCTCTATCATCTTTCATCTCCTCTATTACCGTGTTTCAGCCGTTATCATGCTCCAAACACCCCTTTCTCTTTCAAACTCGCACGTTCAACCACGTCCTCGCTTCTGTATCTTCCGCCCTGGTGGTCAGCTTGCTCCATTGATCCCCGCCGATGAATTGCCATCATGGTTGCATATTGGCAACTTTGAGCCAGACCTGAACGCAGCTCTGCAGCCAGTCTCTCTCAGCTTCATCCCGCGCGAGGGCGAATACGACGTGATCTGCCACAATTGTTCCAGCAGCGTCGATTCCTTGCATCAAAGCATGTCTGAGCGAAATTCAGACTCGCAGTCCCCCCTCTCGCGGTCACCCCCGTCAGCCTCGAGCCAGACTAAAAGCTGCCCTGGGGCCTTCTTCACCCAGACTGCAGAATGCGACGTTCAAGCAGTGATTCAACCCATCAACATCCTGAGTCAGCCACCTATCCAAGCATCTGTTCAGAGTCCGTTCCTTGGTATGTACATGCTTCAAATGCCAGCAATCTCCTCCAATGTGATGCAGTCGGTCATGCGAACACCTGCAGCCATGGAGAAGGCCCGCGACATTGCAAGCACATGTTCCCATATCGGGTCTGATCTGTTCGAGAAGACTTACCCTCGAGGTGAACACCAGTCCTCGGGATCAGATGCAGATTCAGAGAGATCGAATCAGGCATCTGACAAGACGATTGTCCTTGATGAAGCCAAAAGAGTCGACAGCCCAGACCCCCGAGTGGACCGTGTCTCCAGTTCCAACTCTCGAACCGGCTTTGATGCTGCTGCTGAAATGAAATTGCACCTCCAGGAATCGCTCGAGAAGGATGAAGCTCACGAGACAATGACAGTCGCCAATGAGAGCATCGCTTCTACCAGGTCCCTTACTGCAGCGGTCCTGCGTCTCGGGCAGCTTTTGGCCGAAGGCAAGATTCGTCGACCATCTAACTTTGATCTCGGAAGGCTCCATCGCACAAGCTTCAAGAAGGATTCGGCAGCACGTCCATCAAGTTTTCATGTTCCTTCGAAGCGTGTTCGTGTTCGTCATCGCCGTCGTCGTGCTGACAAGCCTAACAAGCCTGACACGTCCAAGCCGGTTGCACCAAAAGTCAACGATGAGCCCCAACCTGAGCAACACAACTCCGATCAGCCAAATTCTGCCACCAAGAGATGGCAGCGCCGGGAAAAGCTGAATAGAGGCAAGAAGGATACCGGAAGTCCAACTCGCTTTACCCACATGACGGCTACCCCGAATGGGCATGAGTCCCCTCGCCGCTGAAGGATTGACACGGACTGGAACTGGATGGGATGGGACCTGGACATGATTTTCGACGCACATTTGCCTTTCTTTTGTTCTTCATGCCCGGCTCAGATGCCTGGTTGATGTCTTTTCTCTCGGTCTTGTCACATTGTGCACTTCGTCGTTCATTTGGTTTATGTTGCAGGTCGTGGCACCTTCGTGCTCTGTTTTGCGTTGATCATTGTATATATCTTTGTCGCTCCTTGATTGTGGATTCGCGAATCGTGGCTGTCTTTTCTCGTCTTGTACTGCCTTCTTTCGTCGCGTTCATCGCTGTACATAAACCTGGCGTTTCTTGGCGTGGTGTTCCTCTTGGGTCATTCGTCGCTCCTTTCTGTTGTTTTTCGACTTTCTTTTGGGCGTGATCACCGCTGTCGAGTTTCTTTAGCCTTTGCACATCAGACTTTCCTTGCCATGTCTGGTAAACCTTGCTTTGATTGTGGCGTTCCTGTTTCGCCCTGCACATGCCTATGTTGCTTCCTTTCATTAGGTAGTTTAGTCTCGGCTTCACCGAGTTGCATTTGCCAATTTCACACTCCTTTTGAAGACAAGTTCAATCTCCTGTTAGACCAGTCCTCCAATTCTGCGTGTTGGAGTCGCTTTAGTCTTCGTAGGATGTGTATTTTCCGGCGAATACCCAAACGGGGAATCCGCCGTTTCCCCCGCACTCTTATCTCTCGGCAATCGGGCCGGCATTCTATAAGACTGGACATTCCCATCAAACAGTCCGCAGCCTTATGGCAGGCGTCAAGAAGCCCCGGGGCATTCGCCATGATCGCCACTGTGAGCGATGCCGGGCTAACGGTATCAAGTGTGATCTGAATCGCCCTCGCTGTCAACCATGCGTACAAAGTGGAGTGACGTGCCAATACCCGCAAAGAGTCATCTGGATGGGGAATAGAGAGCAGAGAAAGGACCAACCAACTTCGCAAAAATCGCCATCGTCAAGCTGCCCTGTGTCGCAAGACCGAGATAGATCGTCGCAGGAGCCTCAACCACTGCGGGTACAACCCACCAAGCATATACCGATCAACCTCAACGGTTTCATCGATCTCCTCTCCGAGTTCTACCAAGAGATCCAGTCCAGCAAGCAAGAGCTTCCCGATGAAACCATCGAACTTATATCACATACCCTAAGCTATGCACGCTTGCGCCTCCAAGGCGCAAATGACGACGACTCCATCCAATCACATCTGGTCGCATTGACAAACCTTAGCAGAGTCATTGACTCCGCACACCCTATTGCATTATTCGGAATAGGGACCTTCGCCATGTTCGAGGTCTGCTGTGGATCCTTTGGCAATTGGCAGCGCCATCTACACGGGGCACGTTCCTTACTGGACCTGCATTGTACAAATAAAGCCGAGTTGGCCAGTCTAACTGAGCGGATACCCGGTCTAGCAGACGTGCTCGCCTACCTGGTCTGGTTTGACGTGACTGGCACCGTGAATCGAGGAGACAACAACTTGATCTTTGATAATTGGCATCGCGAGATCCTAACTCAGGACTTTCTTGACTGGGTGGGATGCCCAGCAGATACGTTCGAGCTATTCGTGTACCTTGCAAAGGGCGAGCATGATTTCGATCCCCTCGAACTCGGCGCCCGAGCGATGCAACAAATCCTGCGCAGCAACACGAATAACGTGACGGACGCGAGTCTCGCAGACGTGGCCTACCGAGGCTCGGCTGCAATGGTTTCTTTTGCTCGCGCCGCAAAGGGTAGCGTATCGCCAAATACCTCGATCCATGCAGACGTAATATCCTCCATGGTGGATAAAGTGTGCGATGCAATATCTAGAATGCCAACTTCATCCCGATTCTACGTGCACCTAGCCACATCTGCTTATCTGACGGGTATGCATGCCAGCACCGGAGATCAGTGCGAGGTGGTGCGGGGTTATTGGCGGAATTGCCAATTGTGCGACTTTCCGAGATATCCGGATGGTGAGGAACAGTGTGAGCGGAGATGGAGGGATAAGGGGATAATTATCGCGTGATAGAGAGCGACGATTTCAGCTGTTTATTTAGGATGGGCGTTTAATCAGGTAGTCATAGTCAATCTACTCCGCATGTCTCTTCGTTAGCGTGCATTTGATTACTTGCCCAAAGCGGAAGGGAATCTACCAGTTCTCCGCATTTCTTATCTATACCAAGTATCCCTCCAACTTAAATATCCGAGGCGCCCGATTCTACACAGGAATCCTCCTATTTCAGGTCTTTACAAGTTCAAATCATTCATAGCGACCACCATGGCAACTTCGATTACAGCCCCTTCATATCAAGAACGTGCTGCTGAAAAGCGCGCAAATCAACTCGCCCTCATCCCACCCGAGTGGCGACTCTCCCAAGTCCCTTCGGGAGAATCACACCCGGATGCTCTAGCATACATTCGCCGCATCCTCACACCGTCGGAACTCGCACTCACAGAAGAAACGGATATCACAGTTCTCCTTCGCAAGTTGTCTTCTGCGGAGCTGTCTTCACTAGAATTGACCAGAGCGTTCGCTAAGCGCGCCGCATTGGCTCACCAGCTGACGACATGTTGTACGGAAATTTTCTTCGAGGAGGCCTTTGTGACAGCGAAGGAGATGGATGAGTATCTAGCGAAGACGGGGACGACCCTTGGACCTCTGCATGGGTTACCTGTTTCGATTAAGGATTTGTTTTCGGTGAAGGGGGTGGATACATCGATCGGTAGGAATTGTTCTCCCATTGAAACCTAACATCTCATGCCAAACCTAATACTCGTACAGGATGGGTGGGTTTAACAAACACCCCTGCTCCTGCAGATAAATCCGTGGCGCGAACACTACGACGTCTTGGAGCTGTGTTATACGTAAAGACCAACTTGCCTCAGTCAATGATGATGTCCGACTCTTATAACCACGTCTTCGGGCAATGCGTCAACCCGTTCAATCGCAACTTGATTTCTGGGGGAAGTTCTGGCGGCGAGTCATCTCTCGTTGCGGCTAGGGGAAGTGCGCTTGGTATCGGGACGGATCTCGGCGGTTCGATTCGGATTCCTGCGAGTTTGTGTGGACTGTATGGACTGTCGCCTACGCCGGGGCGGCATCCGTACGAGCGTGGAAAGTGAGTAACCGCCCCATTTACATCACTCATATCTACAGCGTACTGATCTTGTATAGTCCCGGTCAAGATATCGTTCGCTCGGTCGCAGGGCCCATGAGTTGTAGTTTGGCTACTATTGAGCGGTACATGGAGGCCCTGCCTTGTGCATCGCCATGGGAACTCGATCATCATACGGCTCCCGTCCCGTGGCGACGAAGCATGGCCTCTCTTAAAGCAAAGAGACTCAGAATAGGCTTCTTGGTCGATGATGGCGTGGTCAAGGTTCAACCCCCGATTGCACGGGCAGTGCAGGAAGTCGTTGCTGCATTGAAGGCAGCTGGTCATGAAGGTATGTCCATCGCATTCTTATTCACCGTTGCATCATCTAACGAGTGAATGCAGTTTTCGAATGGGACGCTTCATCCCATGGGTATGCGTACCAACTCTGGGAAAAGGCCATTCTCTCGGACGGCGGCGAGGGCTGCCGCAGGAAGATTGAAATGACTGGGGAGCCTTTGATTGAGGGTATGCTAGTTGGCACTGAGAAAGATATTCTAACTACATCCGAGACTCATCAAGTACTGCTACCCTCCCCTTTCAAACTATACTTCGGAATTTTACCGTGTGCTAACTACACTCAGCTTAATGCCGACAAATATCTCTATGAGAGTGAATATCTCGATCGCTGGACAACTTCCGGCATCGATGCTCTCATCATGCCCAACACGCCTTGGGTCGGATACAAGCCCTGGACGTGGGTCAAATCCAGTGCCTATGTGGGATATACCAGTATCTGGAACTTGTTGGGGTATGCTGCCTTGGCGGTTCCTGCTACGACTGTATCTAGGGAAAAGGATATGTCCGACCAAGAATGGTTGGATCATGTCCCACGTAATGCGGGCGATAAGTTTAATAAAGAGCAGTGTAAGTCCGGATGCAGTAATCTTTTTGAAGTGGTGTACTAATATGGAAATAGATGATATTGATTTAGTTGATGGAATGCCCGTTGGATTACAGATTGTCGGCGGGCGCTTTGGGGAGGAGAAGTGTGTGTCTGTGGCAAAGGCGATTGAGCAGGCTATGCGATGGAGAGATGCAGCCCGGCCGAGCCTTTGATATATTATACCTACAACGAACACCAACCATAGCGACATGCATCTATAAAGTTTACTACTGAAGTAATGCCCAAATTATGAAAATAGATCACGTTCATATGTCCAAGTATCGTATCGTTTATGTATATGCATCCCATCCCATCCCATCCCAATCCAACCAATGCACATCCAATATATACAGTATCCAACCAGTACCCAAACACCCATTCAATCATTCATCTCATCATTCAAATAGGAGAATTCATCCTCTCCTTATAATCCGGAAACTCCCAGTCCCCCAAATCCCACTCAATACTCATATTCCTCGGTCTATTCTCAGCCCCATTCCCAGCAGTAGCCGACCCCTTCCTCAACCCCATCCCCAGCTCCATCTCAAAATCTCTATCCTGGGTACTCTCAAAACCAACCCCTGCCCCGGGACTACCGGGCACCACCGCATCAGAAACCATTCGTAACTCCCTAACAACACGGATCCCATCTTCATCCTCGCACTCGCGGTTCGTTTCGTCTTCGTGCGTGTTCGTCTTGGATATACTAGCCGTGTACGCGCCGGGACCCGAATAGAAGAAATCATTGTAGTAGATACTACCGTCCGGGTAGGTTTGGTCGTAGATGGAGTGTTTGCGGGAGGAGTTGAGGTGTGTTATTGTGGAATGGGTCTTTGTAGCTGGGGAGGAGTGCAGGGGTTGAGGGCGGAAGCAGAAGGAGAAGATGCGAGATAGTAGGGGATGAAGGGGGGCGAGGCAGGCGCATATTATGGAGACGTTTGCTTCGAGAGAGGACCAGACTGCTGCTTCGGCGTTGGTTTCTAGATATGATGAGCGGATGATACTTTGGGAGTGAATGGGGCGGAAGTATATACTCACTGGTAAAGTCGCGACTGTTGACCATTTCACTGAGCTGATAAAGTCGCGCTGAACTAGTCGCAATCACACTGTCATATATTAGTAATTGATACAATTCTGTCAGTCTTCAGACGTTACACTTACAAGATGCCAACCCCAAATACCAACATAGTCCCCACCTTTTGTCGCCGCGGTAAATGCAACTTTGACAGCAAAGGCATCGGTAAAATGAGAATTACTAGATCCGTGAAAATCTGCATCGCCGCATTGGCATACCAGACCGGGCCCTCCGGCAAACAATGGTCCTTGTGATGGACACTCCAAAAGGCATGCACGGGTATGCAGAAGAGGAATCCGCTGATGACCATCCACAGTCCTGCAACGATGAGTAATGCCATGGTGGAGTAGGTGCAGAGGAGGAACTTTCTGGATCGGAAGATGCGGATGAAGAGGACTAGGATGGATAATTTGGAGAGGATGAGGGAGAGGTTGTAGAAGGGGATGGAGAGCCAGAGGTACTATAGTTAGGCAGGGTGGATTAGAACAAAAGAACTTGAGAGCTGCTTGCGTGGGTATAGACATACCTGCATCTGACCCTGGATGGCCTCTTCAGAGAGGCGATCCTTGCGTATGCCGAGACCATAATGGCGCTCTATTAGACAGCTGGTTAGCCGTTTTGTCAATCCATTCAAAAGGGACTCGGGCAGCATACCGACGAGAATGAAGGCATAAAACAAGATAGAACATATCTAGGTCAAACCGGTAAGCATTTAGTCTGCCGAGGTGAAACTATAATACCGTCATGTTCCAATGAGAACTGGCCGACATACCAACGCAAAAACGATGAGCAGATCATCATATCCGGGACTCTTGACTAGCCTGCACCTTGTCCATAGACGAACAGCCACAAATACAGCCGCTAAAACGGTGAATGCAGTGGTAATCTCGAGGACCCTCATATTCAGGGAAGAGGATCTGCAACGCCTTCGGGTCCATCGAATGGTATACCCAATATCTCAGTTGGATGGCCTTGTAAGAGGCGAGCGTGTCGATCAACTCGGGTGGGAGGTCCAGATCCCAGCACAATCACCATCACTTTATGAAGGAACGCAATTAACGCCAAGGGAGCGAGCGATGAGCGAGAACCCCCAATTCAATAAACCGCGAGCCGAGACTGCGGTGTAGTCAGTATAAGTATCGCAAGAGCTTGAATCGTGCAATGTCGACATCTAAAATCGGGGCTCGTCCGTCTCAGAAGAAGTAAATCCCAAGATTCTCCGAACAAAGAATAAAGATTTCATCACTTATCAGGGACTCTCGCCTTCCAGTCCAAGATACCTGGTAATTTCACCAGCACGCCATCTGGTTGGCTTTCCACATCCTGTCTAATGGCCGCATTAGGAAAGTCCTTGGGGGACGATGGCGTCAAAGAGTCGGGTCCGGATTAACCTTACTACAGTACGTCCTACGAGGGTATCTACCAGCCCGCCAATTGTAACGGTTTAAATAAAGTTGTGGGGTAGCGATCTGAGTACGACTCCGTGGTTTCTCGTCTGTGGCACTGGCTGGATTCTTTATCACCCCCACCCCGATTTCCTCTTGCCCAATCACCCTCGATGCGAGAGACTAACTACCGGGAATTCTATGTAAATTCGTCGCTGCCGAACCAACCCCGGCCCAGACCCAAATTATGGAACGTTGTTCTCCAAACTTTGGTCATCCCACACAGTCGCACCAGAGAGCGCTCATTCTTCGGATGAATGCAAAGTCTATACCCCATCAGACTAGCCACATTGCCAAAATCCACCCATCAGCATTCGTTTATGAACTCAGCCTAAACCTAAACGCGCTCTGAATGGCTGATCAAATCCCACCTTATCTCAGAATTTCAACTGTATCTTTTGGTTGTGTCCAAGGTTCATGCTAGTCTTTTCCCGAACAGGGCATCGCGCGATTCAAGCTGTATCTGGTCCATCGTACTTTTGCGAGTCGTACAGAGTCATGTAAGTGGCGAGCCCCCGCTTCTTGACATTTTTCTGGAGAACTCGTCGCCATGGGGGAGTTCTTTTCCCTTGTGGGCCTCGGGGAGGCCGATGATCGACGGCTGTAGAGTTTGTCACGGTAGACTCAAAATTTGCACGACTCTACTCAAATATTTGTCTGGAGAGGAATGATCTCGATGATTGCTGGGGAAAAGAGTGTCCCGATCGATCGGGTGATTGTCGGCAGGTTTGTTGCGGCGGTAGCCATAACCCGTCACTAACATGTGTCATGCAGTTGACATGAGATGCTCAGAGATGAGATTAAGGTTTAATTGTCAGGCGTAAAGTCTATTTCGAGAAAGGGTCTGGACGGGCCTACCAGGCTGTCGGTAATTTCATCCGATATTGATCTTTCAACGTAGAAAGGACAGGGAACTAAATGTAATGGCAAGGACTATTTCGCTCTTTAAAGACTTTCCATTGCATGTCCAAGTCTCAATCCGACACAATGCCCTTCTTGCAAGGTTTAATTGATCGATGAAAAAAAGAAGAGCGACTATATGGAAGTCTACACACTTAACACTCAAATTGATATCAAGAACAAATTTTAATTCGTCACTGCTGTACATAGCTCAGGCTAGACCAGGCGAATCGCGCTCTAGTCCCATATCTACATTGGGGGTAAAACGCAGATATCAAAAAAAAATGAAAAACGTATCCACATGAAAGAAGAAAACAATCTACAGACGAGACTTGAGGTTGGCCTTCAGGCGCCGCTCAACGGCAGCCATGTACTCGTTGGTAGTGACCCAGGCCTCACGGTCCTTGCGGCCGGTAGCGAGAGCCAGATCCTTGGTCATGATGCCCTCGTCGTTGACGACCTCAATGCAAGCGCGCTCGAGCTCCTCAGCAAAGGCAACGACCTCGGGGGTATCGTCGAGCTTGCCACGCTGGACAAGACCGCGGGTCCAGGCGAAGATAGAGGCAATGGGGTTGGTGGAGGTCTCACGGCCCTTCTGGTGCTCGCGGTAGTGACGGGTGACGGTGCCATGGGCGGCCTCGGACTCAAAGGCCTCACCGGTGGGGGTAACCAGGGTGGAGGTCATCAGACCGAGAGAACCGAATCCCTGGGCGACGATGTCGGACTGGACATCACCGTCGTAGTTCTTGAGGGCCATGACGAAGCCACCCTCGGACTTGATCATCTGGGCGACCATGTCGTCGATCAGACGGTGCTCGTACCAGATCTTCTTGGCGTCAAAGTCCTTCTTGTAGTCCTGCTCGAAGATCTCCTGGAAGATATCCTTGAAGCGACCATCGTAGCGCTTGAGGATGGTGTTCTTGGTGCTCATGTACAGGGGCAGACCCTTCAGGAGGGCCATCTGGAAAGAGGCATGGGCGAAGCCACGGATAGACTCATCGGTGTTGTACTGGCACTGGGCAACACCACCGCCGCTCTGGAAGTCGTAGACCTGGACGCGCTCGGGCTCACCGCCGGCAGGGGTGTAGACGAGCTCAAGCTTACCGGGGCCGGGAATGACACGGTCCTGAGCACGGTACTGGTCACCGAAAGCGTGACGGCCAATAACGATGGGCTTGTTCCAGCCAGGCACCAGACGGGGGATGCGGTCAATGATGATGGGCTCACGGAAGACGGTGCCGCCACTGAAAGGGAATGTTAGTTGATTGGTTCGGGGGGGAGGTGGGTGCGGGTTCAGAGTGGAGGTTAGCTGTTGACTTACAGGATGTTACGGATGGTACCGTTAGGGGACAGCCACACTAAAGAACAAAAATTAGGATCTAGACCAGAGTGACACAAAGAGGCGGTGACCGAGGGGTACGTACTCTTCTTCAGCTTGAACTCCTCAACACGGGCCTCATCGGGGGTGATGGTGGCGCACTTGACACCGACACCGTACTTCTTGATAGCCTCCGCGGCATCAACGGTGACCTGGTCATCGGTCTGGTCACGGTACTCGAGACCCTATGAAAAGGAAACGCATTAGCCCGATATATTCTCTTGAGCGACGTCATTCATCCGGGTTGATGGGACAGGCTTACCAAGTCGTAGTACTTGAGATCGATGTCGAGGTAACTAGATTCAGGTTTAGTGACATGCCGAGGAAGATCACTTCGGCAAACATAGGAAACAGCACTTACGGCAGAATCAACTATTTGGACACACAGCGTTAGTCTCAGTCCAAAATCAAGGGGAAGGAGCCAATGTGATGCATCAATCCTGCATGCGGAACCGCAGTTCGGGACGATCATGCAGGACTGGGCCAAAACCGGGCCGATGAGGGGGGGGAGGAGGGGAAGTAGAAGGGTAGTGGAATGATTGATAAGGAGAGGGGAAGTTCCCGAGGCTTACCTTTTCCCTGATCTCTTGCCAGATGATACGGGTCATCTACAGCCAAGTCAAATCTCCGGTTAGCACACATCAATGCAATTCAAAGCGAGTCATGTTCGTCAGATCTCTCGTTGTTTGGCTGGCTGATTCTCGGGTGGATTTGTTTCATTGACACATGATAGCATTCAGAGCAGGAGAGTGGATTCCCACCCCCCCGTATTTCCCCGCGTTCACAGGGACTACAGGACGACAACCCACCCGAGAAAGCACGAACGTGAAACGAGGCTTGTGACACGCGACCGAGGCCGGAAGACTTTGAACTATAAAAGGGAAGGAAGAGCCGGCCTTACCTCATCACCATCCAGTTCCACCACTGGGTTCTTGACCTTGATCTTGGGGCCTTCGGTAGCCATGTTGCGGGATTGAGCGAGGTACAGAGTAGGGGTCGATCCGGACCAGCGGGAAGACGTGGCGATGCGGGTAGTACGAGAAAGACGGAGGGCAGAGGAGAAAGATCTCTGAGGAGAAGAAGTAGAAGAAGTGAAGGAAGTTGAAGAGAGAAGACGAGAAGAAGAAGAGAGAGGGGCAATCGACGGAGGAGGGGTCGCCAGGGACCGGCGCGCGAAAGCGGAAGCGGACCGAAGGGAGTGGGAGTTCAGCATCGTGTGGGTAGAGCGATTCGCAACTGCTTGCCTACGAAGGCGTCGGGAATGTCAGCACTGCGGGTTGGAATTGGGGCTTGCCGTTGGTGGGATTGGCCGAGTTGGACGTGGGGGAAATTCATCGGCGCGCGAGCGAACAACCGAGGGAAAAGGCAACGATATTCGGCAGAAAGGAAGGAGGTTACGGCAGTGGAGCCGGAACCGCCTACCCCCGGCTTTCCCGCATCAAGCGGAAGATATTCCCTTTGATGGCCGTTCTTTTTGTTCGTCTCGGTGACAAAGCGTTCACGGCAGACACCAACGTGGTATTCCCGACTGGAATCTCATTTGGAATCTGGCACCAAAAGGGAAGATTTCATTGCCTGGGGTCCTGGGATCTGGGATCTGGAAGCTCTCACCTCTTGACCTTGAGACCTGGGGATGGTGGAAAAAGGCCGGGGCTAGACGGGAGAGTCCGGGAGAACAGACAACTCCAGACAAGGCAAATGGGGAATGGGGGAATTACCGAGTGGACAAAAGTGGACAGTCTCCAGAAGAAGCCGCGAGTTGAGAGCAGCGAAACTGGCGAAGAGGGAGGAAAAAGCCTTGTCCGGTTGAAAGTATGTCTCTTTAAAACTGTCGAACTCCGCTGGGAAGAAGCGCCGAAGCCGGACGTCACGAGACAGACTAATCTATGAACAGCACGGAGTAGTTTCTTGTTCCATGTCCCTAGGTTCACTCTGGGTCTTTATTTATGGCCCGGTGGAGGTTAGCTTTTTTTTTTTTTTTCATAACCTCTGATCTTTAATTCCCCCCCTCATTCATCTCCAGAGGTCCAGACGAGCAAGCTTGACTCACGATCGCGGTCCTTGGGCGAGTCAGAAAGCGAGGAGCGCTACCCACCGAGACCCGCCAGGCGGTTTGCGGTCGCGCTGCCGGAGCTCGGAGCGTCTCTCCGCGGCCTCTCACCGAAAGAGGGCCACCCGTTTTGCACGGAAAACATTCGCCCGAGTAATACGATCATCTAAGCGATAAGCTGATGTGACAACGATGTCACACATAGGCGACTCGGCATCCAGCGATCGTAGACCGATGTGGTTCACCGAGTCATCGTACTGGTGGTATACTGGTATACTCCGCGCAAGACTTGGCACATAAAAATTGGTTCATTATTTTGACCCCTTTCAAAAATCCCCTCGTAAAAAGAAATTCGCCCCGACTTCCAGTGTTGAATATGTCTCCGTCTAATTCAGACCTACTCCGTTCGGGCGCCCATATTATCGTCGTAGATCTTATGTGTTGAAACGAAGCGCCCCCTGCATGGTTCACTCCCAAGCAAGAACCAGGCAACCTTCGCCTTTGTATATACAACCGGCCAATTCTATCCAATCCTATTCATAAAAGTCTACCGTACCTCGTCAAATTCAACGACTCTAGAACAGTCCGTCGATCTCCCCGGTCTCGGTGTCGATGTCCACATTCAGGTAGCCCGGAGCGGTGGGCAGACCGGGGATCGTTTGAATATCGGCGGCCAGAGCATACCTAGAAATCGTCAAGGTTAACACGTGATCTCACATCGAGCCCGTTATACTTTGACATTAGAGGAGTGGGTGGGTCCCCCGGAGCAGAGAAGAGGAAATAGAGAGAAAGAGAGCAAGAGAGAGCAAGGAGAAAGAACTTACAGATATCCAGCACCCACGGCCAATCTGACATCCCGAATGGGAACGGTGAACCCGGTAGGGGCACCCTTCAACGCGGGGTCGTGACTGAGCGAGTACTGTGTCTTGGCAATACAGATGGGCAGGTTGGCAAAGCCCTGCTTGGTATAGGTGTCGACCTTCTTCTGGGCCAGCTCGCTGAACTCGACCTTCTCGGCGCCATACATCGCCTGACCGATACGCTCAATGCGCTCCTGGATGGTACCGTTCAGATCGTACAGCAGCTTAAAGTCCTTGGGTTTGGAGCTAGCGGCGAGCACGCCCTTGGCCAGGTCAACCGCGCCAGCTCCACCTTCGGCCCAGTGGTTGGCGGGGATGGCGTCTTCCGCGCCCGCGGCGATCGCCTCCTCCTTAATGACGGCGATTTCAGCCTCCGTGTCCGTCTCGAAGCGGTTGATCGCGACGATGACGGGCACGCCATACTGCTTGGCGTTGGCAATGTGTTTGCGCAGGTTGACACAGCCGGCGCGGAGAATATCCACGTTCTCGGTACGGTAGATCTCATGCAGGGCTGCACCCGGGCTAATTTCGGGACCGCCGCCGTGAACCTTGAGAGCACGGACCGTAGCCACGATCACCACGGTATCGGGAGACAGACCCGAGGAGCGGCACTTGATATTGAAGAAACGCTCACCGCCCATGGTGAAGTCGAATCCGGCCTCGGTGACTACGAAACCGGTCTTGGCGTCGTGGTCCTCGTCGGGCTCGGTACCGGCCAGCTTCAGAGCCAGCTTGTCGGCAATAACGGAGCTAGCGCCAATACTGATGTTGGCGAAGGGACCGGCGTGCACCAGCACGGGGGTACCCTCGAGACTCTGCATCAGGTTGGGCTTGATAGCATCCTTCATCAGAGCGGCGAGGGCACCGCCAGCACCGATATCGTCGCAAGTAACGGGGTCACCGCTGCGAGAAGTAGCGACAACCATGCGACCCAGGCGCTCGCGCATGTCATCCAAGCTGTTGCTGAGAGCCAAAATGGCCATGCACTCACTGGCGACGGAAATGTCGAACCCGGTCTCACGGGTCAGACCCTTCTCGGTAGGAGCCTGGCCAACGGTAATACCACGGAGGTGGCGATCGTTGACATCCAGAACGCGACGCCAGGTGATAGTCTCGGGGTCAATGTCCAGACGAGCGAAGCGGCGAATCTCATCCTCGGTGAGGTCATCGGGATTGGTTTTGTCGATGCCAAGCTTCTTCAGTCTCCGGAACATGATGGGCTTGAACTCACGCGTGCCCTTCTTGACGGGGACGAGACGCTTGTAGAGAGCTCCATCCTTCTGCGTAGCCTCGTGGAACATGCGGGTCTCAATGGCCGCAGCGAGAAGGTTGTTGGCAGCGGTGATGGCGTGGATATCGCCAGTCAAGTGCAGGTTGAACTCATCCATGGGGATAACTTGACTGTAACCACCACCGGCGGCACCACCCTTAATACCAAAGGTCGGACCTTGGCTGGGCTGGCGAACGTTGGCAAAGACAACGCGGTTCAGGTGAGCACCCAGAGCCTGAGTCAGACCGAGAGTAGTAGTAGACTTGCCCTCTCCGAGAGGAGTAGGGGTAATACCGCAGACCAAAATGTAACGGCCATTGCGACGGTGAGAGAGGCGGTCCAGTACCTCCAGGCTGACCTTGGCCTTGGTGTGACCGTAGGGCTCCAACTCGTGGGGAGCAATGCCAACTTCTGAGCCAACCGTAGTGATGGGCTTGGGATATTGGGCGCGAGAGATGGCGATATCAGAGGGGACGGGGGTCTGCAGCTTCAGAGGCAAAGGAGTAATGTGGCGGTCCTTTTGCTTCTCAAAGTAGGCGGTGGCCGCGGTGACCACGTTCTTCAGCAGCATGGCAACGGTCATGGGACCGACACCACCGGGAACGGGGGTGATCTGCGAGGCCACTTGAAAAGCAGACTCGAAGTCGACATCACCAACAAGACGCTCACCAGACTTCCTGGTCGCATCGGGCTTATAGTTGATACCGACGTCAATCACGACGGCACCGGGCTTGAGCCAATCACCCTTGACCATCTCGGTCTGACCAATGGCGGCAACAACGATGTCGGCGTTCTTCACAACGCGAGCAATGTCGGGGGTTTTGGAGTGGCACACGGTGACGGTAGCGTCGGCATTCTTGAGCAGATAGCTGACGGGGCTGCCGACGATGTCGCTACGGCCCAAAACCACGGCTTCCTTGCCGGCGGGGTCAACCCCGCTGGCCTTGAGCAGCTCCATGACTGCAAGTGGGGTGCAAGGAGTGAACAGGGGACGTCCACCACGCTTAGCCAACTCTCCAATGTTGATGGCACCAAATCCATCGACATCCTTCTCATCCGCAACGGTCGAGGTGATGGTGTGCTCCGACATGTGGCTGGGAAGGGGCAGTTGCACCAAGATACCGTGAACTGAGGGGTCATTGTTGGCCTTGGTGATTTCCTGGACAAGCTGCAGCTCGGTGCTGGATTCGGGGACGTTGATGAGGGTGCAGATGATGTTGGCCTATGAGGGGACAGGGATCAGTAAGCTTATCGGATTTGGCTTCATCTGGATGAGGGGCAATCTCACCTCTTGAGCGGCCTTCAGCTTCATGCGCACATAGGTGCCTGGACGGTAGTTAGCTCATTTTTCTATTTTACCTAGTTTGGGGCTCAAAAGCACTGACTGGAATCAGACCGATTGCCAACTGTAGTCCAGAGCATAGGTTAGTCAACTTGTCACCACTGATCCATCACTATTCCATTGTACAAGAAGCTTACCCTGGAAGATCACCAAGTTCGGCTTGAACCGAGGGTTGGTCAATTGTGTCTTCTCAATCTGAGCCTTGAGACCCTCACGGATGCTCTTGGCAATAGCGGTACCGTCAATCTTAGACGCCATGATTGCGGAGCTGGCAAACGTGCGATGACAAGAGATGGGCCGGGGGTTTTTAAAAGCTGGTGGCAGTGGAGACCGACTAGTCAATGGAGACAAGGACGGTGCGGCAATTCCTCGAACCCCTCGTGCGGAGGAAAAGTGGTTAAGAGGGAGAGAAAACCACAGAGAAAGAGTGCGGAGACGAAAATTGGCCGCTCGCGCTGCGCAGGAAAAGCGACAGCGGGGTCCCGCGGCGGGGAAGAGTGGCATGAACAATTATTGCTTCTTTAGGGGCGAGAACCCTCGGAGCTACTTTTGCTGCACTTCGGGATCACAAGGAAAAAGAGTTATGGGACGATTGGTTCAATGCGGGACACATGAAGGAAAAGATCGGAGTGGAAGCTTTACATCTCAACGGGAGCTTTTGGTTCCCCCTCACACACCTTGGGCTCCTTGCATCTCGCTGGGTTGTGTTTCCTTTGTTGCGTAGGAGGGCTCTCGGTTTGAATACCATCGGAAGGCTGGTTGCACCGAGAAAGAGTTGGGAGCCTGAGGCACCCAATTTCGAGTGGCCCCGACCGGAGTCGCTGCAACTGCCATGTGAGTCACCCGGAACGGAGAAATGTATCTCCTTGATAGCTTTGTAGGGTTAGGGCTGGAGGGGCACGATCACGTGTAGATACCGGAATATTGTTTTCTCCGGAAGGCGGGATTCGATACTTTCCAGGTCTTGGCGCTGAGTGGCCGAGTGTGCGATGAAATTCACTAGTCAAAGAAAGTGAGGTTGACGAGATTGACCCCCTCCGGTATACCCGCCTTCTTCGAACCCCTCCTTCCTACGCCGATCCACCTCGAATTTCCTCTCCTTCGGTTCGAATACTCCTGTCGCACCCTCCCAAAATGCGGCCTATTCTGTTGTCAGGCCATGTGCGTGCGATCTCTGTCCCGTTTGGGTCCTCGAAGAAACTAACCGTAGCCGTGCGGCGTCTCTCCAGGAACGGTCCCTGACCCAAATCAAGTTCAACAAGGATGGCGACCTCCTCTTCTCGACTTCCAAGGATAAGGTTGTGTGCGCGTGGTGGTCCGCCAACGGCGAGCGACTGGGAACATACTCTGGTCACCAGGGTGCTGTCTGGACTGTCGACGTTAGCCCCAACACCGTCCTCCTCGCTACCGGTTCCGCAGACAACACCGTTCGGCTATGGAACATCAAGACTGGAGAGTGTGTGAAGACCTGGGATTTCCCGACGGCCGTTAAGCGGGTGGCCTTTTCGCCCGACGGATCGAAGCTGTTGGCTGTGACGGAGAAGCGTATGGGTTTCCTCGGTACAATCGCGGTTTTCGATATTGCCTACGGTGACGGCGAGCTCAACAACTTGAACGATCAGGCTGAGGAGCCTAGCTTGCGCATCACTTGCAACGAGAGCAAGGCTACCGTGGCGGGGTGGAGTTATCTGAGCAAGTACATCATCGCTGGACACGAGGATGGCAGCGTCAGCCAATACGACCCCAAGGTACGCGGAGCATCTCTCTTCCATTTGCGGGACTGATGTTGAAAATCTTGGCCGGAATACTGATTGACCTCCAATGTAGACTGGTGACCAGCTTGAGAACGTCCAAGCCCACGAGTTCGACCACCAGATCAACGATCTCCAATTCTCTCCCGACCGCACCTACTTCATCACCGCCTCTAAAGACAAGTCTGCCAAGGTATGCGCCGTTGGGGTTTTTACCGTCTCAGTATCTTTTTGCTAAAGTAACATTTTTCTTTCTAGCTCATGGCTGCCAGCAACCTCGCTATCCTCAAGACCTACGTCGCCGATACCCCCCTCAACTCTGCTTCCATTACCCCTAAGAAGGACTACGTTATCCTCGGTGGTGGTCAGGCCGCTATGGATGTCACAACCACCTCTGCCCGTCAGGGTAAGTTCGAGGCCCGCTTCTATCACAAGGTCTTCGAAGACGAGATCGGCCGTGTCCGTGGCCACTTCGGTCCCCTCAACACCATCGACGTGCACCCCGCCGGTACCGCATATGCCTCCGGTGGTGAGGACGGTTACGTCCGTATTCACCACTTCGACAAGCCCTACTTCGATTTCATGTACGAGGTTGAGCGGGAGCAGCTGCGGAAGTAAGCGAAAGATTGGCTGGAGAGATGAAAGGAAATATAAATTCGGAGAGGAAAAAAGGAAAAACATGATTGAACATCTCCTCAATCATTGCGCTGTCTGTCTGAATGTGTTTTTACGATGCGAACAAGAGACTCGGGGGCAGCTTTTTCTGTGCTTTGCTCCCCCGAGTCCGGCATACGGAATGAGATGATGACCCCTCCTCAAGGCACGGTTTCTCATTTCATTACTTGATTACATGATCAACCGGAGTTGGTACCCCCCTTTGTTATTGATTTGGTTTCTAATAAAAGATGGCATGCTTCACATTCTGGGTTTTCTCGGGGTAGCTTTCGTTCCTCCTCTGCTGGCGTGGCCAGCTGGGGGAAATGCATATCGCGAAATAGACAATATGAAGTTTTGCAAAACGTTCAATCTGGACCATTTAAAAGATGAAGATTAAGCACGTAAAGGGGGCTTAAGAGATCAACATGAAGATCAGAGAGAGCTTCCAAGGCGTGCAGTAACAAAGAACTCTCGAGGTCCTGGATTATGACTTCTGGTCATCTTGAGGCACTATCAAATATGAAAGTCGATGCGCTTTCAAAGCCACGACGCATACATTCCACTTCTGGTGCTCAAAATGATTCAAGATTTTCTAAGAGCGTTGGCCTTTCAGTGTTGTTGGGAAACCCACCGAGCCATGCCGAATATCTAACCGCAACTAATAAGTAGCAATATTCGTGAAGGACCTCCCGTTCTGTTCCAGGTACCTACGCTTCTACCTACAATTTGGTACCCGCCCAGCACTAGAAAGACCTTTGTAAACGCTCATGCGAAAGTTGACTTGCCATGACTTACTCGTACCTTTGGATTTATTAGCATATGCAACTGGGGCAAGGTCGAGGAAATGCTCGATATGCTGTCCAGCCTACTGGTTCTTGTGCTCACGAAAATACCCTTGGATATTCAAAATGAACCCTATTCTTACAGCTATCTACATAGTTCACATGGGAAGACATCACTCAAGACTTCGAGGTATCTCATTTATACATTTCTCATGTAATTTTCTCTAAGCCCATTTCCATGCAATGGCCGACGCTAATACAGCCATCAGAAAAAGAAACCCATAAGGAAAAACAGAAGTAAAGTATCCCAAATCATCGAGACGTAAACTTCAAGGAGGACATGACGATCATCAAGAACGAAAAATAAAAAAAACACAACGCAAAGGGAAATCAGAGAATGCAGAACTTTAATTTGGCCCGGTCTCATCCCCAAAAAAAGCAACAAGTCGCGGGCTCACCCCCGATTCGAGTTTACTTCTTCTTGGGGAACTTTTCAGCACCGATGTCAGAACCACGGAGCTTGATGTTGAGCACGCGCTCCATGGCACTGAGGACCTTCTGGTCGGGCGTGGCGGTACCGCGCTCAAAGTCCTGGATGACGGTCATGGTGGTGTTGCACTTGGTGGCGAGTTCCTTCTGGGTCATCTTGTAACCCTCCTCGGTACGGCGCCTCTTGATGGCATCGGCGACGGCGTAGCCGACGGTCTTGGGCTTGATGATATCGTCGCTGCGGTCGACCTTGGTCAGGTGCTGGCCTTCGGGGGCACCAGACTTAGCGGCCTGTAGGAGAATCACTTGGTTAGCAAGGCTGTCACTTTGTCTGTGAAAAGGTTCTTGGAAGTGGGATTGAACGTACGATGTTGCCGGTGGTGTACTTCTTCTCCGTGCCGAGGACCAGGCCGGAACGCTGAGCGGCGTTCAAGGCACTCTTGCCCTTGACAACGGTCTCGCGAGGGGCAACGCCACCGCGAGCCTTGCTGCCAATCTTCGTGACGGTGTCCCAGTCGCTCATTTTGACGGATAAGATGTGTTTTTAGGTGGTAGGAGCGGTGTTGGTGGTTGATGAGAGGGTGGGGATATAGCGATGCTCGCGTGAGGTTGAAGATGCAATTTATACAGCACAGAAGCTTCTCGAGTTATGAGGGAGGGGAGTCAGGCGCTAGTCCCATTCGGGCTTAGTGCGGGCATTGCCATCGAGGGCATCTCCCGGCTTCGCGGGTTAACTCCGTCTTTTACTTGTTGGTTACTGTGGCGGAATAATCAGATTTTTCTTATTTCCATTCATTGCCAGTCATATCAGTTCGATTATAGGCATATTGGTGGTTATGGTTCCTCTTGATAGTAAATAGAGAACTTGCGCTTATGTGATGCCCTCGCCACAATCGGTCTTCCAGTTTCCATCCATCAGCCACCATTCCCAACATTGTGCATTTCCACGTAGTCTACCAAGGCTTTCATCGTCATCTATATCTTATCCTATTCACTGGTTTTATACATTATGGGCTTAATTTATAAGGCTCTTCCTCATCTCAGTGAATCGGATCGTCAATTTGAGTGATCTCACCGACCCACTTGATGTCATACCAACTGCGTCTCCCAGTCGCGTCCTCAATTCAACCCACATATTCAGGCTGGATAAAGAATTGAGAAGAGCATTGCCTGGAGATACGAGTATCAATTCACATTACAGATGACTCATTGTTATACCCCATTGCAATCGTCAGTCGGGCTTGCCCACGTCGCTGTCCTATTCGGGTCCCCGAATCCCCCGCCATGTGGCTGAGCGCACTACTATAAATTTCTGCCTTGGTGCCTCGTAATACTCACAAATTGCATTCGATGCGATTTGCATGAGAGGAGATCACCAGAACGTGGATCCCAGCTCTAATACAATTTACATCGTATGTTTATCGGATCGGTTTGATGCGAAGCTATAAGATTTATTGCAGCCTTGTGTTGCTGTGCGTCGGAGTTTGCGACCGTTCGGAGTAGCTGAGGCTTACCAAAATCAGCCCCGAGTAAGATTCGGGGTTTCTTCTTTGAGGCCATGGCTATTCTCATCGTAAATCCGAGATGTATTGCTTCGCGAAGAATTAACTATAAAATAGAGACGACATCAGCGATCACTTAGAATAATAGAGCCAACGAGAACTATTCCACTCAACAAATTTAGTACTGGATACTGTTGTTCTTTTATCCCTACTCTGCAAAATGTCTACTATTGCGAAGCCACACGCGCCGGAGCCCCGACCTTGGTGTTTGGTAAGCTATCGTGATTCTTTACAAAGTCAAATTGTTAACACTTTTCAGGATGGCCGAGAGGTTGACCTCCTCCACTACATCTACGGTCGCCCCGATATCAAGGAGCTGCGTGGTAATCCACAAAAGATCCTCACTGCCATTGATGACTATAACGTGAACCATAACATGCTCATGAATGTCGGCCCAGTGAAGGGTGCACATATCACCAGCCTTATTTACAAGCACAAGCCATCGACTATGATTGAACTCGGTGGCTTCATTGGCTACTCGGCCATCCTCTTCGGCGACGCAATTCGCGCAAACGGCGGAAAGAAGTTCTACACTCTGGAGAAAAACCCCGAGATGGCCGCTGTTGCGAATCAACTCGTCGAGCTCGCCGGCTTGCGTGATATAGTCCACATTCTGATCGGCTCTAGTGATGAGCTATTGGTGGAACTGGTTCGGGAGCGCAAAGAAATTGACCAAATCGAGATGTTATTCCTCGATCATTGGCAAGACCTGTATCTGCCAGACTTGTGGCTGCTAGAGGAGATGGGGGTTCTCGCCCAGGATAGGACTCTGCTGGTTGCGGATAATGTTATTATGCCGGGTGCCCCTCAATATCTGGAGTGGGTGAAGGGTAGCCCGTCGCAGAAACGTGCGATGGTTGAGAAGCTGAACAACGGGTCTTTGAAGCCTAACACGAACTTGGTTTATGAGACCGAGGTGCCGGAATTCGAAACCGACGGGAGAAAGGTATGCTTTTTACACTGATAATTCTGCGAGGGCCTGTTACTAATACTCTATAGGATGGGTTAGCAATTACCAAGGTAGTTGGAGAGGTCAAGGGTTAAATGGTTCTTACCTAGAATGCCTCTCAGGCCTCAGGCATTAAAATCCGCACTCTTATACCTCGGTTTTCAGGATTTCAAATTCGAATTCGCTGTTCTACTCTCATGCTAATGAGTGAATCGTGTCCAAGTTCCCTTTATTTTCAACATTCGCTCTTTAAAACGTTCCTTGCCCGTTGCATCGGCGTAACCTCTAATACCCATGAGGATGAAGTCAGCGTTTTGAAGATAAGTTGGTTCAGCTTGTCTGCTTTGTTACCCACCATTCTGGCCCATGATCTACTCGGTGATAAATTGACCGAAATGATATACGATGAAATTTGACATTCCGAGGTAGTTCTATAATTAGCTCGTCTTATAAACTTCAAAACCTTGGCCTTTGCCCCGCTTTCAATTCATCAGCAATAGATTTGGCTAGACCTATTTGTTCTAGATTACCTCGCCTTACAAATATCAGGACTCTAGTTCGAATCTTGGAGCCAAAGCTATATAAATCGATTCACTTGCTTCTGAATCCAACACTCTGTCAAGAAACCGCGTCTTTAAAGTTAGTCAAATTCTTTATTCAACGTCATGACTTCAGCTTCTGAACAAGCAACAAATCAAGCTCTACCATCCTTACCTCTCCCAACAGAGCCAGGCAAGGGCAATCGCCCATCGCCAAGCAGCCACATTCGAATAGCACGCCCGTCTCGATCTCTTGCCGCTGCCGAAAAATTCTGGAAAGACGGACTCGGCTTGCATGTTCTTTGGCGTTCGGGGCCCGCGGAACATGTTGAAGGTGGTCATGAGCTCCTCATGTTAGGTTGGCCAGGCGCATCATGGCACCTAGAGCTGGTGCAGGTATATGAACAGGACGGGGTGAACATGCAGCCTCGACCAACGGAAGAGGATCTCCTTGTGATTTATCTCGACGGACAGGTTGACCCTGCTGTGGTCAGTACTTTGGTTGATGCGGGAGGGAAAAGGGTGGAAGCGCCAAATCCGTACTGGAATACTTGGGGTGTCACTATTGAGGATCCAGATGGCTATCGATTGGTGCTGTGCAAAAGAGAGTGGAGTAATTAAGAATCATGGTCGATTTTCCTACTTGTCTGCGCTTTATATCTCTGGATACTCTTTGATAAGTCTATCAGGATAATATAGCCTTGTCTGTGATATTCCATTCATGCACGTGGCTAAGAATTATATCAGACCTGCCCATAATCCTGATGATTCCTTCACTAACAGATAGGGCGCCTGCAACTCTTGTCTACCGCTATGACAATGTCCTCTCCCGAATCTCTACCCAGGCTTCTGTAGCGGCGTCGCCTGTCGAGTCACCTACGAAAACTTCCGCTTTACCACCAGCAAGTATAGACCAACTCCCCATTATGTCTTGGGGCATATCACCAAAGATTGCTAGTTTATCGATCCCCCTGGCTCCACCTCAAACCCATCAAACCCTCTTTCTCAACGAAGAGTGGATAGGTGCCGGTTCCGAACTTCAATTTTGGTTTTACGGTCGGCGACCAGGAGAGCCAGTTATGGAAGATGACCACAGATGGCAGACAATTTTCTTGACGGGAAATTATTTCTGTATTTGGGGTTGGATGGGCGACGAAGTCGAAGAACCCGTGTCTAAGGATATCAGCGATATCGCTTCCTCTATGTCCCAGGGGGGACATCAAGAGCTAGACAGAAAGCCGTTTTTTGACTGACAAACAGCTCGAAGGGCAAAGTACACTTAGTAGCTGAAGCAGCGATGCAAGCGATTTTATAAGAAAACGTATGATAAAGTGTGTTAAACCCGAACAGAAACGCTACACTCTTCACGTAAATCTGCAGGGAGTCGCCAAGTTATGCGCCGTATCTATAATGAGCATTACGAAATAGTAGCACCTCTCTGACACTTGTATATATCCTCCAGAGACTTGAATCAAATTCGGGACATCACTGAGTGCATTGAGCATCAAACCTAATCTGATCCGGATATTTTCCCGTTTACTCGCTAACATTGTTGATGTTTCCCCAGGTACCGGTACGAATACGAGACCAGCGATGGTAATCGGAGAGCAACAGATGGGAGCACGGTACTGTGTTTGGACCAGTCGCTTTAATATCGGTTGCTTGCGAAGAGAAAAAAAAAGTCGGTCATCTCTTTCGCGCACTATTGTTCACAAAATATGCCATATGTCTGAGTTATGCCTAAAAATTGTCATGTCCCCTGTGCATGTCGGAAGTCTTGGCCCCCCAAGGCAACAAGACATGTCCCGGGCAATCCACACCTGGCACCTCCCCGATTCTCTTCCTCTCCGGTCGCTTCTTCTTCTTCTCCCCTGTTTTTCGATCTGAACCTCTCGTGTTGATTGAAACAATCTGCACATTTTATCCTCCAGTGCTGAAAAACTTGTCTTCCTCCCACAATCTGCGCTTGAGTCCACCATGGCGAGCGAGTTCCAGTCCGCCATGACCATCCGGTCGCTCCGCATACTCAAGAATGTAGGCTCACCCAACCCCTCGGCGTCCCAGTATCTGGAAGCCAAAACGCCACTAACTCACGATAATCTAGGAACTGGAGTTTCTCGCCGACTCAAATGTCATCAAGCCCGACCAGCTCAATGCGATTCTCGCACAACTGCCCACCGAGACCGATGCTCGCACCGCGGCCGCACGTCAGAACCAAACACCCCCTTCACCATTGCAGATTCAACCCCTGCCTCAACCCGTTCAAGCGCAACCTCCTCCGGCCCCATATTCACCCCCATCGACACAGAACTCCAATCTCCCCTTGAATGAAAAGACCCCGGTGTACAACCAATACGCCTCCCCACCTCCGCAGGCACCGCCCGCATACCCTCAGGCTGCGCCACCATCGTTGGGTTACGCTACTGCGATGTGGGCATACACTCCAACGGATGAAGGCGATCTCGCGCTGGTGCAGAATGACCGCATTTTGGTTCTCGAGCACATGAATGTTGACTGTATGTTTCGGAAAAAACGCCGATCTTATCGGAACTCGATAGCTAACATGTACATGCAGGGTGGCGTGGTCGCAACGAGCGTACCGGCTTGGAGGGTATCTTCCCGAAGAGCTATGTCAAGGCGGTTGATGAGAAGGCAGGCATCTATACGCCGCCCCCATCGAACAACTATGGGAATATGCCTTTGGCTGTTAGCCAGGGCGGATCTAACCCGCCTACCAATGATCCGGAGCAGAAGAGCAAGTTTGAGCAGAATGGCAAGAAGTTTGGCAAGAAATTGGGTAACGCTGGTATGTCGAGGGTACACCGTTTAATTCTAATGAAGGAGTCTAATCATTTTTGCAGCAATTTTTGGTGCCGGTGCTACTGTCGGCTCCAACATCGTGAACAGTATCTTCTAAACAGCATATATATCTCGCTTATATTGTGTGGACTCGAGATACCTTGTTTGGCCCCTCATTGTTTCTTTTTTATCATTGGAATGGCGTTGGTGGAATTCATTTTTCCCTGGATGGATTGCTTGTAGCTTAGATGAAGCTCCTTTATTAGCTGATTATCTGCGATAGGTATTGTGAAATTCGTGAAACTAGTCATCAATTTGCTGCTGATATTCCTTGGATTTTCAAGCACAATCCCCATGGCCATATGGACTCGCATATTGTTTTCTATTCGTCAAAGACCCGGTAATCAAGAGAGGCGCGGCCCAAATGCTCCGTGGGTACCATCTTTCCGAAACGTAGATTCAGCTCGATTTTCATCCATCATCTCAAAAATCTCGGACATTATATCTCTCGGTATGTGTATGCATGACCGGGCATACATTCCAAAGTGTCGAATTGCTCCTATAGCCCTACCACGTCGCAGTCCTAATGCGGGCCGTAATTAGCGCCCCAGCAGACAACACTCATCTGTCGGGGCGCTTACACATATGCAGGCGCAGCTTGAGTAGTTTCAAAGTTGGGCAAGAATAGCGCCGCAAGGCGGCTCGAGCAGACCAATACCCCACTTCAGCCATCCTTTTGAACAGGGATTAGCAAAATCACAATGGGGGGGCGCAGCTCTTAAAACTCGAAGAGAGGGCCACAATGGAGCTATGAAATGATTTATCCAACAATGCCGTTGTCTATTCATGTCCTTGTCTGTCAGTGACACATTGCTAGGTCATAATGCATTTGAGTATATTGTGTGTTTTATTTCTGGCACCCTGTGTTTTGGCCGATGATTGGGAGGATTTTACTAATAATCTTGCCACGGACCTGGTATGTTTAATCTCTGTGACACTGGAAAAGTACGAGCAGTGCAGGGCAACCTGACATTATAAGGCCCCTTTGATTACTCTCTTCGGCGAGCGTCTTACCAAACAATTTCTTTCCGAGTCGATAAGCCTTCTAGACAACATAATCTTCGCCTTATCACCACTGGGCGTATTGACGGCCGTCGTCTCCGTGATTCGAGTATGCGGCGGTTCCTCCCTTCGTGCTTTCATCGGCAGGGCACAAGAAGGTCCCGCTGAAGCTGAAAGTGAACTTCTACCTTGTGTGTCAGAGTCTACGGCCGAACTCTTCAATGAAGGGGGTATATCGCGGGTCTTTGGTAGACCTAAGATTGTGGAAATTGTAATGTGGGAGGAGGAGAATATGCAAGATGGGAAGAAAACCATCGAGATTGGAACGCTACGCGATGCTTTAAAGAAACGCGCTTGGTCTGCTCAAGGTTCAGGTCTTTCGGATGAAGATCTGTTTGATCCAGCCCGTCTGCCTGAACTAGATATTCCCAATCTGTCTTTGAACAAGGGAATCAAGAGACGTGACCAGTTTTGGTTTCATGGTGCTGCTATAATAGGTGCTTTGCTGCAACTTGGTCAGTTGGTACTTAGACAAGCCCTCTTATTTGGCTTTAGACTAATATATCTCCAGGTGTCCTGGTCTATGCTGCCCTCACCGTGTTCGCGTTCCCTGGATCCTTCCAGAAAGATGGAAAAGCCGTTCCGAGCTATGCATTCCCCTTTTATATCGTTGGGACTACTTTCCTGTTTATGGGAATGCTCTGCTGTGCAATCATTATTGAGCGCTCTTCCAAGGAGTATCACTTCAAGCCTAACAAACCTAGCAAGATATTCTGGCTGCAGCCCGGGAAGCAAAACGTTGGAGATCAAGTCTTCAATGCATTTATGGCTGTCAAAGAGGGACCACAGTCAACCATGACGATGAAAATGGAGTATATCAAGTCGGTACGAGTCCGAAAATATGATGGGAGGCATTTAGAGATCTACATGACACTTTCCTCCACGCTGCTGGGGTTCATCTTTCAGTTCATCGGACTTAGAGGATTGCACGCCTCAGTTATCCTCGCCCAGCTGGGGTCAACCTTCGTCATGTCCATTTTGCGCACATGTCTTCGAACAGAGCGGATGCAGCAGGACGAAAATAAAATCAGAGAGGAGCGGGAGCTCGCATCACACAAGCAACAGGAGTTGGATTGCTTTACGTTTCATCTCAAGGATGCTGAGTCTTTTGAAGTTCTTGGGCCGTCATTAAGAGAGACAGCCTTGACAGACTCATCCAGCGGAGTCTCTCAACTGCACCCGTCTTTGATCGATCAACTTATACAAACAAGAGCGCGACTGGCAGAGTTGACAACGAGTTCCAGTCACGGCTTGACGGTAGGATGGGACCAAATGCCAATTCGAAAGGTAGCCCAAGATCTCGCCCTTGTGATCGAATCGACAATGGACCTCATGTCAACCTGGAATGTTGATTTCGGAAAGTCTTTCGAGCTTCGGCTGGGTATTGAGTGTCAATATCTACCTGTGGAAAGAAACTCCCCAGTTCGAAATGACTACGCAATTCGTCTTTCAAGATGCGGTGATGCTCTAAGATGGCAAGTTGATACGAATGAGCTAGAGGCGGTTCTTGGTCTTTGGGTGTGGTCGTTATATAAATCTGACGAATCCTGGCGTCAGCCACTCAATCGCATGGTTGGACTCACAGCAGATGAGGCGAGTAAGAAAGAGACGTATCTTCTCTTTCATAAATGGGTCTTTCGACAGACCGAGGCAAGACTGGTTTCTTCGAAGATGATCGACTCATCGCGGCGTTTATTCGGATTTGACGCCGATGACTACTTTCACGACAATGACATTCTTATCATGAGAACGGAGAATAAGCTTGAACTCATGGCTGCTCAGGACCTGTATATCAATTTCCTCCAAGACGCGTTTGATTGTTTCAACGAACTTGGGGGAGAAACTGATATAGTCACTGGATTACAAAATACATTCGAGGTCCACAACACACGAATCGACGAGATGATGCACTGCTTCGAGAGATGCGGCTTGGGGTCCCGAGAGGATGCATTGCTATGCATCGTCCCTGTCTTGCGAAATAAACACCTCTTACCACAGTTCACCGCATATTGCACCAACGCTAGAAGGAGTGTAGAACGCTTGATTCTGCAGAATGACTGGAAAACAGCCTTTGATCTCGTTCGGTGGATCTGCCAAAGAACTGAAGGCGTTGAGTTGGAGCGATCTGTTTACCAGCTTGGCTATCTTTGTCGTCGGGCATTGCTTGACACGTCCAAAGTCGCCCAAGACGTAGGAATTGAGAATACATGCCGGATACTTGACTCTGATGTTGAAACGGACTTCTTCAAAGCACAAAGACTGAGCCCTCCTGCCAGGTGGTCAGTGTCGCCAGAATACCAGCAATGGTGGGCCATGCTTGCAAAGCAGGTCGGATGGATTGCTTGGCGCATATCAGTCAACGTGGAAAGCATGAAACGGACACAACCCGCTCTGAGAACGCGGCGAGTAGAAGAGGCGCTGTTCTCGCAACCTGGTATCCAACACTTGACGGTTACTGCCGAAAAGGGAACAACAGCTATTCAAGATTGGCTCACCTTGAATTATATCAATCTTGACAGTGAAGCCGATGCAGATGAGATAGGTTATAAGTTGGCCCGTGAGGCTGGGTTTTACGGCCTTCTATATTTCATCTTGGTGAGATGGATTGAGCTTGATTCTACTCACCCAGGCCTCATTCAGCATGCCTATTGTGTTGCCGCGAAGAACCATTGTGACTGGGGTATTCAAGTCCTTCTACAATATGGAACAGATATCAATACACTCGACGGTGTGGGTGAAAGTTCTGCATTGGCGGAAGTCGTTTTTCATGGAGACTTGGAAGCTGCTCGCACTCTCCTGAATAATGGAGCCAATCCTGATGGAGATGAACAGGCGCCAGATTCCCGCCCTTTGCAAGTAGCTGTCCTGAGGGGCATGACAGAGATGATCCGTTTACTGCTGGATCACGGCGCCGAGCTAGAGATTGAAGACAGTGTAGGATTGACTCCGCTGCACCTGGCAAGCCGACAAAACTGTCTGGATACTGTTCCAATTTTGCTTTCTCAAGGAGCAGATGTTGAAAGAATGGAATTGAATAAATACACTTCACTCCATTCTGCTGTGTTAGGAGGACACCTTCAAATGACCCAGCTGCTTCTCGAAGGTAACGCTGACATCAACGCCCGCGACGGAAGATATGGCCAGAGTCCTTTGATGCTGGCGGTCAGAGATTCAAACGTCGATATTCTTCGTTTGTTGTTAGCTAGAGGCGCTGACGTTCAACTACGTGATAATGAAGGGCTAACTGCTTGGGACCATGCAAGGGGAGCTCGCCGTGATGATATCGTTGCTATTTTGGAGGGGATCAATGGTGAACGTAGGCCAATGGATACATAGTTGGAGAAGATATCACATGACAGCGTTCAATCTGAAGAGAATCTCTGTACAATTGAAACTACTTATGGACATAATGACTTGCCCAGCAAACCCGCTAAATAAACAGCCTCTGGTTCAGACTGATGGAAGATACCAATATATGAATGAATATTTGTGAGCCGACCTCGGTAACATTGTTCGGTCATAGAATCAATGCTAGCTGCCGTTGATTAGTTGACCATCTCCAAAAGCGGGACCTGATCGCTCTTGTAAGACACTGACATCTTCAAAAGCACTGATAATCGTCTCCAATGCTGTATGAAACGGATTTGCAACGTGGGGCACACAAAGTTCCTTGGTTGCCCTTGGCCTCTTGGGAGCGCTAACGCCCGCTGCCAATCATAACTGGAGATCCACCCTAGCGCTGAAGCGGCCAGCCCATCAAGTTGCGCATGTGCAACCTGTAGGCGCCGTCTGGGATTACCATGCAGTAGTCGATTGTGATAGGGGAGCAGGTAAAGCAGTGCCAATCTACACGAGTGGCCTATTTATGATCGCTTCCAATGACTGCAAAAGCTAACTAATAATAGCCATGAAGCCCCCTGTGCGGAGGTGGGAGCTGAGTTTCTCATATACATAGCCTGCGTCTGCTGTTTTTTCCCCTCATTTCTGTCGCATAACTGCTCTTCCACGCCTCAATCACATCGCCAGATCAGCAGATTGTGATGAATAGCTAATTGCCGACCGTTCTTTATTTCTTATTCTTTCACCAGTAGTTGTTAGCCAACTCCTGACTCTTTTGATTCCCCCTCCCCGCATTGGACTTTGTTCTTGTAAGTTTCCTATTGTCTCAAGATCATCCTAGTAAAGGTATGGCCGTGTGTACTGACAGCAGATGATTCGATTAGTTCAATCGCCGCGCATCGAATTCTAGTCTTCAATAATGGCACACCAAGCGCATTATCCCCCTCCACCCATGTCGGGTAAGCTTTTCGTTATTCCTACAGATTTACATAGCTCTGTTTTACTAACGAAAGGAGATAGCGCCCGCCCATGTTACTTGTATGGCGCCCTAGCATGATTCCTGAGATAATTGCCGTATCTGACTATCCTAGCATTTCCCCCTCACCCTCAACCATCTCCCGGCTTTGCGCCTCCGAATTTCAGCTATCCTCCTCCGCCGAGACAATCCCCTCCTCCCAGTGGACCTGTCCACGGAGCCTATCCGGGCCCCCCGCCGTCCGTCAGCCCTCCTGCACAAAATCCACCAGTAAACGACAACCAGCAGTATGCGCAGCAACAGTATGCGCAACAGAATGCACTAGCTCACCAGCACAACATGACAGCCGCTCAACAAAAGCCCAGGACTCCTTCTCTATCAACACAGTCTCCTCCGCCGGCGGTGCAGTTATACGGAGCCCCCGCAGCAGGGCAGTTTACCGGAGCTCAAGGCACCAACGAAGACAGCGTTGGAACTTTCAATGGCGGAAGCTATAGAATCAGCCACCGCGACTCGAACTCTCTATTGACTCTACAACTTGCAGTGGGTTGCCCGTTGACTGCGAAACCAGGTAAGGATAACCTTAATCTCATCCAGGCTGGAAAAATACTGAGTTTAAACAACTAAATCTTCTTGTGCAGGTGTTATGATCGCCATGTCAACAACTATGACTTTGAGGGGTCACGTCTCTTTTGGGTGGAAAAAGCTTATCGCAGGCGGCGAAATGTCAATGTCTCAGTACACGGGCCCGGGGGAGCTCTTGCTCGCTCCATCGGTTCTGGGTGACCTGATCGTGCTTCGTCTAGACGGTGAACAGGAGTGGAAGATTGGGCGAGATGCGTTCCTGGCCTCCACATCAGGTGTGAAGCACAAATACCAAGCTCAGGGTCTCGCCAAGGGTGTTTTTTCTGGAGAGGGTCTCTTTGTTTACAAGATCACTGGAACTGGACTTCTATGGATGCAGAGCTTTGGTGCGATTATCAAGAAAGATGTAAGTCGACCCTTTCCCAACACCCCTAGCGGCAACCTATTCCTAACTTGATTTGGTTCTGTAGCTCCAGGAAGGTGAGACGTACTTCATTGACAACGGCCATCTTGTGGCATGGAACTGCAAGTATGAGATGGAGCGAGTTGCCTCCGGTGGAATCATTTCCGCGTTCGGCGCTGGAGAAGGCCTGGCTTGCAAGTTCAAGGGCCCTGGAACTGTCTATCTACAAACAAGGAACTTGAATGCTTTTGCCGCCCAAATGAAGGTAAGTACGGCAAGTGGTTAAGCAGCATACCAGTAAAGGGGAGGAACCATATCGGCTCTCAATATTTTACTTGAACAGAGAACGTTGCTCCTTCAAGGCCGACAAAACTCGTGTTCTATGGTGCGAGATACGAAGCGGCCATCTGTCTCTCTTATATCATTTTGTTTGGTAGGGTGTTATCAACGTCATGTACAGCAGCGTTTTGGAGCAAGCCTCTATCTCCTAGAAATATATCTGATTTGGGAAATCAATCCTAAATTGTATAACAGTACCAACAGAAGGGAGGCATTGCGCAAGCACTCCCACCGACTATCGCACCGATGTGCTCTCCAAACTCCGAAGAGAAGCTACATTAGCCCATCTAATCCGGCACATAGGGCTTAGCAGTCACACGGTATTGAAGCGTGCAAGATGCAAGCAAGATGAGGAAAAATTAAGAGGTCATATCGGTCCATTTCATGCCAAACTGTCTCTATCCTTCAATCGTTCTCTCATTTCAAGTTCCATGCAGTGGAAAGATACAATACCAGGGAATCTTTTTTTCATCAACCAAAGTCCTAGTAGATGACACGCCATAAAGAAGAGATAAAAATAACTCCCTCCTCCACAATCTATCGAACCAGCCCGTTCCACAACCCCATTTAACCGACACGCTTTCTGCGGCCGACCTGGCTTCGGAAACCGGTCTTGATAGCGGCGACCGAGCGACGAGATCCACACGAGTTGCAAGTGATGAAGTACAGCCGGTTCTCGCCCTTGTTGAGCTCGGTATTCGGGCTGCGGCAGGTCTTGCAGGTAACGTACTCGACGATGTACTAGAAGGGGGTTAGTAGGTGTTAAACGAGGAAGTGGGTTGTATTGATCGTAACATACTTTTCGGAGAACGGACTCCAATTGCTTGCCCTGGAATCTGTGCATCAAGGAAAGAAATGGTTAGTATGCTGGAAATCAAGTACTGGGGGGTTATGCGGGATCGGAAAGAAAAGGGTGGGGTGGGGTTGTAAATATGCAATATCACGTACCGGCCCTTAATAACTAGGCGCTTGCTGCCGTCCACACTACCGCTTGTACCCAACTCAGCGAAGAGGAATTGCGTGACGTGCTCATCGGAACGCTTCATACGAGCACAGATTTCGGCAATGTTGGCGAAGACGGTACGACGGTTACCTTCACGCAGACACTGGGGTGGAGGAATCTTATAGGCCTTGGTGCCGCTGGCAAGCAGGTCGGGGTGGTGGCTCTGGACGAGGGTGAAGAAACGGGAGACGAGGAGAGGGTATGGGATAACCTGGGTAGCGTCGTGTGCCCAGATACCGGTTCCAGCTTCGGCGTCACCCTCGGGGAGAGTGTCCTCGTCCTGCTCCTTGTCACCCTCCTCATCGATACCGGCCTCGGCGAGCTTGGCTTCGAAGTCGCCGGCGTCCTTCTTGGGCTTCTTCTTCTTCTTCTTGAGGGCGGAGGCATCGAATTCGCCGTCGGCGGTGGGCTCCTCCGCATCACCGGTCTCCTTGCTGGACTTCTTGGACTTCTTCTTCTTGGAAAGGCCCTTGAACATATCGGTCATCTCGTCGACCTCCTGGTCTAAAATTGGACAAAGTCCGTTAGCGGGTCCGGTTTCGACAAAGCATGCGGAGCTCGAACTGTGCGGGGACGGCATGAAGGGCGATATAGGATGGATTGCGTACCGGCGGGCTTCTCGGCAGCCGGGGCATCTGTGACCTGGCCGTTGGTGTCCATGATGACGGATCCTTCGCTGAAGGCGACCGACTTGCGCTGTTTCTGCTCGACTTCCTGTTCGGAACAAATAACGCCCAAGATTAGCTATGGAAGCCAGAGAAAAAGAGGCAGAGAAGATTCAAATAAGCGCAGAGACTGATTCCACAAGGTAGAAAACAGTCGTTCCTTCAAACTGGCGAAAGGTTGCTTTCGCGCGAGCTGTAAGGGTATGGGGCGGGGGTATTGTGCAGTTTCAAAGAAAATGTGGGAGCGTCGGTAAAAAAAGAAACCAGGTGTAACGTACGGCGTCCGCCATGTTGGGTAGTTTTAAGATTCGAATCACTTCACCACGAAGGGTATTAGGAGGATGCAGGTTCCGTAGAAGGTCGCGTAGTTCGTGAAGAGGTCGACAATGTCGAATTTGATCGAATTCTGTGATCGCCGCCGCCGCTGGGGGAGGCGAGCCTGTTATCGCGGGACACTGGCACGTGACCGTGACTCAACCATCATACAAAGTCACGTGTGGATCATTACGTTTGGAATCGAGCAAGTCAACAGCCGGTCACCGACAGCATCACTAACACTACCACCACCTCGTCCTTGCCAGCAGATGCTTCTTTCATAGGTTGGGCAGTAGGCAGGCCGCTGCTCATCAACTTTTCTTTCTCTCTATCGACTCTCAGTCCCTATTCTTCATAGACTCTCGTCATCATGGCAGCCCCTCCCCCTGCCGAGTCCAATACCTCCTTCTCCATGTCCGCGTACATGATGCCTTCGCACGAGAACTCCTTCGGATCCGATACAGACGATGATATCGCTTCTCTCCCATCAGAATCAACAACAGATTCCGACTCGGAGACTCTTTCCGACGATTACTCCGATGCCGAGGCGGAATGGCGGGAAAGCATTGAGCAATTAGAGCTGCTCCTGACTATGGTTTTGGTGCCGTTTGTTGGCAAATACCTAGGCCGACGCTGTGCCTACTGGAGTATGCGCAACCGATTTAATTCTCTGTGAGAATATCAAGCTAATCTCTACATTGACAGGCTGGACAAGATTCATGCAGTGGAAGTACCCGGTCGAGGTAGTTGTTACGAACCCGGGTCTCTTCAAGGGTGCCGGTATCATCGAGGCAGCTGCAAGCCTATGATCACCCTTTCTATTGCATTTAACGATGCTCTCTGGACCCGAATGCCCCAATCCACCGACTCGCTCATCCCTCCTATACTCCAAGACCACGCCCAACCGCGGCAGATAGCGTCCAATACAATGTGTTCGGGCATACTTCAATGGACTGCCCAACTGCAAACCCGAAGTATCAAATGGCTTTCATGTCTTGCATAGCAAGCAGCCTGCCACGGAAAGCCACAGCGGGAATTTCAACCCTCCGAACCATCTATCCCAGCGTGGATAAATCCCGTTACAAATCTTGCTCCAAAGATTGTTCTATACCCAATCAATTGTCTTATCTTAGAATCAAAATTTCCCTCATATACATGTACATTCCACCACAATGCAAGAGAGCTATACTCAAATTACATTCATCGCCGTATCCTGCATAACGTCAGCGACATCCTGCGGCATGCTTCACATAGCACAAAGCAGGGTAAAAAAGCTAGGTTCGGCATGGTTTACCAGTTCGGTGACACTTTTAGCTACTGTCTTGTTGTCGAAGTCGTGGTAATTTTCTCCCGCGGGCCCTTGAGGTATATCGTATAACCTGTTCTTGTCAGCAGACCCTCAGGCGTACTTTATATGGGGGAGGAAGGGTTTTATATTAGTCAAATCTCATGACAACAATGACTCTTTGCCTTCCATGAGAGGTATCAGATATTATGATCTGGTATTTTCCATATCGTCGGTTATTGTTGCTGATGTTGGTCTGCCAACTGATAGCAATGTCATTGTGTGAACGGGGTGGGGGGGGGGGCACCCTTTAGAACTTGATTAGGATTTTTAATTGTATAGTCCGGACATTCAATCTTTCATGCTCTCAAAGAACGCTGAATGGTATCAAGTATGAATGTGTTTCTTATGATAGGGTATTGACAAGGGTATGGATCCAAAGCGATATAGCCTCGCTGCAGGAGACGTATACCAAGTCTTCCATCCAAAAGCAAGCGAGTTTTAGCATCCTCAATCACCTGCTTCGTATATCAATACAATCTTTTTTGCCTCCAGAAGCCAGGTGGGATTGGGGAATACGATTCTGGGGCAGTCTTCGAAAGAATTTGATCCCTCGACTGACGTTTGGGCAACAGCACAGGACCCGCTGCTAAAAGATCAGATGTGAGTTCCGAGTGTCTCAATTTCGTTGTGTTATCTCGAGGAAACGTTCCCATATCATCTGGCGGAAGAGGAGAAGGGTTGGCGAATGCAGTTAAATCACAAAGATCAGGTTGGCCACACAGTAATGTATCCCTTGACCCACGACTCACTACGTGTCTTGCTGGATAGGAAGGATGGCCTTCCCTCTGTGTTTGTCGCACAAATGACCGATGTGATTCATTCTTTACTCTTGACCTTTGCTCCAAAGGGTCATCATCGGCACCCTTTAGCTCGAGTATAGCGCAATATGCGGCATCAAGTTCTTGAAAAAAGGTAAAGTCATCCTCAGCGCCCGGTTCCACTGGCTCTGGGCCGGCATAAGCTGGAAGAGGCAGTTGGGATGGCAAGGCACCGTTCTTGGACCTTTTGCCCTCATAGCTGTGATACCGATTGCGCTGGGGGCTTCGAAGTAGTTCATCCAAGGAATTCTCACAGTTAGTGGCCCTGTCATTGTTCCCTGGACCAGCCTCTGATTCCCTGAACGGCGACAATGCCGTTTTTATAGGACTTTGCACAGCGCCGGCCACCATCATGCTAGACTCGCGAGTCTCGATGCGACTCGTGGTTCCATTAAGGGAGTGAGCCCCCGGACTCATCTGTGTCTGCCAGTAGGCCTTTCGACTCTCGAAAATATTCTTCAGATCCTGAAAATTGCGGTATCCGCTTCTGGAGTCTCCAGAGTCACTCCGACTGCCAAGTCGCCGTAGAGATAGGCCGGTATGTAGAATCTTCAGTAGCCGATCTTCCACCTCTTTGCTTTGCTGTGACCCACACCTATCACTGACAGACCAAGAGTAGGGCGTCGGAGATTGTGATTTTTGAACAGAGTATGGTGGCAATTGACTGTGCAACTCATGAAGCCTGTCTTTGATGCCCAGGCTGTCTTGAGCGACGGGGGCTGCCGCCGAAGGAGATGGAACAACACCTTGAGACTTGGAGGGACACAATAGATCTCCTCGTCTGGTGTACGGTGGTGATTCTTCGTGATAGACAAAGGGTGGCTCGTTGCTCACCAGCTTTGGGGGCTCACGGAAAACATAATGTGAAGTTCTCGAACGTGGATGTTGACCACCAAGCTTCTTTTGCAGAGGGGACTCGTCAACAGCTGTACCCGTACCTGGCACATTGACTGATGGCCCTCGATCTTGCCGAGACAGGAATTGAGTTTCGGAGAAAGAAAGGTCAGGAACTGTGCCACTATCAGTTAGCCGTGGTCGACGGCCGTTCCATGCACTGACGTACCGTCACGGAGCTTGATCGAAGATGACGATTTTCCTTTACCAAATATACCCATGTTCATAGTATTGTGAAGCTGTCGACGGGGTCAGAGGTATTGAATGAAGCTAGGTTGGACCACTTACGGTAAGCCTCTCACGAGCAACGTTAGATGCATGAAATGCATCATTTATCGTATGCTTTCTGCTCGTTCGCGCCCTTTTGGCTTTGTCCTTGAGGGACCGAGCTGTTCGCTTCCTTGGAGATCCCGGCCGCTTGTACTCATATTTGTCTCCTCGAGTCTTGCGCCGCGGTCTTTTCTCGTACCGGTTGTCCGTGCTCTGATGGGATATCTGTTGTCCGGAGTCTGCATCTTCCTCTCGGGGTCGTTTGTTGATTCTGGGCCAACGAATGACTGGGCCACTATCGGTTGGCTCTAGAGCAGCGGGAAACCCTCCGTTGGGCTCTAAATTTGTGGTATTCAAGCCATCTGCATATGGCTCCTTGTCAACGATCTAGCCAATCTATCATTCTTCATCCTGTCCAGGAAACGTACCACATCGCGGCTCCGGTGGAGGACCTTCCGAGACCATCTCCAACCACCGGTGAATCAATTGCTCAGCGTTGGACTCCATGTAGGGAGAAATGAGTGAAGAGAAGCAAAGTCTTCAGTTTCAAAGCACCGAGTTGACTGGCAGTATACCTGCCCGCCGAGGCATCCAGCTCGAGGAAGTCACGCCCCTTCTGACAACGGCATCCTCCTCCTCCTCCACTTCCTCCTCACCTCCGCCATCCTCGCCAGGTTTCTACTGTCATCATACTGAGCTCATCAAACATCTACTTCGGATCGTTTCCGAAGATGGCACCATTGGAATGTCATCTTCAAGGATGCACGCCAAGCTCCAGGATACGATACTCTGCAGCAACACTCAGTCCAGATCGTGCTGGCAGCAGCAAGGGATTAAATTGACTTCTGGGACAACGCCTCCTTACAAGGTTTTTTCACCTCACCTCCTTCCCACGAACTACACACGGACTGACATTTGCTTGATTTTCTTTGTTCGTCGGTGCTGTCGAGCCGATCCCTGTGCGGATCTTCTTTCACATCCGTAGTTCCACCCAACAGGACAGAATACGGCCCAAGCGGCTTGTGGGTCCTGATGCCCCTCCTGTGTACTCTGTACACACGGGCGAGCATTTGCAGATGGTCACTGTGGTTGGACAGATTCCCAAATGGGCCTGGCAGGGCTAAGCCCATCTCCAAAGGTGGTTGCATGGTGCATGATGGCTAGACCATACTGAATGGTTAGGTGGTGGGCCAATCCCCAGCCGAATAGGGGTGGGAAAGTCAACACTGCAGATGTCCCGAAAATGAATGGACAAACTGTGAGGTACGGGGGAAACTTGAAAGCGTTGTGGGCTACGAGAGTTGCCAGTATGTTTGCCAGTACTATCCCCCTCCTCCTCCTCCTCCTCCTCCTCCTCCTCCTCTTTAATATTCTCGTTCTAGTGTCCCACCTTTTCTTCGAGACAATGTGGCCCTGAGGACTCGTGCCGCTTGTTTCCACGGGGGTCGCAATGCATGGAAGGTGCCCCGCCCCGCCCGCAATGGCTTTCAGGGTACCTTTGTGGCCCTCGCAGTGGTGATTTCGGTACGCTACTGTCATGCTATCTCCCTTGTTGGACAAGATCCATCCTAGCGAGATCCCGATATAATCCGCTCAAGGCTGGCAGAAAGGATCTGCTTTGGTTTTATTTTGCTTTTTTTTGCTTTTCTGGACCATGTCCGTCTCTACGACCGGGGTAGATCCGGAAAGGACTTTGTCGGGACTCCGTGCAAATTGCAAAAGAAGAAAAAAGATACAATGCAGATGAGGGGCAGGTACATTGACCATCAGCCGATGCTTGCTAGCGTTTCCCCATGTCTCCAGATCCAGCCTCGGGTAACATCTGATTGACGGAGAGCATGCGAAAGACCGGCCGCCAGGTCCCGACAATCCAACAGTTCAAGGTTTAGACCGGTGGGACCGTTTGGGAGGAGGATCCATCATGAGGGGGATAGTCGTTGGTTTCTATCACATTTCAGCGGAATCCTACCAAAAATAAATACTTTTCTCCAGAATGGAGTTGACTAGCCATATCTGCAGGAAGCTAAAAACCACAGTACAGCTAGACCACAGTCACAGTTGAACCACAGTACAGTTTGTATTCTATTTCTCCCAGTAATACTCCCAGTAATACTCCTCGAGTACTTTCCGTACTTCCCCCGTACAGCTTAGCCACCTTGCTCGACCTGGATCAACTCCCCTACTTTCCCCCCTACGGCCATCTCACTGGTCGCCCATCAGACAAAAACCCTCAAGTAAGCATTATATTTCCCATCCGAGTGCGATTATTGGTGCCAAGTGAGAAAAAAAATCCCAAGGATGTGGAAGCCCTAAGGTAGTGTGATTGTTACACGGGTTTGACTGCTGACTCGTTTCGCAACCACTAGGATCTCCCTGGCCGTTCCCTCTCGGCCACTTGCTGAGCACAACCTTTTCTCTCTCTCACTCTCTTGCTTCTGCTTTTACTTTTACTCTTACTTTTACTTTTCGCCCGCGCTTTTCCACCTTTCTCTCTTCCGTGCGTCGCCTCTTTCGGCATTCTTCACTCTTTGGCTAATCCCTCTTCTCTCAAGGATTCTCTCTCTCCTGTCCCTTTCGGTTTCCCAAGAGCCACTTTCGCCATCATGTCGAAGCTCTTCGTTCAGTACGTCTCCTCCCCGAAGCTGACCCTCCCCCGCTTCGCCCTTTATCTTGGCCCCTCTTCAACCCGAGACCTGTCCTATCCCCCCCCCCAAAAAAAGAAGTTTTATCCATGAAATGACAGAACTCCATCGCGACCTTGATCTTGGCATGAATTAATAACTAATACGAGATCTTTCTTCCATATAGCGGCCTTTCGTGGCATACCAACGATGATACTCTCCGTGAGGGATTCCAGCAGTTTGGCGAGATCCAGGAAGCTGTCAGTGATTATTGCGCGACCCAGTGCCCCGCACCCCCCCCCTTATTCCTCCCCGAGGTTGCAGAAAGTCGCAGAGCCTAACCCAAAATGTCTAGATCGTCGTCAAGGATCGCGCAACTCTGCGCAGTCGTGGATTCGGCTTCGTGCGCTTTGCGACTGATGAGGAGGCCGATGCCGCCCTCAGCGCGATGAACAACCAGGAGTAAGACTTGCTGAATTATTCCATTGCTGTATGCCCGTCAATTAATCGCATCGCTGCAGGTTCGACGGTCGCGTCATCCGTGTCGATAAGGCCTTTGACCGCCCCAGCCGCCCCGATGGTGGCTTCCAGGGTCGCGGTGGGTACAACCAGCAGCCCGGTAATGGATACCAGGGCGGCGGCGGTGGCTTCGGTGGTAACGGTGGCGGTTATAACCGTGGAGGATATGGCGGCGGCTATCAGCAGCAACAGCAGCAGCCCTACGGTGGAAATGGTGGTAACGGCGGTAACGGTGGTTACGGCGGCAACTATGGCGGCGGTTATGGTGAGTTTTGATCTCGTCGCAGCTGTTCTGACGATGCTCGGTGCTGGTAGACCTATCGAGGGCTTCCGAACGAGCGATGAATCAAAGCATCGAGCTAATCCCCGCGCTTTTTACAGGTGGCGGTGCCAATGCTGGCTACGGCGGCGGTGGTGGTGAGTTTTATGCGTCCATTTCTGTTTCTGCTTTGTTCTTCAAGACTATTGGTCATATCCACTAACTTGTCTCTTACCAGGCTGGCGAAACAACCAGCAGGCCCCAGCTCCCGAGGGCAACTAAAGTTCCATGACCAGACGCTCGGCATACCCCCTCTCTTTTTGACGTCTTTTACTTGTTTTTTCCTACACACGCAAAACTTGCTTACGGCTGTTTTCTTTGAAACGAAGGGAGTGACGAATTGGAATTTGACCGGATCGGGATATCAATGCGATGCGGCGAGAACTGGGTTTTATGACTTTTTTTTTTGAAGCGGAACACGCAACGGGATCCTCGTTCTAATCTTTTTGTCCCCTTTTATGCTTCCTCCTTTCAATTTCATACTATGCGTGCAATGAGGCACCGTGAATCTCTTCTTTTCGAGGCTGTATGGGTAAATACCGATGGGGGTTGTTTCCGTATCCTTGAGTTTGGTTCATGAGATGTCGTCTATGAGTCTAGGACTATGGATTTCTTTTCTATGATGCCCTTCTTTGGAACGCTTACGGTCCATCTTGCATGCTCTTCCTCTGTATTCTCATGGGATATGATGCTTGTTTCAGTATTGAAGAAGGAGGACTTTCTGAATTGAGGTCAAGAATGGTACAGTCTGCGTGACCGACAGCTAAGCCTGGATTTGCACACGAAATTCCTGTTTTGAGCCGGCCAGCTACGAGTACTCTGTCACATTATTTACGATTCAACCTCTCTGCACAAGTCATTGTTCTTGTCTATATCTATCCCTTCCATTCTATGCTGCTGCGACCGACCAGAACCGATTCCACAAGACCGGGGAGAGCAGTCCATCGGTCTCATTCAATCTTATCCCCATGCACATGCTCGGCTGGCGACCGCGCTAAATACTCCTTCAGCTCCTGCTCCGCCTCTTGCTCCTCCCGATCCGCCAAACCAGCTTCTTCAATAGCCTTGACCCTCTTCACCAGATCAGTAACATGCACATCCGCAGTCCCGAGTCCAAGGCCCTCCAACGCCTTCTCCAACAAGTACAGATACTCAGTATTCTTGCCACTCAGTCCATGTCCCGCGCTGATTACCTGTGCAACATCCTGCGGCTCACGCCGTTCAGACTCGCGCAAGAACTGCGGGTTCGTCGGCCGTCCGATATACACCATAGTAGTAATCGGCGTGGCATGATCGGCATTCTCCTGCGGGTCTGCCGACGGCCCTGATGTAGGGTGAAAGGGCGTAAAGTGTACACTGTAGCCGTCGATCTCTCGCTCGTCGAGGTAATCGTGGACTTCCTCGGCGTGCGAGGCTGGGATGTGATACGCCGCACCCCAGACTTTGCCCGTCGACGCAGATTCTGTTTCCAGGCCTGCCAGCTGTTTCGGCCAGGAACGGCATGGGTACTCGGTTAGCTAGGGTGTCGTACTGCGTACGGTACTGCGGAACGCCTGAGGCTGAAAGTAGAAAGTCCCCTTTTCGGCACTTGCAAGTCGCCCATCCGAGCGCAAGATAAGCAGACAACAAAAAAACAGGGATTATGCTAACTGCGGGCCCCCCACGTACCGGATCATCCAACGTTTCCCAAAACTCCCGCTCGATTACGGTAACGACGCGCCCCGGCTGCTCGGGCGTACCCCGATGGTCGGTACTATCAAGTCATCCCGTGTTAGCGGGCTGCATTCTTTTTCGTCTTCCCTGATATCGTAGCTGGGCCATTGTAGACAGCCGCAATCGACCAGGTGCCCCGCATCCACATTTGGGAAGAAATAGAATATACCTAGCCTGAAATGGGAAACGCCACCCCGGGCCTGTGTCAGCTTGGATCGCTCTAGACTTGAATGCCGCCAATAACCCCACTATGGTACAATTGAAAAGAAGCATGTGAGGTAGAGTGGTTGGCGCCGCGGGAAACGGGTTTCAAAGATTCCACCTACCTGCCAGAATCGCCGCACGTAGCCACTAATGTATCCCGGGACCCGTTGGTCTGGATGTTGACGTGGTTAGTCGGGTTTGGTCCTGAATCATGTACATGTAGCCACCGGATTTAGTAGATAGGCTCATTGCGAGCGCTATCTTTCAGTCCGAATAAAGTTGAAAATGATGTTTTGGTTGCATACCGTAGTGTGGTGGTGGTTTCCAGATCAAGCTTCTGAAGTCGGAGTGAGCATTGTGATTCTTTTGTCCCGAGGCAAAGAGGCCAGATTGTTGGTTGTATGGTGGATTGTCCACGGCTGCTCATCCAGCCTATACATCAACGTACCCATAACCAAATACCCACAGATCCCCTTTCGGAAACTGTGTCTTCCACGTTCGCCCATCGGGGTGCACCTGATGTCCCTGCGAAATAGCCGCCATTTTGGCCGAGCCGAGATATACCTGTCCGGCGGTGGGCTTATGAGGGCAGACGCTTTGGATTGATGAATGAGCGACTCCGAGTATTTGCCGATCGACAAGACACAATCAACACAAGGTATCTGAAGAGAGAGAGGAACTGGGATTTATAATTCTTTCTCGATCTGTGCAGTATAGGTGTATGTAACTACCGATTGGTTTCTGCTGAGAAATCCAGCCGACCCGGTCTGTTTGCAGTGTTTGTTCTCTGTACGTCGCAATTCTTCCACGGAATGATATGTGTTAAGTCACCATATATGCCCAGATGATACGATCGGGTCAACCGGGATTAAAGGCATCCTTGAATATACTAACGGCCGATAATGAGAAATCAAACATTCCACATTGGATTAATCAAGGACCTTCGCGGCCGGACTCGTTACCAGCTTCCACCGGAGGTTTTCTATGTACAAGACGCCAGAACGCATGCTTTGTTGGTCAAATATCAACGTCCGCCAGGAGTAAATACAGTCTTCCTCTTCTTATTTACATTGCCTCGTCAGTCCTAGGCTTTGCTTTCCTCTGCAACAGCATACCGACTCCACCGCCGAATCACGGGACCATATACGTAAAACACATATGGCACAGGAACCAGCAAAGCACTGATACATCCCAGGATAGTCAGTGTCCAATGAACACCCATATTCTCATAGAACGGGATCCCGACAACTGCCATCCCACCCGCAGCGCAATACCGGGAAACCGTCATGAAACCCAGTGCCGAGGCAGCATAGACGCTATACGAGTCGATGACATACATGTACGAGCTGATGAATACGCAGATCGTACCGAAGCCGAAGAGGCTGGATGCGAGTATAGGTGACCACACTGATATATTCTCCTACATACAGGGTTGATTAGTAATGCTGATATTGGAGAAGGGGCTGTGAGACACTTACAAAGTCGGTCCACCCCATCCAGAAGAGACTGATCGGGATAGCAGGGGCTCCGAACATGGCAAACCACAATCTAATCTCAGGTTGTGTGTGCACACCATCAAGGGCATGCGGATCTGTGGCCGGATCGGCGCCGTTGACTGCTTGTGCCGCTTGAGTAAACTCCTTCTTCGTCCACCTATAGATAGGGAAGACAAGGAATGTGGCGAGCGAGATACCGACATACATCGCAACCCAAACGATATTTGTCAGACCCTGTGATAGACCATGCACATCGGTGAAGATGTACGTATACCCATCGAAGAAGGTGAACAACACGATATACAACACGGTCATATACAGCGAGATCAACAAGATGATGGGCTCGTGAATGGTAATCAAGACCTGGCGCTTCATTGCACTGCCGATACGGCTGAACAAGCCAATCTTCTCCATGTCCATCTCCGAGCGGAAGCGAGTGTCACCAGTAATTCTGCGCAGTTGCTTGCCCTTCCACTTCAAAAGCAGTGGCGAGTACGTCTCCGGCTGGAACAGGATGATCAGGACCAAGATGGCGCCCGACATGATGAGGATGATCCACGCAGTCCAGCGCCAGGAGAGAACACCCGTTTGACCCATGTACGAAGCAATCACCGGTCCCAGGACTGGCCCGCCGAAGGAAAGAATCGCGTACATGGGGAAGTAGATCGTCTTCTCGAGTGGATTCCAGAGATCGGCGATTGTCCCACCTGCGCAGGTCAGTGGTGGACAACCGAAAATGCCCGCCAGAAAGCGAAAGGCCAGCTGAGCACCAATATTGGGCGCCAGAGCAGAGCCCATAATAAAGATCATGAACAGGGTCAATGAGGCTGTATAAACCACATTGCGTCCCAGAATCTCAGACAGTGGACCGCTGACAAGTGATCCAGCTGCGAAACCTAACAGGTACACACCTGGAGTAGGAGAATGATTAGTGCCCATTTGATAATCATCGATAATCTCGACGGCGAGAATGTTACATACCTGTTACGAGAGATCCCACAACGTCACTGACGCCAAAGGCCGCCGTGTTCTGGGGTAGGACGCCCGAATTAATCGACGACGCCGCACCAACCACCCATGCCAGCGCAGACACGAGCAACGTCGCAACAAGCCGCCTCGAAAAACTATAGTTCATCGGATTCTGCGGGTCATCCCGCCCATCCCATCCAACAATAAACAAATCCGCCGGCTGGTTCGTCGACGCAAGTTGTTTCTGGATATCGACACCAGCAAGGGAATGAGCTAGAGCCAGCTTTTCCGAGCGCTGTGTTCCATTTTCCTCCAATGACTGCGAATCAGGATTCGATGTTCCTGCGACGATATGGTCGTTACTGATTCGACCTACGCTCTCGGCCGAGCTGGATGATTTCGAGTCCGACTCAGAGCCCCCGTTAAGGTCTTTTTTCACGGTGGATTTGGCATTGTGCTGGGCGTGAGCGTGATCCAGCTGTGCGCGGATGGAATCTCCCAATCGACGATATTGCAGATAAGACTGCATTTTTTCACAATCTCGGGATTAGACTGGATTTTTTTTGGCGCGCTAGGTTGTTTTCTCACCGGTGGGTGTTTCCAATGCTTGGGTTCTTCCAGTGTTTGGTAGGGTTTTGTATTTGAAGATATATCGATATTTTGACGGTAGAGATGTTGTGAATTTGATTACTGTATTCGTTCTTTCGGTCTCATTTTGTTCTTTGCTGATAAATCGAGTCGGGATTGAGTCAGCGAGGCCATCGGCGATATTTAACTGATTGTCCACTTTGACTCCACTATGTGGGTCCCTTGCGTAGGGCCGATATTTGAGGTTCTTCGTGACGTTGCTGGGCCGAAGTTTGATTGGGAGATCACTGTGTAATGTTAGAGATTTCTTTTGGCTCTATAAACAAAAGATAGTTGGATTCTTAATCAGTTCGTCCGAGTTTGGTGAACAAGCTCCTAACGAGGATCAAATTACGAGACTCTACGCTCTGTCGGGATCTGCGTCAACACTTGATCGCGGGTCCCATCGTGATTGCTACCCAGTTAGGTGGAGCGGCTCGGCCAGATATCCCACCGATACTTACAAAGAAGGACACCAATCAACAGTTAGTTCTTTCATTTCCAGGGCAGATGGGTTTTGGGAGATTAATAGCAATTAGAAAAAGAAGGTCTAAGATGACCGTCAAAGAATGTTCTATCCAGTAATTAGGATTAGGGCACGCGGCAAATATCTCCGGCTCCTATGTGGAAATTTTAAAACTCAAATTGATAATCTACTAAGGGGATAGACGCGTTGGATGGACTTTGCTTGATAGACCAACCGCAGGTAAATGTGTTGCGTTGGAGGGATCTGCTTCGGTTTAGACTTGACCTGATTTTTGCTGCGGATGAGAAATTTAAGTCTAGGCCGGCATTAATGACACGGCAGGATTTTCATGGCACGAGACCGCTGAGTGGGTTTTGCGTAGCCTGATAATGACTCTAGAACTATAGTCTGTATTGTACATACTGAAGAGCTGCGGATGGGGACATCATATAGTGTTAGACTAAGAGAGTCGCCTGGCAGCGTCCCGAATGGCAATAGTCGGACCTACAATATAGGGGTCGAGCTAGTGTGTAGCGTTGTATCAAGTTTACTTAGGTACTTAGGTCATTCCCCTCGAGGCGGGCATGTAAATCAGACTGCTCATATCAGGCTCAGTGATTGAAATCGGTTGAGTATGTAGTTATAACTGGGCAGCTCAGGTTGATCAGGGGCGTGTTCAATTCTACTCAGTGAGGAAAAGTGGCGAGAGGATGAGCACAAGAACGTGGGAGAACGCCAAGCGTTGCCAAACAAAATCTGGTATATACAGTATACACGAAATATCGTACTTTTTGTATGCCGGGAAAGCCGAATGAGGTACCGTAAACTGAAGCTTAAAGCCAGATTCTCACGACAGTAATGCAATGCACAGCAAACCTATCGAGTGGGCTAGCCCACGATGCTAAAATTGATTTAAATACATAAACATTAACCGCTGAATTTTATGCCGCGAAAAGGGGGGTCGCAGATCCAGAAAATGGGGATGCTCCAGGCAAAGAAGCCAAGATTAAGAGATATGAAAAAGGATAATGGGTATCAAAAAGGGTAGTCAGGCGAAGCTAAGCCAGACCAAACCAACTCAAGCCTCAACCTCGGGCTTTCCCTCTGCCTTACGCTGGGACTCGATCAGTTCCTGGCGTGCACGCTCTTGCTCCTCGAGACCGGTCTTGCGGATGGTATGCGTCTTGGTCAATTCGCGAGGGCGAATGAACAGAGAAAGAATGAAGCCGACGCCTGCGACGGCAGTGTAGAAGATCCACATGCGGCTCAGAGCGAAAGTAAAGGCGTCGAGAACGACCTCGCGCTGGGACTCGGTCAGACCCTGGATGAGGGTCTTGGAGGAACCGGCAAAGGAGGAGGTGATTTCGGCCGTAAGTTCGGGGCCGATAGCGGCAATGAGCTTGTCGGCTTGTTGACCCATCATGTTTTGGTAGATGACGGTTCCCAGGACGACGGACATGGACGTTGACAGCTGGCGGACGAAGCCAAAGGTGGCCGTGGCAGTGGCCATGTCTGCGGGTCGAATGTTGGCCTGGAAAGCGACGAGGGGAGCTTGGAAGTTAGGGCCGACACCGATACCGCCGATCAACTGAAAGAGAATGATACGGGGCCAGGAGGCGTAGGGCTTGAGGTCAATAAACAGACCAAAGCCGAGGGTCATGAAGAATAGACCGGCGACGATCATCTCGCGGTAGCGACCAGTTTTCTTCATGATGATGCCCGTTGCGGCGGAGACGAAGGAGAGCGATAGAACCATGGGCAGGGTGTAGACACCACTGAGGATGGGGGAGGCCAGCAGAACGGTCTGGAAGTAGAGCGGGAGGTAGTAGGCACCCGAAATGAAGACGAATCCATGGCAGTAGCAGATCATGAGAATCAGAACGTTGTACCACTCGTTGAACAGGCGTGGGGGGATAATGGGATATTTGGCGAGCTTCCATTCAGAGAGCATAGCCAGAACCCACACAACGATGCCGAAGATGATGAGACAGATAACAGTGGCTGACTTCCACGGATAGTTGATGCCACCAAACTCGAGGCCGAAAAGGAACATCAGAGTGCCACCGATTATGAGGAAGGTCCCTGCCCAGTCGATGCTGCGCAGACCAGCCAGGAATGGTGTCTTGGGAGATTCGATAGACAAGAAGAAGAACAGAATGACCAACGAGAATCCACCGATAGGCACTGTAGGGCTTGTTAGCTTGTGATTTTCCAGAAATTTGGCAAGGTGGACATACAATTCAGGTAGAAGCACCATCGCCAGGTAACGCTAGTGGTGAAAGCACCGCCGATGATAGGTCCAAGTGCACCAGCAATGGCCCAAGTAGCACCGAAGAGTCCATAGTACATGGGGCGATCTCTGAAGGGGACAGTCAGCATTGCCGTGGTTACAAGAAGACTGAGAGTTCGACATACCTCATGCTGAACAGATCCGTTACACTGATATTAGCCAGGATGATAATACCGCCACCTCCAACACCCTGAATGGCACGACCGGCCAGAATCATGGCCATGTTCTTAGCCAAGGCACAGATCAGACTGCCAACCAGGAACCAGGTATTGGCAAGGAGGATGATCGGTTTGCGACCCCAAATATCACTGATCTTGCCCCAGAGCGGAATACAAGCCGCATTTGCAAGAAGGTACGACGATGCAATCCACGAGAAGCCACTCTCTGAAGCACCAAAATCAGCCGCAATCGTCGGCAAGGCCGTCGAGATGATAGTCATATCCAGGGCAGCCAGGAACAGCACCAGGCAAAGCGCAGTCATCACGACGATGATCTTCTTTTTGCCCATCCTAGCCGCTTGCGAGGGTGTGCGGTCCAGTGGCGCACCGGAGGGCTGCTTCTTAATCGCATTATCCTCGTCGTCCTTCTCTGGGTCTTCAGCGGGCGCAGAGGTATCCAGTTCCTTGTTGTGCTCGGGCTCCGCTTCTTGCGCAGCGTGGGAGGGTGTCGCGACGGGACTTTTTTCCGCGGGGGTTTGCGAAACGATCGTGTCGCCGCTGGCCGAGTCGTAGTTCTGTTGCATGCCCGTCATGGTGGTAGTAAAGGCTCAAGTAACACTGAAACAAATTTCCACTGAGACCGAGCGACAGAAGAAGGGAAAAATCGGTCGGTAATAAGAAAAAGTTGCGGCCAGAAACCGGTAGCGTGTCGGCGATTAGGATCGATCGATCGGCGTGCAGGGTCTGCGAAAATCCGGTCACCACAGGACCCTTGAAAAGAGTGGATAATCGTCGGAGCAAGCAGTGCTTCAAGCTCGTAAAATCAGTCAGCGAGGCATGCTCTGGTTTAAGTATAATCTTGACGCTCGGCGTTGAAGAATGAGTCGGGGAAGGAAGCTCGGAGTTAATTCTGGTGACTCCACAAGAAATCGGTCTGCGGAAGTTCTGAAGGCCGAAATGCCGAGATGGTGATGAGTATGTCAATGGTATATGTAGTACCTGACGAGGGAGAATACTGACGTGTCAAAATGGGAGTCATCGGGGATTTTTTTTCGAGCGGTGTGAAGCAAGATCGTTTGCAGTTGCATTCGGGATATTACTTGCATGAGTCAGGTCATTGTGATTGATCGTTGCATTTGCCATGCGCTGAAGTTCCGACGGGAAAAACGCAAGGGGCGCCAAGACTGGAGCAGGTATGAACGCCCAACGCTGTAGCATTAGGGTGTTAAGAATAGTGACAATTACGACAGGATCTAAAACCTTGCAAACTAGAGAGACTAATCAGGATTTTGTTCTACTGTATCCACTATCGACTCGCTAGATGTCCAAGTTGATACTTGAAAGTGACGGGTCAGCAAGCCAGAACCATTACTTGCGTCGGCGCCACATGCGCAACACACGATATACCACGCCAACGTGGCCCGTGCAAGAATGTAAACCTCGTTTTGGGTCTATCTGAGTATCGTCGCGAACAATTCATCTCGAGAAACTTTCATGCATAGCAATAGTCATATCGAAAATGTATCCCAGGATATTGAAAATGATATAGGGGCTGCGTAACGAAGAAGCCGGAAACATTCATACTATATTGATTCGGAGCTTGAGCATAGTGAAATGGATACCTCTACACAAAACGAATTGACAGTTCCTGGATCGGAGGTATCATGACTTCTCCTAGTAAGTTACGAGGATGGCAAATTGAATAACAAGCTTCTGAATGAAAGGGCTAATGTCCTTGCAAGATAAATGGACCAGACAATGCCCAGATCAACCTGCAATGGCCATTGGCTGGAGCTCTATCAATAAGTAGGTGGGGAAGAGAATAGGGTATGGGTATAATATGGAGGAACGTCAACAACTCAAGAGCCGGAACCAGAAACAAGATCCAAAACGAATCACCACAAACAAGGAGCGCAACAGGAGATGCAAGATAAAAGAACATGGAGACCCATATGCAAATGTGAGAGCCTCCCGTAGCAGAAGCACATTAATCCTGCAATAGGATGAATTCTGTACAAACACCCTCGGTTAGCAATTACTTCAAGGGCCCGTCGGCTCGAAGATAACTATGACTTACCAGTCAAAAACTCCTCAAAGCTCACAGTGATATACCCATCCCGATCCTCATCATACCGCTTGAAAACATCCGTCATTCGCTTCAGGCTAATACAAGCCTGCACGAACAGATCGAAGCTCATCCCGTTCTGGCCCGGACTCTTCTGCGGCCCACTAACCTGCTTCGTCTTACTTTCAAACGCAGTAAAGAGCACCGAGACAAACTTGGTTGTAAGACGGTACCCGAACGCGACCAGCGCATTCTCAAACTCTTGCAAGCTAATGCGCCCGCTGCGGTCCTCGTCGAATCGATCAAACAACTCCCGCCAAGCAGCAAGGTATTTCCACAAGGAGACAAACTCGTCAAAGTTGATGGTGCCATTTCCATCCCGGTCGAACATTCGAATCATCATCTTCACCGTGCGTGGGTGGAACGAGGTGTAATCACCATTGACGAGGGCAGATCCGAGCTCATGCTCCGTCAGCGAACCGCTGTGCGAGGAGTTTGCAGCGCGGAAGAGAGGGAAGAGCTGTTGCGGGTCATTGCTCGGCGCGGACAGAAGCGGCGGTTGCGGGGATGGAGGCGGGCGCGAGGCGGGTGGGGGTCGATTACGCTGGGGCTGAGCCGGAGGGGGACCGAAGCCGTAGTTCTGGGGTGGTGGAGAGGGATGTAATGGGTGAGGTCGGTACTGTTGGTTTGGAGGAGGCACGTTCGCAGGCGAGGGTCGGCCGTTGTAGGAGTTCGCAGGAGGGGCATTGTTGTATGCGTGCGAGGGGGGAGGGTTGGAGACGGGGACTCGAGAGGAGATTCCACCGCTAGAGGCTGACTGTGGTGGTGGACGCGAGGGGAGAGGTTTTTGGCTCTGACTGTGGCCTCCAGACACCTGCATGTTCCCTATCATCTGCGCGACCTGGCGAACGGGTAGTTTAGTTTGGCGGGGATTCGCAATAACATCTTGGCGCGACGTGGAGAGTTACCTGCTCTGGCTCAGCGTGCCTATGCCATCCCGAGGGTTAGTCATCTAAATTTTGGCCAAATAAGACTTCATTCGGAGCTGGAGACTTACGCTGGCAGCGCGTCAGGATTATAGCTCTTGTTGTAGGCCATGGTTGCCTGGCACTGACGCAAAGACGGGGTGGGGTGTAGCGCGAGGCACAACCAGGGATGAGGTCACCTTGCTCGGGAAAGATATCAGATAAAACAACCACGATTCAATGAAGAGATCAGAGATCAAAGAGTTGGGAGCAAGGAGAAAAGGAAAAGAAATTGAGGGGGAGGAAGGCGCAAGACAAGGTTGCTCACGTTTAACCAAGTGGAGCCGTGGGTCGAGTTCAAGATGATTTTTGGAGTTTTGGTTTTGCCCACGCCCGGCGAACTGTCCGCCACGGGACAGCTGGAGCTCGCGTCCGTTTTCCCTTTCACCCCCACTTGTCGACCCAATTGTATACGTGGAAATCAAATGTGCTTTCTTGCTCGATAAATTCACCAATAACGAACCGCTCCAGAGCCCCAGTGCCCATTCAGCCCTATCGCTGCGCGGTTCGCCTCTCGAAAGTAGCTGCAAGGCCACAGCGAAATCTAACTTGTGCCTCTATTCACCTGCGCTAAGCTCCACTTGGGTGATATATTTGGTATACGAGTATACGAGCCCCACGTACTTTAGTCCCGCCAATCTTTTTCAGCTAAGATTGCTGGATAATCGTCCGTACTTCGGCTGCCTGTGGTTCCAGAATAGATAAAATCTCCTCCCACGCCTTTGCCTGGAATCCCTTCCCTTCGATTCCAGTTGTGAGGGCCGTGGATTCACTAGGGTTTGTTAGAAACTTTAATGAAATCCTTCTTCGGATCAGTGACTTACTCCAGATACCCATCGTTTCGCCAACATTTGCCCTGTGCCTCTGCACCTTGGAGTACTCCACTCACCAACAACCGACTGCCCTGCTCGGTCGTCCGTGCAAAAAGCTTGTACATGATCCAGACAAGCCATCGCTCGTAGAACCGGTCATATTGTCGCCCGAGAGACGAACGACAAAGCCCAGGGCTGATGGTATTGACTATGACGGGCAACGTCCCGTCATCATTGCGAACAAGATTGGCAACATTCTTCATCATATACTCGAGAAGCAACTTCGAAATTCCGTACTGCTTTGGCCCGTGGAAATGCTCTGGAGAATTCAGATGCTCCAGTAGTGGTCCATCCGTCCGAAGACTCTCGGCTTTCACGCGCACGAATTGTTGACTAGACACAACACCAAGATGCGTTGGCTCAGTCTCGGAGGAGCTCGCTCTCAACTTGGGAAGAAGCAAGAGCGCCAGTAACGATGTTGACAACGTGTTGACCTGTAAAGTCTCTTCCCACTTCTCGGGCGATTGGGCGTACTCGCGATTCCACAGCCCAGCATTGAGCAGCGCAATATCCAACCGTTTCAGCTCACTGTTCGCGCGACTGGCAAAGCTTTTCACGCTTTGGAAGCTGCTCATCTCGAGCTCCCAGATCTGGATGGAACCGGGGCGATTGGTACATTTCTCAAGCTCCAGCTTTACCCTGTTGCCACGTTCCAGGCTGCGACTGCCGATGATCAGGGAGTCCACGCCGAGATTGAGCAGCTTGATGGCAGCTTCATACCCCAGACCCGAGGTCGCGCCCGTCAGCAACACCGTTTTGCCAGCGAAAGACGTGAGAGGGTCTGTGGGAGGTGTATACTGCATCTTGAGTAAGCGGAAAAGTCCTGCCATTTTTAACAAATCGGAATCCTGCTTTGAGGATAATGCACAGAGATTAATTATCGACTTGGAGATGGAAACACCAGGGTTACCAGCCGTTGGCTTTACTAACTGAGTGCCTCAGGCCGGAACAAATTGCTTAGTCACATGTGTTTCCGCAGGACCACGGGGACGAGTCGTGAACCAATCTGCTGGTATTGATGTTTTTTTTTTCGAGCCAGCGGGTGACTAATAATGTAAAAAGTTTGGGAAAGGCGAGATAGTGACATGGAATACCTCACGAGAAGTAGGAGACCGAATCATCCATCTCGAGTACTTTTCAACCACGAACCGACGAGAATAAGGCTCAAAACAACTACAGAGGTTGATAGGACGGTGGCACTTGAAGGTCAATCTCTTTGTCGGACTTCGATGGAATCGAATGATACTCAACCAATCCCCAAACTTCTGTTCACGAATAAGACATAATTTTAGTCATGCTCTCTAGGCAGAAATCGTAATAGTGCAATGTAATTCAGATACGAGCAATGCGGGAACGCCCCACTATGCAATCCGAATAAGAAAGTCGTGAAAGGCAGGCCTTGAATAAGATAGTCAACTAATTCTTCTAGTCATGAGAGCATTTCTTTCCATCTCTCATCTCAACCCGCTACAATGGGTCTCGGTTCAAGTGCGGTTATTGTGATTGTGCTTGTAGCTGCCCTCGGCGCTGTGGCTACAGCTGCTGGCATATTCGGTGTTGTCAACCCGGATAAAGACAACTTCAAATCTCCATCATCAGAACAGCTACATTACATGCAAAGGGTCCGCGAAATACATTTCAATCTCATCGCTCGGGAGACAGGAAAAAATCCACCCAATTTTTAAGGTATTTCACACCAGTCCGAGGTTCTTAAATGGAGGAAACCTAAACTAAACTAACAGTGTAGAAGTGACCGACCTGCCGAGAATAGCCCAGGAATACCTAGTCACGGAGGCTTGAATCGTCACGTCGAGATACCACGTTGCCAGATTCATGCTTACATGGAATTTTCAAATTCGTGGTGTGCTTGGAGACGTTTTGCCTAAATAAGGAGAGTGGAAAGAACTGGAAGAGCTACCTTCATGTACGAAACAACATTCTTTGTAGGTAGAAGACAAGAATGTTGAACCCAGAAACAATACGACATATATAGACAGCAGAGACGGAAACAGAAAAAGACTATTCGAAAAGTATCCAAAAGGCTTTTTCTTTTGAAAACTTGGCTCTGCATAATATTCAAAACTGCGCCTTGAACAACTTCCCTACCCATGAATACTCTGATACTTCTCGCCTCGTTCATTCTTGGATCATGAAGGTAGTTTGGCAGTTGAATGGGGCCAACTGATCTTTGGAATCCAGAAATCCACATGTTGACAGAAATATATCACAAGCTCTATGGAGTGATACGGAGAAGTTCGTCGGCGTAGTGGTTCAAAAAGCAATACTCGCAGCTGGAAGTACCTTGATATCTTAGCTTTAGCTACTCCTCCTCACTTGAAATTTGTATGTGGTTTCATGATGCTTACAAGTGATTCCGAAGAGCCTTGAACACTTAGTTTGTGCTCCTAATCTCTCATTAGAGTCCTGTAGAGGGATCGTGTTACCGGTACGACAAGAGTCTCAGCTTGCAAGACGTACCCGTAACCACAGCCATGAGTGGACGTCCAGTAGTTGAGGACAAGTGCTGACGGCATGGGATGGCCAAGCTCGGCAAAGACCCTGAGAGCCTCGGGGCACGGACTACAGAGCCTCAACCTAATCAAAAACGGAGCCAACCGGAATAAACCAACCCATAGGACTTGGCACTGCAAGTCAGAGGCTCAACCCCCTTTTCAGTCCACAATAGCCGTCCTCCAATCTTGTTTCTGCACTTTTTCCGAAGATCTCTGAGAAGACATTTCAAATCACCACAATGTCCGAGTTGATTGATCTCCCGGCTGGTGTTCTTGAACGCATCATTTCGATGCTTGACACGGATACCATCAAAGGCCTGCGACTGACTTGCAGGAAACTGAGCCGTTTTACGAGTCAAGTCTTATTTCGGGTTATTTCATTGTACGACACGCCTAAGAGTTGCCGCTATCTGCAGTCCATTCTAGCCCAACCTCATCTTCGAAAGGAAGTTATCAAGCTAAGTCTGAATACTGTAGAAGATGACTACGTGAGAGTTACACAACTAATTCTAAGCATTGGATTTATATTACAAGAATATTTGTTCGTCTAACTACAAAATCACTAGGACACTGACGAAGAAGATGAAATCGAGCCACCGCAGGGGTGGGAGGAGATCCTGAGAAATCTGTCGAGTTTACCAAATCTTCAAAGCGTAGCTTTGCGCTTCGACAAGAAATGTGCCTACGAAGTGGATTGTCCCTACACATATGCTCCCCAGACTGAAGAATATCGAGCAACTCTCCTGCGATGGCTATTCGCGGGTTTGATAGACTTGCCTCGGCCACTAAAAGAACTCGCAATTCAAAACCATCAGAATCTGACCCCAATATCACGTAACGTGTCGAATTGGATGGATGAAGTTCTGGGAACGCTGGAAACTTTGAGACTCAACGTGGTGCATGAACGCGACTTTGCGGCTCCGGAAAGTGAAATGGAGGTAATGAGTTACAGTCTTTTCTTGGCAAGCAGTTACTAAAAACATGATACAGAAAGAACCTGTGCATGATTTCTACAATCGGGTATTACGGTGGACTTGGTTGAAGCCCTGCATGTCCTCACTGCGAAAGCTGTCGCTCTATTCATCACATCAATGGGGCTTCTATCCCAAAATCGACCTCGAAGATATCCACTTCCCAAATCTTCAGTCGTTGACGCTGGGAAACTTTTCCTTTTGCGAAGACAAGCAATTGAACTGGATTCTAGCGCATTCATCCACTCTCGAGGAGCTACACATGGACCGCTGTTTTATAGTATTCTATGTCAGGATTCCTGAAAACGAAGAGATATTGGAAGACATTCTGGCGAGGACCCCGCTGATGGAATCTGATATGGAAAGCGCCCCAGAACACCCTGGGTGTCTGGTGTACCACTATCCGCGTCGTTGGCATGACTATTTCACATCTATACAAAACGGTCTTCCGCAACTTTCTCGTTTCGGATTCGGGAACAGTCCATCTTGGGAGAAAAGTAAGATGCCCGCTGAAAGGGAATTCGATGCAGCGACTGAATTAGCTCAAGACCGCTATTTGCCATTTGTTGGCGATTTCATATTTTTTCCTTTTAATATTCCTCCGGGGATTGAATGGCCGGAGTGTGATCAGCAAGATCAAGCTGCCCTCGAGGCTTTGCATCGAGTGACTGGTCAAAGAGCCGACTTTGGCTAGATGATGATTGGCGGTTTTTTGTTGCATAGAAAAACAAAAAAGAAATTGATATAAGCCCCCATACTTTCTGTGATGCCCTCTTCTGGGCTGTTCCTGACGATCCCATCATTATAGGTAGAGAGGAGTCATCATCAAGGTATCTGCACCCAGGGAATGTAATCCAAAGCAAAGATTCAAAAAGGAATCACTCTTCCACAGCCCTAACAATCCTCTTCAGCGCACGCTCCAAATAATCCCTTGGCTGCGTAAACACAATCCTAAACCACCCATCCTTCTCCGAACCAAAAAGCGCCCCACTAGCCAAAAACACCTTCTCTTCCAACAATCGCCGCATAACCTTCTCTCCAACCTCTTCCTCGGCAGAAATCTCTCCATGGAGCTCCCGATATCTCTTTCCCAGATCGACCCAAAGGAAAAATGCAGCATTGCAACCAGTCGCGTATTGGATGCTGTGCTTCTTCAAAAACTCCACGGCAAATGCATAAGACTCTGACAGCCTCCTCTGATTCTCTTGAATATACCCCGTCGTAAACTCATCATCTTCCAATAGACTCGCAACTAAGTGGTCTGCGATTCCTGAGGAATAGGAGTACAGCGAGATCGCGCGGAGTGCACCGTGGAATTCCGGACTGGACTGAGAGATAATCACGCCGAGACGGAGACCATTTGCGCCAAAGTCTTTACTCATGCCCCAAAGGACGTGCACGAGTTTGGGATCAATGATCCCATTCAAATCAATTGATAGCGCAGACTCGAAGGTGACTGGCGGCGGGTACTCGTCCACTGTATTTTCGAAGACAGACAAGGCATAGATCTCGTCGCTGATTAGGTGGATCTGATACTTCTGGCACAGCTGCATCAATTTGACGATCACCTCGTGGGGGTAGCATCGGCCTAGCGGGTTATGCGGGTGACACAGCATCAAAGCTTTGACTTTCTTCCCGGTCGAGTTTTGAAACGCAAGAAGAGCTTCTTCGTACTTCGATACAGCCGCGGCGCTGAACGGATCCACGTCTTCAAAGTTCACGGGGATAACCGTCGCACCAGGCCTCGTTGAGAGATCCGGGATGAACGTGCCGTAGAACGGCTTGCCAAGTAGTATTCCCTCACCGGGATCCGTAAAGGCCCATGATACATGCTCGATGGCAGGAGAGACGCCGTTCGTGACGACCAAGTGCTCCGCATCAAGCGGTATAACGGGCTTCAAATGGCGGTTCAGAAACTGGGCGATACTACGTCGGAGTCTGTTCGAGCCGCCGCCGCCGTCGTTGTAGGTGAGGTACTCAGCAGGTAATTGAGGATTTTTGTTAAGGTATTGCAGGAGTTCGGTGTGCATGAGGGCGTTCTCAGCGACGCCGACGTTGATGTAGCCATTTGGGTTGGATGCTGGGCACCAAGTGTCGACTAGGATGTCCCACATTAGGTTCTGGGCTGCAGCAGATGAGGCATCCTGAGCGCGAAGGGATAAGGTAGAGCCCGTTTGCTGTGACATTTTGGACTTTGGACTGTGAAGATAATTTGCGATAGGATGAAATTTCGTGCCGCTTTGGTAGGGCTGATGTGTGCGGGGTCTTATAGATCCCAGGTCGTTTTGTCTTTGTAGGTAATGAACCAGAGCTGGGCTCCCGCTATAGAGATTGTGACTCAAGGTTGTCTCTGTTGGACCTCGTATAATGCAGGCTTTGGGGTACCGGCTATCTTCGGGCGGTCCAGCGAGAGTTTTGAGGGTCGGGAGTGGAGCCACGTCCGAGATTTTTTGAGGAGGGGAGAGCGGAGCTTTATCGATGACATGTCGATGAGCATGATCATCATGTAGCTATAGATCAATGAACTTTTGAGCTTTCACAGGCACAACGAACATTTTCATTTCTCGTCAGCTCGTTCATTGAATAGTATGTTCGAATCTACTTCGAGAGCCTACGCCACACGTATACTAATACATGCAATAACCCCAAGCTACAGTCCGGCTTTTGTTTCCCCCCAATCACCGAGATCCACATCCAGCCGAACCCCGAACAACCCCCTCTATCCTAGACAGCTCTCAGCTATACATACTCTGTCCGATTATGTACAATTCCATTGACTACCTGGTATATTCGCACTCTAAGCACCAAACGCCGGCTCCTGCTTAGCACCCTCGACAGCGGCAAGATAACTTGGGCGATCCTTAACGTAAAACTCAATATCAATCTTACCCCGCAGGTTCGCTTCGCCACCGTCCAGTGTACCAGCCTTGATGCAGGTGTTGTCCGGCATCACCTCAAGCTCGGTGTATAAGCCGGACCCGCAGGTTGGGCAGAAGAAGTGTTTGTTGATCTTGCCGGAGGCACCGATGGCGTCGTAGGTGGTTGGGGTTCCTGTTCAAAAAATGAGATTAGGTTAGAAATAGTCAATTGGTTGTAGAGAGTAGAGAAGAAAAGAGGAGGGAGTGGTATAATTCTTACCCTTGGTGACTTTCAAGCTGGTGCGGGGGACGACGGCGTTGGAGGTGAAGGCACCGCCGGTCCACTGGAGGGATATTCGATTAGCATGATGGATTTCTAGGATATAGCAATAGTGATGGTCGGGTGGTGGGTTGGTTACCTTCTGGCAGTCAATGCAATGGCACAGCGCAGCGAGATATTCCTCAGCTATCCACACCCATCAGCATCAAGAACGGAGAATCCTTATAACAAGGCGAAGCTCCTGGTACAAACCTTCAACGGCATACGTCACACCACCACACATGCAGCTTCCAGTGATTGTCATGGTTGCGAATATAGAGTGCAAGTCTGTACTAGTTTGGGTACCTTGGTGGAATCAAGGATGAAGACGGACCCGAAATTAAGATTGTGAAGGTAGAAGATGCGAAGAGATTGGATAGCAACAGATTTACTCTTTGTGTGCAGTCAAGCTGTCCTTTTAAGTCTCTCCATTCGGCCTTCGATGCTCTTCGTCGCCAACCCCGCCCCCCACTTTCAATCGCCGAGATTTGAGACCGCCTTGCGTAGCTGCCGTGGGAGTGGCTTACGGACAAGGTTCCTAGACGGAAAGTTTCCTGGGGCGCTATTTCAATTAAAGGAAGGTCGGGGATTGCAGGACCGGGTTGAGTTTGTGATGTGTAACAAAGGCCGCGCTTCGAAGGGCTGGCAAGGAGTGGAGGTGATGATCAATTTTAGGATTTACGAGTTGGAAGATTTACTGGAAAGGAGTCATTTTGAATATCAATATACTTGTCATTGCTGTCTCGAGTCAAAGGGCCTTATGTACATTGTCCGGGCACCCAACGCGTCAACGCCAAGTTCGAAACATTTCAAAAGATAAGACGAAGTTGAAGAATCAGTACGTAATGACAGAGAAGAGAAATTGAGGAGATCAAGGCTGTATCGATCCACGATCAAGAGACGGATGAGCCCTCGCCACACAGAAGAAGGAGATGACGGAAAAGGAGAAAAGAAAGAAATGATTCGGAGGTATCAAGTTAGGGTATAGAGCAGAAGATCCTAGACTCAACCAAGTATGAGAGACGGTGATTTCAGATAGTAGGTAGAGAGAGTGTGTAGATGGTTGAGGGAAGGGAGAGGACATCAACCAGGACGTCCTTGTCGCGTGGAGATAGTTCGGCGACTTGGGAAGAGCTTGGACATCATACTAACTTCATCCATTCGCTAGGTCTTCGGTTTCTTACTTGCTCCTTCGGCAGGGAGCCCGCCATCGGAAGTCTTGCGTTTCTTATCCTGCTCGTCTTCCCGCGAGAAGCTCGGTCCACTTGGAAGCGCCGGCGTCGGGAAAGTTAGAGGACTCGGCAAGAGGTTCGAGTCTGGTCCGGAACGACCGAAGCCCCATTCGGGGAAGAAGCTGGAGGGTGATGGGAGGAGGTTATCCGAGACAAATCGACTCGGAAGAGCGGAGATGGGAGTTTCGATGTTGTTTGAGTTGCTGCCACTGTTCCCAGCACTGGTACCGTTATTGCCGTAGTTTGTTTGCCCCGAGGCCCCTGGTGGGGGTGGCCGAGCAAACGGATTTGGTGGACCTTGCGCGCCAGCACTGAGAATAGCTCCTGTGGACGGCGATGGCGGGGGTAGCACCACTCCTGCAGGAGGATTGTCCTTGGCTGGAGTCACCGTTTTGTTGCCAGCAGAGTCGCGAGAGGATGAGTCGCCCGTTGCGCTGCCCCGGTCAGAGCTCTCACTGGGAATCTGAACTTTCAACTGCGGTCGCTTCGAAGTAAGCGCGCCGCTATTCGTGCGTGAAGGTGGCTTGATCTCGGCTGCGGATGGTACCGACTGTGGGCGCGGGGGTTCCGAGGCCGTGGTGCCTGGAGCAGATGTCCTTGGTCTACGCAAGTTCTCCTGGGAGGTTTCTGGTTTCAATAGCTGGTTCCCTTGGCCCGGTGGAGAATCGTAAAATCCAAACTGGCGCGCAAGCACAGACCCGCGGTCATCAATGGGAGTAAAGATACTACGGGACTGAGACTTGGACAGGGATCTAGGCTGCGGGGGCGACTGGCTATGTTCTCTTTTCATCGCACCCGCTGCGTTATCCTGTGAGCTCTCGGGGACCGGTACCGTTCGTTCTGAATGAGGTTCTGGTGCGAAGGCCGGAGGCATAGACCCCCTACCCGGCTCCGTTATATACGGCTGCTGCGGCACCTGTTGTACTGGTCCATGCGAGACTGGCGGCATTACCATTTGTTGTTGCGCAACTATTTGTGCATGCTGAAAGTGTTGGGGAGCTTGGGGATGATGGACTTGCGCTTGTGCGTGCTGGTGGTGCATTTGCGGCGGTGTTCCTTGTGGACCGTGAGCAGGATGGCCGTATTGAGCGTATTGTCCGGGGCGAGGCTGATTCATTGCAGAGTGAACACTTGGGTTATACATCGAGGGGTTTGCCATGTAGTATCCATTTTGGGGGGGAGGAGGCGGGGGTGTGGCATGACCATGCGGTCCAAGGTTTGAGCTGACATGACGAACGTGGTTTCTTGACGAGGGACGAGACACTTGCGACTGTGGTGTACCGTGTCGTTTTATCGGAGGGCCATTATGCACAACCGGGGGAGAGGCGGATGGGGCGTGATTGATATGCTGGAAACCGGGCTGTTGGAGATGGGGTGGAACGACGGGGTGAGGTTGCTGAGCTTGGATCTCTTCGGGTGCCGGAGTCATCTCGTCTTCGTCATCGTCGTCGCCGCGCTTACCGGCGAAATCATCAGGTCCTTTGTGCTCATGAGGCGGGCCGAACTAGAAAGACAGAAGATGGTTAGCGAGCAAATTCCCTTTGCCACGTGCGATCAGAAATGACTTACATATTGATAGCGACCGAGAGCCTCGTGCATGTCACACGAGGAGTACTCGTAGAGTTTCTTGTTATGACCAAAGATGATAACGGCGACATCGACGGAACAAAGAACGGCCAGCTCATGGGCCTTCTTAAACAATCCACCTTTTCGCTTGAGGAATGTCCTGCGATAGATAGAAAAGTCAGCATTACAGTCAGAAACTCTCCCAAATTTTCAAATGAACTTACACTGAACGGTTGCGATCATCCTTGATAGCTTTAATCTCGATCTTTCTACGACCCATGATGGGCAGGTAGTGGGCGCAGGATGCGCGCGCTGGGAGGTGTCAGATTTACGGGCGAGTGATGTCGACTCGGAACCGCGTGTCTCACGGGTACCAGCGGCTCAAGTCCTCGAGTCCTCAGCCCCTAAAATTCTCGAAGATATTCACGCGCGCAAAGGTATAGCAGCGGAAATGGATGGCAGAACTCGTCGAGGATATGGTCGCGCCGCTCAGGGTCGCGGAATGGAAATAGGGCCTCGACGACAGTATCTGAAGAAGGGCGCACGAACAGGGATGACCGGAAATGAGTGACCCCGGAGATATGACGGAGGGGAAGGTATCGACAGGGTCTTGAGTATAGGTTTGAGGGGCCAGGAACCAGCGGCACGATCCGTGGAGTAAATAGTTGAGCGGAGGGGCTGATTGACGATGCAGAAAAGGTTGATTCTAAAGATAGAAGCAAGTCCCTTTCGAAGGGCGAACAAAAGGGAACTTGTGATTATGTCAGCTCCTGCCTGAGGCGATCTATTTATAAACTCGGCACCTCCCGTCACACTCCACAATTCCGTCACGCTCCAAGAGGGAGCATAAAGAGGAGATCGAGGGACCATGGTCGATAACGTTGATATAAAAGAAATCAAAGAGAGTGGAAATCCTATGTTTCCAGGAAACTCGAAAGAGTTTTCCCAGTCATCCTTTCAAAGGTTTCCAGTCACAACACCATTGTTTTCTCCCATTCAACCTGTCCAAAGAGCAACAACGCACGGAAATATATTCTTGCGTCGACAGGTCTCAGTATTAGAATACCATTGTTGTAATTCTTTCATTTCATATATGATTCTATTTCTGACCATACCTGCCTATTTCTGAATACATCAACAACATGCAAACAGAATTTTCGTGTCTAGAATAATGAAGCGATCTCTACCGCAAACTTTAGATCTTTCCATAGCCGCCGAGTCGGTCACTTTGACACATCGAGTCGAGGAGCGGGCTTAGAGTATCGTATGCAAAAGAGTGGAGCTGCCATTCTCCTGCAGTTGACATTTGTCATGAGGATACAGGTTTTACACCTCATTGCAAATAGCTCTCATGGATTTCTGCCTGTTTGTATGAATGGTAGTTTTTTTTTTCCATTTTTCTGAGGGCGCTGGTGTTATGCAATAAAATACATGTATACAGTCAGAGTCGAAAATAGATTCCCCTATGGACACTGACCCTTTGTTTCTCAAAAGGCATCATAACATGCTCTAGCTTATTTGTGGTCAGTTGTAAGTTACATTGTTTCCAAGAATAGACAATTTTACTTATTTCTAGAACGCGGCTTTGCGTAAAATACTGTATATTACGGTATCACCGGTACGTACCGCCCCTCTATGGCTATCAATCTTTTAGGTCTGGCAAGCCCTTCTTGTCAATAGCTACCATCTCAAGACTTACCGAGAAGTCTGTATAAGTGGCGCCGAGATTACCCTTCTCAAAGCTACACTTTATCCAAGATATGATACAAAGTACTTCTTTAATAACGTCTGAAATGGCTGATGCAGTAGAGTGTAGTAAACGTACAATCAACAATATCCGAAGGAACTTACGACAATTTGGAAGTGTCTAATTCCTCACTGCTTGTGATTTATTCTCTAGAAGCGAGAATAAAGCCACGTTCGCTATCCTTCTTCATTGCAAATTCCTTCCACCCAGCCTTTGGTAGATCAATTTGCCAGTCCTTCGTTAAGAATTTCATAAAGGTATTATGCGTCACGACTATTATGTCTTTCCGTTCACCCTCTAGTTAGGAGCTTAAATCCGTCAGTCGACCCCTCACTCTTCTTGCTCGTTCCTTTACTGCCTCATTATCTTTAGAATTTATACCTTCCTTCACCTGCCAATCTTGTTCTAACCGCTGAAAATTTAGTCTTGGAAAAGAATCTTCTAGTATAGCACGATCTGACCTAGTATCATAGGGAAGAGCACTCCTCTCCTATAAATCTGCGTCGACGATAAGCTTTGCGCCATTCTTAACCCCTTTTGTGAACCCGGTTCAAAGTATTGTCTATCAAGAATGTGTGGAAAGGCCGATAGAGTAGTCTGAATGGCGCGTCGAAGAGGGGAAGTGAGAATTGTGGCGACTTGCGACGAGTAAGGAAAAGTTTCACCTAGTTCGGCAGCCTATTAGAGGCCGAGAGGAGTTAAGGCGGGGTCCGGTTAGGAAAAGTCTTTAGAGATATTATACTTAGATTTAGTATGGCGGACGAGATAGATTTTAGAGGCCATAGTTAGTTAGGGCTTAACGTGGAATAAGACTCTATATCTGTTTAGGAGCTAGAAGAATTTATATATGTCGAAGATTAGAAAGACGTTAGGCCTGGAGCGTTCTGATTTATAAAGGGCGGTGTCTAGATCGGTAGTGGTGTCTCCTGTAACTAATTTAATTCAGTCAGTTATAACATATAGCGCGATCAAGCCCATTAGATGGCGTCAGAAAATGGCACAGGAACCTTATTCAGGTCTTTGATTCCTAGCCATACCTCGTAGTGTATGTAATAATACTAGGAGATAGCCTTTTTAGTGATTCTTGTGATGGTAAATTCAAGAATGTTTCCTATCCTTTGTCCTTTCCTGGCTTTCGTAGGAATTATGACCTATCTTGGGTCGGCATCGGAAAGAGTCGAACCTTCTGCAGACATTATCTAACATCCGGATCTAACTCCGAAAGAAAGCTAGACGTAAAGATAATTTAAAATCGTAATGAACGATCTTAAGGGAGGGGAAAGATTTGGATATGCCACTATAACAGAGAGCGATTCATGCATGGGTTTAATTCTCGCGAGGTGACGTTGAAGCTGGCCACCATCGCAAAGGGAGCATAGTTGCCCAGCCGATTAAGGAATTTCATTCGTAGCAGCCCCGCCGAGAGTTCATCCAATCACCGCTCGCAGATGACATCCCGTGATTTTCTCCTAGCTTCCTCACAATGATAAGCAGCGACTTCACTAGTTTGTACAACGAGGTGATACATGGAGACATGCCATTCAACGCGAAATCAGATAGTCCATAATTTAGTGGAAATTGATTAAACGAGGCTAAGTGCTTGTATTGAAAGCATAAAGTGCCATTCAAAACGAGATGGCTGTACCTTTACCGAGACATTTTGATGCTGCCTCTTAATTTTGCAGTCTTTCTGAGCGGAAAAGTAGGAAATAGAACTTCGACGTTTTGAGTTTCTCGAACAATTCAAACATAAACGACGACCTAGAGTTTGCTGGAACGGCGAACACTTACGCCCGCAAAATTTTATATAACAAGAACCACTAGCGCATTATGACACCCAGGAGCCTTTCCTAACTTCCGTCTGTGCTTTGTCGGACTTCTGTGTTATTAAATCCAAGCCGAAGAATGTTGAAAGGGCCTGCACACCTCCCTTCGATATATTAAGAATAGACGCTTCTATTCTTCACGTTATCGACCTAGTCCTGAATATTCTCTACAAAACTTCTGGCAATTCCGGGCTTAATCCCCTCAGCAAAGAAAAATTCTGGATCCTGGTTCTCGTGGATGTGCTCAAGGTCAAAGCTGTTAGATAGTGTGACATCACACGCTTGTCGAAATGCAGCTTTGAGGACATAAGAATAGTCTGTAGCTTCTTCTCTAAGATCAGCTCCCAGTAGGTACTAGGGGCCAAGACCAGGTCTTCCTCCGTGCCCATTATGGTCTTAATATTAACGGTGACCCGCTATTCTATAAAGTAGTCAATATAACTTGGTGGATCCTCATTACAGACCTTTTCCTTTTCCCACTCAGACTCCTAAAGCAGTGGTAGGGTATCTAGTCGTAATCCGCTTGCGAGATTAGGATTATTGAGGAGAGTAGATGGCGAACGGCTGTAGTTAGAGATCGCGAAGCATAAAGGCTGTGGGAGTATCCCGGAGTTGGGACATATTGTGAATCCTGTTCCCATTGGTCGAGGTTGACAGTATTTTACAACGATGCTGGAATCGATACGTTATAAAACGCAATACGGTTGATCAGGGGTTGTTCCAGGCGTAACCTAATACGGCTTAGTGTGGTTTCGGGTACGGGCCGAGAAACAAACTGTGAGTGAGTGCCCACAGGGGGAATCTGATTTCGACTCTGACTGTATGGCAGGTCTCTGTAAACCTCGCCAAGATCTGAACCATCAAAGGGGGCAGAAGGTCGTATTGATGGATCCGCTAAGCACGCATTCAGTAAGATCCTCCCTCCTGTAGGTGAAGCAACGCCTTCCTCGTCGAATCCAACCTGGTTGATACATATTTATCTCACGCATAAGGTTGAGATTTTGATACCCGGTAGCCGTCATCTCCTGGCCTAACATAGCCATCGGCCACACATATAGGCCCCCGGACGTAGGGGTGAGTATAGACTGTGGTTGTAGTCATCCATGCAGTTCCAGCTACTCGGGCTGGTGATAATGCTCTCGTAGATCGCTCTCCCGGAGGCCAGATTATCGCGCGCTTCCTCTGTGATGGCCACGTCTGATATTAAGTCTAGCTCTAGGTAAAGTGAGGTGTAGCCGCCTGCAGCGCACGTACGGCCAATCTGGTATCGCAATAGGTCGTTCCCAGGGTATCGCTCCAGTAGCTCGCGGAGAGTCTGTTCAGCTGGGATATCTGGATGCCAGAAACAGTAGGAATTTCCTCCGGTGAGTTCATGTCTGGGACTCGATTGCTCATAATTGCGCGCGCATTCAAAGCACGGGTGAATTCTGGACGCTGCCCGTACAGGTTCTGTGCGAAGCCATCGTGGGCGCGGATTCCTCGCACCAGGCATCGCCGAGTCTGCCGATACCAGAAACTGTCGGGAACTCTTTCTCCTCGGATGGCCGCAAGTTTATCGTGGGGATCATTTCCCCGGATTCGAGACGGACGCATCGGTGTCATGGTGAGGACTATTAGAAGGCTATCTTCGATGAAGAGTGGCTTATTTCTTCCTAGCACTTGTTGGGCTGCTTGGGATCCATGACATGAAGTGATTATGTTTTCTGGAGAAAATAAAATACTGAACACAACATAGTGGGCTCGTGGTATAGTGCTCGTGACACAGCCTGACTATACAAGAAGTTGTGGAATCCTCGGAACCCGTTAGATCTAGCGACCTCGCCAGATCTGCTCCCCACCTTCCGCCTTCCCACAAGTTCTGGTTGACCACCTCCCCCTCATTCTTCCCGCACTACGGCCAAGGAGCTATCAAGGATATAGCCATACGTATAACTCTAGCTCATATCAAGCTCAAGTCTATGATCTTTCCATTCCGTTTCCCTCGTCGTTCTACTTCGTACCGTGTACTCTTTCCCCCTTTCCATCACCAAACCTCCGTGTTGGCAGGCTAGTCCTTCCGTCTCCCAAGTATACGGGCCATTCCAGCCGACTGATTGGCCCAAACACTTTGACCAGTCACCTCATCAGGATAGCCCAGACGGTCGGTATTGGCGATGGGGAATACGCAGAGATGCTTCTCATCACAGCTATGGCAGGGAAATAGCAGTGCTGCGCTGTTAGACACACTTGCCAACCAACACCATACGCCTAATACCCTTCCAAACAGCTAAAGTCCCCCTCTAACAGCCCAGCCTATGAAGAGCAGAGAACCCTAGCTCGCGGAAACCAAGGTTGGAGATGATGATCGCCATCGGTATCATCCACTCTCCGTACACTCGTCCAACGGCCTCGCCAATCGCTAAATCATCAAATGTACACATCTCGCCTTCGAAATCTCTTTTCCCACCTATTCTTCGATCTTTCCATCATTTCTTTTGTTTGCAATCCTTTTACCAAAGAACTACTATCAGTCAAGTAGTGGAGGGCATAGTGTTCCTCTCATCTCCGTCTCTTTTCTTTATTTATTTTTCGGGGATTACCCTTCGGGCGGTCTCGACCCAACCATCCGAACGGTCCAGAGTGTAAGTTGCTCCTCCAACTTTCCCGCGTCCAGATTACCCCTGAACCCTCTCTGAACTGCCGAATTACGCCCTCTTCCCTGAGACTCCTCGGGCACATTGCGACTTTTTCACTCTTCCTGTCCCGTTTCGTTCTTTTCTTTTCCCCGTCGCTTGATTCTCTCGTTCAATTGTCCGTGGTTGATCTCTCCCACACCCTTGCACACTCGTTTCCTCTTCCGAGCACAGACCGATTCCAGACCAGGGAATCCTTTCGCGTTTTGGCCTGAGCCTGCTCCCGGGCTGCAGGACATCCCGGCCTGGCTGTTTGTTTTTTTTTTCTCCATTTCTCCTTCCTTTGAGCTTCTGGTCATTTCGTTATCTGTCGGTTCTCTGCTTCTTCCCTCTAGTCTAATTTTCGTGGGGAACGTCGCGGCTAATTGGCTTTGTTGACCTGCTGCAGAAAGGCCTAAGGCCCAAAAAAAAGTACCTTACTTGCCCGCCAGACCACCGCAGAATTTACAAAGGCGAAAATCTCAGAACGACCAGATCCTGACCGTCTTGAAGAATATCCGAAGCTCTAGCGGTCGCGCGCATCCGCCTCAGTCAACATGCCGGCCTTTTTCTCGCGAGTCTTTCGCAACAAGGACGCCAATGCTTCCAAGAAGCAGTCCAAATCCTCCGCTGCCACCGATTTGATCCCCGCGAAACCCAAATGGAAAGATGCCTGGCTACGGACAGAGGTCGCCCCCGAGGAGGTGCAGGACCTCATTCGAGGCTGTGCGCATGAGTTGAAAGCTCGAGGTGGGTTGGAAAGTCCATTCTCAACCATGTGGTGGTGGTGGTGCAACGCTTGCCATGCGCATTCTTCGGATTGCTGATCATTCGCCCGATTCCTTTAGCTCTGGATACCCCATTCCTCCTCCTGCCATTCCGTCCGAGTTCCGATCCTAGCGCTGCCCGCACGTTTATTCGAAACTATTTCAACCAGTCGTTCGACAAGGGAGCCCCCGTCAGTGGAGATGAGTTGATGCAGGAGCTGCGGCTTACGGAGCCGATGGTACGAACAGCAGTCTCCAGAAACACAACACAAGGGAAGGGCGAGCCGATGGCTAATAAAAATTACGTGGATAGGTCTTGTGCAGTGTGATGAAATGGTGCTGGAGCCGATTGGCCGGCGGCGTGGTTACATGGGAGGCGTATGAACTGTTCAAGGTCGGCGAGCAAGGTACGAACACTGGCCATGACGGACAAGAGTGACATGTGCTGAACTCTTTCATGCTAGATTCGGATTTGGCCCGTGATGCATTCTCCACGTTTATCCCCATCAGTGTCGACTCCGATGCCCGTACCAAGATTATCTTCGACTTCTTCGATCTTTTGGCGGCCATTGCTGCCCACGGCAAATCAAACGGCCTGGGAGGCCGTAAGCTCTCTCGATATGCTGGATGGTGGGCTTTCGAGCACAACGACACTGGCAATGGCTTCGAGGCCTCCTATAAGAACTGGGCTGCGTATGATTGCACTGTCACTTTTTTGGTAAAGATGGGACCAAATTCTGACTTGATAATAGTGCTGCCGATGCCACAAGCCACTTGTTCTTCGCCTATCTTCGCTCCCTCTCACCTGATATGCCTCGCGGCGTGACTGGTATTTCATCACTGCCGCTTTCCCTTCAGACTATGGTGGAGGCTACCGAATATCCTCCCGAAACCCCGACTCTGCTGCAGGTTACCACCACCAAAGTTGTTATGATCGTCGATACAGTTTCGCCTACGCCTTTCGCTCTGCTACGCCGAGCAAAGAACTTTGAGTACCGCGATGACCACTGGCATTTGCAAGAGTTTGCCAACTACGAAGACCCCGTCAAGGCCCTGACGGATGAATGTTTGCGTGTGCTGAAATGTATTTCTTCTACAAATGGGTCTAGCGTGTCGAGCTCGAAACAATCCACCAGCTTGCGTGATGCCTCGTGGTCTCGCTTTGAAGATATTGGTTTTGGCGGTTCCATTGAGTCGGACCAGGAGGATGAAGAGAACAGACCCTCGGTGTCGAAGATCGAGCCGCTCAGCGGTATGCGAACCGCTCCACAGTCGCAAGGCGGAGACTTTGGTCGTCCCACGACTCCATCCTGGGCCGATTTTATGTCGTCTGGCTTCACGGATGAGGCAACCCTCAAGGACCGAGTTGGCCCCCTTCTTTTGCCGCCAGACAAGGTCCTTCCGCCAATTGCGGCCACCCGTGGCCAGAGCTCGCAGTCGCACAGGCGCAATTTGAATACCGAGCCCTCTCTTGAGCCAGCTGAGCTGGCCAGCATCAGCACTCTTGAGATGGACGACTCCTTCTGGTGGGTCTGGATTACTAGTCTCTCTGGGGACGAGCCCGGCGCTCGCAAGGCTGTGTTTGGTCGTTGCGCTCTCCTCGAGACTCGCATTCGTGACACCAAGTGGCTCGTCCTGGAGGAGCAGATCAAGGGTGCCGCTCCTGAGCCCGACGCTGGTGCCCAGATTGTCGAGAAGAAGCGCTTTTTCAGCTTCGGCAGCCGCAAGGGTGCTGGCAAGTTGAGCCGCAGCAAGTCATCAGCTAAGAAGATCTCTTCCTCCATCGAAGAATCGTACCAGCGACCCAACAACCTGGCTCAACAGAGCAAGACCAGCATTGGCCCCGACCAGCACAAGAGGATCCAGGCCGCTGCTGCCGCTCTCCAGAAGAAGCATCGTGAGCAGGAGGCCGAGGCGAACCAGGCCCGAAATGGCCCCACCGATGACACTCGTTCAAGCAAGACCAACTCCGTTATGACGCTGCAGCCTGCTATCGTGAACGAGGCCTCCTCGGCCATGAAGTGGGCTAGCAACTATGACAAGAATGCCTTCCGTACTGCCTATTTGAGTAACAGCCGCGCTGGCACCGGCGCTGTGAGCGAGGGCGCCAATGGCGAGAGCAATGGCACTCATGCTGAGCGGCCTATCACTCCTCCCGCTCCTCTCCCGACCAGCACTGCTAAGAATGGCCCTGCCCCGCCCCCGAAGGACACCGGTGCTTTGGTCACGCCTCTTCCGCCTTCCCCCGAACCCGCTCAGCAGGAGCTTGCTAAGGAGCCCATCGCCGATGAGAAGAAGAAGGGCGTTGCCAAGACTGTGGTTATCGAGGACCCTGCCGAGTCTCAGCCCAAGCAATCGATTGACGAGAGTGGCAAGAAGCTCAAGAAGAAGACTGGTAATGCCGGCTTCAAGAACATGTTTGGCGGCAAGAAGAAGACCGAGCAGCAGCAACCGCCCATGAAGAGCACTGGTGCCAAGGAGACTTCCGCGGTGGCCGCCGCTCGTGCTGCCCTCGAGGCCAAGGCTAAGGAGTCCCAGGACCCTGTCGCCCGATCCTCTCCCGCCAAGCCCATTGCCATCAAGAAGAAGCCTATTCCTGCTGCCGCGGCCGAGGCCACTCCCGCCCCCGTCCCAGCTGCAGCCCCAGAGGCTGAGGCTGAGAAACCCTCGACTCCTCAGCAGAACCCCGAGCCCGCTCATGAGGAGCCTCGAGTGCCCTCCCAAGTGATCCAGGGCAGCGGCAGTCCCCCCAAGACCCGCCGCGCCGTTGAGTACGACGCCCTCTCCCGCGTCGACACCAACGAGGCCAATGCCGCCGATCAGGAATTCTCCAAGTTCGACCAGGGTCCTCTCGTTGACCAGCCCGCCTTTGTCCCCGAGGACTCTCCCGTGGAGGAGGCGCATCCCAAAGAAGACGTGCTCCCCAAGTCGCCAACCAACGGCAACGGTCACAGCCACGATGTGAAGCCCGCGGTTGCGACCGAACCTCAGCCCGGACGTTTCACTAGCACAGAGGATCGCTGGGCTCAGATCCGCAAGAACGCCGCTGAACGCCGTGAGACTACCAGTGCTAACAGTGATGAACCCGAGGTGCGGACCAGCCAGTCCGAGCGTACTGACGAAGGCGATACTAGCGGCGAGGAGACCATCGAGTCGCGTGTCGCCCGTATCAGGGCCCGTGTTGCCGAATTGACCGGTAACATGGAGGGTGCGCGCTAAAATGAAAATTCCCAAAGGCCCGTCGACTGAATCTCTGTCATTTCTTTTTTGTCCTCTTCTCACTTGACCTTGTCTTGACTGTTGAATATCTCCCCTCGTCACTTGATGTCGCAAGCCTTCTTTCTTTCTACCGTTCCTCGTTCCAGCATGCCGCCCTTCTTTACGCTGTCAACCCTGTTTCTTCGTGTTTGCCTACTTGGGTCCTGGAGATAATCCTCCTCGCATGCCTGATTTGATGCTCTTCTTCACCCAGGGCCCTCTGGAATGTGGCATCCTCGCTCTTTTACCAAGAGAATATACGAACCGAGAGCGAAGAACCACAGCGACGAAACGCCGCGATACGAATAACGGATTCTTTTATTGGTTATGCTATTTACCCTCGCAATACCTATTTTCTACTCTTCTTTTCTACACCTTCAATTCGTGCCTGGGCTTGACCTAATACTCTGCGCGAGTTTCATTTGATATTCACACAGCGTCCAGACCGTGTTTGGATCAAGGTATCCGGTTTCCTTGAACCCCTATTCTTCCTATTCCTTTCCCCCTCTATTGTCTATTGTCAACCTCTATCTGAACTCCCATCTATGCCGACTTGGGCATCTCTTTCTTATCTACTACCCATCTACTGCTACCTCCTTCTACTTCTGCTTTGTGTTTCATGTTTTGTCTTTGTTCTTTGCTCTATTCCCCTTTTCGCTATTGGGTTCCCTTATACCGGTGAAGTTTGCTACATCAATATGATTGGATTGAAGTAGATGGTTTTTGTGGTTTGAAATGTAGGCTTTGGAGAGATTCGTAGTTAATTAAACTTTCGTTGCTTGAGGGGCGTAGGTAGGATCATAGGCTACTTCCGACAGTCATTCTATCATAGCACTAAGCACATCTCAACCCCTCCCACCAATCTCATGCCCCTCGAACACCTCCCTCTAAAGCCCCAAAGCCTTCAAAATTGCCTCCCCAACCCCCGTTGCACTCGCCGGATTCTGCCCCGTAATCAAAACGCCCCCAGCACCCGCCGTCTTCGACACAACAACCTTCACCCCCCAAGGCTCCGCAGCCTTGACATACCCACCCTCCGAAACCTTCTGCAACTCCGTCTCCAGCATAAACGGCATCGCAGCCGAGAGTTGGACCTGGTCTTCTTCCTCGTTGGAGAAGCCCGTTACGGTGGCGCCGGAGAGGAGGGGCACGCCGTTGGGGGCCACCGCGTTCAGGAACACGCAGGGACCGTGGCAGACGGCCGCAACGGGTTTCTTGGCAGCGGCGAAAGTTTGGATTAGAGATATGGAGGTTGGATCTGTCGTAAGATCGAACATTGCTGCATAAACAATCATAGATTAGATTTTTTTGGGGGTTCTTGTTGGATTGGAGGTGGAGACTGGAGGATGTGGCAGTTGTTTTGGTGGGAGGGGGAGGAGGGGGAGGACGTACGGCCATGACCACCGACGTAGAACAAAGCGTCGAATTCATCGGCGCGAGCGAGGACGTCGGACAGTTTGTGGGTGTTTGTCCAGAGGGCCTTTTGCTCCGAGAGGAACTCTGTCGATGTCGCGTCGGACTTGAACATTTCCACCGAGGCGGGGTCTAGAGGGGCTTCGCCGCCCTTGGGCGAGGCGATGGTCAGAGAGACCTTGTTGTGGAGGACCTCATGGGGATGAGCGAATTCAGGCTGGACGGTAAATAGTCAGTAATTGATTCGTATAGCGTTTATGGTGAACTAGCAGTTCTAGTAGTAGTAGTAGGTCTGCGCGGGGGTTGGCTGCATACCAGATACCAGCCCGTAGGCTTTTGCAGCTTGGGGATCTCGTTTGCCGAGGTCAGAACGACTAGAACTTTGGGAGTCATGGTTGATCGTGAATTGCGATGATATTAATGTTGGAAATGTGGAAAATCACAAAGGGATGGATGGGTAGAGAAGATATTGAATAGAATGACACCAGGGAGCTATTGGCAGTTCTGCACCAGGGTCTTGCCGATATCATCGTGTCGTCACTTTCCTAGACCCACTTTTCTACTTTATCTACTTTTGAGTGGCGGTGTACGTCGGAGGGGTAGTAGACTGTTAGGAGGGGCTTTCACATGAACTATTGCAAATTGAGTGTTGGTAATTCAAGGATATAGCCGCCGAAATTGAGGAGTACAGGCCTCGGATGTGGGGGTCGATCTCGATCTGTTGTGCCAAGTACGTAGTTGGCGCTTGTCAACACAGGAACTGAGCTATGTAAAAAAGCTAGAAAATAGCCGTACCCGAAAGTGTCAAATCTGTCTAACAGTACTAAGTGTGCCAGATCGATTAGCTTCGAAATCCAGTGAAGAGGTCAACCTGCATGGATGAACGGAAAGTATTTCCGAGTTTACATTCTTGCGGGGTCGGTGAGACCCTGGATAGGACTCTGAGTTGGAATCTCAAGACCGAATAATTTTCTTATTAAGAAAGATCTTGTCCCCGAGTTTAGAATGGAATAAAATGGTCATTAAAATTATTACTGTTTCGTCAATGCCCTTTACACACACGCTGCAAATGGCAAGGCCCAATTAAGGCTGTCTATACAAATCTCTCCTTTCCACACGATGAAACACGCATGCAATGCATTGGGTATAAGTGCGCCCTCCTTCTTGTGCTCTTACCGGTCCTCTCGGTATCATACCACCAGGAGTCCAAGCCATCTCAAGAAACATATCGCAATCGGCGCGTCGCTTCAGCGGCAACCAAGGCACTAATCGCACCGATGAACAGACAGATGGAAATCGCGTTGGGTTTATCTCTATCCAGATTCATCCACTGCGTATCCGAGGCATCGCTCTCCTTGTTAGGTTGGGCGCCGGGCTCGAGAGCGCTAAACACGATCCAACTGATAAACGTGCCGACGAATTGCGGAAGGGTGGTATACACATTCAGCACTCCGAGATAGATACCAGCTAATTCACCCGTGGAGGGAATGTTCGAGGCTTGGTCTTCTTCGTCAGTGTCACTGTCCGAGTCACGGTGATTCAACCGTAGCACTTCCAGCTCGGTATCAGCGGCAGAATTGCGCAGACTTGCGGATGTAATCATCGTCACGCCAGAGCGAGTCGCTTGCGCGGCCATGCCCGGGGCACCCGGTCCGCCGTTCATGGTCAGTTTGTTAATTTCCACGCCCATGAATGCGAACGGCGCCCAGCTACTGATCGCCCAGGGTACCCCACATACCGCCACGAGGAAAGTTGCAAACGCTCGGGAGTGTGCGAGGGGTGCAAAAATCATAGTGGCAGCGAACATGATCTGGGAGATCAACCAGGCTGTCTGGAGATCCGGTCGAATGGCCGTGAACCTTTTCAAGATTGCAGCTACACCGGGTGGTGGTCGAGGCGTGAAGCGCGTGCGCTTGGTATCTGGTGATTGAACACAGAATGGCAGGAGAACGGAGCTGAGGAATGTAATCGAGGAAAATACCGTCAGAGAAAGGCTGCCGACACGGCCGACTTCACCGAGCATGTCGGTCGTCTTCGTGGCCTGGTCCTTGGAGACCTCGTAGCGGAAGTAGGTTTCGCCGACCCATGTCGTGCTATAGAAGAGGAATGGGAACCATCCTGGATCGTGTCAGTTCCGTACTCGATTAACGGACAGTTGAAGGTTTCATACCAATCCAAGCCCAGAACTGAGCCCAGCATATGGCCTGGATGCGAGGTGGGAGTTCCATCGTGGTTTTGAACAATTGCGAGATGGCTTGAATTGCACCGCCCTTGCCGTCGGAGTCCCTGTTTCCCTTAATTAGTTAGATGTCACTCATTCTCACGCCGAAATTGACCCACCTCGCCGAGATCAGAACGCGTTCTTTGACAGAGTAGGATGTCACCGCTACCGCGAGAATTAATGAGATAGCAGCAATCACCGTCATCTGCTTGAACTGCGTATCTCCCAAAAGACTGCCAAAGATGCTGACCGTGTCAATGGAGCCGATTACGTAGCTGATTAGCTGGCCAATAGCGCACATTCTGCCCGCTATTATAACGTTAGCGTCTCTTCTATTCGAACCAGTTAAAATCACATACCCCAGGCAGACCCGGCTTGTTGCAAGGGAATCGGCAATGTATCGACGATCAGACTGCGACAACATGCTTGTACTGGAATAATATTAGCTTTGATCAATTTGTGTTAGTGGGTTCCACTTACCAACGTTGATGGAAAAGTCAACCGCGTAGATACTAGACACGGCCAATGCGATAGTGACATTTTTAGCCTAGTAATGTCCGAGATTAGTTTCATGACCATATGCCTCGAATCATAAGCTTTATGACCCACCTTCTCAGGCTCGTTCACAAACAAGGCGACAATCTCGGCTGTCCATCCAAGCACAATAAGACAAAACGCCACAACAAATGAGCCAAAGACCATAAAAGGCCTCCGCCGGCCCCATTTAGAACGCGATCGGTCGGCAATTACGCCGATCAAAGGCTGGATGATCAGTCCGGACAGTGGCCCGGCAATCCAGACCAATGAGGTTTTGGATTTTGTCAAGCCCAGTTGAAGGAGATATGGTGTGCAATCTATAGGTATTGAAAATTAGTACCCCTGTCCAAAGATGGTCACTTGTTGCTGGGCTGGTGGTCACGCACAGGTCATCTCAGTACCCCAAGTAAACCTAACCTCAACGAAGCATCAAGTCAGCGACTGTAACTCAAAAGTCCCCAATCTTCGATCCTCCACCATTGTTGTCCTCCCCCCTCGTGTCTTGTCTCAAGGCAATACGCACTGCAAGCCCACTAGACTAAAGGTCAACAACGCCATGCGCGTCGACTCGCTTTTCCCCTTAATGAACGGCGTGCCCGCCCATCGTGCAGCCTGTGGCATGGTTTTGTCGCACGTGGGTGCATGCGCCTTCTCCCCTCTTTTCACACGGAATTGGTCGAGTCAATCGCGTGGTTCAGGCCTGGGGCAGGGTAGGGATCAATTCGAAGAAGCGCAGACGTAAGTCGGTTCGGTAGGCTGAGTATTGCGCTCGGGGTGTGAAAATCGGCTTTCGTGCAGGGGGTCGGGCTCTTTGCGATCAGATGAAGCGTGTCGGTCGTAAGGGGAACAGGGTGTATTCGCGCACGAGAGTCCGAGTGCCGTGATTTTCGGGCTTATTCTTTGTTGACCGGGCTCTCGCTGAGGTCAATTGAGTCCGCGGAGTCGCTCCAATTCACTCGCTCGCTGGCCGTGAGCTTTCCCGGAAAGCTCTTGTCGCTATATATCGAGATGTAGACTCGCCGGTAGAGTTGTGTCGAGTGTCAAGCAGCATTTGGGGAAGGAGAGAAAAAAGGACTTGGCCTGAGCGCCGCGTTAAATTGCGGGCCCCCGGGACGCCTTATCGAGTTATCACCGGTCAAGTGGGACCCGCCCAGTGGTATTTTCCGTGTGCCGATCGACTTTCCGGTTTCAGATTAATCGCGGAATGACAGAAATGGTCTAGGCCTTCGATGGAGTCTGATCTCTGGAGTTTATATGATGCTTCTCGTGAGCCTATTTTTCAGGTACAATAATGACAGCTTAGACCTTTTAATTGGCTACTGTACTTAACTGGGTTTCTTCGCGGAAGGGAACGAAGGGACCCACTTGCCTCCGCTGAGTAAGGATTGTGATCTTTTTATAGAAACAGAATAATATGAAGGACATACTCCGTACTCCGTACTTCGTGGATCATACAGTCAGAGTAGAAATAAAGGGCTAGCCAGGTACACCTCAACTTCCTCTTCCTCTCATACAATCTACGCATATACCATACACCCTTCGTTAAGTGCAATTCACCGCAGGGAACCGATTGAGATTGATTTAACCAATGCCAGCATTTCTGGGGTGTTTTGCGTGCACTCTGCGTCTTTCTCTGCTTGCCTGTCTCGTCAATGCCTCGACCTATCTGTTCCGATCAGACTGCCACGGTGCGTCTCCTCGTTTAGTCGTTAAATTGTATAGAGATCTGATTTCGGTTAGGTGGCGGGCCCTGTCTCACTGAAGGGTTCGTAAGATATGTAATATTTGTAAAAGGTCGGTTATGCTGCGTCCATGAGTGATGACGTTATATCGCATGCAGCAGCTAATCGCTTGCATTTCGTTAGCCGAAGGGTCAGCTCCATAACATAAGATATCGCTTTCCGCCCGTTTTTGGTAAGAATCTAGGCTAGCTAGGCTATGTCTAATTCATCGGACATCTAGTCATTTAGTGATTCTATAGTGCTAGTGTTATGTAGCGTGTAGGGTATATTCGCTACCATTGAACCGGGCCCCTATGACATTATCTCTACGACCTTTAAGATAGAGAGCGAGTCTGTTGACCAGTTATCAGCGCTGATATACTCGACCGTAGTGATAGTCTCGCCTTCCCCAGATTAAGCAAGGTCGGCGCCAGATGACTTGGAACCGAGCACGTTTCTTGATCGCCCCTAAACAGGTTAGAAGCTGTATTATCGAAGTTGCACATATACTAGCATTGCGAGTATACTGTTGCTGCTTTAGCTGGTCCTACTAATGCGTAAGCGGGCCTGCATCTTCGGCTTGGGCTCACTTTGATTACTTGGTCTTTTGCTTCACTGAGGCGAGATTTAGGTGCTGTGGAAGAAGTGCTACGAAGCGATACGCCCACGTTTTGCTGACCTGCTTATTCGGCTGGCCCGCGCGGGCGAGTGCGTGATTCGCCCACGCCTGTATAATCGCTGCAGTAGGAGGAAAGTTCTAGCTATGCGTTCTGACTGCTCAAATGATCAAGGCTTTCTCCTAGCATACGTGAAGGGCATTCTGCTGCAAATTTTGTTAATATAGTAGGCAGTTTGACCTTTCTGACCCGGCTGCTAAGTGTTTCAAGAGATACGTTCGAGATATTCGGTTTATCTTCGCTCGTAGCGGCTGCAAAGGCACTGGCCATACGAACTTCGTCAAAACTGGAAGAGTTAGACATGCTGGGTGGCTGAAATAGCTGGTTTTGTGATGTATTAGGAAAGTGGTGAAGAACGTGTGGCGCACTCATGACAGAAAGGGAAAAGGTAGGTCGCAGGGTAGCAGAGAACAGATAAGCACTAGACCCTAAAACCGTATTCCGAGCCCTCGTGCTGCCAAGAAGCGGGGCTATACTATGGCCTGCGTTCGATATTAGACGTATTTGGATCTGCTGCTCATTATTGCCTATAGCTCATGTATATAAAAGATGCAATCCGGCGCCGATTTCAATATGTTCATCAACCAGACTTATCTCGAACCGAGGAAATTATTCTGCAAAGCAGGTTGTGAGTTGCTACAAGAATCTATGTATTTTACCATACGATGGTTCCATCTTCTATACCAGATTTTAACATTCGTCAAGGAACACAGAAAGCCTTGGATAAGCCACACAATGATCACCTTTCGGGCCTTGTTGTTGACAGGCTTGGTCACGAGCGCAATAGCGTCGGCGCCCAGTCTGAACCTTTTCTATGGGAAATATGGCTTCAGCAAACTGCGCATTAATAACGTTTTCGCGGCAAAGAACTGTGGATGTAGTGGAACATGGGATCCTCCTGTGTTTGCCAATATCTCGGAATACTTTGGAGCCAGTCTGGCTGAACTCATCCCGAGTGAGAAAACAAACACAAGTGGAAAGAGCAATGCAATCTCACTCTCGATTGGCCAAAACACGTACACCCTCGCTCTGGATTACTCGGAAGGCTACGCCCACCCTCACGCCTCAAATGCTACTGTTTGGGCCCGGCTCATTAGCGACATGCTGGTCGTTGGAAATTATACTCCGGAACATTCTGTTATCACTGGCGAGTACATCAATACTATCGGTGGAACTCACAACCTAACTTTAATCGTGTATGGCGAAGCTACATGCTCCGGTGTGTTCGAGCCTTGTGCGAAGGTAAATCCCTCGGAAATCGTACAGCAGCCTACGGGAGTTACTGTTGGAGCTAGGCTGGACTGGAGCGACAAGGAAACCCTTAAGAAGCATATCCAATACCCAGTTTACAATACGACTTCTCTGCACGAATTGATCATTACCAACGCATCGCTTCCTGCATTCATCTATCATGAGGAAATTGGTGCAGTTGTCGATACCTCAACTATCCGCATCGGCTCGAATAACAACCACAACCTTCAGGAACGTCAGTGTGTTACGAGTTCTTATTACGCTTTCTATAATGAAGGCGCCTGGGCCACATGGGGTCAATGGACCCCAACTTCTGGATGTCTCTATACTGGATTAGATGATGCTGGTGGAAGCTTAGGCTTTTCGATCGGCTTTAGTATGTCATATGCTGAATCATGGAGCTTTGGTGGTAATGGCATCGTTGCGGGCCTGAGCCCTTCTTTCACTTTTACACTCACCGAGCAGTACAGTTGGACATGGTCATACACCTGCAATGTGCCAGCTAACAGTGTCGGGCAAGTTTACCAACGGCAGTTCGCTGGGTATGGTTATGTATATGCGCAATTGTGCTACAATGCCGGCGCATGTGGTATTACTTGCGGTGCTGCCCAGGGTCCTAATTATGCTGGAGCCCCTGACATGGCCGCTTTGAATTACGGCTGTAGCACCGGCTGTAGCAACGTGGCATGTGCATCTTACCCAGGGTGGACTAATTTAAATGTTTGGTCACCCTCACCCCCAAACTCTTGTTAGTTGTCGCGGGAAAGTGGAGGCATTGATAATTATGACATGTGATTGGTCCATTAGTGACCAATATCTCCTTTGTATCTGTATGTAATGGGAGTGTGCCATCTCGACACCAGCATGGTCACTAGAGTACTCGATTCCACAGCCCAGGGACAGCTCAACCTGCCCCTTTTTCCATTCGCTCGGAGAGCTTCCTTTCAATTAATCCTGGACTCTGTATTGATTCAGATATGCATACTAATTTAATGTTTTTACCTCGCTCTGACAATTAATATGGGCGAGTCTGCGGACAACTACTCTGAACTCCTATAGAAATTGCACTACTTGGTATCGTCCCTCCCTTTTCCGTGCTTACTCCTGCTTCCTTTTCAGGAAGAAGAAGACTGTACGGAGTATATAACTTGAGTCATGAGGAGGAGGTTTGAAATTCCTCAAGAAATATTCTTTGCACCTTTGACTTGGTACCTTTCTCCTACCTGATTGATAAATGTTAGGACCTTGCTCTCGCTAGGCCTATCAGGTTGTTGAATGAGTTAGAGTTACGGAGACCAATGGATTCGATTGTATGGGTAGACTGATCGCTAAAGTTCTAAGACCATGCGCGGTGTGTGTGTTGTCCCCTGCGCCTGCTTAGCGGTACGTTGAGCCATAGAGACCACATGTGCAGTCCCTTCGAGGGTCGTAACAGCTTCATGAGTTAGAAATCTATATGTATATCGCTAATGACTTCACTAATATTTAGGAGATTTTACCTAGTAATAAATATTCTATATATGACCCATATGAGAGACTATCTTGGAGTCTGCCACCTTCAACTGAGAGCCCTGAAAATTATCGCACAAGATAATAAAAGATAGTCCGGCGTTTATTGTGTTCTGCGGCAAAGTGGTCCATCCAGACATGAATTGCTTCATGGATAAATATTACATAAGATCTGGCAGTTTGGCCGAGTGGTCTAAGGCGATTGACTGTTCGTACCCCACATGATCCCACTTACGTCAACATCCACTAATCCCCAATCCAGCGAATGGTCTCAATCTCAGATTGTCCTCGTTATCAATTCTCTTCGGAGGCGCAGGTTCGAATCCTGCAGCTGTCGAGCTTTTTTTTTCCCATCTTTATGGCCAGGTGCCATAGATATCCTCCTACCATTCAACCAGGCTGGGAGGCGCAATGTCGCTTGCATAATAATTACTAGTTAGTAGATATGCCTAGGTGATACCTTGATTCCCCAAAACTCTATCTTTGTTACATCTGTAGCTACTACCCACTAGTTTATTTGGCGATTTACCCGGTGGTGTAGGCCGAGCATTGATCATTTTGGCAAGAATGAGGGCTGTGTTTTCTGTACCTGGCGGAAAACTTACAACCAGTGTTCCATGGATGGATCACCCAAATTCGGAACCGTCAACCTAATTCATACTAGTAGAGAAGTCTTGCACTCCATCTTAAGTCCCGGTTGCCTAAATCTTCTATATTTTCCTACCTTCACTCACACTTTTGACTTAGAACACCACCACAACAGCACCACCTTTACCTACTGACGTCCACTATGAAATTTCTACGATCTTGTGCCAAATTCCACCTCACGCGTCGACACAAGGCGATCAGACCCTGCACTGAGATCTTCTGCATAACGACACTCGCTGGACTTCCCCCGGAGCTATTATGGTCAATATTCGACCTTCTTCCGCTTGCTGACCTACTTTGCCTTTCCTTTTGTAATCGTCGACTTTTTGAGCTAACTCGGAGACAAATCGACCGGTTGGCTCCTGTCACGCAAGAAGATAAGCTCACATTCTTGTCCCGATTGGAAAGAGATCTCCCGGAATACTTCGCTTGTGATATTTGCAACCTTCTTCATCCGTACGATGGATCTGAAAGTTTTGGGCTCAGCGGACTGCCTCATGAAAGAGCTTCCCAACTCCCTTGTGTCCGGGTAGCCCGCATACACTTGACTTCCCTTGAGACGGACAAGTGGTTCAATCCGGCATACACGCTAAAAACCCACCCTTGGATTCTATATTCACCATACCGTCTTTCTTTTCTCCAGGTCAAGGTTGCTATGAGGAGGTTTGACTATGGCCCAGGGTCTGGAATCAATACTGACTCCCTGTCCTATACACAAGTACGTCAACATCCTTTACTGGTAGCCGACCCAGACATGATCATGTTATTCTCAGTGGAAGCCCAGGTATGCCCTGAGCCCCTCGGTCTTTATGTCAGAATGCAGGACATAGTGCTCATTCGAACTTGGGATGGGTTGATGGATATTTCGGAGAAATGGGGGCAGGGTGACTACCCGGGTGACTTTTTTATTGTGCTCACAATTTGCTTTCTCAAATAATGACTACTATTATGGAGTCTTCGCACCACGCAGAGACTTCCTTCACCAATAATTGTCACGAGTGCAACACAGAGGTCCATATTGAGATTGTTGAATTCGACTCCAAGATTGCTTTCATCATGACAAGATGGATGAACCTGGGCCTTGGTCTAAGTCAAGAGGACCCGATGTGGGAAATGCATGTCTCCTTCTCCTATCGGCGTCCTCGAAAATTCAATGGAGACGACCTAGAACGCTTTTACGCCTTACAGTCCCCGTGCATGTTTTGAAGACACAGCTCCTCAATCCCTCGAGGAGTTACGGTCTCACAACTTCTCTTATATCAAGGATCAGCGATACAAAATTGTCATGCCGCTCCTTTCTGGAAGTCGAAATCTCTGGCACGTCTCATACAAAGAGCCTTCAAAGAAAGGGAGAATCGGTACCCTGTGGTCCCTGGTGCGCCGTTCGGCTAAAATCGTGATGGGTAAACGAGACCCTACATTTCGTGACCGCTATGACCCATCTCCACCGAGCAATCGCTTCAGCTGGCCTTCCTCTTCCCCCGTCGGCGGACAACAACTACTACTATTTCATTTTATATACTGAAGTATCCATAGGGTAGGGTAATTCAGTAAATGGCGTGTATTTAATGGGTGGCATTAATGACACGACAGAAATTATTCGTGGCACGACAAGGCTAGTCCTAATATGAAACGCCACCCCTTGAATACAAAATGCTACATTCGAAATTTACAAAATACCTATTAAGTCTTCATGTATACATAATTCTATATATTAACGCTTCTTGCTAATACTGTTAGCGAACGTATACGTAACCTCTATCAATTTATCCTTGTAATTGACTAATTTATGGTCCTACATCGCTACCTATCATCGCCCTTTCCTAAGGTCCTTTCTGAGATCCTTTCTGAGATCTTTGCCAAGGTGTTTCCTAAGGTCTTTTCTTAGGTCTTTATAGCTATCTACCTCACCTAAACACGTATAGAACTTTAAAAAAATAGATAATTAAAGTTTATGTGATGCCAGCGTAAATAGTCTCTGACAATACCAGCGTGCAGCGCTATAATATGGGATTATGTGTACATAAGGACTTGGCAGGTACTATGTAAATCGCATATTGAATGTAGCATATTGAAGGGGGCGTTCCTCATTAGAACTAGCCTTGTCGTGCCATAAACTTTTCTGTCGTGTCGTTAATATCAGCCTATCTAATATGAAGCTGTTTCCCAATATGCTTGGAGCAGACATATCATCCCTGACCTCCATGGTGATCCTCGAGTGGATCGTATGATTCCTAAAGCTCTAAGGCAAGGAAGGACGGTAAGATAGAATATTCTTTTCGTAGCGTTGCGAGCCCGAAGGCCATTTCTAGGTACTGAATCGACGCAAAGGGAACCCGAAATTGAGATACCCAGTACACGTTGCAATCCAATCATAACCGCTGCTGGCCGGGCATTCCCAGGACCTTTTATAACCTCGAGTCCAGCCAGTCAGTAACAGAGGGATCGAGATGTAGGAAAGAGACAAAGAAAAAAAAAGATGGGAGAAAACAGAGAGACAAGAAATAAGCTTCATGAAAGAAAAAGAAATAGATGGATTTTGTTCGCCTTCGTTAATCCCGCGTCCCATATCGTCGTAAACAGCGCTAATGCCTAATCCGATTCGCCCACGAGATCTCTAGAGGCGGTTCGGGGCGGATGTGGTCACTGGCCACTGGTAGCCAGCGGCGTCGCTGAACTTGTAACCGTAAGAGGCAGTGAAGTCGTCAAGGACGGCGGGGCCACGGGAGCCTACCAAGAAGTAGATATTAGTATCATTGAAGCAGGAGGTCGGACGAATCAAGCCAATTTCAGTCTTACCGTATGGGTACTCCATGGGGATAATCTCCTTGTTGTCGTCCAGGTAGTGCAGGAGAGGGGTGAAGATACGCCAGGAGGCGTCCAACTCGTCATCACGCACAAAGTTGGAGTGGTCGCCCTTGAAGGCGTCCAAGATCAAGGACTCATACGCCTCGGGGATCTTGAGGTCGGAGAAGCGGCGGCGGTAGGTCAAGTCCAGCTCGGTCACCACCGTCTGCATGGACAGACCGGGCAGCTTGGAGTTCATCTTGATATAAACGGACTCGTTGGGTTGGACACGGATGACCAGCTCGTTGCGGGGAATGTCCTTGAAGATACCAGAGGTCACATCCTTGAACTGAATGCGGACCTCGGTCTTCTGCTCGTTGAGGGCTAGGAAAGAAAGTTAAAATCAATATTGAAAGTAGGCTCCAGATCCAAGAACATACCCTTGCCGGCCTTCAGAATGAAGGGAACACCGTCCCAACGCTCGTTCTTAATATAGGCGACCAGGGCGCAGAAGGTGGGGCAGCGCGACTCCTTGGGCACGGTGTCGTCCTCGAGGTAACCGGGCTTGCTGCCGTCGAGCGAGCGGCCGTACTGTCCAATGATGACGTTCTTGGGCTCGATGGCATCCATTGCGCGCAGAACACGGACCTTCTCATCACGGATATCCTCCGAGGAGAAGGAGATGGGGCGCTCCATAGCGAGCAGGGTCAACACCTGCAGCAGGTGGTTCTGCATGACATCACGGATGATGCCGAACTCGTCGAAGTAACCACCACGGCCCTCGGTGCCGAAAGGCTCCTTGAATGTGATCTGCCCAGAAAATTCACGTCAGAAACCATTATGATCCGTAAAGGGGCAGTAATTGCCGCCATTGACCATACCTGAACGTTATCAATGTGGTGACGGTTCCATGTCGCGTTGAAGAACTCGTTGCCGAACCGCAGAATGAGAATGTTCTTGACCATCTCCTTGCCCAGGTAGTGATCGATACGGAAGATCTCCTCTTCCTTCCAGTTGGGTTCCAGAGCCTTCTGGAGGTCGCGCGAGCTCTGGAGATCCTTGCCGAAGGGCTTCTCGACCTGTAACGTGGGGCGGGGGGTGGTTAGCGCGAGCCGTTGCCTCGGTTAAAAAAAGAAGTGCTAGGGTAATGACTCACGATGATGCGAGCCAGACCGGACTTGGGGTAGCAGTTACGCTTCAATTGCTCTGACACGGTGGTGAAGACACTAGGGGGGAGCGCCATGTAGAAGACGCGGTTCTGCTCCTTTGATTGGCGGCCTCTCTCCAACTCCTCGAGGTGCTTGTTGAGGTTGATGAAGGAGTCATCCTGGTCGTATTGGCCGGAAACGTAAGAGCAAAGCTGGCAGAACTGATCTAATTGCTCCTCAATCTCCTTTGTGGGCACCTTGATATACGAGCGCACGCGCTTGAGGAATTCTTCATGGTCCATCTTCGTCCGCGCATATCCGACGATCTTAATGTCCTTGGGGAGGAATTTGTTGCGGAACTAGAAATTTTGTGTGTTAGAAAGCGAAATTACCGTCTTTCCCAATGTCTGGGCGGGTGTCATCACATACAAGACCGAAGAGTGCGGGGAACTGTGTCGGCGGGTTAGCTTTGAAACCAGGAGAGCGCACACCAAGGAGTCATCGGAAGAGATGAATTGGAGGGAAACACGGACCGTCTTCTTTTTCGCAAGATCACCAGAGGCGCCGAGCACCACGATGACCGTGTCATCCTTCAACTCGATGGTGCTGGATTGGAAAGACATTGTTAGCTCGGAAGCGTGGGGAGAGTCAAGGTTGATGGCGGCAAAGTCTGTCTTGGAAAAACGAGCTCGACGGAGGGGCTGTGGCGGGGAGGAAAGGAAATGGATATCGCAGGGCAGTGAGAATGCGATCCCAAATTGGCTCGGGGCAAGTGAATTAGGGCGATCGAGGACAGGAGTCACGATACGCGCTCAATCAGCTGGCTGTTGTCGGAGGTCCAAGAGGTGGTGGGGGAGGTGTTGAGGTGAAGTTGACGGGCACGCTTCCGCTGCCGGAGGGCAGGGGAGGTGATGTCAGAGACGAGGAACCACAAAAACTCACCCAGCATTCTGACGCTCATCGGTCTGGTTGATCATACTGGCCATATTTTTGTGCAACAACGACAATATACAAGGGGACGGAAGAAGTAATGGAGAGGTACAAAAAAGGAGAGCAAGATTAATTAGAGGAAATGGAGTTGTTGGGAAAGGGAGAGGAGCAATTCCAACAGGATCCGGCGGAGTACTTTTTTAATGGGCAGTCTCTCTCGCAGCTCTTTTCGGTGGGGCTGGAGGAGTGTAGCCCGGCGGTAATTTATGGTTTCGATCGGTTTACTCGGTCATTTATTATTGATCATCAAGGGAGTTAAGACGAATGTCCGATCATTCTGGCTAAATTTGCACCAATGCTAGAGTGATACTCATAGTGATACTATGGTAGATTGTTTCTTCCAAATCATATATATATCATCTGAACCCGTCCGTTCATCGACTGAGCATCATCCTACTTCCTACACGGTCTCTTCTATAGTATACTCCTCCGTGCTGGCTTCCCCCTTAACTCCGGATCTCCATAGTCATCACGGCCTATTTTCTCTTCCTGATTTCTACTACTCAATTTTCTTTCTTTCCACCTGACCCTCGACCCCGCGTTGGCACGGCTTGCTCACTCGAAGGGTTGGGACAAGTGAGCTACGCTAATCCAGCCCCTCGCAAAGACCCCCTTCGGTCGGTTCCAATCGAACCCCCTGGTCGTTCTGGAAAGCAAAAGGAATATTTAGACCAACCACTTGAGGATGGTACCCAGGTCATCTGATAAGCCCATTCGTTACAGGTAAAAACGATGACACGGAAACAGCCTGAACGGATCAGGTGTGGAGTATACGTGGCCAAACTACCTATGGGAGCTTGGTACGAAGTATATGGAGTACTCTACAAGACAAACGCATCACATAATCTTACTCGAGAATTATCAAGATCCTAATCATTCTCATAAACCACCTCCTCACGTTGCGGTCAGAGAGGCGATTCAACATAGTGGAGCCCCCCTTTCGGCACTGCAAATGCATGATGAGCTCCTTGGGTGAGATGCACCGATGAGCTGCAGAAGCCTGGCGGGCTGGATGCAGTGTTGCAGAGTGGTAACAGCCCCACTACTGGAAAAGGCCCTGGAGGGCAGCTGATTTGCATTTTACCGAAGCTACACATGGGGGCATATAAGCACGTAGCATTGGCTGTAGCACGAAGTACTTAATTGATCAGTAATCGAGCAGCCAGTTGCAACCGACGCTTCTACAGCATCACCCTGGAGTACAGGATAGAAGGGATTCATCCATACAGTACAATTCCATACAGTACAATCATCTTCATCGTACCGCTACTTACGAGGACCCATAGCTCACGAATTTTTGGTATTGTACCTTGATAAGGCCCTTGAAATGCTACCGGTGACCGAAATCGTGGAGGGGGCGGCACATTTGTCATCTCCCATACTAGTTAGTTAACTTAAGACGGATTCTATTTTCCCGTCGCACTTGCTCCGGGCCCCCTCGAGCCATTCGGCCCAGCGTATGCCGGATTCGGACCATATTAACCGTTGAAGAAAAGTGGCCTTACGTTCCTTACAATTATTACGATCGATGTTGATAACTATATTTTGCATGCAATTAGTCACGGTCGACTTATCCGCGGAGCACAGGATTAGATTTATCAAGGCCAGGTTTACCAGCCAATTAAGAGATGATCCTGCTCAAAAGTCTGTATACTCTTCATGTACTCCGTAGGGGGCGTACCTGGTAAGAACGACTCGTATGATTCGTATGAAAGCGAGTCCGTCCTGAAAGGTCGGTCGAACGTCATCCCCGAGACTACTCTGGCAGTCACAGCGATCACGGCTCCTAGGATGGTGGGGCAGGGGATTGAGGGGACAATGTCGAGAAATAAGTTTCCCAATAAAGAAGCTCGGTCTGTGTTGCACCGGAGATGTGTCCGGGCCCGGGGTACGAAATGGGCAATTTGCCAGAAAGTAATACCGCTCCATCTTTACTTTACAAGTGGTCTCTCGTAACTAGGAATACCCAAATTTTCTGAAGTTACTAAGATCAGCAAATCAAACTCGGCCATTTCACCAGGTCTCCTCGAACAAGACCGAGCAATGTGCCGAAGGTGAAGGTCAAACACCGACGTAACCCGGGACCTCGGAAACCATCATTAGGAATTGTTAAGCGCCAGGGGAGCAACGTCATGGTGAGTTTTGTCAGCCAGGACGTTCCAGCCGGCCATGTAACTCCGTCCATGTCGCAGCCGGTCGCTGGCCCGTTCGGAGGACAGCCGCCCGGATGGCAGAAAAATCACCGGCCAATTGGGGGCGGTGAAGGAATGATGTGATCGAGGGAAAGGGTCAGATGACCTTCCCCCGGATAAGGGGTGATAAGCATTGATAAGGGTATCAGCATGTGACCTGTGGGTGGAACCGCTGGAACATCTATTTTTCCAATTCACTTCCCATCCGGACTAGCGTCTCCATCACGGGACCTCGCTTACCCTGTCGCTAAGGTCCCGATTTGGATTAGTGCAAAAGCCGGCCACCACACCTCCCAATTTGATTGTGCGCTCGACTCTATCAGCGACGACATCCACGACAACCGGCAACGACTTCTGATCTCTTGCGGGTCATTCCTTCGACTTGTTATACTTGCCCGCTGCTCAGAGAAAAGCCGTCACAATGCCTTCGGAACAGGGACACCGACGTGAGTGATTTCCAAAACCAGTGAACCAACGCCCGTTATCGATCGCCGTGTCAAAGTTGAGGTTGAAGGATGGGAAGGGGATCGCGAATGGGGGGACCATCCGGACACGGCGCATCGGGGCACACGATCTGCGACTGTTATTTGAACTTGTCTTGCTAACCGATATCGTTTTCCTTCTAGTCTACGTCAAGTAAGTTAAAGCATACTACCCGCCGTCACACAATCCAGTCTACACATGTCGAAAATGGGGTTCGGTCGAATTTGTGTCCAGGAATCATCGCAACACCATGGAGGGAAAACCGACTCGGATCACCACCAACGCATTACCGTCGATGAGAAACAGCGGTCTAATACGAATTTCTTCACAGGGGTCGCCACCTGAGCTACCAGCGCGGAAAGCGTAACACCAACCCCAACACCAGTCTGGTTCAGATTGAGGGCGTTGATGACTCCAAGGCCGCCAGCTTCTACCTTGGCAAGAAGGTCGCTTTCGTTTACCGGGCCAAGCGTGAGGTCCGCGGCTCCAACATTCGGGTGATCTGGGGCAAGGTCACCCGCCCCCACGGTACGTATCGATTCTGATCAGAGCAACGGGGTCATCTACATGACTCTCTCTGCATCAACACTCTACTTCCGAGCAGCATGATTGTATGACTCGGTTTGTCCCGAAATTGGCCACTAACGACTCCTTGTTTAGGCAACTCCGGTGTTGTGCGCGCCAAGTTCCGCAACAACCTCCCCCCCAAGTCCTTCGGTGCCACCGTCCGCATCATGCTCTACCCCTCCAACATCTAAACGGCTTCTCTATGTTGTATCTAGTGGGCGAATTCCCCCGATCCTTTCTGCGCGCAGACGGAACTTCGGTGTCAGGCAAAATGGAATTTTAAAAAAGTCGAGACGGATCGAAGCCGGATGTGTTTGATGGGCAAGGTGATGGGAGTTGGCGGTTTGATAACGTTTTATTCGTGGGAGAAGGCAGGGCCACTTATCACAGCCCTACGAATCAAAAAAATTTAACAACGTTCACTGTCTGGGATGAAAGAGCGCGAGGGTGGGTGAAATAGGTGACTTGACTGCGTTGTGTCTGCAACGGGGGGGAAGTGTGGTATCATCCACCACTCTCTTCATTGCGGGCATGATACCGGGCTTCTCTATTTCCTTGTTCCCTCCGTGTCTCTATTCGTTTATCTTCTTGTGTTCTGTGTTTTTCTTGGTCCGATAATCTGGTCTTCGGCGTCCAACTTATCTCTCTTCCCCCCCCCTCCTCTCCCATTGCGTATCACAACGCTTTCTTACACGCCAAATATCTCATACCACCAGTCATCTTTCAACACCAGTTCGTCCAGGTCCAATCGAGTTCGCGGTTTTCCCTTGCGTCACCCCGCTACCCGTTCTGTCCGCTCTTTGTTTTTTCCTATGTGATAGACGAATTGCATTATCTTGCTCTGGCTACTCCACCATGGCATATTTGGTCCCAATATACGAGAACGGCGATCTCTACAAAAACGACCCTATGCGACAGAACACCCCGAACGTGCCCGTGATTCCCCGGCTTGTATGGAATCAAAGATGCCCCAGGATTGTAGTACCCAGTAACTTGCCCATGCTTCTGCCCTTGCCAGTACTCCGTACTGCTAGTAGATTGGTTTACGCATTCTTGTAGGTCTGCTATCAAGATCTCTGCGCTCTGTGGAGAGTAGACTGCCGAGATCTAGAACCTCCCCACTTTCATAATTTCGTAGGGCTCTGGCATCAATCACAGTGCGGGGGGGCGCAAGTTGTACGGATCCCTTCAGCCACAATAACCACCAGGGAAATGGAGATTTGTATTACTGGACTAGCCTGGGCTCGAGATGGGGATGTGCGTTTTACCCGTTTGTATTTTGAGTCAATTCAATGCTGCGCTTGTCTATACCTGCCTTCCCCGGGACTTTCCCACAAGCAGCGATCTCTGGGACTTTGAAGCTGGAGGGTACTTGATACGTTCTACATGTGTTCTCTACTTTTTCTATAGGTCGGGTCATCACAGTTTCGAAATGTACGTGCCTCCATAGAAAAGGTGGAATAGTAGGGTCATTAGGCTTTGGAAATAAGCTTACCATGCGTCAATCAAAGATTCCGACGTGATGTAGGTTACCCCAAATATCTTAGGTTGGGCTTCTAGCGAGATTTTGGTGGAAGAGGGATATCTATCCACCATGAAACAATGAGTTTGGAAGCTAATAGAGTATTAGGCACAAAAGTATCCCCTCGCCTGTCTAAGTGACATTTACTTCAAGCAAGTGAACTGTCAGCGGAGAGAATTTGATCCGTGATATATTTTGGCTCCCGAAGCCGCTCGGATGCCATTCCATCCGTGAATTACACTTTTAGAGCAATAGTACCACCACCACTGGATTTTAAAACAATTTTTATTCACACAAATACTTGATACTATCTATTCATCCACACCAATGAGCCACGGGAAACCCTCTCTTATGCAGGCCGACGTAAGGACTGCACATGTCCGTCGAACCAGCCAATTGGAAGGCACCGGATGTCTGGCTATCCCGGGAGAAGTTCAAAGAATCAAAGTCTTCGAGGAACGACGGAAGACCGAGGCAGAAGGTTGAGGTTCGGGTGAGACTGGTGTCTTTATTTGCTTTCTGGCACAAAATCCGGGAAGGAGGCGTGGACTAGTACTCGGACGGGGATTTGAATGGCTCTCGTTAAGGTACCCCAGGTCTGATCGCTGGAATTGGGGGTGGGATGTCTCAGATGAGAGGGAGGGAGCAGTGGGTGGTGATGCGTTGACTGGTGAATCTACCTGGCTATTTTATTTTGTGTCTGGATATGGTATGTCATCGCACGTTTATAGGGTTGAATAATTGAAAATGGTGCTCGGCAGAAGGGACTGCGAGACCACGGCGTTGGAGCTGGTCGGCCCCAGTCCCTGACGGAGTTCGTTTCGGTAGGCGCAGAACGACGGTGTGGACCATGAGGCTATTAATACATGAGGAGAAGGAGGAGTGGAGAACTGCCATGTTGACTATGCCTATGTTACCGTGTCCACCACTAATGCATAGTGAGTCAAGTGTTCCTTAGTGCTCCGTTAGTCAAAGGCTGGGACAAAAGGAAGAACACCACCAATCGCGTCCACGCAATCGTACGGGCTGTGTACCACGGCTCGTTCGGTGTCCAGGCACAACGGAATTTCTTTTCACACGATTTGCATGAGATTCGCTGGATGTGCATCGTAAATAGGAATGACTTTGGCAATGAATACTATGATGCTAGTCTATACAATGATAAAAACCAAATCAGCAACATTCTCAAGATCAGTACTCCGTAGATATCTATAGATAGTCCCACTTCTGCCTGCCCTACGCCACCGAAGAGATGCCGCGGATCTCACACTGGAGTTTCTGCGTATCGGAGCATTGCGTGGCTTGTGTCGTCAACCAGAAAATTCTCGGCCTGTGGCATGGCCTTTACTTGTTCTTCTTTTTAAAAGCGATCTCCCTCCGACACCCGCCCATCTCCAACGACTTTTCTCCACCGTTCGAACGTCTCCTAGACTACTAGACTACTGCCGGGCTGTACACCTCACCACCCACCGACTTTCTCTTCTCCCAGCCTTCGCCTTTCGCTTCTTCGTGGACGTGCCCATCACTTCCCTTCCCATACTCTCTCTCTCCCGATCCACCACCACACTCGAGGACAGCGTGCAGTTGTTTCACTACCCTTATTGAAATCCAATCGACACCGGTTGACCTCCACGCCGTGATCGCCTTGGCAGTTCCCACCTTTCACAATCGCACTCCACAACGGCCGCCAAAGCACGAAGCTCAGGGCACTTGGGCAGATCACAACCGTTTCAGAACCCGCCCTAGCCATACCCAGCTGCCTTGAATCACGGACGCTAAAGCAAAAGAAAACTAGACCCATCCGGTTTTTTTAAATAAGATGGCAGGCCCCCAAGAGTCGGCCCCTTCTCCTCGTCGGAGTCGTGGGTTCAGCGTCAAATCCGAGTCTTCCCATAAATCTCATCTCTCCGAATCCTCTCAGGAGAAGGCCCGGCGCAATCTACATACCAAGGCAGATCCTACAGTCGCAATGAACGAGTTGCAGCCCAGTACGTTCGCAATTGCGCGCTCCCCTCTTATCTTTCCTCTCTCGTCCCCACGTGGGCCCCCGATCCACGCGGTCGCATTATCACCCTAATTACCGTTGACTGACACCTTCCATAGTGGCGGTTGCTCTGGAAAAGTCCAATTTGGGCTCTCTCCGGGCAATGGAACATAAGGATCAATATGGCAATCCTATCAGTGCGTCCCCTCCCATGACACATTCCTCGCCGTCGATCAACTGCAATCGATGAAACTAACTCTCCTTGCGCGGATTCAGCCGATCCCGACTGGTCAAACCCCACCCGCCCACGTTTCGAGCGCCCGCTGGATACTATCCGCTCCTTCGAAGCAGCCATCTACGGCACCTACAGCAGTCAACGCCCGGTCTCGTACGCCCGTACAGGTTCGTTCGCCTCCTTCGTCCCTCCGCATAGGGATCCCAGTTCTGATCAATCGCTTGCAGATGATGCCGCTTCGCAGATGGGCGACTACAGCCGCCGAACAAGCTACTATGGAGGTAAGAGAGATTGATCTCATCGCTCTTGTAGCTTTCCCGCCCGAATTACCAACTAACCAGCATGCGCAGGTCACAATAATGGCCACTCAAGCCGCGGTTACGGCGATCAGAACGGTTACGGACGTAGCGCCCAATCCCACCCGGATAGCATGATCGATGCCTATGGCGGCTCCAGCCAGGCCCCCGATAACTCCTATCCCTACAGCCAAAACGGCCACGGTCGGCGCCCTCGCCAAAACCCGCGCCAGTCTTCAGAGCAGAACGGCTATGCCAACGGTAACGGTCAGTACGCCTACCAGCAGCAAAATTACCAACGCTCCTACGACAACGTCACCGCCATGTCTGGCTCCGGCTATACCGATCCGTACGGACAATCCACAGACCCGAGCAGCCTCAACAGTTCAATGGATCAATTGCAGCAGCAGGCTCTGCAGCAACAGCGACTTGATGAACGCGCTCAAGCCGAGTCTGGCTACCAGGGGTTCGGCGGTAGCCCGAATATGAACGGGTATGGGAAGAATCTCCCGTCTCCACCGGCGGCCGTCGCGGATCCAGGTTCGGGGGGTGCCGCTCCTGCAAATGGACATCTGAGGAAAACCCCGACGGCGAACGTGAAGGCGCAGGCACCAGCAAACTCGGAGAAGAGGAAGAGTTGGTTCAAGAAGCGGTTTAGCAAGGGATAGATGAGGACAGATATCGTGATACCCGTTTTGTTCTGCCTTGTCTTCTCTGGAGCTGGGCTTTTCTTCTTTCGTGCTCCGAGTCGAGATCTTTCTCGCTTCGAGGAAAGATGTACCACCACTCATCCATTCATCGACTCATACGTTTCCCGGAGCTGGCGTTTCTTGGGTCTTTCATCGCGTTCGGTTCTGTTCTATCTCATACCATGATACGGTACTACCATGGTTTCTGATCCCCATGTGCATGGATATACCACGATTGGGATAAGCGGTCACATTGTTCGATGTTCGTTTCATATCTGCCTTTTCTTTTTCTTTTTCTTTCTGCTTGCTGGGCTGTGCTCTTCTTATTTTCGCTTTTCGAGTTCATGCTTTACGAGTTCATGATACATGGGACTGTTTATGGGATATGGGATATGGAAATTATGGGGGTTCTCCTACTTTTTGGCACGGTTTTTGATTTTGATTTTGGGTGTGGAAGTATCTCTTTCATGGAAATTTCTTTGGTGATTTTGTATGCACATGGATAGCTGCTTCTTAGTTTTTGGACTTGCCGCACTGCGGTGTGAATATACTAGGTATTGCCAGCACTGCCGTTGCATTCTCCCTATACACCACCATCAGCATCGTGAATCGTTCATACGTATATCAACCCTTTGCCACGACGTTCCCTGCTATATCTGCGACAACCATGCTGACCTGCAAAGTTTCGTCCACTATAGCGTCTGGTGTGTTCTTGGCTGGACTCATTGTTACTCAGTTATTGATTTGCGAAAGAACAACACGAGGGTGTTCAGGATGTCACTTTTCCTTCTATATAACGTATTCAGCCCGGTACTTTTCATGTCTTAAGTTGATACAAACATTCCCAAGTCATTCAATCTCAATAGCACATGGAACCTCATGAACAGGCGCACTGATCAATAAGTTACTCTACGATAAGAGTTCCACAAATCGCATATTCAAGTCAACGTCAAGATATCATTATAACCAAACTCTCTCTCTCTCTCTCTCATTAACCCGAATAAACTACCCACCTCCCTCTAAAAGAAAATTCTCAACAAAATCAAAACAACAATGGGAATCAAAAGATCAACAAATTCCTCCACCACAATCCTGAAATCCAATCCACAGCGATCTCCTTCTGATATGGGGACCAACAAATATCTAGCTTCTCCCACAAAGAGTCAGAAAAATAAGACCCCCTTACTTCCGCCCCATCAGCTTATGCTTCAATTTATCCGCCAACCCCTCGTGAGCGGGATTCTTCTTCTTCTCTTCTTTCTCCTTGCGGGCGGCATCGTCGAGGTGGACGTTACCCTGGCCACCGCGCTGGAAACAGGAACTATGGTCAGTCATACTCATACAAAAGATCGAAATCGAAATGCAACGAAGATTGAGGGTAGGGGGAACACCTACGCCGACATGATAGGTTTCATCCGAAGAGTTGCGCACCGCCAGCTCGGGAATCATCTCCGAGTCGTGGGGGACTTTGGAAGTTGGGCGGACGCGGGGGGATCCGATGTTACCGACGCCGCCACGCTGTGAAGAGTGTTAAGACCGGATTACTGATTCATAGAGTGGAGTGGAGGGTGTGGTGTAGGCGTGGTGGTGGGGGTATGACTTACGCCGGCTGAGTATGCGCCGTCACCTTGATCACCGTAAACGCCCTCGCGGACGATCTCGCCATCGACGTATCTGGGGGCGGTCTTTCGTTAGTGATGTTTGCCCAGAATGGAGTATACTGGGGTGGAGGGTAGGCGCTCGTACTGTGTGGAATCATGGCCGATGTTGCCCTGGCCTGTTATCGAGGTTGGGGTTGTCAGTTGAAGATGCGCATTTACTTGCATAGACTCATTCTTGTTCTCTCTTACCTCCACGGCCGTGGGAGACCATTGGTTGCTCTTGCTCGCTCATTGTCAAAGACTGGAGGACGTATTCTGTGTGTGCGGGGTGAGTGTAAGCTTCAAAGCTGAGGGGGATATTGCAGGGTGATAAGGAAATGCGAGGTGGGGGGGCGGTGTGTATTCCTTTTTCTTTTTCTTATCGCGGATCCAAAGACGGGGATTGATTCGGGGGCTTAGGTTCGTTTTAACTGGTAAAACGATGACATGGACTTGGATAGCCATGGACTTGGGGGCTTGGAACTATGATGACAAGGCCCGGGAGGGAATAGTCGATGGGGACGGGTGGGACTGCGATAACAGATGCAGGTACGCGATCGGATCATTTAAACTTACCGGGTTCGAACGTGTAGGTATGACCGAGGGGTGTTGGATGTTGGATGTTGGATATGTAGGAGGGAGAAAAGACCAAGGGCTGGATGATGGTTGAAATAACTTAAGAGCAGACGGGCCACATACGAGGATGACTCGGGAGGGATGAGGGAGAGACAATTGTTTAAACCCGGGTTCTCGATCTCGCCATCTGCGGCCTGAGGCTAGGAAAATATTAAATGATGGGAAATAATTGTCCCAGGGCTAAGATGGACCTATGGAGGACAATGTTCAAGGCAGGTTGTTCTATCTGGAGAGTCCGAACGGCTCGTTTGGGTTCGGGTGATCGGCTGCGATTGGTGACGTCGAGACTGATAAGATAAGACCCCGCGATTGGCGCGTGCGGTGACTAAAGCGGTTTGCTGATAGCGTGCTTGGCACAGTCTATAGAGGTAAAGGATGGTGTAATCGATGTTAGGAAGGAGTTGAGATCAATTTGGATATGTGCTACGATACAACAAAAGAAGAATATTCACATGTCGGAACGCCTAAGTTAGTGAGTTAATATTCCTTTACCCTAGTCGGATACGCAAAGGAATGGTCAATCTGTAGAGGTCATAGGGAGAGGTTGTAGTTGCCTCTACTCAGCCTAATTCTTCTTGGCCTCGCTAGGGCTACCACCAGTGGTCGGAAGTCCCATGAAGATCTTGAACGAGTCATAGCTGAGAGACGGTTAGCATGGAGCAATAAAGGGAACGAAGTCAACTGGGAAGGGAAAGAAATCCGTACATCATCCACTGGAGACCGGTCTATACAAACTGTCAGTAATGTTCATTCAGAAAGCTCTGGAGATAGTCACTTACCAAGGTACCGATCATCACGATACGGACGGGCAATCCATTCCACAAACCGCGGAATCCAATTTCACCATAAATACGACTCATCGCAGCACCAAAGGCCTCGCCAATTTGACGGTTAGCATTCAATTTGCTAACCATCACATCCGACGGGTGTGAGACCACGGCACAGAGAATACCAGCCAAATAGCCACTCGTGAATGCAACCGCAGTCTGTGCACCCTTGTTGTAGTCTGATTTCTGGCCCGGCAGAGTCTTGTAGATCATCTCGACGATCGTCTCGAACGAGGCAAACTTCATCATAGTGTAGGGAATCTGACGACCCCAGAGTGGGTACAGGCCCTTGTACAGACTGGGTGGGGAATATCAGCATACTTGCTTTTAAAAACAAGCTTGTTTCATCATCAATCTGCCTGTGGGAACGGCTTACCCGGATACACCCTCCTTGGCAACGACTGTGGAGATACCACTGAAAGTACCTCGGAAATCAGGAGGAATGGTGGTCTGCATGCGCACCTTGACAGACTCGAATGGGCAGAGGGCGACGTCGGCGATCAGCTCGGCGGAAGCACTGGCAACCAGATACAGAGAGGTCTTCCATTTGGCAGCACGCTCTTGTCCGACCAGATCGCTGTAGAACTTTTTGAAGTACTCATATCCGCCATATTTGAATGCTCCTTGGGCCTTTCATGTGTGTATATGAGTGAATCTTTCCAAGAACAAAGGCATTGGGGGTTCAGCTCACACTATAGCCAAAGAAAGTGGGACTCCAGCCGGTAAACACGCCGCGGAAACCCTCGGCAGCGCGAATCGTGTGGAATGCTTGCATGTTGCTCTTGTAGAGCTTAGAGTCGACCTGGCGGCGACATTTGATGAGATCAAGAGGGGTCACTGCAGTGTGAGTGAGGCCCTACGGAGGACCGGATCAGCAATCGAGATCCCGTCATTTGCATATCTTGGATGATATATACTCACACAGGCGAGCAAACCGCCAAAGGTACAGGAGGCATAGTATTTGGGGGTCCACATCTCAATCTTGCCAGCTTTCTCCTGTGCCTTGTGGCTGGCAATATTGTATTCTCGCGCGGCTTCTTGAGCTATCGAGTCGGCCGTCTTCTTCACGTCATCGATCGCACTCCAAGCGGAGAAAGGCTCGCGCCTCTTGGAGGCCTCATGGAGGGACTCATTTGAAAGTGCCGGCTGTTGCTTACCCAGCACACCAAGAGGGTGCTGAGCCGCAAAAGTCGCAATGATCGAGTCCGGGAGCATGTTGATCTGTCACTCATCCAAGGATGTACACTGTCAATGCGGGTCCTTAAAAGTGGGGACACAGCGATCGGAGACGCCAGGTCGAACGTGAATGGAGGGAAAGGGTACTAGCAACGAACCGATCGAGTCTCGCAACACACAGTATCAATGTGTTTTTTGAGGAAAGAAGTGAACTTGATCGAAAAGCACTGAATATTCCTGCAAGCAAGGCTGAGAAACGACTCGACTCACAAGGCTGGCGCTATCAAAACTGACTCAAAGAATGACGTATCGGGTCAGCGGGTCTTGGCGTGCGAAAAAGAGGAAAAGCGCCAAATTTCGCCAAAAAGAACTGTAATGCGACCTCGAACGACGTTTCCCTCCACACCTCCCAACGCCCCTGAAACCACATTCCTACATACACAATGGCTTCCTACCAAACGGGCAGCGAGGCCTACACTCGCGAAAACCAAACATCAGCCCCCGCGGCCCCGCAAGCTGCCTGGGCCGACAAGTACCGCGGGGTTGGTCCCCTCTTCCCCTCCTTTTAAGGTCTAGAGCTGTCCGAATACTGATTTAAAGGAACTATAGGCTACTGTCGAAGACCTCGACCCTCCTCCTGCACTGTCGGTCTCTCCCAATGACCCCGTTTCCGCTGCCCTGATGACCGCCTACGAGCGCGACTACACCCACCTCACCGTCATCGACGCGGCGAAGCGATCCCTCCTCGGCTACCTGAGCATTCCCCGGTTAAAGGAGCTCCTCCAGAATGGTACCGTCAAGGATACTGATACAGTTGCCTCGGCCATGCAGCGGTTCAACCGCAAGCGTGGCATCTACCAGGTGATCACCATGGAAACGCCATTGGAGGAGTTGGAGCAATTCTTCGAGACCGAGACGGGTCCCAACGGCGAGAAGCGGGAGAAGCAGCAGTTCGCCGTTGTAACCGATGTGACACGCAAATTTGTGCTTGGCGTTGCGACCAAGGCCGATCTGGAGGAGTTTGTCAAGCGCCGGCCGGCGTGAAGTGGGAGGGCATATAATCGTATCTTTGACCTATGTGGTCAAGCCTCTGCAATGTGGGAGCAAAGCATATCGGCGTCCTCCGAGGGATTTGGGCATTGGGAATCGTTCTTTCTATCTTCGTTCTCCCGGAGTGTATATGGGCCCCTTCAACATGGACATGACATCTTTAACATCTGTCGGAATGGAAAGGGGGGTTTCTCGAGGTACATGTGTGAAGCCAAAAAGTCTGGGCTGGAGCCAGGCATGGGAATGTGTCTTATGATATCCAACAACAATACAAAATTTGCTTTGTAGCTGAGAATCCGGTCTGGGGCAACGACAGCTCTCGAGCCGAGCCCTCAAACTGCCCTGATCAATTAGGATAATATTTCCTTCAACGCCGTGAAACCAGAATAAACATAGAGCCGAAGATCAGACATCCCCCTGAAGACTCGATTGCACTACTGTGCTTTCTTGGACTTGGCCTTTTCGGACTCCTTGTTCTCACCCTGGTCTTCCAGCCAGGCAACGTAGATGTACGCGAATAAGACCACGTTGGCAGTAACGGCAGCCGCAATGCCGGCAAACGTTGAGTTTCCTGTTACCCAAATTAGCAAACAGTCTTGAGGAGCGCTTTGGGTGCGCGGATCGTCATTCCAATCTAACCTCTGAAGACCGTGTTCACTGTCAAGAAATAGATGCCGATGGGGCCAAACACCATGGCCGCCGTGAAGGCAAGAAGCTTGTAGATCACATCCCTGATGATTCAATAGTGTTAAACATATGATTTTGGGTCTTAGTTGAGATGCGGTTGAAGCCCCACGTACGCTGGCACAGCTGGCGTGATGTCAGAATCACTCTTTGGGACGGGCTTCGCCGCAGCATCGGCGTAGCTTTGTCCATGGGGTCGGCGGGCAGACATGATGTGAGGGTTATAGTATTATAGGAATTCAATGTTGTTTCCAATTGTTCCAGTATTTGCTGAATTTGTGATTGTTGATAGTGCAAGTTTGTGTCGGGGGATATCAGGGTTGATGGAGCTAAGCTAGCTACCTATCGGATTTCCGATGCACACGTCTTGGCTTTCCCCTTCCCTTTTGGTACTCAGACCCTCGCCGCTTTTGCTCACTAAGTAGATCTGAGCACGTCTCTGAGAGAGTGCATTATGTAAGCACTCTGTTCTGTTAGTTACTCAGCAGGTCTGATCATTAACTAACGTAATTCCCGGCTGTGTCGTACACCCGGTTGTCCCGTACACCCCAAACACCATAGTAAATGCAATATTTTAAAATAGGATTTCCCAACCCATAAGGGTTTATATAAGTCTAGAGGATATTCAGATGTTAGGTATGTCCCATGGAACATATATATCGGGTCAAAAATATTTTGAGGTCCTGCAATGTGTATATATATAAAAGAACATCACCTTATAAACATGTATTTATGGTAATCCATGTAAATAACCATTTACACTACTTATCAATAAATCCATGCTATTATACATGCTATCAGGAACTATCCTGCCAAAAATCAAGCAATATCATGTTCTCGTTGTTGTTGTATGGCCACCTAAAATATCGCATTTACTATGGTGTTTGGGGTGTACGGGACAACCGGGTGTACGACACAGCCGGGAATTACGTTAACTAGTTAGTTAACTATATGGTTTCTAGGAGAGCATTTGATAGGCCGCATGAATTGCAAATAGATTTGTGAGATCCAGTATGTAAATTGGTACCTGAGCGAGCCTGTGGCAGACACCATTATGGAACGAAAAAAAAGAAAAAGAAAACAAAACTAGTCTGCGCCAGGTCGCTGCGGCGAGTTGGGTTAAGCGTGGAAAAAGAGGTCCAGAATGCCCTCTGGACGCTTGAAGTCCTCGATCCACTGCTTTTGCTCCTCGAGCAGCGCACTAGCCCTTTCAAATTGCTCATTTTCGAGAGCCTGCACAATTTTGGCACTGAGTCCTTTCACCCGACTCAAAATGCGTTTAGCTTCAGCCCATGCATCACTAGCCATCTTCTTGCTGATTGATGGCTTGTTCCGTTGGTGGCCCTGATTTTGACGCTCTGGGGTCGACCCTGTCTGCGCATTCCGCCATAAGCTGCATCGCTCGTGTTTTCCGTTCCAGATACAGTTTGCACAGGCCGCAAGATGGCCTTCTCCGCCCTCCAGTTGCACGCACTTTGCCTATTACTTCATCAGTCATCTTCATTCCCGCCAGTTAACTATCAAAGTACTTGGAAGGAGTTACATACCCAAGGGCCGAAAGCCTTTAGACAGCTGTCGCACTGCTTCTCATCGAGCTGGACCACTCCCTGGCAGAAGACAGCTGCTGATTCCACGTTGGCGAGGCTGTTGCCAATGATTTCATCCTGGCGTCTGCCACTCGCGAAGTAGCGTTTCCGGCACGTAAGCTCCCGCACCGGTTCGTTTTTTAGCAGCTCGTGGAGTTTACCCTTGAGGTGTTGCGTCTGACGAGTCTGACGAGTCTGGCGAGCGACTCTAAAAGGGGCCAGCCAGATAAAGTGTGCCCACTCCGCGGGAGGTCGATCCATTTCCCCAGCATGGGCCTCCGGAATAACCAACGGCTCCCCGATATTCCGTACCGAAAGCTGATGGAAATCCCGGGGGTTGTCCTGGACTGGATCCGGAGTTTCTGGCATTTTGGTGATGTTGGTAGAGAGGCAGGAGACAGGTGGTGACGATGGAGATTGATGAGTCGATGAAGGAGGATATGCCAAAGGAGATGTAAAAAGAGACGTAAAAAGAGATGTAAAAAGAGATGTAAAAAGAGATGTAAAAAGAGATGTAAAAAGAGATGTAAAAAGAGATGTAAAAAGAGATGTAAAAAGAGATGGAGAAGAGGATGGAGATGGTAGATGTAGAGGGTGGATGGAGATGGAAGTGGTGATGTGATGGAAGTGGTGATGGAAGCTTGAGGATGAAAGGCTGAAGAGTGTTGCCTCGAGGGTCATGGTGATCTGCCTAATTAACCCCAAATGCTATTTAATCTCCCTCTTACACCTCTGAGACCTATATGCTACATCTACTCTCATCTACAATCTACACCTACTCTTATCCGCCGACGGTACGTAACGCCTAGAGAGCATCAAGGAAGAGGCTTATATCTCGTCTGTCATAAATCCGCTTTCTTAGAGGCACCGAAAACATAGGTATTATTTTCTAATCGCTTTCAGCGGTTTTCTTTAGTGTTCTTATTTTTCGTCGTAAAAGAGAGATCTCTCTCTATGCCTTAGAAAAGCTAGTATAGATCTCGAGATCGGAGTAGGGGAAGGATAGCGATTAAAGGAATAAGTACGGGATAACTATTTAAGAGGCTTAGAGTGAAGGGAGAGAACCTCTATTTGTACTTAAATGTTTAGGGTACAGATCACTAGTACTATTTATCACAGAGACTAAACAATCGCTTTTCCCTGGTGCCTTTCTTTATTTTGGAAGGCTTTACCTCACCTTCTTTTCCTTGGAAGGATGCAATCACTCAAGAAATGGGCTCACAAGGGAAAAGAAGGGATACACAACAGTGATGCGCGAAACAAGCAATATTGTAGGGCGCTGCGCTTCAAAGTTGGACTGAGCAAGGCGGAACTGGGTGCTTGATAGATGGCTCAGACGGGTCTCTGAGTAGTTAACGTTGATCAATGAGCTGACTGATCAGACTCACTAAGCGCCCTCTGAGACGTCACGTGAATACTCTGATCAGCTCTTTGGGTCTGAGTCTGGCCTGAGATTTAAGTTACTCAGTGAGTCTGACTCTGAGCGCCCTCGTAAAAGCGGCGGCATGTCAGAATGGAAAGCCCCACCTGGCAGAGAGTGACCCTAACCTTATTGTGGAGACAGAACTAAGATCCCCCGGTCACATGGTTCACAGAGGTTCAGAGCAACCATCCCATTGCAATTTCAGCATGAATACATTCCAGATCCAATTGACCAATCTAGATATCCAAAGTTGAGGGATTATTCTAAATATCACCACACTACCTTCCATTCGTATGATTGAACACCGTTAAGACGCTCCATCGAGTATCGATCAAAAGTCACGTGATTCATGGCGCGTCGGGATCGCGTCTCCGCCGGCAGAAAAAACGTTCCTGGCGAAAGTAGTAAAAGTGGTTTTGTATACACGGTTGACCTAATGACAGGAGGGCGGGCCTCGACTGCCAAAGTGGGACAAGCGCTAACTACAGCAATGGACGATTCGGTTCCTGATACTCCCATTCGGGGAAGCAAGCCTGCTCCTGGCACCCCTGACAACGATGAGGACTACGAGACCATCGCCACCTTGCCGGCGCATACCATGACTCCCTCCCAGCGATTGACCCAGGCAACGCAACTAGTCGATATGCCCTATTCTCGACCGAATACGGTAATTCAGGTCGCTGCCTCCTCGCCCATGGCCCCTGCTGCCTCCCCACCCACCCAACGTGCCCCCGGCGGAGGACTGTTGAGCTCCCTCATGGCTCCTTCTGGCACATCCTTCCGTCCCCCAGCTACCACCGTTCGCCCGACGAAAAGAACTCCAAACTTCGACATGGATGACGGCCCCACCTACCGAGGCGGGTCTTCGGACGACGACGAGAACCGCATGGACATCAAGCCTGCCATGTTTGAGAAAACTGCTCGAAGCCCCGAAAAGGTTGCCGAGTCGCCTGTGCGCGCTGAGCCTGGCTCTATAGATCGCTTCCGGGAAATTACCTCATCTGCCATTTACGACCCAAATGCGGCAGGCACGAAGCGCTCTGCCGATCAAATGAGCCCTGCGGACGCCTCTCGAGGCGTTGCTACCAAAAAGCTCCGACAAGGTGCTCCTTCTCGCGCGCAACCTGTGACTGCCCATATCTCGACCGTGCTGGACATTGCCGATTTCCGGATCCGAGTCAAAGTGGAGCGCATTCTGAAAGTCATGCCCACAAAGTCTGTACACGAGTGTGTGGAAGCTCTCATGTCGGCCAATGGAAACTACGATATGGCTCTGGATCTACTCGCGAATGAACCTGTCCGCGCAAACGGAAACGGAACCCGAAATGCCGCTATTGAGATTGAGTCTTCAGATGACGAGCTGAGTGCCGAGCCTGTCCGCAACATGGGACAGATGGCCAAGCAGAAGATCAAGGCTCGCGGTACCATTCAGGACAAATGGGCTGCCTCAAGGTTGCCCGGTGCCTCTCTGAAGGAAGACGAGGTGAAGCCCCGCGGTCGTCTCATGCGCGGTCCGAGGAATCGGGACTCTCCGGCGCTTTCTGATGCCATTGTGATCGATTCGGACGATGACTCGCCCCCAAAGAAGAAGCCGGGGCGCCTCCAGAAAGGCCCTCGCCGTACCCGATCTCTCACTCCGGAAGCTGTGCTGTCAGATTCGGAGGATTCCGATGTTCGTGAGGAAGATGCATCTGCCGGTGACCTGGACCAAAAGGTTCTACGATTCTTCAATACCTGCCAACCCCACGATCTCGCCGACATTGCCGCGGTTCCTCAAGAAACCGCCGAGCTCATTACCTCGCAGCGCCCGTTCACCAGCCTGGGCCAGGTCCGCGAGGTCAGTGCCCCGGTGGATGAGAATGCTAAACCCAAGGGCAAGGGCAAGGGCCGCAAACCTCTCAAGCCCGTGGGCGACAAAATTGTCGACAAGTGTCTGGATATGTGGACAGGGTACCTGGCGATCGACGCGCTCGTTGCAGAATGCGAGGCGTTAGGAAAGCCCGTAGCCGTAGAGATGAAGAAGTGGGGTGTGGACATTTTCGGTAAGAGAGGTGATGCTGAGCTCGAGCTTGTGAACCTGAATGGGTCTCACGATTCGGGGATCGCAACACCTTCCTCAAACCATCAGTCTCCTAGTGAAGATGATTCGGACGATGATATTCGACCGGTGGCTAAATCCCGAAAGTCTCAATCGAGTAGTCAGTCCGGTTTCATCTCACAGCCATCCATCATGGCTAAGACTTTGGTCTTGAAGGATTATCAGATCGTCGGTCTCAACTGGCTGGCGCTACTGTTTGAGAAAAAGATGAGCTGCATCCTCGCTGATGAAATGGGTCTCGGCAAGACCGTTCAGGTCATCTCTTTTCTCTCGCATCTCTACGAAAAGAACATCAAGGGGCCTCACTTGGTCGTTGTCCCCTCCTCCACCATTGAGAACTGGCTTCGCGAGTTCAAAAACTTTTCCCCAAATCTCGTGGTCCAGCCTTACTACGCAAATTTGGCTGAACGTGGCTTCCTTCGCGAGCAGCTAGAGAAAGAACGTGACTCGATCAATGTCGTGGTGACAACCTACACCATTGCCAAGGCTAAGGTGGATGCAAAGTTTCTTCGCGACATGAATTTCTGTGTTTGTGTTTACGACGAAGGACACATGTTGAAGAACTCGCAGTCACTTCTGTACGACAAACTCATCCGCATCAATGCCGAGTTCCGACTTCTCCTTACGGGTACCCCGTTGCAGAATAACCTGCAAGAGCTGGCTTCTCTGCTGGGCTTCATGTTGCCTGGAGTCTTTAAACAACACAAGGAGGAATTGCAGGCCGTCTTTGCCAACAAAGCCAAGACGTCCGACGATTCGCACGCAACTCTCCTGTCAGCACAGCGCATTGAGCGTGCCAAGTCCATGCTGAAGCCTTTTGTTTTGCGCAGGAAAAAGACACAGGTTATTGACTTGCCCGCTAAACACTCGTACGTCGAGTACTGCGAGATGAAGCCGTCGCAGCGGGATATATATGACCATGAAAAGGAGCAAGTCCGCCAGCTTATCGAAGACCGTGCTGCTGGCAAGAAGACTGGCTCAAAATCCGCCAACATCTTGATGAAGCTACGACAAGCAGCCATCCACCCCTTGCTCGCCCGGCGTCATTACACTGAAGCCATTCTTAAAAAGATGGCTAAGAGCTGTCTGAAAGAAGAGAAATGGGCACTTTCTGATCCAGCCATCATCGAAGAAGAGTTGCAGGCTTACAACGACTACGAGTGCCACCACATGTGCCTTGAGAACCCGAACTCACTCGGCAAATACAAGCTCAAGAATGATGAGTGGATGGACTCTGGCAAAGTCGAAAAGCTTCGTGAATTGCTCACCCGCTTCGTCGCCAACGGCGACCGCACCTTGATCTTCTCGCAGTTTACCATGGTCATGGACATCCTCGAGAACGTCCTCGAGACTCTCCAGATGGAATTTGTCCGCCTGGACGGCCGCACAAATGTCGAAGATCGTCAGTCTATCCTGGACGCGTTCCACGAGCGTGTGGATATCCCCGTCTTCCTCCTCTCGACCAAGGCCGGCGGTGCAGGAATTAATTTGGCCTGTGCCAACAAGGTCGTCATCTTCGACTCCTCCTTCAATCCCCAGGAGGATGTCCAGGCCGAGAACCGTGCCCATCGTGTTGGCCAGACACGCGACGTTGAAGTGTTCCGCTTCGTCACTCGCGAAACCATTGAGGAGCAAATCTACGCCCTCGGTCAGACCAAGCTGGCACTTGACCAAGCCGTTGCGGGAGATGATGATGGCGTCGCGGCCAAGAAGACCGAGGAAGCTGGTATGAAGGCTGTGGAAAACATGGTTCTCGCAGACATGGAGAAGAAGGACAGTCCGGAGGGGAAACAGTAGGGCGGAATACGGAGACATGTTGTGGGAGATGTGTGGTGGTGGCCTTTTCGGTGTTTGGGAAGATTTCTTGCATTTTCATCTGGGCGTGATTTGGCATGTACACATGTCGCTGGTGTTTTCTGTGACGGTTCGATTGAAAGGTGCATAACGCATACGAGCATGTTAGAGTAGACCGAATAAAGTTTAATTTTCGACGATTTTAGTACTTTCCTGCTTTACTTCGCATCAAAGCACTTAGTACTGATGGGTGAGGTCCCCCGTGGTTTGCTTGAGGTGGAGTATTGAGATTGGTTGCCATGCAGATGAAGTTATAGAGCAACAGGCGTTCAATGTTCGAGCTACAACGCTCTCTTTCTGTAAAGAGAAGTTTAGAATGGAGAACGTAAAAGATTATGGAAGCCTTGTATATCGTAAACTCATGTACCGTACGTATATTATCTATGTATTTTTGGGGGAATCTATGAACAAGAAAATGAGAACCAGGGAACCACATCCCAAATGATGAAGGAAGTCGACAGAGGTCTCATAACCAGGCTATGCAGAAAGACAAGAGAAAAAAAAAATGGGGATATTGGGAGGGGAAGGAGAAGGCAAGTTTATACTGCAACGCTGGACTGCTGGGAGACCTCTGCAGCAGCTGGGACTGATGGGTCAACGGTGGTAGTGGTGGCCTGCTCGGATGCGGATGCGGATTTAGTTGGCTGTGGGATGGACGAGGTGCGGATGGGACCAACATTATTCGTAGAGGTGGTATTCGACTTGGCAGGTCTGGAGCTACCGCCGCCAGCGGCACGAGCAGACTCATTATTTTCCTTGGCATTCTGCACAGCCTTGGAAACAGCCTGGGAGTGCTCGCCATCCCCGAGCTCCTGCTTCTGTGTGAGGTCGAGGATCTCATCTAGCTGCATCGCCGCAGGCACCAGATCATCAAACTTCAGACGACGGCAGACATCGGCATAAGTCTTGGACTGCTTGGCGTCCTTGAATTCCTTGACTTTCCCGGGAATCAACATGTTGAGCAGGTACTTGGTATTGCCGTAGCGATTCTCGCTTTCGATGCAGAACTTGAGATATTGGTAGACCACGTCGCGCCACGGGTCGAGACCGCCGTCCGCCTCGGAGCGGAAACAGGAGGAATTGGCTTCTGCGGACACTGCGATCATTGCGCCGTCGACGCCGTATTCTTCCATTAGCTTCAGTCCGTGGTCGCGGGAGGTGACGTCGCCGTTCATCAGGCACGCCACGCCGGCCTTGTGACAGACATCGGCTACCATGCGGAGCTGGTGACGGATAGCGCGCTCCCGGGGCCGCATGGGGGTTGTGCGGCAGTGGACGGTCAGACCCGTGATACCGGTGCGAACGAGGCGGGTGACGAGCGCTTCGGTAAGCTCGGGAGTCTCGAGGATGCGAATCTTAACGGAGATACCAATCTGATAAGGCTCGCCGACCTCGCGGACTAGCGTCTCCAGAATGGAAACTAGTTTATCGGGCGTACGCAGTAGCGCAGCACCCATGCCGCCGCTCGTACTGAATGGCTTAGGACAGCCCGAGTTGACGTCGATACCCCAGACATCCCCCGCAACAACCTTTGCCGCCTGCACGGCAAGATCGGGGTTGGCAGTACCCATTTGGAAGATGAGTTTGCCCTTTTCGCGGACGGGGTCGAGGCGGTAGATGACTGACGGTTTGGCGGCTTTTTCGACGCGGCCGCCATTCGAGGGCATCCGGGTAAATTCGATAGTTCCGTTGCGTGGGTTGACGCGGCGCTCGGCACCGATGAGTGAGCGATCGATAGTCTCGGGGCCCCAGACGAGGTCCGCACCGTAGTGAAGAGCGAGCAGGCGCGAGGGAAGTTCGCCCGATCGAACCATTGGAGCGAGGACGATTTTGCCGCGATAGTCGACGCCTTTGGGTGGGATGGGCACGCGCGGCACTTGGGCCGGGGTGGTGGCGACGGATTCGGCGAGAGAGGTCATCTTGGAGCGGAGGAATCTGATCATAGCATTCTGGGATGGGAAGGAAAGAGAATTCTCTTTGGTATTTCCTCTGGAGGGGAAAATGGTCGATGCCGCACTTTTCTGGGGCTCTCATCGGCCACATCCGCACGGTCACGTGCAGATAGGGGCGATAATGGGGTTTTTGGTGTTTGACTTTTTTTGTTTGCCTGATTGATGCCTTAAGACGTGCCTTGATTCAACCACGACAAGTTGATTGTTCTCGTCTCAAGTGTGGTTCGAGTTCCCCTTCCCACACTTATTGGCTTACTCAGGCAACATTGACTTTCCTGTCCAATCCTACACTTTCGCACTTTACGACTGATCTTTGGGATCCGAAAGCATTATGCCTATATCATGGACATTGCTTAGTATGGAAAATGAACTGGGAGTATCTATTAAAGTAGCTAGCAAAGTATGGATAGAGACCGTCCACCAGCCCGATATCGGGTTAGCACTCGCAGGGAGAAAGTATGAAGAGTATGGAGTACATGCAGAGTACATGTATCGCTGTAGGTACCAAGAAGTAGCAGTACATACACGCACATCGGGTGGAGGAGCACGAGACCTGGGGCAGAATCAAATGATCGAAGCTATGGCATGACTTGGAATTAAATAGTCGCAAGATATACGAGCACTCCGCATACATACGCAAACTATCACTCGGTCTGGAACAGCATCGGGCGGAATGCCAATTTTCGGAGGGTTGGCAAGGTTGGCAAGGCATTCGCAATGCCGGACCTCGGAGGACCCGCCGAAAAGGACCCGCGACCACGATTCTCTTCTGGAGAGGAGCACCAACAAACACGGGACAGGGCCAACAGCAAATCCGTGTTCCCCCTGGACGTCTGCCTCGCAGGACACGCAACCCTGATCAATTGGGCCAACCTTTTGGCCGGACCAAACCCTCCTCGAGACAGGTTCATCGACCGATCTCTCCATTCGAAAGCCAACTTCGCCGTTAGCCAATGGCTCTGGCCCCTTCTCCCTTGGCCCGACTGGGATTTTCGTTTTCGACCTCCACCGCCTCCCGCCGAGTCTGGCGCACATCAGCAACGCTGGCGCCCCCCACTTGGACAGCCCCTCTTGCGTCCTCCTTTTCTCCCCCCACTACGTCTTCTTCCTCTTCTCTCTCCCGAGCTGCTTTGATCACCAGGCATTTCTCTTCCTCCACACCCAAAATGTCGTATACCGTTCGCAAGGTCGCTCAGCCTTACACGCTTGAGCACCGTGTTTACATTGAGAAGGATGGCGTCCCCGTCTCTCCCTTCCACGATATCCCCCTCTACGCCGACCAGGAGCAGAAGATCCTGAACATGGTCGTTGAGATCCCCCGCTGGACCAACGCTAAGCAGGAGGTACGGTCGTTCAATCGCCATTTGCGACACCCAAATTACCATAACCCAGTTTTACTCTCGTGTCCGATGCTGATTTGCTTGCAACTACCTATAGATCTCCAAGGACGAGTTCCTGAACCCCATCAAGCAGGACACCAAGAAGGGCAAGCTGCGCTTCGTTCGCAACTGCTTCCCCCACAAGGGTTACCTCTGGAACTACGGTGCCTTCCCCCGCGTAAGTGGATCGACCCAATTGCAACATCTGCAATAAAAACACACCACCCCGCCATCAAGGACACAGCCATTGACTCAATTGATATAGACCTGGGAGGACCCCAACTCCATTCACCCCGAGACCAAGGCCAAGGGTGACAACGACCCGCTGGACGTTTGCGAGATTGGTGAGCTGGTCGGCTACACCGGCCAGGTCAAGCAGGTCAAGGTTTTGGGTGTCATGGCCCTGATTGACGAGGAGGAGACCGACTGGAAGATCATTGTCATTGACATCAACGACCCTCTGGCGTCCAAGCTCGACGACATTGAGGATGTCGAGCGTCACCTGCCCGGTCTCATGCGTGCCACCAACGAGTGGTTCCGCATCTACAAGATCCCCGACGGAAAGCCCGAGAACCAGTTCGCCTTCTCCGGCGAGTGCAAGAACAAGAAGTACGCCGAGGAGGTCATCAAGGAGTGTTCCGAGGCCTGGGAGAAGCTCATCTCTGGCAAGACCAACGCTGATGACATCAGCCTGTACGTTCCACGCCCTCCTTTCAAAATGTTTCTATCCGTGTCTGCAGACTTTGGCTAATCCACTTTCTCTAGTGCCAACACCCAGCTCGACCAGAACCGCGCCGACCAGTCTCAGGTCGCCGCCATCCCCCGCGGCGAGAACCTGGCCCCTGCTCCCATTGACGGCAGCATTGACAAGTGGTTCTTCATCTCCGGCGCTGCCGTGTAAATTGTCTCACCTCTCGCTATTTTCGAATTACCAGAACAAAAATGTCAGTGCTCGCTATCACATAGATGGTGGGGGTATAATATTCAATTGAGATTCGGACCAGGATCCCACTGTAGTGTGATCCCGCCAAACACGGCTTGCTTGCGTCCACTCGAGGGTTCCTCAGATGCAATCGGACTGAAGGGGACAAACAAAATAGTATAGTGTAGATCAAATATTCATGAGACTGGTATATCTACTTGTGGAGAATGCTTCCTGAGAGCTGAAACAAAAACACACACACTGTCAAACACTCTCACCACATGCAATTGAGTATTCCAACGCGCCAAAAAAACCACATATCAAGACAAATATATAATACAGAACCACAGAAACCAAGCACAATACATCCAATAACCATGTAGTCTATAAAAAAACATGGACCTGGCAATGTGATATGCCTCGTCCAGCTCAACCCTTCAAACTGGCCTCCCGCTCCAAAGCCCGCCCAACCCGCGAAATCTCCTCAACCACATCCCCAATCTTCATACCCCGCTTGCCAACCTCCAGGGTGACCTCCTTACCACCCTTGAAACCGATCGTCATCACTGGCTGCTGTGTGGAGTTGCGCGGCAGCTGCGTGACCTTGATGTCGATGTGTGTGGGACTGGCCGGGGATGCTGTGGAGGGGGTACGGAGCAGAGAGAGGAGGAGGCGACAGGGCCGGGAGGCTTGAACGAAGGGATTGAAGGTTGCGCGGAAGGTGGTGATTGTCTGGAGTGGGAGAGACATTTTGGTTGGTGTTGTGGGGGTCGGATTGAGCTGGTTGATGGGATTGATGTCCGGAATCACAAGTTTATAGGTAGATCTTTCGCTGTTTGTCACATGAGCGGATGATTCATTGAGGTATCACTGAGATTATGGTTCTGGTGGTCGCGTACCTGGTAGAATTCGCGATGGTTGGTCTCCCAGAAGTTTTTTGCGGCGGAGTCGTTTGATGACTTTCGGTGTTCGGGTGCCGGCAATATTCTCAGTGAACAAGAGGAGAGAACGGGGGATCAGTCGTAGAGAATGTAGCCTGGCTCTGGATGGCTAAATTGCGGAAGAATCTCGACGATTAACTGTCCGAATAAACGTTTAGGCCGAGTTGCGGTTGCGGGCTCCGATGGAGATGACCGGTGTTTGCCGAATATGCAAACAGGTCGGTATGAAAGCAGTGACGCCCACGCCAGCTTGTCAACTTGCGCTTCAACAAGTCTCCATTTCGATAAAGAAGCTTCTGGTTGAAACAAAACTAGGACAAACCAGGGAAATATTGAATCAAGTCTCCCGAACTTGACAGTTCCTCCCGCATATTTACGTCAAGACGCCGTTGTATGCACCATATCGTTGGGCCGTCCTGGTTTCCTACCCACCATGTCCGCAGCGCCCGCTCTCCAAGCCCGCTTGAAGGAACTTTCCACAACACTCGGCCAGATTCAACCTCTAATTGACCGATTGCGCAACTTTACGGCTTCCATCGGGCAAGGCGATGAAGCGCGCCTGGAGCTCGGAGCAGAAATACATTCGCAGCTGAAAGATGCTGAGGGTGAATTGGAGCTCTTGCGCGGGGACATTGATGCGCTAGATAATGGCTCGGAGGGGAGGAGGAAATCCTCCACTAATGGAGGGGAGAAAGAGGCTGAGAAGGAGCGGGTGGTTGCGATGGCGGGGCGATTGGCGGATGATTTGAAGAGGTATGTTTTTGAACAGTGCGAGGTGGATGTGTGTAAACTTGGGGGTTCTTGTTGTGCTGATATTGGGTGGACAGAACTCGGGGAGATTTTCGAAACGCTCAATTACAGGCCAAGCGGAATGCTGAGCTTGCAAAGCGCAAGGAGCGTGAGTTATTGTTGTCGAGGTCGCAAGATTCATCTGAGAAGCGGAATCCTTCAGCGAAGTTTACGCAGGATGATTTGGTGTTGAATGCTTCGAATGATGTGACCGCTGCTCTGCGCAGGACCCATCACTTGATGCAGGCTGAGCTGTCTCGGAGCCAGTTTGCTCATGAGACACTTGGTGAGTGATACTCCACAAGATTCTTGCCGGTGGCAGCAGATTTTCTGACATTTGTGTGAATAGAACAATCAACGGCCGCCATATCTTCCCTGTCAGAGTCCTACACCAGCCTTGATACGCTCCTCGCAAACTCTCGCAGCCTCGCAAATTCTCTCCTCCGTTCTCAAAAATCCGATACATGGTACCTCGAGACGGCGTTCTATATTCTCGTCGGAACTATCTCTTGGCTAGTTTTCCGCCGTGTTCTCTACGGTCCCATGTGGTGGCTCGTTTGGCTTCCGTTCAAATTCGCCATGCGCTTCGTTTTCGCTATCCTGGGAGCCGTCGGAATATCAAAGGGGTCCAATGAACTTGCTTCTAGCTCAGTTGCTAGCGATATAACTGCGACCATCCAACAGGCTGCTACTGCCGTGACAAGGGCAGCCGTCTCGAGTGGTGATGCATGGGAGAATGAGACACCTGATGAAGCCCAGCAGGATCGTATCATTGATAAGATTGGGCGCATGGTCGAGGATGGACAGTGGGATGGAACCAATATTGATGATATCTCGGCTGAAGAGATGGAAAGGCAAGATGAGATACCTCGCAACCCGAAGAAGCGTATGTATGAGGAGCAAGTTGTGCGGGATGAGCTCTAGAGAAGTTAAGCACGGGGGTGTAATGATAATCCATGTCGGTTATGAAGCATATTAGCGAACATTATACAGAATATACACCAGAATCTAGCGAAATGTATCCATTGCAAACCCAATTACTCATAAATTCTCTCTCTTTAACGTGCAAACGAGGCGCTCAGCTAAGGGTATAATTGAGTCTTTTGATTGGCTCACAGCTAAGTGCTGCGCGTGTCACGTGGAGACGCGTCTCTCGATCGCGGCGGACGTTTGGTCTCTCACCTGAGTCCCGACTACTCAACTACTCAACTCCCAAAGCACCAATCCTCCTTGCTGTGCTCGCATCGAGTGTGAGCTGACAATGGCATCTACTTTCTTCAACAACAAGGCCCGTGCCGCGGCCGCTGCTGCCTCTAGCAGCTCCAAGGCCAAAGCAAGCGACAGCAAGGAAGATACAACTCGTCTACAGCCATGGGTTGAGAAATAGTGAGTTTGCTTAGAACCATATTCTAGCAAGAATTTGGTTTAACATGAATCAGCCGTCCCAAAACCCTCGATGATGTCGCCGCACAAGACCACACAACCAAGGTCCTTCAGCGCACCTTGCAAGCTTCCAACGTATGCACCACCCTCCGATACTTTCACGGTCACCATTCAATTCTAATTATACATCCAACAGCTTCCTCACATGCTCTTCTACGGACCTCCAGGAACAGGCAAAACCTCCACCATCCTCGCCTTAGCCAAATCCCTCTTCGGCCCCGCTCTCTACCGCTCCCGCATTCTCGAACTAAACGCCTCCGATGAGCGAGGTATCGGCATCGTCCGTGAGAAAGTGAAAAACTTCGCCCGTGCACAACTCTCCCAACCAACCGGCCTCGACGCAGCCTACCGCGCACAATATCCCTGCCCGCCTTTCAAGATCATCATCCTCGACGAGGCGGATAGTATGACCCAGGACGCGCAAGCCGCGCTTCGCCGCACGATGGAGCAGTACTCCCGCATCACCCGATTCTGTCTGGTGTGTAACTACGTCACTCGCATCATCGAGCCGTTGGCTAGTCGATGCAGTAAATTCCGCTTCAAGAGCCTTGATAACGCCGCGGCGGGTGATCGGGTTGCGGAGATTGCGCGCGCGGAGAATCTGAAGCTCGATGATGGTGTTGTGGATACGCTTATTCGGTGCGGTGAGGGTGATTTGCGTCGTGCGATTACTTATCTTCAGAGCGCGGCGCGTTTGGTTGGTGCTACGCGTGCGGGTGGGAAGGATGCGGGTGGGAAGGATGCCGATGATGATGCTGAGATGACGGATGCGGGGAGCTCGGAGTCGGGTACTATTACTGTCCGGGCTATCGAGGAGATTGCGGGTGTTATTCCGGAGAGTATTTTGGATGATTTGGTACAGGCTATGCAGCCGAAGACGTCGGGTTCTTCGTACGAGGCCGTTTCCAAGGTGGTGACGGATCTTGTTGCAGATGGGTGGAGTGCTACGCAACTTGTCGGCCAGGTTTGTAATTCTTATGAACTAAGATGTGAGATCGCGTGCTAACGTGGACAGTTGTACCGACGGGTCGTATTCAACGAGGCTATCCCCGATGTTCAGAAGAATAAGATTGTTATGGTCTTTTCGGAGCTGGACAGGCGGCTGGTCGATGGTGCGGACGAGCATTTGTCTGTGCTGGATCTCGCTCTACGCATTGCGAATATCCTGCGTGGATGATGGGTTTGAAAAGCGAAAAGAACGATCCTTCGGGTTCAGCATGTGGTTGCTTCGGTGGTTTATCTTATTTCCTCTGGTTTCAATCGGAGATAATTGGATATTCGGCGAAGTTGACTAAATGCATAGATGGCGTTTGGCTGGGTTTGACTCATTGAGGCGTTATGTATCCATTTTATGGTTTGAGAGAATGAGGATGATTATGATACCCTGATATTCTCTTTCTATTTTCCAGTACCTTCTACCTGGCTCTTTCTGGGATGGCTCTTAAACTCCTCGTGGCGGGATCATGAAATCTGGACAATCTAGGTAACTGACACATACTCAAGTCCAGACCACCTATGTATGACTTGATTATGAAAAGCCAATACCCTAGAAACCTCGTGACCAAATACTAGGAAACTTTCCACTGTCGCATCTATTCAGCTCCGAAAGTCGGCTTTCGGGCATGGCTATTCCAAAAGACATGATAGATGAATGTCAGAACAGGTAGCCTATCACATATCGGCCGAATAGCGAAAATCATGAAAGATGTCCTTCCTCGGAAGCTATACCAAACTCCGCGGGACAGAGAACAAGAAAGACAATTAAGGCTACTTGCTGAGCCGAGCTTCGGGTTATGGTTGGTGTGGGGTAACGCTAATCTCTACATAAAGTCTTGTATTCATGGCTGATAGGTGGACAGCGCCTGGCTGCCTCGTATAATTGGAAAGGGACTGTACCGCCGAATTCAATTAGATGGATGCCGACGGAGTAGCATACATAGTCTCAGCCACTCCGTCGGAACATTCCCCTTCAATTGCCCCTCGCCAATACTCCAGGTCCGCGGAGTTCCTGTGATACAACTGCCCAAAGTTCCTTGATTGGACCAGAGGATGTTGTGCTACTGTTGACATAACGAGAAGTGATCGGTTAAGAACTCATGGGTCAGCGCCACCCCCGCATTTAGGTAGCGGATTTAGATAGACCCCGGATTCGTGGCTTGGCTATAGTATAGTCTCGCTGTTCTGACCGAATCTTGGTTTCTTGAAAATCCGTTCGTAGATGCTGGATTAAGGAGTCCTTTTTGCTGATAATATGTGAGATTTGATACTTAGAGAACCGACTTCAAGTCTTATCTGGCCTGTCTGCGAGGCAAATGTCTACTTTGACCACGTAGTGTGACAAGGCCTCGCTATCTACCTGCCGTCTAGGGAACTACCACCCAGCATGAGTCTTGCTTCAAGGATAATGCGGGGGAATACATATGATGGGGGTGTCGTTTTCTAGGCCTAAACTTAGATAAAGCTCCTGCCCTATCTGAATAGCTCTCGAAACAGGGTTAACAACCTATGTCCCCGGCCGATCACAAGTGTTTGAGATGTTGGCGAGCCCGGTCTGCTTCTCAATTCAATAGCATATGTATCTGATAAGTAAAATATTGTTTGAGAACTACCGATCTCAGCTTTAGCCTCTTCAATAATGATGATTCTATTCTAAGTTCTTCCTGGTTTGTGGAATGGCCGGTCCCCACTATGATAGCACATTCCAGGACCAAATGGCTGAGCTTAGCTTCCGACCCTGGAAAAGCACGTTCCCCTTGAGCGGGGATAAAGGCGAGTTTGGACCTAGTTCATCCCTAAGGTGAAGAAAACACATCATTTCAGAGTTTTGGATCCGAAGAAGTATAGTCAATCGAAGAGAATACAGTGATCAGTGCGCCGACGTTCGGCAATAAGATGGACGCATAGCCGCGGCATTGGCAAGGTATATAGTTGCAGGTCTTCCTTGATCCTACGCTGTTTCAGAGCACGCGGTGATTACTGCAGAAGCTGTTTTCAAAATGAGAAACCATATGCAAGCAGGGTGGTTTTACTCCCCCAGCCAAATGTCTCGATACTTTGCCACCCGAGCGTCAAGTCTAAAACCTCCTCGGGTATGTTTACCAAATGCTTCGTTCGATTCATGCAAGTCTAACAGCGTTGGGTATTAGAACAAACTTAGAAATCCTTACGCAATTCTTCGGGAGTTGACTACCCACCAATGGCTTATGTTTGCTGCAGGCTTCATGGGCTGGACCTGGGATGCCTTTGATTTCTTCACAGTGTCAATGACAATTACAGAAATCTCAGCAGATTTTGGTGTCTCTTACTCCGATGTCTCTTGGGTGTGTACAAACACTTAACAATGTCCATAAGCGTGGTACTGATATTCGTTCTGTACTAGGGCATGACCGTGACCCTTATGCTTCGATCCGTCGGTGCCATTATTTTCGGTATCCTCTCAGATCGATATGGACGCAAATGGCCCATGATCATCAACCTCGGTCTGTTCATAATCCTCGAGATGGTTTCTGGTTTCTGCAATACTCTTCCTCAGTTTCTGGGCGTCCGGTCTCTATACGGCATTGCAATGGGGGGTAAGCAAGCATTCCTCCAGGTTGGTACATGAATGATCGATATTGACCATCGCGCCTTTAAGGTCTCTTTGGTCCAGCAGCGGCCACTGCTCTGGAGGATCTTCCATACGAGGCCCGTGGTTTACTCTCCGGACTGTTCGAAATGGGTTATGCCACTGGTTACCTCCTCGCCGCTGCTTTCTATCGCGCCCTTGTCCCAACCACCTCTCATGGCTGGCGAAGTCTGTTCTGGTTCGGTGCAGGTCCCCCAGTTTTGATCATCATCTTCCGATGGTGTCTGCCCGAGACCAATCATTTCCAGGTCATGAAAGCCGAGCGAGAAGCGCGAGCCAATGCATTGGGAAATAACCATGCCAAAGCCGCAGGATTACGAGTCTTCCTTCGTGATGCTGGACGTGCGCTCCGAGAGAATTGGGTCCTATTCGTTTACTTGATTGTCCTAATGATCGGATATAACTCCTGTTCGCATGGTAGTCAGGACTTCTACCCGACCTTCCTCAAGGATCAAGTGGGGATGAACGCCACGAACACGACTATTATCACTGTTGTCGGCCAGATAGGTGCCTTGCTCGGTGGCTGTACCGTTGGCTATATCAGCACCTTTTTTGGGCGACGTCTGACCATGATGGTGGTATGTGTGATTGGTGGTGCATTGATTCCAGCCTATACAATGGTTCGATCAATGTCCCTGGTCGCTAGTGTGTTCTTCGAACAGTTCTGTGTCGGCGGTGTCTGGGGTCCAATGCCCATTCACTTGCTTGAGTTATCGCCGATCGCACTTCGCGCCGTGATGGTGGGATTGACTTATCAGCTTGGTAATCTTGGATCTTCCGCTTCTGCTACAATTCAGTCCATTATCGGAGAGCAGTTTCCTTTACCGCCGGGAGCGCATGGAAAGAAGAGGTTTGATTATGGAAAAGTCATTGCGATCTTTATGGGTGCTGTCTGGGTCTTTATGCTATTCTTCCTGTTCTGGGGACCTGAAATGTCACAAGAAGAAAGGGACGAGGAGGCGGAGGACTCAATGCGTCTGGAGCGACTCAGAGCCGAGGGTGTTAGCTTGGCTGAGATTGGACAGCAGCGTTTCTTGGGCAAGGGAGTCGATGAGCCTATGGTGGATATGGGTACGGGGCATCAGGACAGTGAGAAGGCTGAGACGGCTCATGTTGAGTAGCTATTGCGGCTCAAGTTGCTTATTTGAAGAAAGATATTTGATATGAAAGTTGAACAAGAAGTCGAACAAGAAGTCTATATCATGCATAATCCGAAAAAGTAACAACTCACCAGTATCGACAGATCTCTTTGTAGATTGACTCGGGATTTTCTAGAGGTATCAAATGCCGAACTCCCTCCACAACGGTCAACGAGACCTCGACTCCATTTTGACGTAAGAAATTAGCAACCTCTTTCTCAGCCCTCTCTCTGGTCTCGACTATATCGAGCTCTCCCACAATCACACTAGCTCGCATACCAGGCCGAGAAGCTAGAGCTTTGCGGACGTCCTGCGAGATGTCCTCCTGCATACCGTAGGAAAGCCAACCGGCTTTGGCAAACGGGGTGCCACTTAAGCTGTCGCGGACCACCAATTCAATATCAGAATCGGAGAGATTTTCAGGTTTCGCGAGTACATTGTGCACCGTCCACCGAACGCTATCCTCGGATTCATATGCCAGTAGCTGCTGAGCTTTCATGTCAGGAGGCAGATCCAGCGCAATTGGAGGTGCTGGTCCGATGAGAACGAGCCCTTTAAGAAATTTCCGAAGATCGTTACCCAACAGCCCGATGGTTGCGAGTGCGACCTTTGCGCCCATCGAATGTCCCACGAGAAGCAGCCCATGCTCGAGGAGATCATGTCTAGCTTTGTCTTTGTTGAGATGTGTTATAAGAGTAGCGACATCACTAGCCATCCCATTAATTGAGTAAGCTTTGCTGCTTTCATCACTTGGGCCGTTTGATTGACCCCAGCCTCGTAGGTCGATTGCGATCGTTGGATGAAGCTCACTCAGCGAAGTCGACGAATTCAAGTCCGTGAGTTTGTGCCATGTTTGCGAGCTACCACCCCAGTAATGAAGAAACAAGAGAAGGGGCTTTGAGTGTTCCTTGGCTGGCCGGGTGATTTGGGCATGTATCACTGTATTGGGAGAGGTTTGGAAGGAACAGGACTCCATGGTTGAGTAGGTAGATCCGGATGTATACAGCTGGGAATTTCTGCCGGGCAGTCGAAAAGAATGTTAGGTAGAATGCTGCTCTTTTGCGATTATCTTAACAGGAACAGGCTGGTTCTTTCTATAGTCGCACTTCTGGATCTTGTGGACTCTGACTGAAACCAGGAGGTGTACTATGGAATCATGAGGTGGAATCTTGATGGGGCCCAACATGTGGAATCCTCATTAGGTGGAGCTCTGATTCCACATAGTTCTCACTGATTTGATTGGTTGGCTAGCGTTAGTGTTTGCTCAGCCAGCCAATCATTTGCTTCTACTCTGTATCTGTATTTCCCTGTATAGTCTAGATACAGGTCCATGATGGCTTTGATGCAGCTGACAAGCTGAAGTTCCAGGCCGTATGACTCGTCTTTCGGTTGAGGATGGGCTCTCGAATGAAACAAGGCTCGCACAGAGTGCCTCATAATTATTAATCCGACTCTGGGAATCGTCTTCGTATTCGAGAATGACAGAAATGAGGCTTGCTTAAACTTGAGGTCAAATAGCCAGATTTATTTTATGGAGAAACCAATACTCGAGCTGTTCTACCCTGGTAAAGCAACCCTTTCATTATCATACTGTCCCATCACTAATGGAGACTCATTAGACGAGACGGAGAAGACTTCCGCTGAAGAAAATATCCTATCGCAATCAAATGTGCCGGTGATGCACCAAGGCAACAATACTATATCCACACAAAATTGTGCTCGGAGACAGCGAGACAAGAATCCGGTCTTACATTTGATCCAGATCAAGATTATTACCATCTTTCAACGGCCCTAATAGGCTGTAATCTCTTTATCATTCTCTTCGAAATCGGTGTAGGGGGAGTTGTACTTGTCGTGACTAGCTCTCATGACTCAATCGCTCGATTCCTGGTGAAAAAAGGCTCGATAAAATATATGGCCAACTTTATTGGCTTTGTTTTCTGTCTGTTATGGGTAAATATTCTTTTTTCATTTCTTATTGACTTGGAAAGGGGCAGGTTGCGCTGTCCTTAGGCGGGTATAACTGAGTACTCTAGTGACAAATACTGGCGTGGAAAGGTTAGTCGCATATTACATATAAAACGTAAGGAAACTTAGGTTGCTTAAAAACCAATCCCATGTCACCGTAATTTTCAACTTCACTTTTTCACGAAATATTTTGACTGTGCTCGGGCTAGCGCACCTACTTGCGGATACAGGCTATCAGGAATGGAGTACAGCTCAGCGCTTGATTTGTCTACCAAAGGCACGCCGGGATTCAATCAAACGCGCCTTCCTGTCCGGACACACTGCCTCACGGCTAACGGAATCTTGACATTTCCGGAAATTACTCCCGATTGGTGTAATTTTACCCACAGGGTACTAAGCTGCGTGAGCTTTGGACCGGTAGATCCACGCGCACCATTCTCTACCTGCAGCCAATCCGGCAGATCATCCTAATTCCTAACTTCCCAGGCAATCTCTCGTTCCTGATGAAGGGACCGGAAATTGTGCTTAATATAAACGATATGATATTTTCTCATGAGTCCCTATGTCACGTATGCTACGCGACGAAGCTTTACGAAGAGCAGAAGATTACATTCAGGCCGCCGCTAAACCACTAGTATGCTTCCAATGTTTTGAAAACCTAGAAGGATCGGGGGACCGTCGGATGAAACAATATTCTCGGCATAAACATCTTCTTCGTCACTTTAGGACTACACATATGGACGACCGTCACTGCAAGTACTGCCAAAGGTCAGTGGAGCATGAAGATGGTTTAAGGAGGCACGCTCATGAGAAGCATAGATTAAATAATTAGGCCATTCTGCTACAATACATTGCGGAACTGGCGCAACCACTCAACTCTGCGGTGGACTCTTATGCTGTTTACATTAAGGCCCACTGGTCTCTATTCATAGTTTTTCCGGGAGTTACGTATGTATTCCTTCGTACGTAGGTTACATATCATTCTCAGCCATGTATTCACTCATAAATTCAACACATTCGAGTCTTGGCAGTGGGGCACAGAATTAACATAAGAGTGAAAATTGGTGAAGCAGGTCTTACACTTCTCTGTAAACTGAAGCGGTTTGAAGAGAAAGCAGAAGGACTCTCGTAGATGCGTTTTTGTTAAAATATCGTCCAAGCATGTACAAATAGTGAGATTTTCTTTGTTCCTGGTGACCTTGATCTCGCACAATGGCTGGAATGATGGAGAGTGAGTGACGCTACACAGCTAATACCTGGCGGGAATTTCGGCCTCCTGTGTGCGCCAATGAATATGGGAAGGCTAGTAGGGCATCCGACATTCTTGTAATAAAAGGTAGCTCATAGGTTTCATCACCATGCTACCAATTTGGTCTTGATATCCGGATAGTGAATGAGATCGTATTAATCCAACGGTGCAGGCATTGGTATCCGACTCGAACCCCCTCTTATTTCTTATCAGCTCTGTCACGTCCCAATAGCTTGCCAGGAACGTTCCCTTCAAATGGGTGGCCTTCCGTCCAGCCAAACAAACAAGGAACTAGCCCGGCAGGCTCTTGTGATCGCACTCTATCATATCTTCACTCTATCCGGATTCGGCTACTCCCAGTGTCCAGATAGCTCCAGGATATACAGTACAGACTCGTAGCTTCGAATTCTCAGCTAGGCTGCCTCATCGAGATTGTTTGTGCACCGATCCTGTCATGAAGACGATTTATTAGATGGTTTGGCTTTGGCTCAACTACTCTGCGGGCGGCTCAAGTAGGAAAATATTGTGAACTTATAGGTAGGTAGCGTGTCTATATATAGTGTGCATGCTAGTGCTCAGCCTAGTATGCACTGCTTATCTCGTCGATGTACAGCTCAGAGGCACATCATCTACCTACAGATTCCAACACCACTCCTGCCCATTCCTCCATTTAACCTCTCTATAGCTCCTGATTGAAAGTGCGGATGCCACGGATACGATTCTGAGATATCACGCAAGACGCGGATCCAATGACCGAAGTCATATAGGAACCACAGCTGGTGTCTGAGTACACATTCATCTTGGGCGCCCAGCCCGCCCTTACAACACCGTTGAAGGGATACATTGCCGCTTCGCTGTACTTCTGTCAGTACCAGACAGAAGCCTGAAAGTGAATACACTTACTTGGCCACATCTGAAACGCTGTTGCAGCCGCTGCTGAGCCCGGACTGAGCAGGACAAGTTTCCCGTTTGGTCAGACCGCGCTTCGCATAGTATCCGTAGCCGTAGCCATAGTAATAGTAGGGGTAGTAAGAGCCGTAACCGTAACCGTAGCCGTAGGGGTACCATTGGCGAGCTTCAATGGGCATGGTAGGGGAAGTGGTATTTGCGTTGCCGATTTCACTTTCGACATCGCTGGGCACTGCGACCTCATCCAGGAGCGTCTTCCACCGTGACTGGTGGATCCAGACGGGACCTACGCCGGGCCGGATGGCTATAGCCCACTCATCGTTCCCGAAAAAGTTGTGCGATTCTAGAGAATGGTCGACAGTCACGTCGATATCACGCGCAGATAGCTGCAAGGGTACCACGGAGAGGTCGATCTGGAAATGGGGAGTGATACCGGGGGCCTCGAGGGTATTGTCCGTGAATGGGGTAGCTGGTGCCGCGCAAACAGTAGAAGCCAGGGTCAAGACCGCGAGATCCAAGAAAGAACGAGTTATCTTCATGCTGGGAAGAGTATGGGTGATGAAAAGAGTGTCCGGTGAGGAAAAGAAGCGGGATCAACAGGGTCCTTGAGAGGCTATATATTCTTTTCAAAGTCCGTAAGAAGAAGCGAGCCTTGTGTCTCCGAAATCCGGATGCAAAGGATAAGAATCCAACGCGGCAGAAATCTGATCCAGTTGCAAAATTAGGTCTGGTTCTGTCTTCTCCGAGTAGACTGTATCTTGCAGATACTAGTCTATACTGCGAAGCACCAGTAGTATACACGCATCAACACCGGCAAACTTGACAAAACGATTAGTCAGGTTTGTGGCTGTATTTCATCAGCTACACATAATGACTTTCGTCTACCAGGCGACAGTTGTCAGTATACGGCGTTTGTTGCGTCTTTTTTACTAATATTTTCAGTGAGACATCGGTTTCTCCAATGGGGACACCACAGCGAGCTAGGAGCAATAAGAGACTAGAGTGGTGAGAACTTGCCCTGCTGACTGTGTTGATTTGGGTGGGGGCCAGAATCTACTAGTGTGCTCGTGATGTCAACGGTGGAAACTTCGCTAAACACAGTGACCCGCAAAAGTATTGGAATTTGCAAAGACAAGGGTCCAGATTGGACGTATCTTGCTGTCGCTCGGGTTTCTAGGGGGGACCGGGTGAAACGACGGGAAGGGTGAATACCAGAATCATTCGTACGGTATGAATTACAACCGTACGGAGTACAGAGAGGATTCGAAACGTGAATCTAGTGACAAATGCAAAATACTTGCTGAGGAGGCCAGTAACGAGAAAAAAAGTCATATTCTAGCCTTCGGACACAGGAACAGCAGAATTTATGGTTAGGGAGGACCTTAGAGAATGCGGAGGCAAAATGAGATGGAAAGAGCCGATCAGACTGCTCAGAGAGCTGCATTATTGCTGACCCTAATGCTCATGCCGCTCGGTCTATTTGATCCCGCTTCCTCTTGATTCTACAAGGTCCTCCGGCAATAACCGCACTAAGTCTCCTCTCTCAAATCGTCGACGTGAAACAGAGTTTCCCCGCGCCTTTGGCGGACTTGACTAGCAATTTTTGTATTGAATGGCAGTCATTTTCACTGCAGGGAGTGCCGCTGTAAGTGCTAAACATGCTGACACGAAATCATATGACATTAGCTCAGGCATTATACAGATGTTACCCGTTGTGAACTCCGAGAAGAATCACTTATTTCTCTAGAGGGGCCCACATTGCAACAACCCTCGGTAGCCCGAGAAATTCGGAGGGATTCAAGAATGGGGATTTTAAAACTTGTCATCGTATATAGGTACGTTTTCAGAAGTTTCTGTAGACCTCATAACTGACGGAGAATTTGAAAACCCCCTACCACTAAGCTAATGTGTGTCTCCTCGCTCTTATAAGTAGTTCTCTTGTCTTCTCCCGATTTTGAACTTGACTGAGCCTATAGGGCATTTTTAATCAGGATCGCCGCTTCGCTTGATGGCTATATAAAGGCGGTGAACGTAAGAGGCTGGGAGCATATTCCTGGTATAATTACAGAAACCGAGACCTATTATTAGCCGACTAGGTCTTTGGTATGAGTGAACGTGGTTGTATAGCATAATGGCGGAAGACCTTCAGACCTGACATGAGTATAGGATAAGTTTGCCATCCTGTAGGGCGTTGTCTTTGGTAGAAGTAGTTGTTAATCATAAGCTACCGGGTGAAGACCTGATTGTAGCGTCTATATAACGTAATTCCCGGCCGACCTGTACACCAGGCCGTCCTATACACCCCATCTAAAATCGCGTCTCTCTATCTACCTACCTTCTTCAACCACCCACCATGCCACCAATTCGCTCTGAATCTCGGCAGAAATCGGCCAATCAAGAGGGCAAGATCCTATTAGCCCTATCTGATTTAAAAGATGGCCGCGTCAAATCAATCCGCGCGGCAGCCAGGCTATATGAAATTCCTCATACAACGTTAGCCACACGCGCTAAAGGGGTAGTTTCACGCGTCGATAAGCGCCCATCTAGCTATAAACTAACTAAATTAGAAGAGGATTCGCTTTGCTAATGGATCCTCTTTATAGATATACGTGGAGTAGCGCCTAGGTAGGCTACTATACGAGAGATGGCCAATATCCTACTAGCAACACGCGGTGGCCACCCTCCGCCTACTATTAGCAAGAACTAGCCAATAGCCTTTATTAACCGGCGCGAAGAGCTTCGCTCGCGATACTCGAGAAGATACGACTATAAACGCGCGTTAAATAAAGACCCGAAAGCCCTACGAGCCTAGTTTGCGACCGTATAGCGTATTATCGATAAGAATAGGATATAACCGGAGGACATCTATAACTTTGATAAGATAGGATTTGTAATGGGCCTTATATCTACGTAGAAGGTTATTACGCGGGCGGAAATCTACGGTCGGGCACGCCTTTTATAATTAGGAAATCGCGAATGGGTTACTACGATTGAGGCGATTAGACAGTAACGAATATTGGGTTTGGATGGTGGATGAACATCATGGCCCTTCTGTGCTCCTTAGCTGTCTTCTTTATCATGAATGTCATCTGGAAAGAAGGGCCTGCAAAGAAACCGGACTTAGAACGCGTTGTATAAGATCCGTTGTCTGCAAGACAGACGGAAAATTATGACACGACCCTAAATACGATAGCAAATAGAAATTTCTAATCATTGGCTTCGCATGTTTTCCATCCACGAGTAAACTGACAACTAGACTCAACCGTGCGTTCTTGAATGTATTCGCAAGGGAAATCAGCGAAAATCTCTATCAAGTGACGAATCTGTCTTGCTGCACGAAAGATCGGTCTTAATTTACATCGAATTACATAGGATTCAGTTATGGTGTTAAATTCTTTCATATTTGTCAGCTACGTTTCCTATAGTCTATGTTTGTTTGTGAACACGGTTGCCAGTGCCGTTGGTGTTGAGTTTTCAGTCGTTGAACCGGGAGGAAAGCACAGAATTATATACGTCTAAATACTGTGTTTAAGGACATTTGTATTAGCCAATGTTTTCCATCGGAATTTTATGCCATTACTGAACTACCAAATGCATATTACACGGGATTAGTGGAACGAGCAAGTCTCCGAGGGCCAGTAATACAGACACGGAATTTTCACAGTAATAATATAGTCAGTCCAATGACATAGCACGCTTTTGCGCATCCAGAGCGTAAGTTCGCCATAGACTCCTTCAATTCTCTTCTAGAACACTGAAACAAGTATAGTAAACTCAAAACTCTCTCCGGGCCACTTTCCCCTGCGCTTCTCCTCTGTGGGTGTACCACGTTCTCAGCGCATCCCAGCTCCGACACGTATGCACCATCGGGGTCCCCACAACCACAACATTCGAGCCTTCGCCCAGCGGCCTCAACACCACGGGTGTCAAGTCACCTGCGCACTGGATACTTTGACGGACCTGTTCAAAGCAATGCTCTTTGCGCAACTGTCAACAACATTCGCCTTCCAAGATCTTCAGCATCAAAAAACATACCAAGATGAACCGATTGGCGAGAGTGCGGCTGCACGGGGCCGTAATACTCAGGTGACAGTGCTTTACGCAGCATATTCAGGCAATGCAGCGAGTGCATCACCTCCACCCTGCGTGTTGTCAGTCCTTGTCGCGATGTGAGTGCCATGTGTTGACTTTGAATGTTGCTGCTTACTCCCCAACCCAGCGGCCCTCGATAGACACCGGATCATCGAGGTCCACCGCTTCGTCGTCGCCAAGCACCAGGAATTGTCCTATAATCTTGTCAAAAAAAAGGAACATGTAGCATACGGCTCGCCGCTGCTGGCGACGTACCTCCTAGAAGGCTCTCCCACGCAGCGTCTATTTCCGGCGATGGCGCGCCAATGTACTCTGGCCGGGTGATATCGATGTCACGATACAGTTGGTTCAAGGTGGTGTTGTAGCGCAGCGGACTAGTAAAATTGATTTCTTCCAGCTTGATTGACTCAACGGCGGGTCCTGACGAATTTCTGAATGAGTTCGCTATCCTAGCTAGCCCTGTGTGGGGGCAGAACCAAAATTTCAGGACTCACGCCATTCTGTTGGGTATCCGGTGTCGAAGGCGTATCTGCAAGTAGGTGCTGGATAAGACCACAGATAGAGGATTTGAGCGCCAGATAGGATGGCGGTGAAGGCGAAGAGGCACGCTGCTATTGAGGTGCACTGGGAGTATGGTCGGCTTTCCTTCGGAATGTCTTCGATGCTCGTGTTCTTGGTCAAGTTAAGCTTCTCGTACGGCCTGATATAATTGAACATTTTCGAATTCCTCTGTGAGAGACACTTTGTAAGTGGGTGATATACAGAGGGTGATTAGAGAGCATAGCACGCCAGAAAACGTCTCACATCAGTCCCGCAATTACTTATCTTAAGCGACACAACAATGACTAAAAATCTACAAACGCTTTCCAAATCACAGTAATAAATATATCGACACCACTAAGAGGAAATGGCAATGTTTCAGCTGAGCGGGGATATTCACACAAGATAATGCCCAGGCAATGCTGACCTTCTATCCAGGAGTCAGTTCATGATTTTGTCCGCCTAGCGTGTAATACGGACAATTTCTCCTTGAAGTATTGTCAGCAAGGTCCGCTAGACCCGAGGTCATCTAGCGCACATTAGCAACCCTTAGATAAGCATTATCGAGCAGGAGCAATGACACAGCTACCCGAAAAACATTGAGAAACTCTAGCTGCTTAGAATGAGAAATCTCCAAGTTCAGTCGGAAGACCTCACTACTGGGACTGTAACTGCCCCAAGAGATAGGTATCTCGTGGCAGCCATTATGCCCTTACAAAGTGGCCAGTCGCCAACCGAGCAAACACTTTTGTTTATCAATAGCCAGGATGACATGTGTCAACAGTTTGGAGTTGGAAGAGAAAAGAAAAGCTTTCTTTCCAGGCTTGCTCATCAACGACGAAAGAAACAGTCTATAGAGAGGCTGAAATACGCAATACCTACCGAGGAAGCTTTTGTGACAGCGGATACAGTACCCTTCATGCAGGCCATAAAAAGCCAGGGCCGATATTCATTGACAGGATATGTGGGCCAGGGGTATGTCGATCCGTTTCACACTAGATCTGTGCCCATGAACGACTCCATGAATATGTATTTTCATCACTGTACGTCGTCACTGATAGCTGTGCAAAAGGCCAAGCTAACCACGGTGGCCAGTCTGGATGCAAGTAGCGCCAGCTACTATCCCTCTTGATGGGGCTCGAGAGGGTATTTTCTGGGCCCAGAAGACTACTGGTTTACCAGCTCTTCTCTATACCATGCTTTACCTGGCGGCGGAAAATAAAACAGTGCTTGAGTCTATTCATGAACCTTATTCGCCGTCTGTGCTTAAGTCATCCCAAGATGCTATCTGGCTCCGTGGCGCAGCTATCAACTGCCTGAATAAACTTCTTCAGGGACCTGCTACCGCAGCGACAGAGTCAACGATACTTTGCGTATCCATCATGAATCATTGCGAGGTACCTTGTTCCGCGGATTCTAGAAAACGGGTCAAGGGATAAGCTAATGATCAACACTATTAGTCGCTTAACGCACAACTAGTGGCGTCACAAGCGCATATGAGGGGACTCAGTACACTCATAAACTTAGTTGGTGGCTTGGATGGTGTAAACCACACAACACTTGCAACAATTTACCAGTACGGAATTCTCCCAATTTTTATAAACGTGTCATTAACAGCTAGTAGGGGTGATATAGCGTGTGCGGCATTACATAATTCAAAGCCATGGTTTCCTATACTCGCCAGGTTTTGTAGCGAGATTCCGAAACAAGCCGAGATGTTTTGTGGCGGTACTAAAAGCTACCAAAACCACGAGCACCCGATGCCTTCTTCCCTATCAACTCTCGGTACTCGGTTTAACAGAGCTCCCTGGTATGTGGAGCTTGATCCCGTTATGAAGAACGCCCTTGCTATTTGCTGTCGTCTGTTTGTGCGCTTTCATTTGGCCGAAACGATACCGAGACTTGCCAAGCCGACGGACCGGGACCTCCACATTATTCTAAAGCATCGCCTCCTCTCAATTTCTTTCCGAGACGACTATTTGAATGAGCCGCTGCGCCGGACACTGTTCATATATCTGTACCTACGGATGTGGAACTTTGGCAATTTTCCCATAATGCGGTATGTAGTGGACCAGCTGAGACAAATCCTAATACCTAGGCTTGCATTCCTCCACGCTACAGCACCAGATTTGCTGTTATGGGTTCTGTTTATTGGATCAATGGCCTCCAAAGATGATGAATCTCACTCCTGGTTTGTCGAACACCTGAGAGAGATCGCAGTCCATCTTGGTTTGATAGAATGGAATGCAGTTCGATCTGTACTGGTAGAGTTTTTCTACGTCGACCAGCCTGAATATACGAGAGGGGAGGAAATCTGGAATGAGGTTCTTGCCCCTTCCTAACCTTATATCGCACGAGAGTGGCCCGGGAGGAATTTTGAAAGGATTTCTTTCAACTGAATTGAGTCGGAATGGGATATAAGTTACTGGCAGGTGTGAAAATTGCAAATCCGTAAATGATACTATGGCAATTTAAACTAAACTCAGTCAAACGCAGCTTGCATAAAAATTACGATGACAGACAAAGCCACAGGAATAGACAAGGCATATATATGTACCAGCACTTCTGCATAGCCAGAGAATCCTAAAAATCAAGTCCTGTAGGACGCATCAATCTTGTCCAGCACCCGCATGTAGGCAGCCAACTCCTTAGATCCATAGGCGGCACCTGAGAAGCCCTTCTCATGCATTACTTCGTAGGTCTTCTTCATGGTCTGGTCGCTGGGAATATTGAGGTTCTGGGCGTCTCCCAATGCGCACGCAGAAACATGGGACTGAATGTCAGTTGCCGCAAGTAGTTGGTACATTAGATACCAGGCAGCGCCGGCTGAAGGGCCCGCAGTGATGACGCCGTGGTTGCGCAAGAACATGATGTTCTTATCCCCCATATCCTCTGCTAAGCTCTTCTGCTCATTGCGATCGACGACCACACCTTGATAGTCGTGATACGCTATAGGTCCAACCTGATGACTTGTCTGGGCGAGCTCGAGAAAGCCCTGCTTGAGAGACGAAACGCCCACAGCCGAGAGGTAGTGGCAGTGCATGACACTCTGGATGTCCGGTCGAGCACGATGGATCGCGCTGTGAATGATGAAGCCCGCGTCGTTGATACCAAATAAGCCGTTCGTAACACCGTGATGCTTGACGGATCCATTTGCTCCAACTTTGACAAGGCTGCTCGCCCTGTATTTCGCTGTAGAGGAGGCCGAAAGGGTTGATGAGAAAACTCTCTGAGCCATCGCTTTCGTAGACTTTGGAGGTTAGATGGCCGTAAATGTTTTCATTCCATCCCTTGAGTGCAAAGAGGCGATACGTCGCGGCCAGCTCAATTCGGACTTTAACTTCATGCTCGGAGAACTCCGAGAGAATAGATGTTTTCAGGAGCTTGGAGACACGATCCGAGCTATATTGGGCCTCTGGTGCATATGTCCGTGGGGAGAATTCAGACGAGAAAGATCGCCGAGTAAAAACAAATGCAGATGCAGAATGCTTACGAGGAGTGGCTTTAGAAGGAATTCGGGCAACTTGTAAAATCATATTGCGAAATAAGGAGGTAATGAGGGAAGTGAAGGATGTACGCAGAAAAATAAGGACTCATACATCCGGGGGAGATTTCGATGCTTTATAACAATCTCTTCAGAGGCGAGAAGTGAGCCGTCGATCAATATCGCTATACTGCAACTCGTCCTCAAATCATAATCCAGCATCGACCATGAATCTTAATTGTAGGGGGTACCAATACAGTAAGGATGGGTAGAACACCAATTAGCGATGTAACGTTTTGAAGCTCATATTTAAATCCTACGAAAGAATGTCACCTCTGGACGGCCAAGGACATCTGTGCTGCGAGCTTATTAATATCAAGCCACTGGCGTAAGCCGTAAATTACCTTACTATAAGCAAGCATAAGGCATAATAGCGTGACAGACAATTATTAGTTTACTAGCTCACTAGTAGGCTTGTCTCTTCCTATAACAAATTACCCGATTGGCTGGAGTCCGCAGGGTCCAGACCGATTTATATCGAAACTTGCAGTCGACGATGATGTGATGGACGCAGTGTTTGGTTGAATTAGGAGGCTTGAGACTTTCCTTGTCTCGGGCCCGAACAAGTTGCTACCATTGGGCAGGGGCCGGTCTCTATATTAGGTAGATCATGTCTTTTGTTATTTTCATCATTCTTCTTTTAGTTTCTAAGGATCGCGTCTTATTTGCCATTGTTGTTACGAACGAGCAGATATGTCTTTGTCTCGCAGAATTCCTCCCAGACACTGGGATCTTTCTTTGGTCGACTGTACTGCAGGCCGTTTCCGCGTAGTCGCGTTGGCAATACTGCCAGTCAAAGAAAAGCCCAAAACTTCCAGCGCAGCTTTGCCACTGTTCCATACCCGGCCTTCGATATGTACTCTAAATGGGCTCTGCTATTTGCTGCTGGCCTTGCAGTTGGTGGAACAAGCGGCTTTTTGTTGACGACGCAAGAAAGCTCTAAGAATGGTCAAAACATCTTCGTCCCGTCCAAAGATGATTATAAGATGGTCTACAACGAAATCGCTCGATTGCTCCTCGAAATGGACGAGTACGATGGCGGGAGCTATGGCCCTGTAAGTCTCTTGAGGATATCTCATCTTCATATAACAAGACGCTTCCGTTAGGGATTTTTCTGATCTGGCTCATGTTCAAAGGGTTTCCTTCGGCTATCGTGGCATGCAAGTGGTACTTACGACAAAGCAACTGGGACTGGTGGTAGCAATGGTGTAACGATGAGGTTGGCCCCGGAGTCCAAATACAATGCAAACCTGGGTTTGGACAACGCGCGAGGCTTCTTGGAACCTGTGAAAAGTATGTATCACCTCCTTCACCTTAATGAGGAACTACTCACAGCTCCCTACAGAAATGTTCCCCTGGATCAGCTACTCAGATCTCTGGACATTAGCCGGGGTCACAGTTGTGCAGGAATTAGGTGGACCAACTGTCCCCTGGAGGCCAGGAGGCAAGACGCCGACAGGACGGCTTGCACGCCCGACGGGCGGCTGCCGAACGCTGCCAAGGGGCCCCCTCATCTTCGCAATATCTTCTACCGGATGGGCTTCGACGATCGCGAGATTGTGGCGCTTAGTGGGGCCCATGCACTGGGCCGCGCGCACACCAACCGAACAGGGTATGAGGGTCCTTGGGACTTCAGTCCGACGGTCTTTACAAACGAGTTCTTCCGGTTGTTAGTCGAAGAGAAATGGCTAGAGCGAGAATGGGAAGGGCCGTTTCAGTATACCGATAAGACTACAAGAACCCTTATGATGTTACCGACTGATTTGGCTCTTGTCGAAGATGCGGAATTCAAGACGCACGTCGAACGATATGCGAGGGATAGCGATGTTTTCTTCCAGGAGTTCGCAGAGGCTTATGTCAAGCTGCTGGAGCTTGGAGTCCCATTTAAAGGACAAATCACTGACCGGTGGGTTTTTGAGCGATATGATTAGTTATTAGTTATACTACATGACAATACAAGGCTGATGCATTCTGCGTGATTGTGGATTGCAAAATAGTACCTTCTTCGCCCCCTTGCTTGTTTCCTTTTCACTTTCGTATTGTGTGCAAATTCCAGTCATCATTTTATAGAGGACAACAATTATTTTGGGTCTTGTTCTGAACACATGAATACCCAAATGTAACCGTCGGTTGGCGTGATCCTTTGCCTAGAAACTTGTCCTCGGTCTGCTCACAAAATCAGCAACTACGTGCGCAAGACACTATAACCAGCTCCCGTGATTGGTAGACCATGAATCTACAGCTTCCCAACGGAGCTGCGGCCCCCACTGCCACAGCTAAAGCATAGCGCGCCGTTGCTTTTTCCATCGGTTTCCTTCCTCGGAAGGTTATTTGAGCGGATTGATAGAAGACTTGGATCCAGGCCTCTGGAGTCGTTTATCAGCTCTGGGTTCTAGTGTCAAAAATGCGGCTTGGGATCAGCCAGCTGAGGTAACGGCCCACAAGACTATCGCTCCAATAAAGCCTTCGATAACAAAGTCATTGGAGTGCTGAACAATGAATAGATTCTATTACTGAAGCAGATAGTCGGAAACCTGTTCGTATTGGCTTCATTCAGCCAAGAAACAACTACGTCCTACTTGTCTTAAAATAACATGCTACTATTGTCCACGCCTTTCAATGCGGGTCTGATGCTTATGCGTCTCTGCTCAGCAGTTGTCAGCACATAGGAGGACTGGCGGTTGTGAGCTTCAGGGTTTAAGTTAGCCCTATTCGTGTATAGCCTGGAACCTGCGACTTACGGATCCTGTGGCGCCTGTTAATCAAAAAATCTCTTCGCATCATATGATGTTTCGCTTCAGATGAGTGGTTTCGCTCTATGAATGGCCGGACACTATGGTTTTCCAACATTCTGGCTGCCGAGTACTTAACAAAGCTCTACGAGCTGGCCACTATATAACCACAGCGGACTCAGCCCCGGTCTGCTCATTAACATCGCTAATCCATGATTAGTCGCCCTTGTGACGTCCTTGTAGTCATCCCGAAATCTCCTGGTCTCATCTTGTCGCGATGCTTTTGTTCCCAGCTACACCCGCCAGGATCATCGTCGGAGCTCCGAAGCCATATCAACTTCTCTATGCTCGCAAAGGGACTATTTGCGGGACCCCCCGCGGTCTCCAACTCTCTGCGAGCCGGTTCAATTCCTTAACGCCCGGTGACAACCTGAAGGATTCCTTTCCCCCACCGTCTGCACCTCATATTAAAGACGTGAACACATCATGGGTCCATCCGGTGTAAGTCTGCCACATTATGGGCTACATGCTGCGGTGCTTATTATCGCACTCTAACTGACACCATGCAACCAGATACACCACTGAACAGATGCGTGCGGTCGCTGTCGGCCATCGTGATGCAAAGAACTGGTCTGACCGCATGGCCCTAGGCACTGTGAAGGTGCTGCGCTGGGGAATGGACAGCGTGTCTGGCTACCGACACCCTAAGCCGGGCCAGGAGCATGAAGCCAAGTTTCAGATGACAGAGAAGAATTGGCTGACGCGGTTCATCTTCCTCGAAAGCGTCGCGGGCGTCCCAGGAATGGTGGGTGGGATGCTTCGGCATCTGAGGAGTCTGAGGGGGCTGAAGAGGGACAATGGCTGGTGAGCGCCGAATCAAGCCTAGCATTGCACACTACCGAGAAAACTAATCGCAGCGCGTTAGGATTGAAACTCTTCTAGAAGAAGCCTACAACGAGCGCATGCACTTGCTTACGTTTTTGAAATTGGCCAAGCCAGGGTTCTTCATGCGACTTCTCGTTCTCGGTGCGCAGGGAGTCTTCTTCAATGGCTTTTTCCTGTGTTATCTCATCTCGCCGAGCACCTGTCATCGATTCGTTGGGTACCTAGAAGAAGAGGCTGTTCTCACCTACACCCGTGCGATCCACGACCTTGAGACAGGCAAGCTACCTGAGTGGGAGAAGTTGGATGCTCCTGAGATTGCCGTACAGTATTGGAAGATGCCAGAAGGAAAAAGAACGATGAAAGATCTCTTGCTATACGTTCGAGCGGATGAGGCGAAACATAGGGAGGTCAATCATACTTTCGGAAACCTCATCCAGGCATCAGACCCGAACCCGTATAAGTCTCAGTACAAAGATCCGATGAAGCCTCGTCCGAAGCAGGATCTTACTACTGTGAAGACGACAGGATGGGAAAGGGACGAGGTGATTTAGGCTTAGAAATCTTATGTGGATTATATCAGCTGCTTCATAAATCCTTCATCATATTTTCTCAACAGCAAGACCCGTAATGTATTGAAGTCAGTTGCTGGGGCATATGTTTAGAAAATGACTTTCCCTGACTTTTGTTCCACGTGAACATGCTTTCTTGCGAGGTAAACTGTTGAATCCATTAAGGTTTGCACCCCTTTCGTAGCTTTATCAGTCAGCGTGGTCCGTTGTAGTTCATTGCCCTATTTTGTCCCGGCGGTCAGCTGGTTGTCGGTAAGGCGGCATGAAGACACTTCTCATTGGAGTCTATGGATCTAACCATAGCGGCGTATGGGATGGAATTATGCTTTAGGGTCGTATTAGCTTCCATGTCGAGCAAAAATTGTCGTCGAAGCAATTTGTCATCTCGGTCGATCTTGAAAGGAGACAAAGCAGCACCCACAAGATCGGCTAATTCAGAAGTGCCACCTAAGTGGGTCCGGTCGGGCCAGACTGCACGTCGGCTGCTTGTACCATTTTCCCCTTTGGGAATATACTACTGAGTAGTCGCTAGACAATATGAAATTCTATTCGATTGCTCGCAGGGTGAAACCTTAGATAGGATGTCCGGCGATATTAAAAATTGCTTACGTAGGGGCTTAGCGCCAGGCTAGTTGCATTCCTCGGGCCACGACCCGAGGAATGGGGATATGCTAGATCGGTGAGGAAATAATGATGTGCACTCTCGAATGATTTCATCCTGCCTATCTTCAACGGTATCTTTCATGTGACATATTAATGTAATAATACAATCTGGCTATCGCATACGATACTAAGGGCATAGCACCGAGATAATCTACATATAAAGCGGAAAAGGAAAATGAGCAAATGCCAATATTTAGAGATGTGGATGTAAATGATACTTTCGGGTCCAGCCTTTAAGTCGCTTAACTCAAGGGGACCCTGATATGCACTTTGACAATCTGAGAGGTTCCTCGCTCGGGACAAGACTAGTATTGAGCCTCTGGTGACTGACGCACAATTATGTATGTGTAGGGAAGGAGGCCGCTATGCCAAATCCAGGGCCGCCACAATTGCGTCTGATTGGCCGGTGACATCTTCGATGTCGCAGCCGTTTGCAGGATCTCATCTCGTGCCAGATATCACGCTATACCAAGTCTCCGTGCCAACAGAAGCTTCCTGCTGTCAGTTCCCATTGACTGTCGAAGTCTATGTTGGTTCGCCTAGTATATAAGCTGAGTGCGTATCCTCTTATATATGATTACTGAAGAGTGCTGTTACCGAGCAGTCTTCGCTTTCAAATGTTAAGCTCTGGAAAGTAACAGGTGGATGCAAGAATGGAGTATCAATCTCGTTTCACTTCGCGCAGTTCCACTGCCACACATGGATCCTCACCCTTCTTGCCTGGAGTGGAATATCCATCTTTGCCACCGGACTTAATCAGCGGATTGGTAAGTCACGCCAAACTAACCAACATCAACCGTTGTCGCTGACACGGCGGCGAAGAACCACTACATGGATCCTCATGGACACAGCCTGGCCACAAGCATACCGGCAAGCAGCTCAACACCGAGCCTTGAGGGTACACCCACAGTGTCACGAGCTCCTTCAGTTACACCAACAACCCGCGATACGAGTGAACCTAAAGCTGTACGCACCATGAGTCGCCTATCCCATTGAGATGCTAACTTGATGCGTGAAAGGTGAGGCGCCGAGCTCAAAATCGAGAAGCTCAGCGCAGATTCCGCGAGCGCAAAGAGCAACAGAAGAAGCTTCTGCAGAATGACGCTGAAGAGCTTCATAAGGACTACCAGACACTACTGAAGCAATACTCTGACACGGCTGGCGACCTCACGCGGCTCGTCAAGGAGAATGAGACGCTTCGAGTTGAAGTGAGGGAATTGCGCCAGCAGTGGCGCTTGTTGCTGGCAGTCCTTCAACTGTTACAAGGGTCGCAATTACCCGGAAGCCCGCCTGAGAGTGCACTCTCTTTCGACGGCCTCCGGGTCTACGTTGAAAACTTAGCTGGTGGACTTTGTCCAAGTACGACGCGATATCTTAGCTGAGTTTCTTGTGATTTGTGTTCCATCAATGGTAATTTTTCCACATTCTTTCCTTATTTAAAGACGATGACATGATTGACTTAGATTTAATTGATATTACAAATCTTTTGGCCAAAATTTCCTCGTTGGCTTGCACTAGTATGTAAAAATTCACCAGATAACTCATTGCGACCTTTCTGTTCTTAAGTCTCTCATGTTTGATCTTCTAAACAGCTTTGGAATTTCGAAGAGTTGTCATGCTTGGTAACTTATGATCCACATAATGTAAAATGTGTTCTGTCCGCCATTCTACTCAGCCTGAGAGTTATAATGTCTGCTGCCCTTAATAACCCTCCCGTCTAGAGGCAAATTGCTCCACGCTAGGTATAAAACCTTCATAGGAGTATCTAGCAGAATTCTGCTCTCGCCTCAGTATCCAGGTCTGCACAATAAGTGGGAGTACCTATCAAAATATAGTAAAGTATATGTTTTTCCATACAACACAAACCCCTTGTAAATGACTTTGTAGAAATAAAACCAAACTATCAAACTAAATAAGAGAGACATCTTGATTGAGAGTTTTAGATAGCAGTAAAGCTTCCGATTGTCGTAAGGATGAAAGTTATTTACTAAGAGAACTGAATGTTCGAAACATCCACGGTTCTGCGGGCAACAAGTGTTTAGATAAATCGAGTAGGCCGGGATATACCTTTCAACAATGGGAAGTGAATCGAGGGTCTAATTCAGTAGCAAATTCACGAGTTATCAATAACATATACGGTACGTTCTCACAGCAGCGGGACATACACTTTACTTGGGAAGGTTTTTTTCCACCAGCAGAATACCGAAGGCGGGCTCGAGTGTATGTTAGACTTGCCTCAAATGGCAAAGGGTCAGCAGAGAAAGTGGATCTAGTCACCTGAGTGATTGACCTGCAGAGGTTCAAGTTCGTAAGCCCGTGTGTAGGATTCAAGATGAAGTACGGAGTAGACTTTTAAGGTCTATAATCACTAGCTCCGACCGTGGAATCGAACAACCATTTGACACCAGAAACACAAACATTAGGAAAGGGGTATGGGGATGCGATGAGATAAGGGAGCTAACGCGCAAAGTAATCACCATGCCTCGTCAATTTCACGCCCCTCCAGCTTACGGCAGCCAAGCCGCAAGGAGGTCTCGGACCTGCGTAAGCTCATCTTTGCCTGTCTCGGATCACCCCTACGCGAGATAGCTCCTAGGATAGATAGCGTGTACTTTTGCTTCCATAATCCTATGATACGGATGACTCGTCAGCATAATCCTTCTGCTCCAACCCTGAGTAAGCACGTGCTCAGAAGCTTGTTGGTGGAACCATCGAGATCCAATCGGGCTACTCTGATGAGGTGCTTTCGATAAGCATGTTGATCACGGCTCCATACATCGCGGGAAAATATCTGACGCTTTTGATGTTGAACAATGGGCCGATCATTCCGTTCCGAATGTTGTGTATAAAAGCCTTTCTTGTTCCCGACAACTCAGCTCTCCCGTTGTGATGAGCAGACCCGTCCTCCTTCTTACCTACGCCTACCTTCCACTGCCAAAAAATACGAAGACCAAACATGCTTTTTAAGAAATTTGCATCGTTGCTCACGTTTTGTCTCGCCGTGTTTGGCGCTGGCGAGCCTGATAATGCAATTTCAACCCTTTACCAGTTTCCCCATGGCTCATGGCTCGAGAACCTCGAGATGGGTCCTTCCAGCAGCATCCTCGCGACTAGACTTGATATCCCTGCTGTTTACCAAATTATACCTCCTCAGGCTCAATGCGGTCCAGGTGCTGGAATAATTTCTGCGAAGCTTATTCAATCCTTTCCCAGTGCGACCGGCGCCCTAGGGATCGCTGAGTACAGGAAGAATCACTTTGCAGTCATTACTGGAAATTACAGCCTCGAGACGCATGATTCTACGGTGGGGAGTTATGCTGTGTGGGACGTGCGGTTTTGGGGTGCCGGCCTCAACCACGTCACCGCTAAGAAGATTACCGATATCCCCGAGGCAGGCTTTCCGAACGGAATGACAGTGATAAACAAGGGTTCTGGCACCCTACTTATCGGAGATAGCTGGAATGGGACCGTCTACCGACTGGATCCGGATACCGGTCACTACGAAGTGGTCTTGGAAGACGAGACTATGAAGCCACCTCCGGGAGAGAACTTGGGTTTAAACGGCATCCACACTGTGAACGTCGGCCACGAAACATTCTTATACTATACCAACAGCCTGAAGGAGACGCTTGGTCGAGTACGAATCAATTCAGTCAGTGGACGCGCAACTGGTCCCTACACTACACTCGCAACTGGTGTCTGGGGCGACGATTTCACATATGACCGAGTGACCGGAGATATATATGTGGCTGGGAACTTTGAGAACATTATCACGAAGCTGAACCGCGAGGGCAGCACGGAGGGCATCATTGGCGCGGAAAATCAGCTCACCGTGGCTGGCGCAACCAGCGTGTTGCTGGGAGGTGAAAGCGACAGAATACTCTATGTTGCTACATCCGGTGCGCTGGCTGCCCCTGTAAACGGCACTATTACCGAGGGTGCAAAAATCGTTGCTATCAAAATCGAGCAGTTGTAGTGATGGTTTTCCAGGTGCTATCCGACGGAGCCGGTGCTAGGATTGACAAGAGCGCATTCGACGTGTCTGTACTTATCTTAGATGAATCTTGAGCCCAAAAGACCCAGCTTTTGGCAAGCGAGACAAATATTGCCGTATCTTGCTTTCTTTAGGCGACATTCTGTATCAGTTTAGGTAGCCTTTTTTTGTAGAACAAGTAACAGTGATACCTTTTTTTATCGGTCTGACGCAGGCATTGTCTGCCTTCTTACCGCACTTTAACTATAGACCCATGGTGTGGAGTCTGGGGTCTGTATTAGGAACCCACACATGCGGAACGAGCTACTAAAACACATGGGCTATTTTGACAAAAAATGTAGATTCGAACATTATCAATCGTGGATCACCATCGGGGATACAGTTCATACTTTTCTTGATTTTCTGGTATCATCGCAGCTTCTCGCGACTCTAGTTGACGATCTAGACCATCAGAGAGAGGCAACAGTCATGCAGTGTTCGAAAACAGTTTACCCCACGACGCGCAAGGACAGGTCACATCCAATAAAGTGGATATTCATGGCCCACCGTATAGTAGTGTATAGCTACTCATAAACCCCGTTTGTTATGCTTAATAGGTTGGAACTTGAAGTATTGGAAACGAAACTTTAGCCTTCTCATAATCTGAAAAGGAATGAATCCAGGTGTTACGTGTATCTTCATCCTGCAATAATAACCTGGCACCTAGAGCCGCAGATGACACATCTGGTGTTAAGATAGAGCAAACACCAAGAGCGGAAATCTTCCTGAGTCAATTATCTCACTGTCTTTATGATTAGTTAAATAAAATAGCTGATATACTGCTGCAAGGGATGGGTACACTTGTAAGAGATGACTCAGCTATAAATAGATGGCGTGTCTCAGATAGCTTATAAAGAGAGCATCTTCTCGAAATAAGCGGCTCATATACTAATTTATCCGTCCCTTGTCACAAATGGGCCCAGCCAGGTCTTTCTGCTTTCCAATTACCGCCACGATGCCGTTCGGTTATAATGGGCCATTACTTCCATCCTATCCCAACTTGCGTATAAAACTCCGCAGTCGACCCTCTGTTAACACCATTTAACCACTGAATGTCAAATATTCCGCGAAAAACCCCTCTTCCAGCTATCATGTCAGTATCCTTAGCGCGCAAGCGCATAATCGTTGCAGTAACAGGGGCGACCGGATCACCACTGGCCGTCAGCCTGCTCAAGACCCTGCGCCGATTAGACGTCGAAGCCCATCTCATCATGTCCAAATGGGGAGCTGCAACCTTGAAATATGAATTAGACCCACCTCACAACACACCCAGCTACTTGCAGTCGCTCGCTCACACGACTTATGCTCCGCGCGACGTCTCTGCCGCCATATCTTCCGGCTCCTTCCGGACCGACGGTATGATTGTCGTCCCGTGCAGCATGAAGACTCTGGCTGGGATACGCATGGGTTATGATGATGATCTAACTACTCGAGCGGCGAGCGTTACGCTGAAGGAGCGGAGAAGACTTGTTCTTGTTGCCAGGGAGACGCCCTTGAGTTCCATCCATTTAGAGAATATGCTACAGTTGACGCATGCGGGTGCTGTGTTGTTTCCTCCTGTGATGGCATTCTACACCCAGCCAACGGGGATAAATGATATGGTAGAACAGAGTGTGACTAGGATGATCGATCTACTGGACTTGGGAATTCAGAGCCACAGTGCACAGGGTGAGCGATGGACTGGGTTCCAATGGGAGGCAAAGAAGGGGCAAGGTCGAGGGGAAGTCTAGGCCGGGGACAGTCAAGTACAATCGGTGTTTGTATCTAGTGAAAAGAAATAGGCCAGTGGGTCCCAACACGCAGGAAAATTCTCTTTGCTACGAACACAGGACGAATTTTGCCCCAGAACTAGTTCTACATAGCTCTATTCTTAACAATACCGATATCAATACAACCTAATGTCGAGATCAAGATAGTGGATCCTTACCTCCTACCGATAATATTTCTTAGTTATGTACTTCTTAAGATAATCCTTCAGTCACGGAAAACCTAAACTATTCAATATCTTCATTTAATCTTATTCGCTAATAAGCCCCTTTCTTAGTTGTTTCAGTTGAGTGATCGATTCTATCTCCAACTCTTAAGTAAGTGACAGTGATGATGATGAATAAATACTGCACGTAGTATTACCACTTTGCTATTTTTACAATGGAACATATTATTACAATGGAACATAAGTTTTCAAACCATGTGAAATGTACATACAAGGCTCAGTAGAGGACCCAATTAAGCATTGACGAACGGCCCTTATGCCTCTTACCAGGGCCTTAGAGGGCCGAGTGTCCCGCCTTCTGCTTTATCTCACCACGCGTGACTGAGCGTTCTCCACTAAGTAGTCTACGCCACTAGAGCTAGACCTGGGACAATAAAACTGTGGGGATAAGCTTACCATAATATAACCCATATGCGTGCTTATCCAATCGAGCTTATGTCTCTGATTAGAGTTTACGCCGAGAATAAATCAAATGGCCCCCACACAGCGGTATATTCCTATCCAATATTTTGACTATGAAGCAGAATCAAGGAGGCTTACGACAACAGAAGCAACGTGTGCTCGTAATTCACATCTCGTTAGTTATCTGATACACATCATGTAATCTTCGCGTCATCAATCCTGCTCCAGTTGGTCCAGATGGCCGCATATTACTGCACAGAGAGATACAATCATTTAAATAACTGTTCCCCACAACCGTTTACGCCCACCATTTTCCTCCCATCGGATTCCTAATAGGTATACACCACTCTGGTCAAGATGGCCATGAGCACACCCCCACCACACCTTGACTTTCGCGCTTTCGTCGACGCTCTTCGATCTGACAATGATTTGGCCGACATCAATGCCGAAGTTGACCCTAATCTCGAAGTAGCTGCCGTGACAAGACGGGCATACGAGCTGCAATCCAAAGCCCCGCTGTTTAACAGCGTCATGGGCGCCCACGATGGCCTATTCCGCATCCTCGGGGCTTCAGGTGGCCTCTCCAGTGACCCGCAGTTCCCCTACCGTCGGCTCGCGAGACATGTCGGCCTCTCACCGAGCGCCAGCCTCAGTGACTTCATCGACAAAATGCTCTCCGCAAAGGGCAAACCCGGAATTCCTCCAGTCCACGTTGAGACAGGGCCCTGCAAAGAGCACAAACTATTTGGCAATGATATTGATCTGACGAAGCTGCCTGCCCCACTACTCAACAAGGCCGATGGCGGTAACTACATCCAAACGATGGGCATCAATATCGTCCAGCATCCTACCAAAGCCTGGGTCAACTGGTCCATTGCCCGCGCAATGGTACTCGACAAAACGCGCATGGTCGGCTTGATTATGAAGCCGCAACACATAGCACGCATCTACGCGCAATGGGTGGAATCTGGGAAGGATATGCCCTACGCAATTGCGCTGGGTGCTCCGCCTATTACCGTAATGGCTAGTAGCATGCCTCTCCCGGAGGGTGTTACGGAATCCGAGTACGTCGGTGCCCTGTGCGGTGAGCCGCTAGAGCTGGTGAAATGCGAGACAAACGATCTGTATGTTCCGGCACGGAGCGAGATCGTAATCGAAGGTACTGTGTCCATCACCGAACGGGCCAAGGAGGGTCCTTTTGGAGAGATGCATGGCTACAGCTTCCTGGACGAGGAGTTGGTGGAGCCAATTTACAACGTAACGGCTATTACTTACCGTAGCGGGAACGCGATCCTTCCCATCTCTGTTCCTGGCCGTGCGAGCGGGCCTGACGAGACTCATACCCTCATCGGTACACTCGCATCGGCAGAAATCAGGCAGCTTCTCCAGGAGAATGGTCTTCCAGTGCTCAATGTGTTTACTCCATACGAGACACAGGTGATCTGGGCAGCGGTCCAGGTGGATCGAAAAAAGCTTTGGGCACTGAACACGAACGCTGAGGATTTTTGTCGCAAGATTGGCCAGCTTGTCTTCCGTCACAAGTGTGGCATGCAGATCCATCGCCTTCTCATCGTGGGTGAGGATATCGACCCCTTCAACTTCAAGGATGTTATTTGGTCTTATGCGAGCCGCTGCCGGCCGGGAATGGACGAGTATCATTTCGAAGACGTTGCGGCCTACCCGTTGGTACCGTATATGTCGCATGGACCAGGAACCAAGTTGACTGGAGGTAAGGTCGTTGCCAACTGTCTCTTGCCGCATGAGTACAATCAGGAGCAGTTGTGGGTGACCTGCGATTTCGAGAATGGGTACCCAGAGGAGATCAAAGAGAAAGTACTGCGGCGATGGACAGAGTTCGGTCTTTAAATTAGTGATATCGATCAGTTGTGCTTAACATTCATAAGACGCTATCTTCTTGACTATGTGTTTAACTTCGCCACCCCTTTCATACCTAATTTCAATGATGTGGTTAGTGTCCAGGAGTAGATCAAGAAGGAGGCAGGAGCACAACGCATTGTTCGCCTGTTCTCGGAAGGATCTGTCTCAACTGGAAATAACGAAACAATTTCTTGTGTCAGTCACGGTGATTTAAACATAGTAGCCTTATGAATACGTCTCGAATAGGAAACACCGTGGTCTAACTCGGGTTGAGTATACAAAACAGCAGGCTCCCCTATGGGTATTTATCACGTTGGCCATGTAGGGAATGCGGCTGTGCGCAAAGAGAAGTCCAATCGATTGATTTCAACAACCAGTGCCCTCTTCGAGAAGGCAACAAAGTATCACGTAGTTCCCCATCAAACCGGTCACAATATCGGCTACGCCACCCTTTTCAGAAAAGCGCCTTCCTTCACCTGCCTTCTTAAACAACTAATAGTGGGACTAAACACTCTGAGTCTCGTGAATCGATCCTTGAGCAGGAGGGCAAGATCTTATCGGCCCTCCATGATGATTTAGAATCAAATAAAATCGTATCACGCCGTGACCGGATGTAAATCGCTAATTTAGGAATCATTGTGTCATTCTGGTCGAGATGTACTATTCTTACTGGTGAAGGTCCCCTTCTATCGGCAGATTACTTGTTTGCCCAGGCCCTGCGCCTTGTTCTGTCAGCCTGTTAGGTATCTGCCCCCTTTTCACTTCCTTTGGCTTCCTGGGCGTAATCTTAGAGTACACTATCGCTTACATTTACATGGAGTAGATGTACACTTCTGCTGTTACGTTAAATAAGCCGACGGCAACGGCGTCTCCAGTTGCGCAGGTCTCAGTTTGCTTACTCCCGATTATATAAGCTTATCACAAACTCAGTCAACCATGGTGGCTGCCCCATCCATCAAGGGTTCTAAGTTCTAGACTTCGGTCAAAAGAATAACACAACATGCTTCCTCTGATTACATGGCTTTAATGCGAATCGTTAAGTACCAGATATTATCCTTAGGGCGACTTATCGTGGTGACTTATTTTCCACTTTCACTGCCATCGCATACTGCAACTTGACCCTGATATCTAAGCCACAAGTCTCCGAAGTTCCAATTGAAAGTATAGTCTAACTCATCAGTTTACATACTACAATGGAAACTATTCGACCTGCTTTTGCTGACCGGTCCACCCCTATCCTCGTCTACGGGAATCCTTTCCCCGAATCTGCGGCCCGTCATATTCGCAACACCTTTCAGGCTCGTCGCGTATATGTTATTTGCTCGAGATCACTGGCACAGGAAACCGATGTCCTAGGGGAGCTGAATCAGGCTTTCAGAACGCTTTCAGTCTCCATTGTGGGTCAGCGTACTGGGTTGAAGCCGCATACGCTCTGGTCCGAAGTGTTATAGATGGCTATTGAAGCCAGACAATGTGAAGCAGATCGATTCCTTACAGTTGGTGGGGGGACACTCACTGATGGTACGAAAGCGACTATACTTGTATTTCCAGCCCCGAGACTCTCAGCTTAAGTCGATTAAGAGATAACTGATCCAATAACTAGGCGCTGGCGAACAATGCCCGGACTATGGACGACCTGTCTGCCGTATTCGAGACTAGGAACGAATATGCCAACAGCGAAATAGCAACCACCTCGTCATACACCCCCATAATATATGTGCCAACCACTCTGTCTGCGGCAGAATACTCCGACATTGCTGGGGCAACTAACGACTCAACCCACTACAAACACGTTTTTTCTGCCCCAAGCCCCAGCCTTGTCATCCTCGACCCCCAGCTTGCTGCCTCTACAACACCGGCATCGATATGGCTGAGCACCGGGATGCGAGCAGTGGACCACTGCATAGAGACTTTCTGCGCCTCGAAAGGAATAACCGAGCCATCAGATTCACTAGCGTTAAAAGGTCTGGGTAATTTAGTCCCTGGTCTGCTACGGTGCGCTCGCGATGGAGATGGCAAGGGTCTCGATGCGCGACTGAGTTGTCAGCTTGGTTCTGTGGATGCGATGGCGGCTTGCTCTAGTACGGGCGTTGAGATGGGCGCGAGTCATGGAATTGGCCATCAGGTATTTCATTCTATCTCTTCCTTGCCCTATGATCAGGCATGTAATGATGTTACAGCTCGGCCCCCTGGGTGTTGGCCATGGCGATACAAGTTGTATCCTTTTGCCCGCCGTGTGTAAGTATAATTTCTATCACGGAGCTAATACTGAGCAGTATGCCCGCCCTCCGCGACGTTCTCGTAAACGAAACTGGAGTTGGAGATGTTCTGCGGTCACGCGGGTTACGTGAACGTGATAGTGATCTGGTGATATACTAGATGCTATCACTCGAGAACTAGGTCTTCCACGGTCCTTGAGTGAGGTTGGCGTGAGCCAATATCAGCTGGATGAATTGGAATTGGCTGCGAATAGCTTACGCGATCGGTGGTGTGCGACGAATCCAGTGCCGCTGGTTCACAAGAAGCAGGTTTTGGAGATTTTGAACATGGTTATTTGAGGCTGTATGACTGACTGAGATTCGCTCGCATGAGCCAAACATTGATGTAACCGGGCCCATATAAGGCTGTTGTCCGAAGCAAGCTGATTAAAAATTTTTACAATTTGGTACTAAGCTAAGAGTACTCCACTGCTGAGCGAGGAATTCGAATGAGAATATGAAGGTTGATCTTCATTATCTTGGCTCGGCAAGCATATGCCGAAAAAAATTCATGCATACAGTAGTCAATCATATCACTTTCGCGATGGCACAGTAAGGTGAGGTGCAGTGAATGCTTTCTCAACACGGCTATTAACTACATGGTCCTATAGACCGCACCAAAGTCTAATGGACCAGTTAGGTTATACGAGCACACGGAACATGAATCGTGCAGATGGTCGTTGGACTACAATTTAAAAAGGCACAAGTCATCAGTGATGCCCTCATATAAGCTCAATCTGACAGGAGGTATAGACATATGCTTCATTCCCTTAGCGCGGGACGACGAAGGTTGAGGAGTCTCAGTGGTTCTGCAATCTGTTGGTTCTATTAAAAAAAGGTTACTACAAGGCTACAAAGTTAAATGGGCTTGAGAGTACAGCTTACAATTGCCACGTCGTCGGCTTCCGCCGGTGGAAATAGAATTAACTGATTCACTGAGTTATGACTTCCGAGTAAGTCATCCATCCAGTGATCAACAATATCCGAGTTCCAATTTCCGCGAGATTTCAGTTGCGGATACTGAAAGTTCTTGAGAAGAAGTTGCTGCGACGTATTGATTTCCCTTACCATGCCACTGTTCGTGCTGGTTTATTTGTTGAATTATTGTGATCGGTATGAGTAGCGTTCTGTGTCTGGATATGGGCTGGTTGCTAACATGCAGATAGAAACAACTACGCTGCTGCGAAACTCCAGGGTCTCACGGATGACCTAGTATCAGACTGGTCTATCGATTTTGTTTGTGGGATATATCATGATGCATGTGCCCAGTAATTTGATGTTGAACTATATGGTACGCCAGTCATTGTATCTGGGATTCTTCATCACAGCCTGGGAATTGGTCTCTGCTTTGACCAGTCAGGTGAAGGGCTATGTCTCGATTGTGGCATGTCGGTTTTTGCTTGGCCTGGGGGGTAAGTTGTGTCCATTTTAATCACAAAACACAACTTTTTACATGCACTAGAGCGTTGCTTTTTAGAGGCCCCCTTCTTCGCAGGCTTCTTATTCTACCTGTCCAAGAGGTCCTCGTCCGTCAACTGTGCCAGATGCACCACCTCTTCGTGCGTCATATCGGCCTTTTTGCCCATAGTCTCCAAGTCGGAGATGACACCCGTAGTTGGTGCCATTGTGGAAGCCAATTACCAACAGCGACCAGCGATCGAGAAATAAGAATATAGGATTTGATGAGCCTGCTTGCTCAGATCGCCTCTCTCTTTGGAGGCAATTAGTAAGCAAGCATGGATTGCTCCGTTCTGACAAAGGCATTTAAGCCACCGTGCCTGATATCACTCCATCATAAGTATGGGGAGATTCGAAACAGGCCACAAAGTTGGTCAATTCTAGAGCGTCTCCCTCCGCCTCTCTCAAACCGGAGAACACTACCCTTGCTCTTCCTTTGCTGTCCCATAGCCGGAGGGTGGTGCCAGCGCTGTTCGAGTGATGAAATGTAATATCCCAAAAACTCTTGTAATGGTCACTCTCAAATTCTAATTCCCCAGCGAGACTATCGAGGCTGTAAAAGAGGAGAGCAGAAGATATGTGTTTATAAAAACCGCGCTGACAAGTCAACCTTTCAAAGTCGTCTAACGACTGGTGGCTTGATTGGGAAAGCTGAGAATGCCCGAATTCGAATTTTGAACCGAAAGAGTTCCATCGAAGATCGTCATCGTACCAACAAGTTTGTTCGCTCATATTTCGGGGTGTATGTCTTGTTCTGAACTCAAGTACTGCCCACCAAAACGACATTCTCGGAAACTTCAACTCATCATGGCGAGCCGCCAGCCTTCAGGTTCAGAGATCCTTCAGAATTCGAGTAGAGGCGACGAAGGTCACAGATGAACATGATGCGGATGGAAAGACCGTTCCGATGAACTCACCTGAGTTCTGACAGGGGGCGAATATGGAGCATCTTCATGTTATACCGAACAGCTTAATACTCAATGAATCTACTCCTGGTTCAACGTATGATAAATACCCCGGCTGCCGGAGCTTTGACTTCACCCGCATCTTTCCACACCTAGAGTCGACGTGCGGTCAGCAGGCAAAAAGGAAAATTGAGACGGGCGGCGTTGAATCAGGTGAGTTACCTTCGCTATTTTTCTTTGTATTTTCAGGTTGTTTTAACTAATATAGTGATAGCTTCAGGATCGAAGAGAAGTCGTCAATTTTGTGGTAGTGGTTTAAACTCTATGGATATTCCACTCCTCTCTTACGAAGAGTTCAAGTGTCTCGGAGGGGTTAACCAAGAGCAATACTACAATAGCACGGCTAAAGCTTCTAGTGCCTGGAAGGCCTTTGTGACCTCATGCCCCCATATTGATAGAATGGTTATTCAACACTATGAGACCAATAATCGACTGACTATCGCTGAGAGGAAGGCGGCATATTCTGTGCAGGAACACATCGAGCGGACGTGGCGCTTATCCAAGCCACCACTCGAACGTCTCGAGGTTCTAATCGGGGTTGAACGGTGCGGCCGACGAACAACTTGATGAGATCCTCGGGAGGAATCGAAGGCTTATACAGTCTCGCTAAAGGAGCAAGCGAAGGAAGCGTATCGATGACGAACAACAGAGCAATAGCGAACTGGCGATATTGTTGATATTCGGTTAAACCCAATCGTTGCGAATCGGGCTCATAACTGTCAAAGCGAGCTGAATTGGTATAGACTAGTATGCATATTGACGAATGAGAGCTATCGGAATCATACAGAAAAGATTGATTGATTGGAGAAAAGAAGATTCGAACGAATGGAAAAGGGGTCAAGGTTGAGCTGTCCCTAGGCGGTGTAATCGAGTATTCGAGTGACCATACCAAGCTCAAAGTGTTACCCGCACATTACATACAGTACAAACTGTAAGGAAAAGTAGGTGCCTCATGGACCAATCTCATGTCACCGTAATATTCACCTCCACTTTTCACGACAAAACCTCACACCCCCGAAGCTGCTGAATCCCCATGCGCCATCTTTTCACAGCTTTCTCAGTCCAACACTCTTAGTTGTCAATGAGTTTTTGTAGAAGAGGAATCTTACTGCTCTGAGCTTTCTGGCCTGGTACATGGTCGGGAATTAGCTGTGGTGCACCATGAAAATAACTCTGGAAATCAAAAAACCGATATCCATTAACCAGCAATTTTCAGGCAGTTTCCGTCAACAATCAACCTCTAGCAGACAGGCCTTTGGTGCCCATTAACACACCGCGCGCGGCTTTCTGACCGAAACCCCAGCCGATTTGGCCCGCAAGTCTCGATTCGATACCAAGCTCCTCTGCCCACTGCCATACTAATCCTGGATTGCGAAGGAAACCTCTACCAACAACCACCACATCGGCTGTCTGTTTCTGCAATAGTTCTTCTGCATGTGTTCCCGTATTCAATAGTCCAACCACTCCCACGAGTGTTTTACTTCCATGAATCGCATTTTTAACGGCTTCCGAGAAGGGAGCTTGGTATCCTGGACCGCTCACAATTTTTTGTTCTGCCATTAACCCTGCGGATAAAACATCGAGAAGATCGACGCCATATTTAGGTTTGGACAATTCGAGAGAGAGTTGAACACACTGTTCAATGTCCCATGAAGGCACGGAGGGGTCGTGTCCCATCCAGTCGCTACCGGGGATTCTAACAAGGAGTGGCATCGATGACGGAATAGCAGAGCGCGTGGTAGTTACCAGTTCTAGGAGAAGACGCATTCTGTTCTCCAGGGAACCACTGTAAGGATTAGGAAGGTTGTTTGTAGCCGCCGATAGCGAGGAATGAAGAAGGTAGCCATGAGCTGCATGAATTTCTATAGCCTGCGCATAAAGTTAATTTCAGCCAAAGTGACATACCAATCTGTGTGTAATAGCAACTTACGTCAAATCCTGCCTTTACAGCCCTGTGGACAGCATCGAGAAAAGATTGCTTGAATTCAGAGATATCTTTCAGCGTCATAGTGCGAGGAACGCAAGTATGTGCGTCGAAAGGCAGGTCACTTGTCCCCAGAACAAGTTCTGGCCATCCACCACCCTGGAATGATTAGCTACTTTCAGGAATTAAAATCGTTAAATGTTTAGAGGAGCATACCTCAGCTGGTGCTGCTGCCTTTCGGTCAATCCACGGAGCAACCGTACTGGCCTTTCTTCCAGCATGCCCTAATTGAATAGCAATGTGCTGGCACTGGCCGTGTGCGAAATCCACTATCCTTTTCAAAGGCTCAATTTGGCTGTCTTGCCATAGTCCAGAGTCCTCCGGTGTAATCCGACCCTCCGGGGTAACAGCTGTAGCTTCGACTATTGTGAGCCCAGGACCTCTTTGAAGAATCCCTCCTAAGTGAGCGAGATGCCAGTCTGTCAGGTGTCCATTTTCAGCCGAGTATTGACACATTGGAGAAACAATGATGCGGTTTTGGAGAGTGAGACCTCGGAGTTGGAGTGGCTGAAACAGCTTCGGTAAATTTGCCTCTGATTCAGGAGGAACAATTGCCGTTCCGGCGGGAATACGCTGAACAGGGGTATAGTAAGGAGTCTACAGGTTCTCAGTTCCAAAACTCAACAGCTTATCAGATAACTCGAGCATACATGGGGTGCTGGTGTGTTCTTAAGGGGATTGTCGGTCTTTCGATATTCCCGGATGCGAACCACTGTGGGGACTGAGTTGGCTCGCTCCCGGCCAAGGACTTCACCCTCAGTGGAAGGAGAACACTGGTCAGCCATGTTGTGTCGACTTTGAATATTAGGTTTTGGAGTGCCTTCAAGAAAGAACGAAATGCAGAATCATCGAGCAGATATGCTCATCAATCTATAGTCGCTGGGAATTGACCCCGCATAGTGATGATTTATGGATGTAAGATTTGACTAAGATTTGACTGAGATTTGACTAAGATTTGACTCTCGGCTCTAGGCGGAACACGGTGTTGAAGGGAATTGAAAAGCGAGGGGGGATTACTCTTGCCATCTTTTTAATTGAATGTATCGACTGGTCATCAGTGTAATATGCACTCCGCTCTCGTGCATTCCACATTTCTTCTTGATTGATCGCTTGTTGCGTAGTATTGGCCTAACTAGGATATTGCTCGGCTCAAACTTCCACCTCATATAATGTGCTGCATAGCCTGCCTAACCAAAACCAAATTCACTTTAAATTACGTTACGTTACGTTGCTTAAGTCCAACCAGTGCTGCGATGAAATCCCCTAACTTAGAAAGCACAACAGCGCCATCACTGCTGCGATTAACAAGTTGGTATTCACCAATGAATTGCATTAAGACACGATATAACTACGAGTTGTGGATCGCAGGAGTTGCTTGATGGTTTCAAGTATAATGAAATAAGCAGAGGAACTGGTTGTTAGTTACGCGTATCTCACTAATCATTGTTTCGTAAAGCAGAATACTTGCCTGATTCCAATGTGCTCGCAACGCACGGTCGTCTTATCCGTCACGTCTTACTGCAGGCTCGGATCTGTAGAGCTTGGTTGGCTCCCAGCGGCCCCAGCATGTTAAAGAGTAGGCGGCCTGCGGGATACGCAACACAAGTACATCGCACAGTCTTTTAGTCCCGGCTTGCTACTGGATCTGAAAGCAGTTATCGGACTTTGAACAATTTTCTTCGGAGTTCTATATATGGCCGGCTGCCACATATGGCTTTTTACCTGCTCATGTTATGTCACCTTCTTAGAGTTTTGCGGAGCTAAGGTAGTTCTGAAATACACCTTCAATGACCCCGCACACTTCTAGCTAGATCGCTCTAGTCGGATCGTGGTACGGAGAGGGATACAGAAGCGCCCTTGTGCAGCAAGTGGTGAAAAAATAGGTTGTTCGTAACCGAGTGCATACAGTAATCCATTATTTATAAGTCTGTACTCATTTCCAAGAGAGTCAACATAAGAAAAGAGCAAAAGAGCATCCTTCGGGTTCCTTGGATCACAGCATCGACACCAAGAACTCAAAAATTCCCGGGAAGGATTCTTTTTAGGCGCTGAAAGGGATTAAGTGAGCTTATCGACAACGAGAAAAGGGTGTCGTGTCTCACCAGCAAAGCCGAATTACTGATTTGGAAACGGTAATTGAGAGGATGGCTCTATCAATCAACTCGGTGCCAATTTGAAGCCACTTTGCTGATCCCATATGCTGAACTGAGGAAATAGCTGAGTGATTGCTTGGCTAGTTGCAGATCGTTGGTCTCCGGAGCTGGTCTGCCCATTCATGATCACTCTATTACGCCACCCAATGAAAACCATGAACCTGGCTTTCGTGATACAATGCAAGGTTCATCATCACTTTCCGCAATGTCAGCCGATGACAACCCCCGGCCTCTGTCTCCCCTTCCATCTCCTTTCACTATTTTCCAAGATAAGCCTCTGTCGTCGCCCATCGACCGTGATCCTTCACACTTCCTAGACCAAATAAACGATGCCAGTCATTCTGGGTTCGACTTGTCGGGATTTATTCAGCAAGTTTGCTTATCACTCCGCGACCCTGGTGTGACACTGGAAAATCTTCGTCGTAGATTCCGCTTTCTCCTAAGCCTCTTGAGTCGAGAAGACCTTCTTTCCTATTTCGAGGATTGCTTGACCGCCAAAGAACACCCAGAGCGCATGGTAAAATGGGACGAACTTCCATTTTGCGGTGTTGGTGAAGCGGGAAAACATTTCGTTTCATCGCCGTCGCCGACGTATCAAAGCCGCTACGCTATTTGGGATTCTAGCTCGTCTGATTATACCTCTGATAATCAGGATCTCTTGGGTGGGGCTTGGTATGATTTAACCGATCTAGCAAGACTTCTTGATTTCCGCGGTATACAGCTGTTTATTGAAGCACCTACGGTAAAAGACCCGGCCTCGCCGGGATTGCGTGCAATTAATGCGTCGGCGTTTCTCAAAAGTAAGCTCAAATCCTTCGACATTTCGGATAGATCTTAAATCTCCACAGGACTGGTCAGATCATGCATTTGTCTAGGTCGCTCTCCCGGGTGAAGACCAGTTGATGTAGAGAGTGCGCTGAGATCATCATGTTGGTAATGATCAAAATATGCATGAAAGCAGTTTGTTCGCAATATAACCTAGGTAGTGGGTGGAATCTTTATCAAATTTTATGACGAATTTACACCCCGCGCCCTATATAGCAATATCTATCTTTTGATTTCCTGACAAGCGAGTATTCATGAGCTTAGAGGAGCATTGGCTCCAATTAATGACAACTATTCCGTGTGATAAAACCCCATCATATCCTGCGAATCGAAGCGTGACTCATCTATTTTAAAACTAGCCTTCCGTGTAAGCACGGACACGGCTCGGTACGGTCAATTGGAGAACCATGAGGAGATAGGTATATGAAAACAGGAATTTCGATCAACAATAATGAATACAAATCCTCGTGTATCTCAAGCTTCATTGACAGAACTCTTGCAACTACACTCAAGAAATTTGTTCAGTCGATTTGGATATTGCGCGACAATATTCCTTTCCAAATGCTCCGCGTCATCGGATCGCTTCAATTCGGCTTCGAAAGCCAGAATATATCCCCTCGTGGCCGAAATCAAGTAAGAACCATTCACCTGCGACGGTCGCTTATGTCCCGGGACAACAATGTGAGGGTCCAGACTAGCGATCTGGTCAAGCGATTGAAGCCACATTTGTCTTTTCTCGGGAGTGCTGGCCTCGCCAAAAAATTGATAGCAATCACCACAGACAATGTCGCCACAAACTACCAATTTGAGTTCAGGGACATAGAGAAATGAAGAGGCTTCAGTATCCGAGTAGAGTACATCGATTCCAAAGAGAGGGGCTCCATCAATGGAAAATTCGCCTCCTGGGGGTAACGAAGTCGGCGAAAATTGACCCTCTGGCACTTGTCCACCAGGAAACATTTGTTTCCACATATCAACTCCATCGGGCAGTTGCTTGGCGATGGCCCGGGCAACAGAAGGAGTTGCCACGCACTCAGCTTGCGGGAAATGGCGCAGTAAGACTGGGTTGCCGAAGAAGTGATCGCCATGGGCATGGGTTGTGTAGATGTAGCGGAGCTGTTTTCCAGGAGCCGTTTGCTTCACCCATTCGGCTAACTTTTCGGCAAGATCACCTGTTACTGGTGTGTCGACAAGGATAGCAGACCGGGGTCCTTGAATAAGGGTACAGCATATCGGCGAAAACCAGTTTTTCGAGGGGTCGGCATGACCTGTCCCGGTTTGAATAGCGGGTGCACCATCAACATCAACTTGGAGAGAGGATCGCGTGATGGAAGTTTGGGAACTAACAAGAAGGTCAAGCATGTAAGTCGAAGAGAGGAGAGAGTGATTCCGAAGCTCTTTATATATGGAGAGTTAGAAGATGACAAATTGTATTGGGACTGGAAATGGGAAGATGATCTGATCGGTGCGGCAACGGTTCAGTAATCATGGTGAGCTTCCGAGGAATATCCGGATCCAATCTCACCACCCATGATACGAGCGAAAAAGTCATTACGAGCATGACTCCCTGATCTTTCCAATATAGATTCCCGAACCAAGGTTTTCATGCCAGAAGGTCGATAAGTTAAAGATAACCCATTCACCTAAAGTAGCAGCGTCTTGGGGCAGCTGGGAGATACTAGGATTTACTAGGTGATATTGAGGCTAGTAAATCCTAGTATCTCCCAGCGATATTATACCTCTTTTTATGCCTCCGTATGCATCGCATCTACTCCAGCCATTAGATGCTGGCTGTTTTGCAGTGGTTAAACGCGCATACGGTCGCTTCGTAAGCGATCTTGCCCGTCGAGGATATAACCATATCGATAAGGTCGATTTCTTGATGGACTACCAACACGCGCGGCTAGAGGCCTTCCAAAAGCCATCAACTATTCAAAATAGCTTCGCAGCTAGTGGTTTAGTGCCAGTCGATGCAGAAAGGGTTCTTTCAAACCTTAATATCTCTCTACGAACGCCTACACCACCAAGCAGCCGGCCAAGCAGCAGATCTAGCCAATTCACACCAAGAACGCCTAAGACTATCGTTCAGCTCCATAAGCAATCTTCAATGCTTAAGGATCTACTAAACCAGCGGTCAAATAGCCCTCCTAGCCCAGTGGAAGCTATATTAAACCGGATTACCAAGGGCCACAGCCAAGCGCTTCATAACACTGCATTACTAGCGGAGGAGGTCTCTAATATACGTATGGCGAATGAGAGGATCGTCAAGAAACGCCAGCGGTCAACTAGGCAGATACCCTGCGGAGAGGGCCTATCTGTTGAAGAAGGCCTACAGCTAGTTGAGCAGCTAAATCAGCCGGTGGAAGGTGATGAGATAGGATCGCATGAGCAGGGCGAATTGCCTAATCAGGCAATTCAACCACGACCTAGGGCCTTGCCTAGGTGTAGTGGGTGTAGGGAGATTGGTCATAAGATTAATGTATGTAAAAATGGCTATATTTAGTTGAATCAATGGGTGTGGTGGGATTAATCGATTTTGAAATTCAACCTTGTGGTAGGGTGCGCGGGTGGACTGGGAATTACGTTATGCCCGCCCGCTTACACTATAAGTTTGCCTACGGGACATCTCCAGTTAGTCCCGCCCCAGGTGTAAGTTGACTCGTGGATAAAAGTTCCGAAGACCTTTCCTGTTGCAAACGTAGTTTGTCTTGCACAGCTTTGCCTAGCCGCCGGATCTCTCTTCTCCCTAGCTGCTGCAAATGTACTTCATCTGGGCTGTCCACAATACGGATCGTCCGAGCTGATGCCCAAAGTCTGGGTAGAGGCAAATCTTGGCAAACTCCCGCAGCACCCAAGGCTTGAATGGCACGGTCAATTACCTGCAAAGCGGCATAGGGCACAAGGGCCTTTGCTATAGCGATTTCTCGCAGCGCAGACTTGGCACCTTCTTGGCAATCTTTAGCGCGCCATTTAGCACAGCCATTCTAACACTATCAATATCAATGCGTGACTTTGAGACCCATAGTCCCGTGCGAGGGGAGGGGCTGGCCGAAAGTGGCTCTTGTTTCATTAGTCACTCTAGCAATCATCCATTCCAACGCGCTTTCAGCAGCCCCAATAGTTCGCATAGCATGGTGAATATGACCCGGACCAAGGCGACCTTGGATGATTTCAAAGCCGTGTCCTTCACCCAGAACTATGTTACTAGCTGGGACACGGACGTTATGAAGACTGATTTGGCCATGACCATGGGGCGCGTCTCATCATAACTGAAGACAGATAACATGCGGTGAACAGTGATACCTGGTGTATTTGCAGGAACCAGGATGACCGTGTGTTGGTCATAGTAGCCAGTGGGGGATGCGGAGCTAGTCTTTCCCATTACGATATAGAGCTCACAATTTGGATCACCAGCACCAGAAGATCACCATTTCTGAGAGCCAAGGAAGCACACATCAGACCCTAAGATTGGCACCGTAGTGAATTTGCTTGCTATGGCTCGTCAACATAATTGCGTATCGTCACGTGATGAAGGTAGCGAGGCGCTCGACAATGGCGGGTACTTATGACTCCTTCCATTGACGTCCTTCTAAGGTGCGACTTTCATCTGAATAACATCAGTACACATTATCTATGACGCTCGATTCACTAATGTCGGTTACTCTACGGCGATCCTGCCAAGCCTGCATCAAGAGCAAACGACGATGTGACCAACTTTGGCCTAAATGCAGCAGATGCCAGGGCAAAGGACACGATTGTGAATATGCCAACACTCCTTTCACGGCCACGTCTGATTCTCGAAGAAGCTTAATAAATAAAGCTCCACACAATCGCCGACGGGCTGCCGGGTCCCATCAGATCCGCGCACCGTTGCGATTAGAGATTGCGAAAGAATACGATCAATCTGCAATTAGATTTCTCGTTCGCGGACTGCGAGAGTATCCGAGGGCTTTTGTGACAGGCCAGAAAACCGATTTTATACATCCAGAAATCTACTTATCTGGTCTCCCCAGTGCCATGCAAGAAGCACGTTCTCTCTGCGGGCGTTACGCCCAACGGCCGCCACGGGGAAAAATCAGTGATATTCTTTACTTCCTTCGGATGAAGTCAGACGAGATCTACCGTCATTTCTCTCGCTCTTCTTCATTTCACGACCTGCTTGCTTGTTCGCAAGCCTTGATTATCATCCAATGTATCTTAGCTCTAAACCAGGACCTGCCAAGCCGATATTCCGAGGATACGAGTATAATGCTCGAAACAGTTGCCAAAAGGTTATGGGAACGGGCACCCGTCCAGCTGCCACCAACGCTAACTCATCGGCAAGCACGGCTTCTGGGAGAAAGTGTTCGACGTACCATTATCGTGAGCTTAATGCTTCGAAGTGCGTATTCTTTGTACACAAGGAACTACTCCGTCCGCACCCCCTTTGTGGATGCATTGCCATTCGATGTTCGCACGAGTTTTTGGGATGATGACTCGAACCACGCCCTGGCGGATCGGGGTTCTAGCCTATCTGGTTCGATGGTTTCTCTACATGAATATTCGGATGCTATGGAAAGAGGCAGTGTCCATAATATCAACAACTTCGGCGCGTTGATTCTGGCTGCTTGCAAGGGCAAGGAGCTCTCGGGAATACCGCGTCCCCCACAAAACTCTTACATACCAACTTGAGGGTGGAAAGCACGATATACGGCTCGGAGGCCACGCAAAAAGATGAAAGTGAAATTTCTTTTCCAAAGTAGATATATAGAAAATGTAGCTACCCCTATGCTTAGCACCTATTCATAATTTAGACGACAGACGCGAATCTACCGCAAGAACTGCTTGAGCAACCCAGACAACATCTCAGTCATCTGTCGATAGATCTCCTGCCTTTTGACCTCGAACTGGTTGAAGACATCCTTTGCTGAGCCAACCGCAATTTGATCTTCACCCTTTGAGAGTCCGGCCCAGACCTCGTCAACAAATTCCTGGAGAGGCATGCCGATAAGATGGCCATCTTTCAGATCGGGCTGATGCTTCGCATCGTGCAGCTCAGTCTGCACAGCGGGGGGGTAAATCTCCAACACCTTCACGTTCCCGGGCCCGTCCTGCAGCTGTGTGCGCAGAGCGAGAACGAAATGATGCAATGCCGCCTTGGACGCGCCGTAGTTCGGGCAGCGCATCATTGGAACGAGGGCCATTTGGGAAGTAGTGAATACCAGAGCAGTCTGGGTATCTTGCTTTTGAAGATGGGGGATGAAAGCCTTTGCAAGGCGCACGGCCGACGTATAGTTGGTGATCAGCTCCTGGTCGAAGATGTCCAGGTCGACGGATTCGGGCTTGGAAAAGTTGAAAGGTCGCTGAATTCCCGAGTTGACAAACACACAGTCAAGGTTCGGGTTCTCGCCGATAACTTCAGATGCGAATTGAGGGATCTACGTTTCCCTGTTAGCGTATGCGCTGAGACCAATACTCCGTATTTCCCGACAAAAGACTCACCTGGTCCAACTGCATGATATCAAAGACTTTGGTCTTAACCTTATCGGCACCATGACGCTGTGCAAAAACATTCAAGTTGTCCCTTCGCCGACCTGAAACAATCGCTCGCGTCCCATTCTCAACGAGTTTGGTGGCCAGCGCCTCTCCAATTCCAGAGGTGGCACCGATGATCAGAACATTCTTGTAAGCAAAAGGCATGGCGTCGATATTAAGGAAGGATGATAGAGGTGAGACTGAAGTGAAGATACTATGATTCTTCTACTAAAGACCCTCACTTTTATATCCTCTGCTTAAATTTTTGATTCTTAAGCATAGAGCATGGATGTCATCGATTGCCATTTCTGTTATGCGGAGACTAAACCTGATACAGTAATGTGGAGTCACAGTGGCGATTTCTATTGGCCTGTAAACAAGGTCTGAAGAATGCCGAGGTTTCGCGCCACTGGCGGAGGTTAAACCAAAAACAGAAAATATGGATTTGTCAGGGCCCACCTAGAGCTTGATCAAAGATCTGCGGGTCCACATAAGGGAGTTCACCCTTTGAGGCAAAAGTTCCTGACGACTCAATAGCATTGAGCGCTGCAAGTAGTTTGGATGTCACCATTCTGCGGGATACTCGAAATCCTGCTTGAAGATGTTGTTGCGTTTCACACACCAACTTGGATAGACCGTGGTAGATCGAGTCCTTCTGTTTACAGATGGTTATTTGCAATCTCAAGTAATCGGCGAGACAAGGGGATAGCAGGAAGATGTTCCGCTGTGCTCAACAATTGGCTGCTTGGGCAGTCACGGAAGACTCCTCATAAGTTTGGTTGTGTCCACGAAACTGATGCGAAACGAGTGCAAACACGCGTCAGGACAGGTGCAATCGCGTATCAGGGCAGGAGTGATAGGTCCACTTTATACTTTATAACCTTATCGTGGATCATTATTCCAGGGGGTTTCTGCACGCAAATATTCAATATTCAATATTAGCTATTAACTGACTAGGCTTAACGCCATTCTTTTTCCCAATGTCTGGAATGGAGCCAGAAGTATGTGACAAGTCCCATTTCATTACTGGTTCCAGGACCGGGGGGGG